ATATATATATATATATATATATATATATAGAGAGAGAGAGAGAGAGAGAGAGCGGTTCATTCGTTTTCTTACATTGCTGTTCTCTTCGCTCTCGTCGCTGATTCATTGCCCCGCATATTCGGTGTTGTTCACTTGTGCTTATTTGTGTACTTACACTCTTTTATAATTAAGACGACGATGGTGCTTTTGGAGTGCAAGCGACTCCCCAAGGAGGAGTATAGCAAGGACTACGACGCCTTCATCGCGTCCGTGCCGGCGGCAACGAACATCGGTGTCGCCACGGATGCCCTGCAGCACATGCAAAATACGCGGGTGCGACTGACGTGGATGATGACCGCCGCGAGGCAGATGCTGAAGGACCACATGGTGGACGACACCCAGCAGCACTACCTCGAGGGTCCCATCGGAGACACGGAGCGGTACCTCGCATTGGAGCGAACGGAGCGGCGTCAAGTGTGCACGCAGGACGAGCTAGACGCCCTCGTTGAGGCGTTCAAGGGCGGGGCGATGATTCTCTTCCCCGCCGAATGCAGCGGCACCGACGCGTGCAAGCGACTGGCGGCGGTGCTGGATGATGACGACGCCACCGATGCGGAGAAGTCGAAGGCGCACCGCATTCTCAGCATAATCGATGACGGCGCGAGCAACGACAATATTTTGTCCGGCAAGTCGGTGATGTGGTGGAGTGCGAAGCCGCTCGCACGTGAGGCTGACTTCGTGAAGTATGTCGGCAAAAACGAGAAGACGAAACTCACGGTGAAGCTGGCCCCCGAAGGCGGTGCGACGCCGCCGCGTGAGCCGGTGATCGACGCAAAGGCGCAGACGGAGTTGATGCAGCACTACTACCGGAAGCAGGAGGAAATGAAGAAGTTGGTGGAGGACGAGGACATCTCGTTCGGCAACAGCGAGTGGGCGAACCCGCATGGCCTGAAGAACCAGTTGCAAGGCATGGACTCCGTGCGCTACCGCGGGTTCTCCTAAACGTGCCTTCTATTTCTCGCTTCTATTTCTTGCTCTTCTCCGATGAATCACCGCAGCTTTCTTGGGGGTGCACGCGTAAATGCCAGTGTCGATTTGTACGCGTTTCCTTTTTTCCTTTTGCGAACGCGCTGTTTTTTTTTTTGGTTGGTTCTATCATAATGCTTCGCTTCTTAAAGGAACGGTATCCGGCTTACGGGTGGCTGGGTTTTTTTTTTTTCATGTATATATGTTATTATTTGCCCGCTGCTGGGTGTGATTGCTGAATCACGAGTACTAGCAAGGGAAACTCAAAACAAGAAAAAACAGTCTAGATGGCTTTTGCAGAAACAGACGACTTTTTGGTGAAGGTGCGGGGAGGGGCGTTGGCGCCAAGAACGTGCTCTGACTTTCTCGTCTGTCTCGCCCTCCACGACGACGACGACAACGATTTCAACGCCGTGGTACTGGTATTCAGCGGCCTCCACAAAGAAAGAAGTATCTGCATAGAGCAGGTGCCTGCTCTACTCTCTGCTCGTATGAACTGAAATGCATGACGTTGACGTAGACCATCAAGAAGGAAAAGATGCCACACCCCGCAGCGCTTCTTTCAACTCCTCGGCTTCCCTCCCCCCATTTTTTTCTGATCATCACTCTGCCTTGTGTTCTCCATGTAACACGTCTACAAAACGGTTGCTCTCTCGTCTTCTTATTTGTTTTCTTCCTTCGAAAGAGTTTTACTTGCCTCGTCGCAATCATGGGCGTTGATCTGACCGGTATCTCGAAGAAGAGCCGTGTGATTCGTCACCACACGTACTCGTCGAACCCCTACATCAAGCTTCTGATCAAGCTGTACAAGTTCCTCGCGAAGCGCACGAACTCGGGATTCAACAAGGTCGTGTACCAGCGCCTGATCAAGAGCCGCAGCAACCGCGCTCCCATCTCGCTGAGCCGCATCGCCGTCGTCATGAAGCGCAAGGCCGTCTTCACGGAGAAGAGCAAGAAGGCCCCGATCGCTGTGGTGGTCGGTGACGTGCTGGATGATGTGCGCATGGCCCGCATCCCGGCCCTGCGCGTGTGCGCGCTGCGCTTCTCCAAGGCTGCTCGCCAGAGCATCGTGGCCGCCGGCGGCGAGTGCCTGACTTTCGATCAGCTCGCCATGATCGCCCCGACGGGCAAGAACACCTACCTGATGCGCGGACGCAAGTCGGGCCGCGAGTCCGTCAAGCACTTCGGTGCGTCGGGTGTGCCCGGCTGCCACGCCAAGCCGCACGCGACCAACCGCGGCAAGGAGACGAAGCGCGGTCGCCGTCCGGGTCACTCGTACAAGCGCAAGGCCTTCCGCCACGTCTAAGTGCGATGACGACGCGGGTCTGCGTGTGTCTCTCTGTGTGTCTTTCTGCGTTGGGCAGCTTTTGTGTCTGTCCGCTGCGTCTTCTGTATTGCGTTTCGGTTTTCGTTGCTTGAGGGCCGCAGCGGCGGTCTGCCGCAGACGCAACGCGCTGACCGTCTCGTGAGCAACTTGCCGCGGTGCTGCAGGTGAAGCAAAGCAAAGCAAAACTCTCACGGGTCTCCTTTTGCGGTTTCCCTTTGTTTCCTTTCTTTTTCTCATTTTCACTTTACCCCAAAATCTGAACAAAGAAAAGCGGAATGAAATCACGCGAGACGCAGGAAAATGCATAAGTATGCTCCCTCCTCTCTTTCTTTTCTCCTCCTTGCTGAGCGTGCTGCCTGCAAGGATACCTTATTTTGGCGGAACGTCCTTCTTGTTAACGGCCTCCAACGGGTGGTGTTGTGCAGGTGTGCATTGCTGCCGTTCATCCGTCTCCGTAAAGAAGAAAACAGCTTTCTACACACGAAGGATCAATTTTTGTTTTTTCTTTGGCGACAAAAAACTGCGTTACAGCTTCATTTCTTTTTTTCCTCAATTTTCACCTCCCTCCTTTTGCTTGCTCGGCGCATGGCAGCTGTCTGTTTCGTCGTACATTCGTCTTCTCACAGAGAAGCTGCAGAAGGGAAAACAAAAACGAAAAGAAAAACAGAGGAGGCGTTGCACAGCTCCTTCTCTCTAATACACTCCTTATTTACACCAAAAAACAAAAAGATCTGTTTAACACCTACATTTAACTTCTGTACTATTGGGAGAAAGCCATCGCTTTTTGTTTGTTTGTTTGAAGTTGTCGCAAAGAAAGACACGGGTGAGATTGAACTGATATCGTTTCCATTATCTAATCACTACCGATTACATTCTAGTCCCTCTCTTCTTCGAGACTCTTCACTGCCGACTTGAAGGTCGAAATTTCTTTCTCGACTCGGAGTGGCAAACGCGAAGTAGAAGATACACTTACCGAGGAAGCTTTGAAACTGCAAAATGACGTCCCTCGTTGCTGTAGTGGACGGCGGCGCGATGCGAAGTGCGGTGGGCGGGGCGAAGCGCCTCAACGCGATAGACCTACAGCGCCTCAAAGGCGTCCTCAACGCGTGCGGTGTGGCGGAGGTGCGCGGGTCACCGCAAATATACGCCCATCCCGAAGCGATTCACTTGATCTCTCCCAGGGACCTGAGTTTTCTGGTCGAGCACGCGGAAGCGTTGGCTACGCACAAGGACCTGGACTACGACGTCCGTGCCTTGACGAGCATCTTGTGGGGTATGGTGCAGCATGCCGAGCGTCATATTGAGCGGGTGATGCGCGCGGCGAAGGTGGAGGCTCCTGGCCTAAATGAGATCTACGCCGACGCTGTTGATGCAGCAACCAAGCCCGTCCCCTCGGCCACTTCCTCTACTCCTCCCTCTGCGGCGGCAAAGGGGACAGGTACGGCGGAAGTGCCGGACAAGCTGAACACGTTGGCGGACGTGTACGCGGCGGTGTATCAGCACCTCGTGCAGGTGTTCCGCGTAACGGCTCTGCTGCGCGCGTTTGAGAGCCCCGACGCACGGGCCGAGGTGCGGGATGCGCGGCGCGTGGCGCAGGTCGATGTCGACAGCGTGTCGCGACTAGCACGTCTGCTGACCCGTTTGTTTCTGTGTGAGGCGGGCGAGTCTCCTTCGACGCCGGTCGGCGCTGGCGGTGCCGTCTTGAATGCCCTCGCAGCGTACAGCAATGTCGGTCACCATCTCATCCGCACCACGGAGACTGCCCTGAGTTCTGTCATGGTGTTGCTCGCGGCTCTCACGGCCCGACAGGGCAGTGACGCCCGTCCCATTCTGCGGTACTTCCACGGCATCGACGCGTGGAAGGCGAGTGCGTTGGGGCTGCAGGTGACGGAGAGCTACGGCGTCTCCATCTACTTGCTGCTCTTTGCACTGCTGCAGCGCCGCCGCGACTTCGACAACGTCGAGGAGGTCGCCGCTCGACTGCTTATCACGCGGCTGGCGACCCGCCCGCCCTATCAGTGGCGCGTCTTCCGCCTCTTGTACTTTGGGGTGCAGGAGGTTGCTGCGGGACAGGCGCACACCGCTGTTGATCGCCAGGGCAGCTGCGCCTACGGCCAACTCCTGGTCTTCCGTCGCATCCAGGCAGCGCTGCAGCGGTGCTTGACGACGACCGGCAGCGGCACAGCGGAGGAGGAGGCCTACGTGAAGGCTCTCCGTCGGGCGGTTGCGGCGCAGGTGCAGCACGACTGGATCGATAACGACGGCGGCAGCGCAAGCACGAGCCCCACCCAACCGCGATTGCTGTCCTACTACCAACTGCTCGTGCTGGCTGCCGTGCAAGGGATGCCGGAGGCGGATCTGACGAACGAGGCAGATCTGGCGCGTCGCGCAGAGCAGACGAGGTTGTCCAGCGAACCGGACGTGCTGGTGCCGTCGTTCCTGCGGCTGCTCATGGCTTGCTGCTACACGGTGCCGACTTCGTCGGGTGCCGTCGTGCCCCACTCGCTGCTCTCCACGCCGTCGACCATATCGCTGTACGAGTCACTGTCGAAGCACATTTTCCAGCTCCCGTTGTGCTCGCAGGCGACCACCGCGAAGGAGGTGAACCAGCTGTACGCCAGCGGTGGCCTGCGCACCGACACATTGGTGGACTTGTGCGTGTGGAACGCGGTGCAGAACACCCGCGAGGACGCCCGGGAGGCGGCGGAGGGCATCGCTGCGAGGAGCACCGGCGCCTCGAACGTGGCGAGCGAGGACAAAGGCGTGTCGTCCACGCGACCTCTCCCACCGGTTCCCACGGCTGAAGGTCTCACACCTCTGCCGGCTCTTCCGCAGCCCCCAACGCCAATGACGGCCCTCTTTACGCTGCTGAGCCGCGACGTGCGGCTTCTTTTCAACGGCAACGAAGACGTCTTGAAACACACACCAGAGGCTGCGCGGGTGCGGGCGAAGAATTTTCCAGAAGGCTTTCGAGCCGTGACGTTGACCACCGTGCGACTGATCTTCGTGGCGCTCTCCTCGGCGGAGCTGTTCGCCCACATATCATCAACGGATATGCTGCCCACCGTAGCCCAGCTCTTTGCACTGCGCGCCTACTACCCCCTCTCTCCCCACGCTACGGAGGCAGAGCACAAGGCGACAGCGCGGCTTATTGCCCTCATGCAGAACACTCTCGCTGCGGTGCCCCAGCAGATGAACTCGGCGACGGTGAACGACCTTTTGCGCCGGCAGCTCGTCCCGATGAGCACGACGGCTGGACAAGCGAACCGCCTGCGACTCGCACTCTTCGAGGCGTACCTGCGTTCCATGGCGACGGCGAGTGCGGCGAATGCGGTGTCGGATGAGCTGATGCTGCGTCACTGGGTAGACGTTGCCGTGCCGGCCATCACGAATCGCTTCAGCGCCGCGCTGGCCAACGCCGGTCACGACTTCTTCATCGCCGCCTTCCGCGCAGAGAAGTACGTGAGCCCGTTGTTTGTCCCAACGTACATCGCACTGTACATCCCAGGCGTCGAGCTGGAGAGCGCCGGCGGCCGCCGCGGCAGCGTCGTGGCGCGCGCGTCGACGTACCCGCCGTTGTCGGTGGCCGTCGTGCAGCACTTCGCGCGGTGGGTCCGCACGGCCTGCCGCGGCATTGAGAGCTGCGACTCTACCGCCCTCGCGCGTCTCTTCGAGGAGAACGCCGTCGTTGAGGGCGATGTGCCAGCAACGCCGTCGCTGGCGGCCGTTACGGAGTTCTTGTCAAGGCTTTCCCCAACGCAGCGTGCAGCCCTACGAAAAGTCACCCCTACCAGTGCCGCCTTGCTTGTCGTGTCCGCCCTCTTCGATCGTCTCTGCCTATTGTGGAACAGCACACCCGGCTACGTGAGGAAGGCGCGTGACCTCTTCATGGCGTACTTCTCAGGGCTGTGCAATCTACTGCAGTGCACCAACACAGCGGTGATCCAGCGTGTGTGCGCCTCGATAGAGGCGATCGAAGTGGAGCACCTTCGCGGCTCCGGCAACGTTCAATTTCAGTTTCTAAAGTACGTCAGCGCCGTCGTGGACAACGTGCAGGGTCCGTCCAAGGTGGGCATTGCAGAGTGGTACTTGAAGCTGAACAAGCGCATCCGAGAGCAGAACTACGGCAAAAATTCGAAACTGTAAAGGAAACATCACTAATGTGTTTTTTGTTGTTTGTGGTGTTGTTTCCTGCTTATCGTGGCCCTCTCGACTGCTGGGGACTCAACGGCGAGGCGGCGAAGTAAATGGCGGTGAGATTTGTCTTACTGTGAGCTTTGTGTGTGTGTGTGTGTGTGTGTGCGGGTTCAATTTATTGACGTCACATTATGTTTTCGGGTAATGGCAGAATTTATGGCTGTTTAAACCTTTTTTTCTTTTCGTTCTCCAAGTGCTTGTTCGCGTACGTGGTTGTGTATGAGAAGTGATGAACTGTTTTTCTCAGCGTCGAAGCTGTTAATAACAACAAAAGATAACTTCTAAGGTATTGGGCATTGAAGGCAGGAAAGCAACGAGAGAGAGGGGGAGGGGGAGGGGGAGGGGGAGGGGATGCGGTGCAACGAGAGAACAGGTCCGATTGCACTTTCTCCGCCACAACCGTGCTTGCTTTTCTTGTGTATTGAATTGTAAAGGATCCGGAAGAGCCCAAAGACCTTTCTCTTAAATAAAAAAAGATCTAGATTGAGGTCTGCTAGTTCCTTGCACAGCTTTTTTCCCTTTGCAAACGACTTACGTTGAGGGAGCAGAGGCGGAGTTTCTTTTTTACAGAGTGAATCTCGTTGTGGTTGAGGCGAATTCGTAGTGGACAATCTCTGTTTACCAAAGCAAAAAAGGAGCTCACGTTTTCTCTTACCCTTGTTGTCGAATTCGTTGCCTTCTCTCTCCCCGTCTGACTATCTTCACGTTACGCACCCCTGCCCCCCACCTCCCCGCGACGCTGCGATGCGCATCTAACAATAAAAAAAAACCGCCACTCCGCCACAACGCACCAAACCCGCCAGCAATTCCATACACTGCGTCACGTACCCTCCTCTTTTTTTTTTGTCCGGTCGTGCACCATCTCCTCTTCTCAAACGGCGGTGATACGGTGCATCCGACTCATTCTTCTTGGCCTTCTGAAAACTCTCGACAAGCACGCTGCCCATGCGTCGCTCTGTCGTGTGCCACGATGCCGCGTTGTGCAACATCGCACGCGGCGCACAACGAGTGCTGATGGCGGCGCTGGCAAGCACCAGTGTAGGGAATGATGTTACTGGCTCCTATGCGTCCGCTGAGGCTGACACACCTTCCTCTTCTTCCACCACTGCTGCGACTTTCCCAGCCCGAACGTCGTTTGCACTGCCAGAAACGCTCCAGGCGGATTTGTCAAAGCCCTCCGTGGTGAAGGATGTGCGCTACAAGCACGTGCCGTCGTCGCGCGTCGGGCGGGCTGCCGGCTTTGCGTCGCTGTTTATGCAGCTGGGCTGGGAGAAACTGGTGGGAGGTACGCCGGTGGGGAGCGTCTTATCCGAGCGCGGGCATCAACACATTGTGGACACCCTCTGCCGTATGCGCGGGGCGGTGCTGAAACTCGGGCAGATGTTGAGCATCCAAGATGCGAGCACGATCCCGCCGCACGTGACGTCGCTGTTTGAGCGGGTGCGCGACCAAGCCTTCGCGATGCCGCCGGCGCAGCTGGACCGGACGCTGGCGAAGGAGTTCGGCTCGATGCACTGGCGTAGTGAACTGTTTGACACCTTCGATGAAACGCCGGTCGCGGCGGCGAGTATTGGGCAGGTGCACCGCGCCATGCTGAAGCCCGGTGCTGCCGGGACGGACCCGAGCGAGCCACCGGTGGAGGTGGCGGTGAAGGTGCAATACCCCGGTGTAGCGCAGAGCATTGACTCCGACGTGGCAAACCTGAAGATGCTCATGTCGGTCGGTGTGCTGCCACCGGGCATGTTCGTGGATAGGATTTTGCAAGAGTTGCGCAGCGAGTTGAGCTCAGAATGCCAGTACAAACTGGAGGCGGCGAAACAGACCAAATACCGCAAGCTGGTCGCCGATGATCGCCATCTCTCGCAGCTCTTCTACGTTCCAAAGGTGTTCGAGTCCATCTCGACGGATCAAGTGCTGGTGAGCGAGTACGTCCGCGGCGTGCCGATCGATCAGCTGGGGAAGCGCGAGGATGTGCCGCAGGAGCTGCGCAACTACATCGCCGAGCAGCTGATGTCGCTGACGCTGAAGGAGCTGTTTCTGTGGAAGTTCATGCAGACCGACCCAAACTTCTCCAACTTCCTGTACAACGCGAGCGATCAGAAGGTGTACTTACTGGATTTCGGCGCGTCGCGCGAGTACGCGGATGACTTTTTGTCAGACTACCTAGATGTCGTGACGGCTGCTGCAATCGGGGACTGCCCCACGATTATCGACAAGAGCGTCCGGCTTGGGTTCCTCACGGGGGGTGAGGCGAAAGAGATGCTGGACGCCCACTGCGCGAGTGTGCTCTTACTGGGCAAGCCCTTCGAAAAGCGCGACGAACCCTTCGACTTTGCGGCGCAGAACTTGCCCAAAATGATCCAGTCCTATGTTCCAACCATGGTGAGGCTGCGTCTGCGTCCGCCGCCGACACCGATTTACTCGCTGCACCGCCGTCTGAGTGGAACGATTTTGCTGGCCACAAAGTTCAAAGCTACCATTGACAGCGGCAAGCAGTTCTGGAGCATCCACGATCAACTGCGCAACTGAGGCGTGTGGACAGAGGATTTGTTTTTCGGCCTCTTTTTGGCAGCAATAAAAGTGTTTTGTGCTGCGGTGCATCGTTCACCTGAAATGGAGACGATGGGGGTGAGAAGGAGATGGATCATCACCTTCATTGTGTTTTAGCGAATACATCGGAGCGCGCTGAAAGGTTTGCACAGTTTTCTTACAAGCAAACGAAGTGTTCTTTCGGGCACAAAATACCTTCAACAAAAATCTATCACAGCAACGCACACACACAACAATAACAACCGTAACAACCAAAAAGAAAAGAAACGAACACCGAATGGGCGAAAATCTTCTTTGTGCTCGTTATCGTGATCCATTCCCCCCCCCCTCCAACGCTGCAAACTGCGTGAAGCGAAGTTACAATGATGGAAACGTGCGGAGAAGAAAAGAAACGATTTGTTGTTTCGATTGACCAACCGGCTTGTGTAGCCACGCTGACAGCGGTACAAACATAGCAAGCAAACGGAAAGAAGATGCACTGGGTGGAGAGGATCACAACCGGTGCCAACGTCGTAGCGTTGCTGTCTCGCGTTCTTCACCTCCTAAAGTTTTCACGCTTGGCCGACGTTTATAAATGTTGCCATGTCACAGCCGTTCTCTTTCAATTGCTGCAGAAAAAAAAGTCAGAAGATCCTGATTGCTATCGTTTCTCTTCTGCCGTTCTTTTTTTGTCGTTGTCGCTGTCCTAGTGGATAAACAGCATCTCGTTTTGCATTCGAACCGCAACCACATAAAAACTCGTTTTACGAACAACATTTGCACCGTCATCTATTCACACACACACACACACACACACATTCGTATATATATATTAACTGTATCTCTCGTGTCGCTCAGCCTCTAGACCTCTACGATTCGTCCATCGCTGACCCGTGTTTTTTTTCTCTCTTTAACCTTATTCTTCGAATTGCGGATGCGTTGGCTGTGTGTCTTCCACACGATTGATTGAACACCTCCCTTGATCTTTTGCTTTGTATGATACTTGCTCGATTTTTTTTTGTAAAGAAAGCCAAAAATACTTTTTTTTTGAGTTTTGTGTTTAGATTTTGCTCCTGTTTTCTTTCTGTCTTGCTTCCGTTTTCTTTTGTCTCACTCTTGACTGTGTACAGCAAAAAAAATACGGGGGGCGGGTCATAAAGGAAACTCCTTGCCTCAAACATCCTTTTTTTTTCTCCTTTCGCGAAACGTGGCTCACCGTGAATCAACTTTCCCTGTAGAGTTGAGAGAGTTCACTTGTTATTGGGTTTTCGCGTTTCCCCGCCTCACGCACGGGTGTGATCTTATCCCCTGTGCCTGCTTTTTGCCTTTTCCTCTGCGTCCAAAGTCTCCTAGGTGAGAAACATCCGGTAGCTGTGGCTTCTCTTCCTGTTTTTTTTTGTTTTAATAACACTCACCGGTTTTTCTTTTTCTGGAGAAGCTCCCTTTTCATCATTAAAAAAATTATTTGCTCTAATTTACTTGTGTCTTTGTTGCCTACCTATTTGTGGCTGAAGCTGTTGTACCAGCACTCATCCACTGTTTCCTTCCAGCGTTTCTTGTCCGTAAAATTAAGAAAATAACTCAAGTTAGGTTTTACATTAATTACATCCTTTTTGTTTTTTTCTTTGAATCCGAATATCACATCATGCCGTCTCGCGCGTTGAGCTCGCCCTCGCGACCCGACAAGGAGCCACGCAGCGTCAGCGCTCGTCAAGGGCAGGAGACGAACCACGAGGATGTGTTCGCCTCAACACGCCCTGCTATGTTTACTTGGCCTCCGCAGAACAGGCACCACGCGGAGTTCGTGACGGAACTCGCCGTAAAAAACGGTGTTGAGAGCCCGACTGCTCTCGCCCCCCAATCGGGGTGCAGTAACGAGAGCGGAAGCCAGTTGCTAAGCAGTTCGGCGTCCCGCGGCACATCGCCTTCCTGCACGCCTGTTGCCACCTCGCTGCCGACTGTGCAGAAGGTCCCAAAAAGCAACGACGTGCCTGCACCGCGGAAGAAAGCGACGCGCGCAGAAGTCGCACTGTCGCGCGCTGGGGGTGGCCTGATCCACAAGAAGGCCCCGGCTCACTCTGCCGTCGCCGCGCAGCCCAAGAAGGCCGGCACGTCGCCAGGGAACACATCGTTGGAGCGGAGATCATCGCCCTCCCTTCAAGAGTCGTCGTTGGCGGCGGTCAACAAAATGAAGCCGCTGCTTAAGACCGCCTCAGCGGCTGATGTGACGGCGAAGGAAGCAAAGTTGCGCACCCCTTCTCCCAAGCCGCTGCCCCCGCAGAAGGAGCATCACACCGACCCAATGACCTCGTCCGCTGCCGCCGCTGCCACGGCTGTTGCCACTGCCACGCACACACCTGCCGCAGCAAGTCTCACTCTCTCACCACCCCTACGGGAGCCGCTGATGGAGGACAAGGTCAGGATCAACGCACGCTCCCCGGCACCGCAGAGCGGGTCGGCGCAGGCGATCACCAAAACCTGGTCACCGCCGATGAACACGCACGAGAGCCCGGACCACTTACCCACAGATGCCCCGAATGTCGTTTTACCGGCGCGCAAGTACATCTACGACGTGAAGACGTGCACGTGGAGGGAGGTCGACACGATCATCCGCGTGCTGCACCCGAACCGTGGTGTGAGCCAGGGGGCGATGCGTGTGTGCTTTGTGGTGGACGACCTAGACGAGGAGGGCGCCGGCACGCCGATGGTGGCGAAGATGTTCCGCCACAACTTGGAGGGCATCGTCGAGGAGGACTACTTCAACGAGGGCGAGGCGCAGTGTATGTGCGGCGTCTTCGCTGACAAGTTCAACAAGGCCGAACTCGCAAAAGGCGTGGACCGCTTTGTGATCTCGTTCCTTCAGTGCGACACGGTGCGCATCCGCCCGCGTGACCTGCCCGAGGAGTACCAGAAGAAGCGCACCGGCTTCTTCTCGTACCGCACGACGGACACACGCGACATCATCTTCACGATGGAGCCGCGGCTGAAGGGCAATTTCACCAAGTACACGAACAACTTTGGTGAGGTGTACGAGGGCTTTGAGCAGCGGCTGGACAATGAGATGGAGCAGAAGCGGCACAAGGTACTCATGGCAGCCGAGGCCTTCTCGCATTTCACGCTGCAAGACAGCGGCGGCTCGATGCTCGTGTGCGACCTGCAGGGCGTGAATGACTTCCTGACGGATCCGCAGATTCACACGGAGGACGGTAAAGGTCTGGGCATGGGTAACATGGGCCAGGAGGGCATTGACAAGTGGGTGGAGAAGCACGTGTGCAACGATATGTGTCGTGCACTGCGCCTGACACCCCTGAAAGATCTCATGCACCATCTGCCTAAGGAACCCAACGTCGAGAGGCGAGCGAGTTACTACAAGATTCTTCGGTCTAACTTACGGAATCAGGTCCCCACTCTCCCGGAAGACTTAGTCCCGTTGCCGAAGCCGCTGTCGGAGATGACGGACGGGGAACGTCTGGACTACGCCATTCGCCTCTCCCAACTCCTTTCGTAGCTCATTCCGCTCTTTTAGTTTTCTTCTGTTTTGAACAGTCAATTGCGCCTGGAAGCTTTTCCGTAGCCGACATGATGGAAATGCTTGTCTGAGGAAAGGGAAAGGGTGGGAAACGGACGAAGACGGTACTGCGATAGTCGCCTCCTTGATGCTGAACGCAAGACAAGTACGCAGGTGTCTAAGGAAAATGCGTTGAGACAGGGAGACGAGGGCCTTTTTTTCCCTAAAAAGAAAACATCCACATCACAAAACAAAAGCGGAATGTTGACCGGGATAAACGCCACGCACGACGGTAAACGCATTCGTTTCTCTCTTCTTTCTGACCTCCGTTTCCGTTGCGATCTTATTGCACTACGGTTAGGTTTATCTATACACCTATATACTGTTTTTTTTTTGTGTTTTGCTCTGTGAGCCCTTTTACAGTCAGTTACGTCCGACTGCTACCTTTTCTGATCCTCATGTTTGTCGCTACGCCAGCGGAATGTGAAAACAACACGCTCGGGTGTTTTTCTTTTTTCCACTTTCCCTCTTTCCTCGTTGCGTTGGCGGTTAAAGAAAGAGGACAGAATGGGGAAATAAAGCGTCTTTGAAGGCTCTCTTTTTTTCTTAAATGAGTGTGCGAGTGTGTTTATTGTAAGGTCGCACTCTGATCTCTGTTTTGTACTTTGCTCGCGGAAGCTACGGACTTCACCGCAGGTGTTGGGTGAACGCCGTGTTTCGTTGGCGAAAATGAAAACTCTAAACGATGCGGATATGGTCCCTCCAATGCGCTGCACGAATTAGTGATGTTGTGTGTGTGTGTGTCTCACATGACTGTTAAGGGTGATAAGTACGCACCACAATAGCGCAGTACCAGCTCGTTGTAAAGGAAAATTGTAAAAGGAAACCGATCGGGAATCATCATCGTTGGCGCAAAGCGGCGTCGATCCCGTTCCTCGATTTCCGAAGCCGTGAAGGCCGCGACAGCGGCCACTGCACTGATCGAAAAAAAAACCCCTTGCCGAAATGTCTAACACTCTCAGGGCTGCTTGGTTTCGAACAAGGTGCCTATACACTGTTATTCGTCACTTCTCTCTCGCTCTCTCTCTCTCTCTTGCACTCCCGCTCCATCATTTCGCTTATTGTTTCTTCTCCCCCTCCCCTGTTACTGCAGATGCCTAACATAACCCAGTCTCTCTTTTTCGATTCATTAAGAGACTGCGAACGCAAACTACTTGCTCTCTGTCGTCACAAGAACAAGGAAGACACATACCGCCCATAATCGTTTCAATAATAATAATAAAATATATAGAAGAGGAAAACTCGCTGTGACTCCATAGCGTACAGCTCAGTTTTCTTCACACCGTGCGTCACCGTCGCCTGTCTTTTTAATCAACATTTGTGTTGCTTCTTCTCCGTTCTCTCTTCTGTGTTTTTCCTTTATCGTGTGTGTGCGAAACACAACGATTCTCGAACCTCTCAGGTGATGTGAGAGAACACTTCGAAAAGCACCTGTACCTGTACGCGCACACAGAGAAAAGTGTTGTCACTTCCATTTGTTTCGCAGCCTTTTCTGGGGGCCTTGTTTCTACTCCAGCGCTCCGTTTCCTAATTCCATCATTGATCTTCGCGTTCTTTCAAGTATTTGATTTCTGTCGTGCTGCATCGTACAGGCATCGCACGCATCCACACACACACACGCACACACGCACACACGCACAAACTACGAGAGGCAATTACGTACTCGTTTCTTCTCCGAGAAGTGTCTTTGCCGCCTTCTGTCTTTTTATCTATTCTCTTTATTATTATTGTTACTATTCACGCTCCTGCAAGGCCGTTTGTGTGGCTTCTTTGGCCCTCTGCTCTTTGTGAGTCCACAAAGACACGGGAGTTTCAAAGATCGGGTTCACTTAGTTTACGGTGAAGGAGTTCTGCGCGGGCAAGGGTTTTGGGTGCTTTTACCTGTTATCCGGCTTGCGTAAAAGGAACTCAGCGGGAGAACGCTATTTTTCTTTTAGCTTCTTTTTTTTGCGATATAACACCGGGATACTATTTTTTCTGGTTTTCCTGTTGGGGTGTTTTGCGAAGTGGAGACGTTGCTTTGCTCGCTGAGTGTGTGTTGGGCGTTGTGTGCGTGGGGTTTGGAGTATCGCCAGGAAAATACTTCTGTACAAGTTTCAGCGTCGCACCGACGACACCCTCGCCGAAAAGGTAGGTCATTGCACGTGCGTGTCCTTCTCCTTATCACATTGCGACGGAGCGCGTTCGATTTCGTCGTTTGCCGTTGCGTACCTTCTTCCTTGTTTCGTTGCTTCTGCCTTCTCCGATAGCTTCTTGTTGACGCCTAGCTCTTTTTTTACTGAAGTAGAAGAACAAAAAACTACATCAACCACATCATTGACTTGCCTTTCCCTTTCCCTTTTCGCTGAGCGTACGGTACTGTTCCTATTATTTCCTGTGCCTCCCGTACCGTCTTCGTTTCATTCCACGCCTTCATCTTTTTCGTTGTGCTGACTTCGTGTGGGTGCCGTGTCCCCTGCTTCCTCTTCCCGTCTCACCGTTTTCGCTTCGCCTTTTCTTTTGGGGTCGGTGTGCTTCGTTTTCTTTTTTTCCCTTTTCCTTCTGCAGCATCGTCAACGGCTACAATGTCGAAGGACATAGAAAGTAAGAAGGATTCTCCAAAGGAGGTCAATAAACTAGTAGTGGTAAAGAAGGTAAGGACGGTCGTGAAGGCGCCGATTTCTCCTGCGGCCGACAAACCCCGCAGTGCGGACAAAGCACCGACGCCCATCGCGAAGAACAACCCACTGGTGAACCAGTTCAAGAACGGTGACGCACCTCCGTCCGTTCCTTATGCCGCCATCTCCATCAAAACCGCAGCAACGGAGCAGCCGAAACCGGTGCCGCCGCCCAGCTTCGTTCCCTTGGACATGGCCATGCTGAACTCCTCAACGGAGACGGGTGACCGTCGCACCGAGACGGCGTCCAGCGGCTTCGAGTACCGCACCGACACGCAGTCGACGGAGGTGGTGCATGAGGCCGACACGCCGAACTCCTCGCTGGACTTCCACGAAGAAGAGGATGTCGATCAGCCGGTGACGGCAGTGATGATGGTAGAGACACAGTCGCAGGAGGCGGGGAAGAGGTCGCCGTCTCCTGCAGCGGAGGTTTCACGGGAGCCACCGTCGCCTCCGGCGCGGCCGCCACAACAGCAATCGATGAAGAACGACCCGGAGAGCGAGAAAGCGAGTGCGTCCGTCATTACAGGGAGTACGGATGAGGCAGTCACGGAGACCACGAACCGAAACGGCAAAGTGAAGCAGAAGCTGTTCTCCGATGCAGATAGCTCCTGCAGTGAGAACGTTTCCACAAGCAGCCCGAAGGAGGTGAACAACCCGTCGTGCAGCCTGCTGACTCTGAACGCCGCCTCTCCACTCGCGCCGCCGGCTGAGCCGACGGCACCGAAGGAGACGAACGCCACCCGTCTTGCGATGGAGTACCGTGTGGGCGACATGGCCCCGGTGCTGGTGAGGGGGCAGAAGTACGTATTTGACTATCATGACATGCGCTGGCGGACGCACGACATCACGGTGCGCCTTCTGCACCCGAACCGCGGCGTGGGTCAGGACAAATACTTCGCGATCTTTTCTGCCGAGCTGCTCGACCCGATTAAAGCGGCGGCGCCGATGTTTGCGAAGGTGTACCGCCGCAACGTCGCTGATGTGGCCGAGGCGGACTACTTCAGTCTCGGACAGGCGCAGGCGCTCTGCGAGGAATTTGCTCGCGACTACGCTCGTCAGAAGCCCCGCCCCGGCTACCCGAGGTACCGCCTGCCATTGTTGACGAATCGGGTGGTCGTGCGGCTGAACATGAAGTCCATTGCCGACCCAGCCATGCGCCGCGCGCGGAAAGGGTTTTTCTCCTATCGCACCGAAGATACCCGCCAGCTGCTGTTCTTCATGGAGCCGAACACGATTGCCTGTGCGGCTGTTGGCGCGTCCTTCACGTCGCCGGAGGTGGACAACGGCAAGTGCTACCCCCAAGGCGACCTTGCCTGGCCGCGTCAAGTCTACTCCGACATCGCTGACGGTCTCTCGCACTTCTCCTTCGTGCAGAGCCGCGGCAAGATGGTGATGCACGGCTTCCTGCACAGCAACGGCTACCTGCTCGATCCGCTTTTCCACACCACTGACCGCGAAGGCTTCCGCATGGGCGACGGTGGCAAGAAGGCGATTGATGAGTGGGTGGCACGGCACCGGTGCGGAGATACCTGCCGTTCCCTTGGCATCCGCAGCCTGTGCGAGGACACCGTCGACGTCAGCGCCGCTGCCGTATTCAATCCGCTCGCCAACACAGACAACCACTACACCGACTACCTTCGCTCCGTGCGGCAGATGCGTGTGGTCGTGCGCATCGACCTCGGCGCGCACGACTTGTCGGAGGAGCGGACGGAGGATGACTTTGACAGCTTCTCGCAGAGGTCGGAGAGCCTCGTCTCTGCTGTCGGTGCCGTGCACGCGGTGCCGGTTGCGTCTGCGTCCTTCCCGGTGACGTTGAACGCCGTCAAGTACGTCTTTCTTCCAGCGCGGGCGAGATGGGAGAAGGTGCCCATGAAGATGACAGTCCTCTCGCCGAACAAACCCGACATGGCTGATGAGCGCAGTGCGTACTTCACGATTGAGGAGGTGCACGAGGGCGCGCCGTCCATCCCGATGCGGGCGAAGTTTATTCTGCGCCATGACACAAAGGATGCGGACTATTATCACGTCGGCGACGCGTATTGCGTGTGCGTGGCGCTTGGGCAGGTCTTCCGCAGCTACCGCAAGAACGGTGTCTTCGAGCGCGAGCTGGAGTTTCGCTCGGCCTACGCGGTGCGTGTGCCGCAGTCGGAAATCCCAGAGAGCCTCAGGGCCCACATGCGCTGCGACAGCTTCTTCGCGCACACAACGGCGGACTCCGGCGATGTCATGTTTATCCTCGAGCCCACCTTCCGGTCCGACGCGCCGCCGCGCCCCGCCGGTGCAGGCGGGATGCCAAAGGACGCGCAGGGCTTCGATGACCGCGAACTGCGCCAAGTTGTGGACGCCTTTTCGCACTTCACGTTGCACAAGTCCGGCAACCACCTCCTTGTCTGCGAACTCAAGTGCAAGGACGGGCTGCTCACACGCCCGCACATCGACACGTCCAACGGCCGTGGCTTTGAGACGATCAACGACGGCGAGCGCGGCATTCGGCATTGGGTGAAGCATCACACGTGCAACCCGCTCTGCGCCCTTCTCGGCATGGAGCCACTACCGCCGCGGCTGAAGCTGTACAACATCTCCAACAATCGCCTCATGAAGTACATCAACCTTGTCCAGCAGCACACACTGCAGGAGGATGAGAAGGTCGACTTCAATCTGCCACCGCGTTCACCGTCGGAGATCGGAAGTCGCTACGCTTCGGAGCAGCGCGAGGCGAGTATGGAGAACAACGCCTCCGCTGAGCAGGCCTGTGCTTCGAACAGCACCTCGACCGCGGTGTCGCCGCTGAAGGAGGACGGTGGGCTGCTGCTGCGGCCATGGGTGCACACCGGCAAGGGCACCATCCCGAAATCTCCGGCCAAGAAGAACGGCGTGCTCGACTCCGGCCCGCGCCGTCCCCTCACGCTTGCGGATCTAAACAAGCTGCAGAGAAGGGGCATCGACACGAAGTACATCCTCCCCGCCACGAAGTACGACTACGACATCAACACCCTCTCGTGGAAGGTGAGCCGCATGTTTGTGCGCATTGTCGCGCCGGAACGCGGAATTGGGCAGGGCGGCATGCGTGTGTGCTTCGAGGTGACCGACATCGACCCCGAGGAGTGCGAGGAGACGGTGATGGTGGCGAAGATGTACCGCCGCACGATAAAGGACGTGGTGGAGAAGGACTACTTCACGGAGGTGACGGTGCAGAAGCTCTCGGCGCTCTTCGTGCGCGACTTCAACGCCGAGAAGAAGGAGGGCTGCGGCGAGTGGCTGCGTGTGCTGGGCAGCGCCGTCGTCGCCATCGAGCGGCCGGACCTCAACCCGCAGCTGCTGGCGAAGCGGACGGGCTTCTTCTCGTACCGCACCACCGACTCGCAGCGGGTCATGTTCAGCATCGAGCCGCGGCTGGAGGGGCGCTTTACCAAGTACAACGGAAACATGGGGGAGGCCTACCCAACGAACGAGAGCCGTCTGACCCCGGCCGCCGCGCGGGAGCGCACGAAGGTGTTCGAGGCTGTTGAGGCGCTGTCGCACTACTCACTCGTGAAGAGCGAGGGTGCCCTGCTGCTGTGCGACATTCAGGGCGTGAAAAACGAGCTGACGGACTTGGAGATCCACACCTACGACGGCCGGGGCCTCGGCATCGGCAACTTCGGCGCGCGCGGCATTGCGAAGTTCGTCGAGCGTCATCGCTGCACACCGGTCTGCAAGGCGCTCCACTTGGAGAACTTGCAGGATCAGAAGTTCGACGTTACCGACGAAGTGAAGCGGAACAACAAGTATGTTCGTGTGTTCGAACGCAGCAGGGAGATTGACACGATGCCGTAGAGGCATCACCGCTGCATCGGAAAACACAACTACTCCCCGTCTTCTTGCCCTTGCGACTTCCGCTAGGGGTGGCATCTGTGATGATGAGCCCTCTTTCAGTCGCACATTGTAACTCAAAACTTTCTCCACAGCATCTCATTTTTTTGAACGGCGTTGTTGGTTCTCACGTGCTGTTTTCGTTTTCCTTCCCTTTCCCTCTGTGGTTTACGTGGCGTGTTATTCCTAGTTCTCCTCGGCATCGCACACAACTTTTCCGCTAGTTTCATTATTTCGTGCTTCTGTACTGTACTTTCAGAAGCAAAGCCAAAAAAAAAAGAAAACAGGAAGGACGTGTCGTGTGCAACAGTCTCACGTGTTTAAAAGCAATGCGTGCGGCGTCTTCTCCTTGTCGACCTCAGCCGCCTACTTACAAAACCACCTTGAAATTGATGGAAAGTGATCTCTGTGCTTTTAGCGGTGCCTTTTTGTTTTTGCGTTGTGCGTCAACATCAGAACAGCCGCGTTAAATCAAAAGCAGTGTGGCACGCTTTCCTCTCTTGTGTGCTCTGGTTTTCTTTTCGGTGTTCTTCCCAACGTTCTTTTTTTTGTCGTCTGTAACACCACTTTCATCCCGCACAAAGTCGTCGTCTACATTTTCTATCTTTTTACTTCTTCACTTCTTTATAGTAGTCCTTTTTAAAAAAAGACAATCAAAGGACAATGCGGATCCGCAGCACCCGTACAACTTTATCCTTTTGTTTACTATCTCCTCCCCAACTGGGTTCTCTTTCATTTCCCATTCCTTGTAGCTTGTTGCTAGCATCTGTGTCGTCTTTTTCTTTTTTGTTTTTGTTTTTGGTACTCAAGTGCCGTCATTGCAGCGAATATCGCGTGACGCTAAGACACAGTCTAGCATGGGCAATGAAAACTAGAAGCAACGCCGTGCGTCTGGGTTGTGCGTGCGATGGAAGACTGTGGTGTGATGCATGGTAGAGGCAACAATGATTATTCGTCGTCAGCGTTTGTATTTGGAAACAACGTTAGCTGCGTGTAAAAAAGTTGCTGGTGCACTGCCACGTAGTGGTTTTTCTGCTTTCTACCGTTTTACTTCCAATTATCCATGCTTGCGCTTTCTTGCTGGCGGCAGCGTTCGTCAATGGCGCCATCGTAATGTAGCCAACGTAATCATTGCTGCTAAACTGGTTTCAGGGTTATTTTTTATATCATGGACGTGGAGGTGCCATTTTTTTTTCTTGATATCTCCTCGGATCACGCATGTACCTGGCCCTCAGGATTATCCTTCGACTGATCGTTTGCTTCCTTGCCTCTTTCACGTAATCCTTTTTTTTTAAAATATGTTCTGCGTGTTCTCTGAGTGGTTTTCGCTATCGATGTCTTCGTATTTACCCATTCGGATGGCAAAGATAATGTTGAAGAGCAACCAGGTTTTTATGTTCTCTTCTTTTCTTCTTTTCTAAACCTGGGGTTTTTGTTTTTGCGTTACGCGCCGAAAGCCTCTAATGCGTAGCGTTGTGATGGTGAGAGGTAGACATCAACAAAATCCTCGCTATTCGTTGCACACAACTCACGCAGGTTCTATCACACATAGGCGTTAACGAAGTTTCGTGGGATAGAGGGGAGAAGACTGTTTCCTTCCCTCTGCGTAGAGCTCTGAAGACTGAAAAACTTCGAATGCGCCTCTCCTGCGTGAGTCACTCGCTACTCGGACCTTCACCTCCCTGCTTTACGAGCATCAAGACATGGGAGAAAGAGACGTGTCCACGTGTATCCTTTCTGTGTTTGCAATTTTCCCTTTCGCTGAAGAAATGGTATTCCTTTTTTTTTATTTATGCTAGTGTGTTTCGTAGGACCTGCTTTTTTCCCCCTGTTTTTAAATTTATTCTTTCCGTGCTCGACTCGTTTCTCCGTGTACCCATCAAGCTATAAATTTGTAAACGTATTCTTTGCTTTTTTAGAGTTGTTGTTTCCCAAAAAAATATCTCTGTAACTCCCCCTTTTTTTTTGCTTTCTGGCGGCGGAAAAGCGGGAGCACTAAAGAAGATCTCACGGAGCCCGCAGACGTGAACGAGTGCCGTTAAACGTCGACTTCCAAAATGAAAGACAGCACGTGCCATGGCGGTCAGGTGCTCGGACGGTGTAAATCAACAGATTTGACCGGTTTTTTATCCCTCTCTGTCGATCAGGAAAAGATCGCATGCGACTCAAAGAAGCGGCTTTACGCCCTCTTCATGCGCTCAACAACATGTTTCCGTTCCACAATGAACAGGAATCGTGTACTGTTCGCCGCACCGAGACCACTGTCAAAGGGCTCTTGATACCGTTAATATTATTTCTTGTTTTGTTTTACCATGCCTTTTTGAGAGACTCTTTTTCGCCTCTTTTATTGTTCTGTTATTGTTGTGTTTATATAAGTTATTTTTTTTATTAATTTCTTGTTCTTCTGTTGATCTCACCTCGCTTCGGTTCGTATTGCAATTTCTATTTATTACAATCTGGTGTTCCGCGTAGTTTGTTTGTTTGTTGTGACACCGTGGCCGCGTTTGTCGAAGCATCGACTCTTCTCTCTCTCTCTCTCTCGCGCGCGCGCGCTCTGTGCGGCTTCCTTCTCCAACCTTAATGGATGGGTTCTGATATGCGGACAGAGTAAACGACCGGTGTTGACTTGTGGCCAACTGTGGACCTGATGTGTGGTTCACTTCGTCGCTGGCACTGCTTTTCGTGTCTGATTTTCTTATTTGTTGAGGTTTATCCCTCTCGTTTTGCATGGAACTGAAGGTTTCATGTTGAGCTTTTCAATTAAAGTTTCTCTTTTCCTTTTCTGAATCTGTGTTTTTGTTTTTCTTCCTTTGTTTTCATTTTTCCAGTTTTCCTTTTCCCTGATTCCTTTTTCTAAGAGCTTGCGCCAGGAAAAAATCGCCGGGAGATGAATCGAAAGCTTCATGTTGTACTACTATCCCTTTCTCTTCTCTCCTCTCCAGTCGACCTTTTTCCAGGAAAGGCTGTTTTCTTTTTTCCCACCGTCCCGCCCCTTTTCCAACCCCACGAGGTGGAAATGCAGACGATCTGAGTCTGCAAGAAACTCCCTTTCGTAAAGTTCTAATTGGTTCAAAAATAAATATAGAAAGAAAATAACGCCGTCTACCCTTAAAGGAAAATGAAAACGATACAGGGATGTAACGACACTGTTTTGCACTTTATTGATCTTTCTCCTTTCTCCTTTCTTCCTTCCTGATCTGAGAGTAGTCGACTAGATTTTTTCATTGCTGATGCGTGAAATGTGCCGCTTTTTGATTCTCGATACGTGTTCGTTTTTACCCTTCGTTGTTTCGTGTTTTCTTTTTTCTACATTGTTTCGTCCATTCAAATAAACAAGCAGCTTGTCCACTCCAACGCTGCGCACGCGGCGTCTGCCGTTCAGCGACATGTCTAATTCGCGGCACTTACCGTTTTGGTACTATTGGCGCGCGATGCTCCTTATTGCAGCTTCTTTGTGGGAGCTGGCGCCGGGCTTTTCGGTTCACCGTGTGCGTGTCCTCTGTCGTGTAGATTTCTGTTACCACTGGAAGAGCACGTGATGGATGCGATGAGGTGCGCGCGGAGAAACGGTTAAATAATTTTGCGGTAAGAGGTCTTTGCCGCATGTTCCTCCGATCTTGCTCCCCGAATTCAATCCACGAACAGGGTTGCGGGAAACGGCGTATTTCTCATCTACTGTTCCGGCATCGTCAAACGGCGCTTGCAAAACTCCTGCGGAACGTTAGTGGGAAAAGAGAAGGAACGCCTTTTTCAATTTTCATTTGCCTCATTCCTTTTCTCCACTACCTCTTTACCTTCTTGTTTTATTTTTTCCTCTGTCAAGCACGCGCACGCGCACACGTTAAACGCTGACTTCCAAGCCTTTCCTACTCACATCTTCTCAATTGGCTTTTGCCGCGCTGCCGTTCGCACGTTTGCGGTGATTATTCGATTTCTTGATACAACGAAAGAATTTTTTTTTGCTGTTGTGGGTGGCTTGCTGAATTGAATCATTGTTCGGCGTTTAATTCCGTTAACTCCTCTCATTTTTTTTTCCTGTATGTGTATGCATTCGCGTTTGTTTAGCCGGAATCAATTACCACAACAACATAAGCGACATATTTTCCCTTTGTCATCGTAATTTGTGTGCGTCGTGCCGACGCACTTCGTTTGGTTGAACACACGGATTCCGAAGAGCCACAACAAACGCCGTCAGCGAAAACGACACGGAATCCCTCAAGCTGTGAAACCAAGAACCCCCAAAGCGACATTTATCAGAAAACAGCAAAATGACGAACGCTGCCCCTCCCCGCGACGCCGTTCCACCGGAGGACGAATCCCCGGTGGTGTGCCCGGCCAAGAAGTACATCTTTGACCTCCGCTCCTACGTGTGGAAGGAGATCGACACTCTCATTCGAATCCCCCATCCTGCTAAAGGCATCGGACACGGTGGAATGCGCGTGTGCTACGAGGTCGACGACCTGGACGAGGAGGGCGCTGGCATGCCGATGGTGGCGAAGATGTTTCGCCGCAACATCAGCGACGTCGTCGAGAAGGACTACTTCAACGAGGGCGAGGCGCAGTGCATGTGCGAGGAGTTCGCCACTAACTTCAACCGCATCCACCTCGACTCCATGCACAAGCCGAACATCTCCTTCCTGCAATGCTACGTCGTGCGCATCCCGCGCAAGAACATCCCTGAGGAGTACCAGAACAAGCGCACGGGATTCTTCTCCTACAAGACGCAGGATACCCGGGAGGTGATGTTTGTGATGGAGCCAATGTTGAGGGGCACCTTCACCAAGTACAACAGTAACTACGGCGAGACCTACCGTGAGGACAAGAAGGCAGCGCTTACGTCGACGCAGGCGAAGCGGCGAACGGAGATCTTTGAGACGGCCGAGGCCTTCTCGCACTTCTCACTAGTAGAGAGCGGCGGTTCGATGCTGCTGTGCGACCTGCAAGGCGTGAATGACTTCCTGACAGATCCGCAGATTCACACGGAGGACGGTAAAGGTCTGGGCATGGGTAACATGGGCCAGGAGGGCATTGACAAGTGGGTGGAGAAGCACGTGTGCAACGATATGTGTCGTGCTCTGGGGCTGCAGCCGTTGCAAGGCGACGTGCGCGCTCAGCTGCAGAGCCAAAAGCCGGTGACACCGTCGCAGCTGGTGCCGCTCACGAAACCCTTAGCCGAGATGAGTGAGGCAGAACGTGTCGAGTACGCAATGAAGGTTTCCCAACTAAACTACTAAGTAATAGCATTATGTTTTTTCCGCGTTTTTAACGGTTCTTTCTAAAAGAAGAAGTTACCTCTAGAGAATTTATTGTGTTCTCTTATACATTTTTTTTTCCTCGCTTCATAGCTTGCTGTTGTGGAGATGCCCAGACCACCGAGCTCGTTGTTGCAGGGGTACGAGCTTTTCGTAGAGTTAAAACGATTGTTTTTGTCAGTGTTTTACAGTGTTGTTTGTTTGTTTGCTGTCAACATGGCTGACTCCTTCGGCTCGCTTCTAAATGTTCCAGTCTTTTCCCCTTTCGTTAGTCACTGCTACACTTAGCCCAAGCAGCTGCCGTGCACCCGCGCTTTCGCGTATTTTTCCTATCTTTCTTTTCCCGTTGTTGTTGTTTGAGCAGCGCAGATTTCAATCGTGGGCACTTGAAGCGGAAATTCGGGTACTGAAGTTACTGGGGTGCTGTTAACAAAAGAGAGCTGAGTTGTGTTCCGCGTTTTTGAGTGGAAAACAACCCACGAGTCGACTTAACGTTTCTTGCAGTTTATATAGTTTTTTCTTCTCCGTTGCTAGAAGTGGTGGTTTATGTTGTGTAGTCTATAGTGTTCGCATCGGAAAACGCAGAAAATCGGTTTGCGTGCTTTGCTTTTTCCTTTCTTTCCTAATTGGTCCTTTTGATTTCGTTGCGCGTTCCCCCCCTTTTTTTTGCTCTTTTGGACGAAGACGATGGCGATCTCTTAGCAGACGTGCTTGCTGCGGTGTTTCATTCGCATTTATCCAGGAGTCTTACGACGAGTTTTGTTTTTCTACGTTTGTTGTGTGAACGTTGTGCAGCCGTCGTTGGCGCCATTCTTTACAGGAAAACACATCCATGTTACACCGGACTGCTTTGTGGTGTGCATGTGGCGCTCCTCTGCAGACTTTGTGCTCTAGTCGTGCGGTGTTCTGTAGTACCTTGAGGCAACTACACTATTGATGCCAAAGTGCGTCTTTCATCAAACGCTGCTTGTTTGGATGCACCTGTGTGTATGTGTGTGTGTGTGTGCGGGTGTCCTCTCTGCTTTTCGGTACGCTAATGCGTTCCTGCTGCAAGGCTGACGCGATCGCGTTGTGTTCGCCTCCTTTTTCGTTGCCACACCTTCCCAATCTCCTTACCCCCCCCCCCCCCCCGCTCCTCGCCCGTCCATCAAATGTACACTGCCTCTTGTCATTAGTGGTTTTGTTGAACTTACTCGCGTGCTGCCACCGAACTCCAAAGTTTTTCTTCGAGATATTAGATGACCAACTGTCCAAAATAATCATTTTGTTGCTTTGACGTTTACCTTCCTCACCCTTTCCTTGTTTTTCGATTTACCTTGCGTCACCGCTAGATCTTTCTCCTCTCCGTCTCCTGTGCGAACGAGATTCTTCTTCACCCTTGTGTTCTCTACATCGCCATTGAAAGCAACAGGTGGCAAAGGCGTATTAGCGAAGGGAAGCAAATAAGAAACAGCACTACAGTTACTTTTTTTTGTTTGAAGCCTTCTTCGATATCCTGAGCTCCAGTCTTTCACTGTTTAAAGAGGTGGTGATTGGTATATCGAGGGAAGGAAAAGTACCATTATTTCAGCTGATTGAAGTTGTGATACGTAGAGGCTGTCAAACTGGCAGAGGAAGAGAGTAGAGTAGTAGAAAAAGAGAGGAAAAAGAGGGAAGCGGTGCTTGAACCAGGTTTTCCGTGTTTTTCTCACTAACAAGTGACCCAAAACACGTTTATCCAGCACATTCTCCCTCTTCAAATCACTTTTCCTTTTCGTGTGTGGCACTTGACGTCATCAACGGACGCATCCACTGGGACTGCCTGTTTGTATTTTTTTCTGCACATTTGTTTTTCTCTAGCCCTTTTGTTTCTGCAAGATGCCCCCGACTATGTCTAACCAAACGATGGAGAAGGAGCAGCTCGCAAGCATTGTTCGCCGGCTCATGATTGACGCAGACGACTTCTTTATACAACAGCAGAAGACACTGCAGCTGTCGTACGCGGAGTTAAACAGCCGCATTGATCAGCTGCGGAGACGCGTGCAGCACCACCAGCAGCAGCAACAGATGCCGCAAGTCAGTGCCATGAGTGCCAACAACGGGTTGTACAGTAACACGAATCCATCTCCCTTTTCCATGACGCACAACTTGCCAAACGCCGATATGCTGGGCACGTCGGGCACGGGCCAGTCTGTGCTTTGTGGCGGCGGGTCCGGGTCTATGAACGTCAACGCGACTCCTCTGCGCACCACGAGCGGCGGGTCGCAAGGGTACGGCACGACGAACAGTGCCGTGAACAACGGGGCATCACGCTCGCTGCTGGATAGTCTCAACGGGCCGTCGGCGCTGCTCGCGATGAGCGACGCGGCGCTCGAATCTGGCCGGTTGAACTCTGCCACCGGCGGCACTGGGGGTGGTGGTGGTGGTTTCATGAGCAGAGCGACCGCCACCAACGGGAGTGCATTGACGAGCGGCGGGCGCGGCGCGTACAAGGTGGAAGCCATCACCCCACCGAATAAACAGCTGGCTTTATCACAATCCACCAGCAAGAGCCCTAGCATGTCTCAGCAGCAGCAACACCAGCTGCATGCCGCGGCAGGGCTGATAAACGGAGTTGCCGTCTACGACGACCCCATCACGGGGGAGTACACCTGCACCGCACAAAGCAACCCCAACGCCAGCAGTAGCCGCCACGACTCCCTCATGGCCTCCCCGCAGACGACGGAGAAATTCTCGCTGGAGGAGTTCATTGGGCGATTCAACACGACCACCGCTAGCGTGAACGCCGCTTCCACTGCCTTCAATTTTGACTCCTTGTACGAGCAGCTCACGAGCGGCGGTCCGGAGGAGTCCTCGCAGAGCCCGCTGGACTACACCGACAATCTCGTGGGGCCGGAGAAGTATACCGCACACGCGGCGTCGCCGTACGACCGTTCAAGCGGCGGCGGCGTGACTGATCGCGACGGCACGTCACCCGACGCCAACGCCTTCGGTGGCGTGACGGCGAAGAACAGCATCCCGGTGGACAGCCTACGCGCGGTGCACGACCAGCACCTGACGACGAGTGTGCGAGTAACGTACGAACAAGGTCGGCCAAAGGTGCGTCGCATTCCCGGCGGTGCGGCGGACACCCCTGAAAGCCTTGGCATCAACCCGCGTAGCAGTTGTGAGGTGCTGGTTGAGTTTAAGCGCAAGCGCGTGCTGCAGTACGAGTCGCACGAGTACGTTGCGCCCGGCAGCTACGTCATCGTAGGCGGTGACCGCGGCGAGGATCTCGGTCTTGTCGTGTATGCGTGGTGTGAGGTGTCTCTGGAAGGCAGCAAGAGCGGCAGCAGCAGCAGCGGCATCTTTGGGGCGTCGGAGCACAACATCTCTGGCGCCGGCAAACAGAAGGTGGTGGGCGTCGGTCTGACGGATAGTAAGCTGCCGCGCAGCATGGGCGTGGGCAACGGCACGGTGCTACGTCTCGCCTCCGACGTTGACGTGCAGCAGCTTCTTGGCACGCAGGTGGAGCTGGAGCGCCGCGCCATTGATGTGTGCGCGCAGCTGGTGCTGGACCACTCGTTGCCCATGGTGATCGTCGATGCAGAGTATCAGTTTGATAAGAAGAAACTGACCTTCTTCTACGAAGCGCAGCAGCGCATGGATTTCCGCGAGCTCGTGCGTCACCTGTACAAGACGTTCCGCGCGCGCATTTGGATGGAGCTGGTGGATGCGTAGGTGCGTAAGAAGGTGGAGGAGGATAAAAGAAACAAACAAAGGAGATAGAAGCCAAGTACGATGGAATCAGTAGATTTAAGCAAATAATGAGTTTTAGTTGTGTATCGTTAACCGCACTGGCACAATAGGATCCTTTTTGTTGGTTCAAAAAGTATGTGATGCCTTCTTTGGTTTGCGGGAAGCGAGCAAGATGCGCGTAGAGGAGAAAAGCCGCGCGGACGGAAAGAAGAGGTAGCACTTGTCCGCTCGGTGTTCTTTGTTTGTTTCGATGGCCTTTTTCCTCCTTTTTCTTAGTTTGCACGAGCGTTTTAAAAGTCTTTTGTATTCATTTTTTCACCTACGCGAGGAAGGTACCTGCTGATATTTGTTTAGTTTGTTTTCTCTGGTATTTCTCGTAGAGCTACAATAACTTTCACGCCATCAGGTTAACTCCTTTTTCTGTTGTTTTATTGATTATCGTTTACCACACACATTCACTTTAGTATATATATATATATGAGTTCTTTTTCTTATGTTTGCCCAGTGTTATTTCGAAGAAAATCTATGTTTAGATGCTTTCATTTTTGAAAATATAATTCTTACGATTGAAAGATGACGCCTTGTGGTATGTTTGTATGTATATGAATGTGTGCGTGTGTGTGAAATTGTACGGGAAGACATTCCTCTTTTTTTGCTCCGTTTTGCAGGCGGAAAGGTGGGGATTAGATACAAAAGCAAACGGCTTGTAGAACTGCAATGATGATTGTTCTCCTTTTTTGTTGTTGTTCTTTGCGTGTGGGTGGGCAACAAATAAAGCTGGCGGTGGGCTGCAAGCATGTCGTGTAGCAACACTTTCTTCATCTTGGATATTTTTGTTTATTTTTTACTTCCTATTTGTTAACCCAGGTTGAGGTGATATATGTAGATGCTAACCGATGAATAGAAATTTCTTTTTCAGCTCAAAAGATACGAGTGAAGAAAACAATATCCAAAATTGCCACTCTCTGTCGTTCTTCGCTGCTGTGCGCTTTCGCATTGTAGGAGAGAGAACAACAGTAGACGTGCTGCCGCTGGACGCTTTCTGGGACCAAAAGAAGAAACGACAAGAAAACGCTCGACGCGCATTTTTCACCTGTCGTTGTTCACGCGTTCGTGCCGCAATGATCTGCAGCGGCTACCTGACGCACCTTCTTTTTTTTTTCCACTGAAGGATGGTGCCGTATATAACTGTTTTGTTTTGTTTGTAGGATGCCATGGATGTATGTGTGTGTGTGTGTTTCATTGTACAGAAATAAATCTAATGGATGATGCAATTTGTAGTTGAGTTAAGTATCGGCGTGGAAGTTGTGCGACTGTAGTTAGCCCCTGTGAAAAGAAACGAAAAAAAATCAGCAAAAAAGGAAGCCGCGGGAGGAACAGAGAACACGTTGATCTGAGTGTGGTCACAGCTAATGACGAAGGGACGTCATGCGGGAAGGGGGGAGGGGGTGACTTGCTGACTTCATTTGGGTAAATTGCTTTATCGCTTTTTTTTTTTCAACCCTCACCATAATTCGGCATCGTTTGCAGTGAAGTCGAGCATGCGCGATCACGAGCGTTCAAAAAGGGCGCCTAATGATGGTGCTGGGCACATCAATACGTTGTGTCTTTTTTTTCTCTCTAAAAGACAATAAGAGCTGTGGCCAGCCTTCCTGCACTGTGCATCTCAACTTTTGAGATACGATGCGGCTGAGCTCTGTCTGTTCCACAAAGTGTCGCTTTTTCTCTTTCTCTCTTGTTCTCCTCCTTCAATCGAGTTTGCAAACTGCTTCCATCTTTCGCTGAAACATGATGCGAAGCGCCCAGCCGATAGACGCGGTGAGGATCTTCTTTGATACACTTGGTGCATGACGAGACCACCGGAAAGGGTAAATCTCCTTCGGAATGTGCGCAGCGTCGACATCACGCTTCTCCACCGGGCTTCAGTTTTCCCGCAAAGATCTGCAAAGTGAGAATACGAATGATTCTGTAGGCGGCCACGCAGCAGGCATCGAGATTCCACTCCTCTCTGAAGAGGAACACCTGGCGCGAAAGGCGACTGCACTTCGCCGGAGCATTGCCGAGACGCTGCAGCCTCGTCTCGATGTGGTTGACGACGCACTCCGCAGCGTTCATCGACAACTTTCTGTGCTGCGACAATGCCTTCCTTCTCATGCCTTTATTGCTTTTCGAGAAAACTGTGACGTGTTGAGACGCCAGCTGCAGCTATTTGAGGAATTGACGGTGCAACGGCTGCTGAAAGAGGCGGCAGAGAAGGCGGTGGCGATAGGCGCGTGTGAGGCATCTCATGTCGCACGGTGGAAGAAGTCGAATCAGTGGCCTGCAGTCTCGAACTTTGTGGAGCTGCAGCTCTATCTTTCTCTCAAACCGGTGAGGTTGTCGCCGTCTGCAATGGAGATGGCTGGGACCAACAATGCTGCCGCGGCAACGACGTCGGCGATTCAAAAGCAACTGGCAATACTCTGGTGTGAATGGCAAGATAGCTTCCAGCGCCATTCCTTCCTTTGCCGCTTTTACTCGTTGAAAGACGTTTTGTATGGTTGGGGACGAGGGTGGCGCATGGGTCCCCCGTGCACAGGGGAAGACGACAGCAGTCGAGCAGACCGGCGTTCCCGTGGCAGCGAAGCAGCAAACAGCAGTGCTGTAACTGCGAGATGCCTTTGGGAGAAGTGGGAAAGCCTCTCGGCCAACGATCGTCTGATGAGCTTCGCATATCTATGTTCGCTGCACTTAACGGAACCGATCGTGTCGACGCTGGAGCAGGCTCTGGTGACTGAGTTCGCCGATGTGTGGAGCGTTGTTACGGCTACATTGTGACGTCAATGCAGTTGGCACGCGTTTTTATTTTTCCCTGGGCTTCCATGTGTGGTGGTTCTCCTCCTCAACTCCGTTAATCCCTACCCTTCCTCGCCCTCTTCTTTTGTACACACCGGGCAAATCGATGCAAATAGTCGGTTATTATTCCCTTCCTTTTTTTTGGCGCTCGTGTGGTGCTGCTCTCCGTATGCGACCCATTCCGTCGCGGTCTCGAGGACGTCGCTCTTGTACTTGTCAACCAGCAGTTTGCTGCACATACACTGGAAAAAAAGAGAGAAACATTGTTTCGTTGTGATGACATCGGCCCATGCTGGCTCATGTGAGCCTCTAGTCGAGGCTTCACATCAGCCGAGAGAAGTGTGTAGTTACATACAACGATTTCCATCGCACACCAAAGCGAGGTGTATGTATTCGCCACAGCATCGCAAGTTGAAAAGAACGCTGGCGAGCGTTATTCTCCTTCAGCTCCGATTCTATTTCTTTTTCTCACGTCATCCATCTTATTCGTGCTGTCTCCCCGCAATGCCTCTTTCCACATTCATCATACCAAGTACAACCTTCTGTGTGTGTCTCACTCTCACCAATACATTTGCGGCTTTATCTTTGGAGAGTTTTCTCTCAATTCCTCCTTAGCATGTCCACTCAGTCAGAGCAGGAGCAGGAGCACGCAAGCCCCGTTGCGGCGCCATCGCAAGCGCCAAAAAATGCCTGGGTTGATGACGAAGATGCCAAAGCAGAGCACGCCGTTCCGGCCTTCTTGAAGGAGAGCACGACGAAGCCTTCATGGGCCTTGAGTGACAACGCACGCGCCTTGGATCTGCAGTCGGACGAGTACGCAGACGCCTCTCCACAGCAACGCCGCGCCGCCGATGCGCTGGCACGCAAACGCTTCCGCAGTGAGGACCTTGACACCCTCCTCTCGCGCAAGGAGCCGCTGCTGTCCTCCAAGCACGACCGCCCGAGCAGCAGCGTGCCGAAGGTGCTTTCTGTCCTCCCGCTGCCCCGCGATTCGGCGCGGACCATTCACTGGCACAGCAACGGCCAGCTTGCTATCGTTGGTGGCAACCATCACCTCTACGCTTTTCACGCGGCAGGTGGCTTTGTGGAGCAGCTGTCGAAGGTGGAAGTCGGCAAGCGCGTGGAGACGACGGCGCTGTCGGATAGCGGGGAAGAGGTACTGATCGCCGCTCACGAGGCTTACGCCCCGCTACTGATGTCCATCGCAACGGAGCAGCTGATACCGCTGACGTTTCTCGATACGCGCGACACCGCCGTACACCGCAACGGGCGCCGTGACAACGTGCGTCACGAGTTGTTTATTACGAAGCTGGCGTGCAAGCCCAACGACCCGGTGAGCAGAGGCGTCGCCGTTGCTCGCGGGTCCACCGTCACGCTCGCCTCGCTTTCCTCCGGCAGTGTTCTGAGCCACATTACGGTGGATGCGCCGATCACCGACGTGAACTTTGTCTCCGCAACGGAGCTGGCGATTGCGACACGGAATAAGGTACTGCTGTACGACGTGCGCAGGTCGAACCACTTCACACGTGAGCTGACCCACGAAGGCGTTCTGGACATCACCGCGTGTGCCTTCACAGGAAGCGGTGGTGCGGCCCGCACGCGTGCGATAGCGGTGGGTTCGGCCAGCGGTGTGGTGAGCGTGTACGACAGCACCACGTTGCGCTCTGCCGCTGCGACGACGGGAGCGTCCACGGTAAGCCGACCGCGGTTAATGCGCGAGCTGAAGCAGCTGGTGACGCCCATCTCATGTCTCTGCTTTGGGGAGAACAGTCAAGGCGACTCGGTGCTGGCCTTCGCGACGGGCGGGCAGAAGGGCGGCTTTCGTGTGGCGCGTCTGCCGGAGTTAAACGTTGTGCCGTCGTTCCCGGCGGTATCAACGCGGCATGGGTTTGTGCAGAGCATGACGATTGCACCGACGGTGCCGATATTGTCCGTCGGTGAGCGTCAGAAGGTGACCAACTACGCTTTGTGAGGTTTGGGAAAAGAAAAGGAAAAGGTGGGTTTCCTTCTTCGCTCGTGAGATTCAAGCGCCGGGGCGTGCCTGCACGAGTGGTGAATTGGCATTTTTTTTACAGCTCAGTTATGGGAGAAGCCGACTGGCTCTTTTGTGTGTGTTTCTTAAGAAAACTGTGGCCCCGACAGCCGTTGGTTTAATCGTATAATGACGACGTTAATTGCTAAGACAGATAAACGAATAACTCAAAACGGAAAAGCGGTTGAAGAGCACGTTCGAGCAAGTCAACGACGTGCTGGCTTCTGTTTTCACCCAACGGCTTAATAAATATATTTAAACACATGAGGTGTCTGTATCGAATGGGCAGCTGTTCGGCGACATAAAGCGGCTATTGGAAAGGCAACAATCGTGAACGAAAGCATCGGCGGTTTCAGCAGGTGCGATGTTATGTGAGTTACGTTCAAGCACTCGAGGAGAGTCGTACCTATTGATTCTAGAAAGCGCTCTTTCTGTGACGCTCGATGATCCGTGTGGCCGTATCGTATTGCTCTTGAAGTCTATCATGGAACCGTGGATTATTTCCTCCACTCCTCCCCTGTCAAAATGGCGTGTGGTGTTTTGGTGGATGCCAGAGTCCTAGCGTAGGTGCATTCTTTGCACATCAACAAGACCATCATCAACGCAACTGCACCTCGTGCAGCTCGTAGCAGGCACAATTTCCGTGAAAAAGTGAGTCAGCTCCCTTGTGATTGGACTTTCATCATGCCGGCTTCGAAGCCGGTACTCCCGAGCGCGGCCGTCAAGCCCGCATCTGAGCCACCGAGAAACACCGTGGACTACATCCCCAGCAAACTGAGCTACGACACGGCGATCCCGATATCTATTTTTGAGGACCGCAGGGAGTTCGTTGAGCGCTGCAAGCCGTACGACATCATCGACGGCCCCAACCCCCTCGATGACGTGCACGAGGAGACTCAGCACCACAGCGCAGACGTCGTGAGCTGCACATCCGTTGACACCATCAAGTCTAAAAAGTCCTCCACGCGTAGTAGCCGCAAGCGTTCGCGGTCGCCTCTCAAAGGTGGTGTGAAAGCGTACTCGGTAAAGGAGGAAAGCGACCGCGATAGCAGCACAGCAGCGGCGGCGCCCACTTTCCCTGTCTTTACTCGCCCGTCGCGTAGTGGCTGGGCGGCGGAGCAGCTGAGAGATGGCCGTCCGTATCAACTGCTGCGCTCTCGCGATATGGAGACACACGTGCGCTACGTGTTGGACGACTACGACTATGACTGGTGTGCCGCACAGAAGCTGCTGCCGGAGGTGGTGCAGCGCGGGATTACCTACCTGGAATGGGCCTACGCGTCATCGCTCTTGACCGCCGCCACGCCACACCTCGACGACCCGGCCGTAGAAGCGATGTCACCGTTGACCTCTTCTGGCAGCATCGCCGGTGCTTCAGCGGAGCAGCACAACGGCTCCGTGCCCGCCTTCAGAAACGCCGGCACCAGCGGAGGCGCACGCGGGGAGGCGAACGGTGCAGGTGTCTTTTCTCCTACCACGAATGCGATCGCACGTTTGAATCAAGCGAAGCGCTCGAGTGAGCGCGCGAAGCAGGCGGCGGCGGCCAACGCGTCAGCGTTTGCGTGTGCGCTGTGCTCTAAAAGCGTCTACTTGCTGTCGCAGCAGCCAAGCTCAGACGGTGCAAGTGGAAACGGTGGAAGGGGTGCTGGTCGAGGTCGCGGAGGGCGGGGCAGAGGCGCCGCGGTAGCACGTGAGGTTTCTGGTTCAAAAGCCTCCTCCCATTCCTCCGCCGCGGGTTCGAGCGGCGCGGCATCGAAACATTCCACCGCCGGCAGCCCCGCGGGGTCTTTTCCCTCGCACGATGTGCAGCATCAAGGACTGCGGTGTTGTGAGTGCGGCGTCGTCGCGCATCTGCGCTGTTGGTTTCTAACCGAGCCGCCGCGGCTGCCGGAGGCATGGACGTGCGATGCGTGCACCAACTACGCACAGCACCGTAAGCGCAGCGCCGGTGTGTGTTGCGTGTGCGGTCGTGTGGGCGGTGTGCTGCTTCCTTACGTCAGCGCCGCCGCGGCTGTGAAGGACGAGGGCGAAAGCAGCGGTAACAACAACAGCAATAATCACATGAGTGGCGAGCCGTCGTCGCAAATGCAGTCACCCATGCACGGTGGGCTCAGCGCGACACCGGTGGCGCAGTCGGACATGGTGTGCCACGCTGTGTGCGCCTTGACCATGCCGGAGCTGAGCATTCAACACAAGAGCACCGTGCTGCGGCGCAACGGACTCGTTAATATGGAGGAGCGTCCGTACGTGTACGCGCTGCGGCGCGTCGGGAAGCAGAAGTACGCGATGCATTGCATTTTCTGCGAGCACGGCGGCACCGGTCGGTGTGTGCAGTGCCACCACCCGCACTGCTTCGAGGCGATGCACGCCTCCTGTGCGGCGGAGGCGCACACCGTGGACTGCCACACCGACGTTTCCTTGTCCCCATCCACCATGTATCCGACTGGCAGCGGCGTGCATGGTGCGACGGTGGAGGCCATCAGTGGCCCGTGCTCTCCTGGGGGCTTTTCGCTTCACAACAACGGTGGCACTGGTGGGGCAGCGGGTTTGACGGCGTGCTGGACGAGCTGCTCCACCTACTGTAGGAAGCACTACGGGTACTCGGTCAGCAACTCGGCGGGTTCGGCCGCCCTGGGCGACAAGGCGGAGGCCGAGGCGCTGGCGCTGGATCTGACGGGGCTGTTAACGGGAGGGGACGGCGTGACGTCACCGGTGGTGCAGAAGCGCGGCCGTGGCCGACCGCCGGTGATGCTCGTGCAGCAGCGCGTGGCGGAGCGGGACCTAATCGAGCGGCTGCACGCCTACTGGCTCGAGCGTCGCGAGCAGCGGCGGCGCTCCTCTGGGCAGCTTGTCAGTGAAATCAACGCGCGGCTGCGGCACGTCGTGGAGGCGGCGCTGCGGCCTGAAATTGTGAAGGTGTCCGCAGACAAGGTGCGTCTCTCGCACTTTTTGAGTCTCGTGCCGGAGTGGCAGTGGCAGCTCGTGGCGATCGTGGAGGGGGAACTGCCGCTGCCCGACGAGGAGTACGATGACGTGCAGAAGTACCGGAAGGTGGCGCACACGCGACGCTCCGGCAACACCCGTAGTCTGTACGATCGCATGTCTGTTGCAGCCACGCAGTTGAATCTGATGTGCCGCATTACGACGGCCATGACGCACGAGTGCCAACTGCGGCGCACGAGCGCAGAACTGGAGCTGGACTCTCTTCGCAAGCTGTGTATGTGGAGGTGAGGGAGCTGTCGAAGGGAGAGCAGCATGCGCTGCTGTGGTGCGCTGAGGCTCGTGAAAGAAAGAGGCCGCCTACGTTTCTTCTTGTTCGTTCTTTTCCTCGTACAGTTACAGACAGTAATGCGCTGTGGGAAATATATATATATGTACAGAAATGAAGTGAGAGCTCTTTTCGAATAGCTGCTACGGCGCACAAAAGCGTCGTTTCTCGGACCTTTTTATGTGCAGCATTTCATGAAGCGTTGCAGCACACACGAATGAGGGAAGAGGAAAACTCGCATTTGGGGTTGCCATCCACTTCAGCCAACTGACGTTTAACTTCAAACCTGCCGATCTTCTCACCTCTGCATCAATTTTGTTTCTTTTTTCTTTTTTTTTCTTCTCTTTCTCGCCATTCGTTGGGGTTGTATGTGTGTTGCAGTGAAGAAGGTCTGTCACGCCTCGTCTGCGTCCCGTTGCGCCGCTGCGACGTGTCGCCTCGCGTGCGGAAGAGGACGTAGGGTACCGCCGCAAACATTAGGCATTATGCGCGTACACACGTACCACAAACATGCGGTGCAGCGCAACAGCCCGTTGCTGCACGCCCTCCTTTCTCTTCATGCCATCTTCTCCGTCTGCTACTCAGCCCCCATCTTTTTCACCTTTCTCGGGCTTCGATGGCAGCGGCAGAGCACCACCTCGACCCAGAGGACGTGGATGATCTGCGTTCTGGTGATTTGGTTCTGTGCGGAGCTGGGCCGCCTTTACCTTGGCAGACTTGCGAACCGACAAACGCTGTTCGGCGAACTGATTGGATTTCTTAGCATGACCATCGTTCCTCAGATTGTGCTCATGGGGGTACTGTTTGGTCTGCTGCCTCAGCGCAATGACCTGGAGTACGGCGTGTGTATCACGCAACTCATTCTGCTAGGATTGGAGTTCCTGACTGCGACCCAGCTGTTAGTGCGCATAACGCGCAACAACGTCATCGACTTCTACGTCGCTCTTGGGTCTCCATACTCCCAGTAGCTCTTCCAAGAGGCGTCTTCCACGGTACCCGCTGCTAAAATTTTCAAAGAGGATTTGCTTTCGTGGTTGGTGTTGATGACATAGAACTTGTACAGTTTCCCTCTTCCTTTTTTTTTTCTGTTGACATGTGCTGGTTTGAACGGTGTAGAGGGTATTCCTATTGCCGTCATCGATAGATATTCTAATGCGAATGAAAGTACTAAACTCACCCTTACCTCACTGAGCAACACTAAAAGCGCTTCAACTGCTTAAAAGTGCTGAAGCCGCCTGCATCGAAGTCCGCGCAAGTGTTTTTGCTCACCGCAACGATGAAATGTGATGACTCCATCTCTATATTAACGCGCCCTCTCCCATGGTCGTGAATATACCCCTTTTACTTATCCCGCACCGTGTTGTGCTCTCTGATTTATCTTTTGTGTTGTTGCGAAGCAGCAGCGTTAAAGTCACGCAACGTCTAGCGGGCACGCTTCCATTGCTACTCACCTAACAACAAGAACAACCAGACGGACGACGACACTTCGACATTGAAGGTCGCAGGCTCGCAAAATGGACCTTTCGCATGAATTGTGGACCCTTGTAGAGACGACCCGTCAACAGAAGAGCTCAGGCGCCCCTTTTTCCCAAAACAGCACCTTGCAGACGCTCTCCATCCCCCTTGAAGAACAGCGGACGAACGCATCTCTCCTGAGCACCTCGCAAACCTTGGACGAGGCAGCTGTCAACGCCATCTCGCGCGCGTCTGCCCACGTCCGCTCTCTTGTCGTTGCGTTAGACGCGGCCACCCCCAGCTCTACTGCCCACCTGCAAAACAGTCTCCTGCTCTCCGATGCGGAGCTCTTGTCGGTAAGCAGTTCCTTGAAAGCGTTTACGGAGACGCTTACCAAAATCAACGCTCTTGCTGCCGCCGCAAAGCGCAACGACAGAAGAGGGAAGAAGACGGAAGGAAAGCAATCAAGTCAAAAGTCGCTGATGGAGGAGGCCGAAATGGGAGATGCGGGGACGGGAACCGGTCTAGTCGCGCATCTCCAGCAGGCGGTCCGCATACAAGAGCAACGTGTGGCCTCCAAACGCCTGCAGGTGGCGCTCGCCAAAGAGGAGCTCGCGCTGTACAAGTCGGAGCTCTTCCTCTTTGGCCATTGTGGAGTGCTCTCGTGCTCCGACGCGGTGGTGGCGGAGCTGACCCACTATCAACCACCGTCCTCCTCTGCCTCACCTCCTTCTCCGCGAAACGACGAAAGATGGCGTCGGCCGCTGGATGAGGAACACGTGCGGCGGCGTGGAGTCCCGTCTTCGTCGTTCTCCGCTTCTCTGTCGAGGCCGTCACGGTCAGGGTTCGGCACGACATTTCGTGTGGTGGACGGCATGATGCAGAAGGCGGCGCAGACTGTCAAGGCGGCGGGCAACCACGCCGACTCGGCGTTGCATGTGGCGCTCACAGGGAGCCACATGGCGGCGCGGCAGCTGTTGAGCGCCGGAACGTCCTCGGTGGACGGTATCGTAATGATGGACGCTGATGTGGACCGTAGACGAATTTCTTCAAACGCCGCAGCGGAAAGCTCCACAGCTCTTTCGACAAAGACTGGTGTCGGTGCAATTCAGCTGCCGCCCTTTACGCACGATGATCTAACGAAAGAGGAAGAGGCACGATTGCAGGAGCAGAGTCAGGCGCTGCTTCAACTGCAGAACGAGGCCACTGCCCAGGATGCGAGGGCCATCGAGATGTCGATTCACGAGTTGTCGCAGCTGACGTCCCTCATGAACGAGCAGGTGATGCAGCAGACAGAGCAGTTCTCTATTCTGGTGCGAAACACGGAGGCAGCGCACACCAACGTGCAAAAGGCGGTGGGTGAGGTCAAGAAACCACTGCGGGCCTTCTGGAACCCGACGCGGCAGCTCATTGCCTTGCTTTGGGCTTGTATGGCTGTGCTGCTGGCAGCGAACCGACTTTTGCGCTGAGAAGGTTTTTTTCCCTTTCTCCGCTTCGCTTTGTGCGCTGGATCGATATGCTTTTGTTAGCATGTAGGTCGTGTCAACGGTGCAAGTCTGATGCTGCAAGACTCACAATGGCAGAAGAAAACAGCGGAAAAGCTGAAGAATGTGCCTTTTTTATTGATTCAATTCGACTGTGGAAGAGGAACCGCAGAGAAAGAGACACCCGAGGGATACAAGTTTCCATCCACCTGGATAGCAACAAGGAGAGGTAAGTCGAAGTGCTGAACAGTATTGGCGTGTGGCTCTTCTTTTTTCTACTACATGTAGCAGCACTGGCGGAAGATGGCCTTTTTGTTGTTGTTTGTCTTGCTTAACAGCACCCATGTTATTCTGGCGTACCAACGTCGCATTTACTTCTCGCTTTTCATCTCTCTTCTCCTCCTTTACTCCGTCTCTATCACTGCGTAATAATAATAATAATAACATTAATAATTGTTGATTATTGTGCTTTCCTGTTGCTCTGCATCTGCTCTGGTGAAGTTTCTCTTGTTGTGGTGGTGGCTCGTGTTACTTTTTGCTCTTGTGCACCCCCCCCCCCTCGGGCCTCTGCTGTTTGCTCGCAGGGAAGCTTCGTCTTTTGTTCAGACGGACAGAAAACTCGCAGGGAGGAAACACACACAGTCTCAGCTTTTCTTGTAGATTACTTTCCTTCTCACCCCTCGTCAGACCTGAGCCATTCTGTCGGCGACAAGAAAAGGGCTCTCCGCTGCACTCCGCGGTTGCAGCTCGTGAATTCAACTGCATATATGTATTGCAGTTTAAACGGACAGTGTAATTGTGAAGCACGTATACGCCCAGAATTGATCAGGAAATGTGGGTTAACGCGGCTCTTCGGTACACCTCGTGCCGGTCACGCCACACAGCTGTGGCCGCAGCGCTGACATCCGTCGCAGCTCGTCGTTGTCTGTCCACCAGCGATGGTGGCGGTCCTTCCTCGACTGCAGCGAGAGTCACGGCTTCGCCTGTCTCGGTACCACCCGTACAGAACACACAAAAAGAGAGCCGATTCACGCGTACAAGTGCACCGAGCTCAACGCCAATGCGCATGACAGCGGGCCTCGGAGACGCAAGCACCGGCACCGCACACGCGGTGGGCACTGCTGCTTTTCCGAGTGTCGAGGACAACACCGCGCACATCCCCTACTCGCCGAACATACGCTCGAACCGCATGCTCGTGATGTACTTGCAGCGGGTGCAGACGGTACTGCGTCGCAACCGGCGCCCTTCTGTGGAAGCGCTCAGTCGATGTGAGCTGAACAAGATCCTGTTCCCAGCGATTAAAGGCGTAGACGTGCCGACGGTAACTCTGCTGCTGCAGACGTTGCAGATGGCTGACGTAAGCGAGACGGCGCCAATTGTACAAGACGCCGTGGCATGGTTCAGCCTCTACGGGTATAACCTCTCCCTGCCGAAGTTTATTAAAGTGATGGCGCTCCTGCACCACTTCAACGCCCCTCTCGTGAAAGACTGGATTCAATCGGTACCGCAGCGGCTACCTTCGCGGGATGCAACGTCGTTGACGGCCACGCAGGCGGTCACCGTGCTAACGGCTGCGCTGCCCTGCCTGCGGTTCCCGACCGTCGAGGAAACGGAAGGTGGGTTGAAGGAAGCGGAGGTTGCTCCGGCTGCTGCAGCCCTCGTGGAGCTGGCGGAGCTGCTGCGGGAGCAATGTAAAGGGGCGGAGTTCGTAGCCTGTGGTGCTTCTCTCATCGCGGATCTACTGCGTGCGTTGTTGACTTTCAAGGCGTCTCGCGAGTGGCCTTGGGCACGCAACAAGAATGCCTGGTTAGCGTTGGAGGAAGCAACGTGCTTGATACTCGCCACGCCGTCGCAGGCGGATACGATGGAGGTGGCGACGGCCGTCCGGCTGCTCACAGCACTCTCGGACGTGGCACCACGAGGTCAACACGACGCTGATTCTGGCGGGGCAGCAGATGCGACTGCCGAGGCGGAAGAGCGCCTCGCGACAGTGCTAACACAACGGTTGACGACTGCTGTGGAGGCACTGCAGAGTGTTGCGCCGGTTGCCGCTGCCACAGCAACCGACGAGGCGCCACAGTACGCCGTGTCGGAGCTGCCGTCGCCATGGCGAGCGCGTGATGTGCGAGAGGTTTGGAATACGTGCCTGCGGAGCAGCGCTGCCTCAGCCATGGCTAAGGAGCTAGCTGACGGTGAGCGGCCAGTGGTCGATTCTGCATACCAGAAACTGCTGGCTGGCTTCCAGGCATCTCTTTCTACCTTCATCACACAGCTCTTTGTGGCGCATCGTGGTGATGTTGGGGTGGCAGAAATGGCGTTTGCCATGGCTCTCGGGATTGCCCAAGCAGATCGGGCCGCCGCACAACGTGCGCGCGACACGCGGCCCGTTACGAGCGAGTCCTCCTCGACTTTTTCCCTCAATACCGCCACGCCCGTCGGGTCGCACGTAGCAGATGTCATCCCGCCGGCGCTGGTGGAGGCACTGCTGCAGAGCAGTTCCGACCAACTGCACGCACGCAGCGTGACATGGACACCAGCAACAGTGCGAAGCGCTGTATCGCTCTTTGAGCACCGCAGCGACGGCGCGCACCGGACGCGGGCGTTTGAGCTGGCGCAGGCGTGGTACAAGCAGCTCCAGAAGCGTGCACGAGACGGGGAGCGGATGGTGCCAGACGAGCTGCTCGCCTTCTTCACTGCGGAGGTGCTGCGGCAGGAGCGGTTGGGCGTGGACGCGGCGGTGGACGCCTCGCTGCGGCGATGGAGTGTTTCGGAGGTGCTGTACTTCTTTTCTCGTCTGGGCACCGCTGAGGGCTTCGCGGGCGGGGTGGAAGGCGCGGCGGTGCTGCGGCAAGCCGGCTCGGCGTTGTGCTCCTACGCCGCGAAGGCCTCCGCCGCGCAGCTGGCATCGTTGGTGGAGTGCTACGGCGCGGCACAGGTGCGCAACGACGAGTTCTGCGACGCGGCGGTGAGGCGGCTGTCGGAGTTGCTCGACGTGAGTCTCATTACGGCGACACGCAACATAAATTTTGCTTCCTCTGGCAGTGCGGTTGCACGGCAAACAGAGGCAGCAGCGGCCACCACCTCCATCACCGCTTTTGCTGCGGCGCCTTCCTACGCTTTGGACGCAAATGGAAGGGATCAGGGCAACGTCTCGGCATCGACAACGACAACAGGCAGCGGCGACCCGGCGGCGGGCGCCTCTCCCGTAACCCTCTCGCAACTCACACAGCTCCTGCGCTCCTTTGCGTTGATGGAGGTGCGCCAGACGAAGCCCTTCGTGGATGCTGCGCCACACGTAACGCTGGCCGCCAACGCGGACCAAGGCAGCGCCGAGGAAGTGAGCCAGCTACTAGCGGCGTATGCGAAGATGCTCATTTGGAACTACCCGGTGTTTCGCGCCTTGGCGGAACGCTTCTGTCGAATCCGCAAAGAGGACGTGCATCTAGATCAGCTGCTCACGACGCAGCTGGCGATGTTGCGGATGGACGTCACGCTGCCGCCTGTCACGACGCGGTTCTTTGAAGCGCTGACGGAGCAATACTCTCCTGAAAGGAGCGGGAAGGGGTCAAGTTTGAGCACCACGCTGAGGAGAGGCGCGAGTGAACCGGCGAAATCGCGCAGGGATGAGCTGAAGAGTGTGGTGATGCATCTCTCCGTGCTTTCCCGTGTGCGCACCTCCTCGCATGTAATCCCGCCTAACCCCAGTGTGAGTACCGGAATCATTGAGTTCATCGTGAAGCACGCGAAACTGCTACGGATCGAAGAGCTAGCAGAAGTGCTTCTTTCACTCGCACGACTGGAAGAGGGCAGGTCTGCTGCCTTCGAGGAACTCACCGTACGCACCTTAGGGCTGCTACCCACTGCACCCCCGCGCGTGATGGCGCATATCGCGGAAGCCTATGCACTGGCACGTCGCAGCGACGATGCGGAGCTCTTCACGCTGATCGCGGAGCGCACCGTGGCGATGCGGCACGACATGGCGGCCGTCACCATCGCCAGTATTCTCGCGTCTTTCGCCAAAGTGGGGGTTCGCAATGACCGCCTCTTTATTGAGGTGATTCCGCGTGTCCGCCACGTCAGCACCTACGGCACCCCGCGGGACGTGGTGAATGTGGTGAGCGCCTACGCTGCAGTCAACCTGTGGCATTACAAGCTGTTTGCCCGGCTGGCGGACCGCGCTATCCAGCTGCGTGCCGACTTCCGCGTGACGGAGCTGGTGCGGCTGCTCAACGCGTACGCCACCGTGCAGATGCGGTACGATGTCCTCTTCACGGAGTTCGCACCGCGTATTCAGACCCTTGCGCATTTGCTGGTGCCGTCGGACTTGGCGGGGATTGTGTCCAGCTACAGTCAACTCAACATTCCGTGTGTGCCGGTCTGGAAGGCCACCGCCTCCCGTGCGGTTGACGTGGCCGACGCCTTTACAGAGGAAGAAGCGGAGCAGCTTTTGGATGCGTACTCGACGCAGGACTTCTACCACGAGGAGTGCGTGCGGGTGCTGACGGCGCGCTTCCCCGCACTGTCGAAGATTCCTTTCAACATAAAAGAGGCAGAAAATACGGGGCCCAAGGCCGAGGAGGTCGCCGATGACGATGAACGACGTTGAAGACGCCAAAGAAAGGTATCTTTTGTTTTTGGCAGGCTCGCACAGTTTGCTTTGTCAGAAGGGGTAACAGCTGGAGGAGCCGTGTGTGTGTGTGTGTGTGTGTGTGTGTGTGTGTGTGTGTGTGTGTGTGTGTGTGTGTGTGTGTGTTGTGTGTGTGTGTGTGTGTGTGTGTGTGTGTGTGTGTGTGTGTGTGTGTGTGTGTGTGTGTGTGTGTGTGTGTGTGTGTGGTGTGTGTGTGTGTGTGTGTGTGTGTGTGTGTGTTTTGTTAAGGGATGAAGGATTTTCGCGTCTGCTCCGTGGTTTTTCCTTCTTTCTTCTGTTCACTGTAGCGAACAATGACGCTGATACTGTGGCTGGTATTGTTGTGGAGGACGCTGAGTTTTTGCTTCTCCTGTGCTTCTTTGGATCGTTACACATTTAACTGAAAGCTCTGAATACTGTTGTGGAAGGTAAGCTGACAACGAATCGTGCTGCCCGCAAGTGCTCTGCGAGCGCCTACGCGTTGGTTTCATCGCTAAGAAAAAGATGCCAACTGAAGAAAAACTCCAGCGACATACCTCTTTGGTGATCGACTGTGCGGTTTTTGCGTGGATCGGCAGCGAACATTTGAGAGAAACACACGAAGTAAAAGCGCATCCATCGTCTGACGGACGGCGTCGCATAACCTTTCGGGTGGTCAAGGATCTCGGCAACGTTTATTGCCTGCTGTAAGCTCCGCCCTTTGCTTCCATCCGTCATTGTTTCCCCTTTTCTACACGTTCACCATATATGTATTTTTTTTTTTCTAACGCACGACTCTCTGATGTTGGTGTGACACAAATACCTTTTAATCGCCTTCGCAGGTCCCCAATGTCCTCCGCCGCTACCGTCTACCTCGTCTCTGGCAACAAAGGCAAGCTGACGGAGGTACAGCATTACTTAAGCGGTGTCGGCGTCACTGTAGAGGCGGTGAATATTGACCTCACCGAGACACAAAACCACTCGGCCGAGCAGATCAGCCATGACAAGGCAGTAGAGGCGTACCGCGTGGTCAACAAGATGCCCGTTGGCGAGCCGCTGCGCAGCGGTGGCACTCCCGTCCTCGTGGACGACACCTCGCTCGAGTTTGATGCGCTCGGTGGGCTGCCCGGGCCGTACATCAAGTGGTTTCTTGACCGCCTCGGCGTGGAGGGGTTGCTAAAGATGGTGCGCGGTTTCGCGGCAGCCGGGGAGGAGAACTCGACACAACAGGCACCGCAGCATCGACAGGCGGCAGCGGTGTGCATCATCTCCTACTGCTACGGCGTTGACGAGACAGCCGGGACGCCGCTGGTGAAGCAGTTTAAGGGCGTGTGCCGCGGTGCGCTGCCGATTGCGCCACGCGGCAGTGTCGGCTTTGGCTGGGACTCCGTGTTCGCTCCCGAGGCGCAGCAACCACCGTACGGTAAGACGTTCGCGGAGATGACGGTGGAGGAGAAGAATACGCTGTCGCACCGCGCAAAGGCGTTGGAGATGTTGACCGCGTACTTGAAAGCGCACGCACCGGGTCATTAGGCGGTCAAACAGACACGATGCGTTCTCTTCATCATTCCCAGTATCTTTCTTCCGGTTGCAGGGCGCGACTCACGCTTTCGGCGAGCGAGAGAGTGTTTGAACGTTCTCGTGATATCCTCCGCAGATCCCTTTGGCGAGGTTTTTTTTTTCCACCTCTTTTTCGCTTCTGACATGGCGCCTTCTTCGTTTAGGAGCCCTTAATTGTTATCGTCTGGAGTAAGGGTTTAAAAGGAAGAGTCAGGAGTTGGAAATAATAATAGTACATCGTTGCTTGTGAGGTGGGCAGGGAATCTACCTTCCCGCTTCCTTGAGAACGTGATGGCAGAGGCATTCAACGGTAGAAACACTACGCAGTTGTGAAGGCGCCTCTTTTTCACTCCTTCTTTGTGTTAATGATTGTGTGTGTGTTTGCGTGTGTGCGTGTACATCAACGCGAGGGTGGGTACGAAAATGCTTGAGAGCCGTATGTATTCTGCTCCACTCTACCTCCTTTGCCCTCCCCCTCCTCTGCTCTTTTGTGTTCGTTTCCTCTTGAAACTTCCGTGAATCTTGTACGATATTTTTCTCCGTGGCGTTTTATTATTATTGGTTCTGCGTTGTTCAGCCTTCTAATCTTTTTCGGTGAGTCCCACGGGAGACGTGTGCACCCCTGCCTCTCGCTTTCTCTCTCTTTCTCTGCTCCTGCTAACGGTACCCTCCAAGGAGTTCATCATCTCCCTTTTCTTTTGTTTTACGCTCTCCGTATTTAGCGAACAGCAGGAGAAAAATAAAGCCAAAAAAAAAAACGTTAAGTCTTCTCTCTCGCTAAGCACGATTTCGAGCTTGCCCTTTCGCCTCTCGGTTTTTTTTTCTAGTAAAAAGGAGTTTTGTGGTTTGGGCCGTCAGAGAAGCGAGGAGGAAGGATTTCGACTCTTTTTGCGTTGTGCCTCTCTCGAACTGGTTTCGTTTTTCCTATTCCGTTTTCCCTCTTCGTTTTCCCTTTTTCCTCTCCCGATTCTTTCTCATTTTTCCTCCTTAAGAATTATTGTCGCGCATTGCACCATACACAGTATCTGCTTTCTACGCCGTCCTCATTTCCAGTTCAAAGGAACATACACGTCCCTTCACGTTTTGAGCACGGCGCTTTTGGGTGGCACTTTTACGATTTGTTGTTCTTCACCTGTCTGCATTCGCTTGCATACAACGAGGCTACATACATATATTACATGCAAATCTAAGTAAGAACAGTGTTTGCGTTTTTGATACCTCTTCGTCCTTCTCCCATTCCTTCCCGTGGGCTTCCTGCAGCTGGTGTTTTTGGATACCTCAAAAAGCCAGCAGTAGTGTTTATAATTGTTTTTATTTCCTTTGTTGTCGTCGCGGAGACTTTTTCTTCGTTTTTCCGACCCTGGTCATTCATTTGTGGTACTCATTACTTTTCTTCTTATCTTTCTTTTTGACTCTCTCGCTCTCTCGCTTCACTTGCCGGTGTTGCAGCGCTTCGGTATTGAACGCTTCATCTTTCACTCTTCGTAGTCCGTCGTTTTTGTGTGTGGCTCTAACCTGCCGTGATTGGTTTCTTTTTTTTTTCCTCCTAGGTAATTGGTTGTACCACCTACACACGAGTCAAAAGCATGTTCTCCTGTGTCCATATGAGCAAAGTCAAGCTTGCGCGGACGCGCAAGCCGAAGACGTTGACGGAGCAGCACAAGGCGGAGCTGCGTGCACGCCGCAAGGCGGAGACGGCGGCGGCCCACCCGTCGCAGCGCCCGTTCACTAGCTCGATGGACAGCTTGCCAAGCGACGGAGAGGACAACGTTGCAGGCTGCTACGTGTACAAGAACAGGGATCCGTCACACAGCTGCAGCGCGGTTGTGCACTCCACGCGTCCTCCGCCGCGTGCCAAGTCACTGGAGGAGTGCCGTCCACCACCCCTTGTTATTACTGCCGGGGGGCGATAGTAAAAGGAAATGAACCCTCACTCTTTCATATACATGGGACACAATGGATCAAGTCAAGTCTGTCCTCACAGTTCCTATCTGAAAGACTAATGCGCGCGAATGCGGAAATAAACGAGCGAATGGTCACGACGGCCACGCTACCGAGCAGCTTAAAGGTGCTGACGTCATCGCGTCTCCGAGGTCTTCTGTTATCATCACGTTCGGGGTTTTTTTTTTTCAAACGACAAAGAACAGCGAGGTTGTGCAGTGAACCCGATTTCGTCGTCTTCTTGACCTCACGTAAAAGCGTACGCGAATAGGCTCGAGGGTGGTTGGTACAGCGCGTTTTGTAAACTAAAAAAACACGTTGCTTCCCGTTTTCAGAAGGCTCCGGATTGCCATACTGTGAAATGGTGGCAAATCGAACGCACGGCGACTCTCTCTCTCTGCACAAGATGAGTGCCCCTATCTGCTTGCATTTAATCCCTTGCAAACCGATATATCCTCCGAGAGAGCTGTTTCTTTCCTTTTTTCCTTTTCTCTCTCTGTTCGCTTAACTCGTTAAGGCGTGTGAAAGCAAAACGATTTTGTGTATTTTTCTTTCTTTTCTTCTTCGTCCCCTATGTTCGATTGCTTCTCATCTCTCCGATGGGAAAAAATTCTCTTTTTCTTTTTTGTTTACTTGATTCGCTCTGACGCGTATATTAACGTGTTTCCTCTATATGATATGGCGTTAAATTCTGCTGCTTTGCTTTTCTCTTTTTTTCACCCCAAAATAGAATTTCGTTTAGTGTGTGTGTTTGAAAGCCCGTTATCATTATAATTATTTCTTTTTGTTTCCTCTTTACCTTTTTAGATTCTGTCTCTCGACAACATTGCTGTTTGCCTTTTTTCTCCCCCTTTTTCAGCAATGTCCTTGTCCACTTCTTGTTCTCCTCTTGAGAAAGAGACGCGGTGCACGCAATGATATGAACTCAGTGTGGCATCTCTTTTTCGTAGTTACCTAGTACGCGTACAGGCGTTTGAGAAGGACGAGAAAACCTCAAAAAGTAAACGTTGCTCTGTTCATGCGCTTCATATGTTGTTTTCTTTCGTAGAGGTGACGGTTTTTTTTTCCATTTTGCTCATGTGTCGTACTTGCAATGCACAGAGGCTGGTGCTCTGGGGAGCAGCTTTTACCCAATACCTTAGTTTCTACGCCCTTTTCTCTTCCAGTTTTCCTCTCTTGATCACCCACTTATCTGTTGACACTGTGAGACAACATAAACCAGACAGAAAAGGCAAGAAAGAGCGACGTACGACGCTCCGGCCGGAGCTCGCCTGCGATGGCACGCGCCGTCGGTATCCACAGGGCAGATGTGTGGATTTCTTCTTCTTCATTTCGTCTGGTTGTTTGTTTTGTGAAGTGATTGGTCGGTTTTGGGGTAGTGGAAGTGAGCTCTTTGCACAAGGTTATCTCGTCACACTTCTCCCGCGCGTAAGAGGCTCGTAAAGAGCTGTGGAACAGTAGCCTGCTTCCGAATCCTTTTTGGGGGTTTTAAGCGTATCTTCCTCTACGTGTTTTTTTTCCCTCACGATTGTTTCTCTCGCATATGTAAGAAACACATAACCTCGATCGCTGCATCTCCGGAAAAAGTTTCGTTGTTCAAGATGAGAACAATGGGAAAAATAGCAAGTAACAGGTACAGCTACTCTCTCACGGGCAACAGAGGAAAAAGAACGATAAGAAATCTCCAATGACAAATTCCTCGTTCTTAAGTCGGAATCGGAGTTCCTTCCGGCAAACTCTTCATTGAAAGCAAACAAGACAAAAGAGAAACACAAAAGCGGAAAGACAGCACTTTACTTCCACGAACAGCGCTATGAAACACCACGGTGCAGATTTTGGTTTTAACTTCAGTAGAGATTTCATGAAATATTTTTTATAATGAGCTTGATAGCGATGCGTTGTTCCGTTGTATCAATCACTGTTCTCATTTTTTATATACCTGACGTGGCGCTGCTCACATGACACCCACATATCAAGACAAAAATCTTTTCACTTTCTATGTTCGCCGAACGCAACAGGCGATTGTGAGTGTTTTCGATGGGTCGGAGAAGCTGGATGTTGAGCTACGGCAAATTGTGGCGAAGTATTTCTCCTGTCTTGTTTTTTTTTGGTAGTGGTGGTGGTAGGGGAGGGGGGGGGGGTAAGTGAAGGTAAGATGCGCGTTTCGCCGTTGAAGATCATTTATTATTTTCTCTTCACATCAACGCCATCGTCATTGTTTTGCTTCCCCACCTCTGTGAAGGCACCGCTGCGCTTACGGGGCGCGTTAGCTCTCCTTTCGTCTCTCCTTCATTGATCGTTTTTCTCTTTCTAGTTCGTAGCGAAGGGCGTTGTCTGTATTACTGGTGCGCATGTTTTCTTTTTGTGTTGCTGCGCGCAGTGGCGGCAGAGAAATACATAAAGTTGTGGTCACCGACGAACGTGAGGACAAGACGGAGTCAACGGTAAAGCGTGTTTTTGATTCTTCGAGGTAAAAAAAAATGTACATTTTTTAAAATCCTGTTTATCTCTTTATTATTTTTATTTGAAACTGGAAGATTATATCTATGGATGCCACTTCCCCTCTTCCTACGGTTTAGCCCGATTTTCGTTCCAAGTAATTGAAACGATCTCTTTTCCCTTTTTAACAATTGCGTGCTCTTGAAATCTCTCGTAAACACGGTTGTGGTGCCTCTGTTTTCAGTCGACCAGCGTCCTGCTGCGGCAAAAACAAAAAAGAGTAAAAGCGCGCCTTTCACCTTTCTTTCACCGTTAGTGCCGCCGAACTGGTCGACGCTGGAATACGCTTTGTTGTGGTTGGCATGGAAGGAGAGAGGGAGTACATAAATGTAAAATAAATGTATAGTAAATTGTCTGTGTAGTTGGGGTCGAGTTTTTTTTTTCTTTTTTTTCTCCTCCTTCTCTGGTTCTTTTTATACACCTCACCTTCGTCTTTCTCCTGTGCAAAGGCGTGTGCACCTCTCATCACTGACAAGCAGGTCCGAACTGACGTGGATCTCCTACGGGTTACGGGATTCGCATGAAGGTAAGTAGCACAATGAAAGAAGAGTGTCTGGAGGACAAGCCTTTTCTGTTTCACATACTGAAACGCTGAATATTCAGTTGTTCAAGAATTGCTGTGTTTTTTTTTCTTAGCTTCCTTGCGACAGAGATGCGACCTTGCCGCTCGGGAGGTGCAATTTGTGCAGACGCGGCCCCCATACAAACTGCGTTTCGTTTGTACCGTTCCGTGCGAGTTTTCGGTGATGATACGATGACCGAACGCGATGTTGTGTGGTGCAAGGCGCGCGTTCTATATACCTCCTTATCTGCTTCGCACCGCCGTAGGTGTACACGGGATCGTTCTGAACTGTGTGTTTTCCCCTCTTTTTAAAGGAAAGAAGATGCGCGCTTGCGTGATTTAATAATCTTCTTCTTCCTTTGTTTTCTGGCCTGCACGTCTTGACGGGAGTAAGCCGAAACACACACACACACAGGAAAAAGTATTAGAAAGGGAGAATTCACTGTCACAAGCTAACAAAAATAATTGTAGTACCCTCGTGCATTCCGCAGTTTCCATTTTTCTTTTCTTTTCGAACCACCCCAAAATACTGAGACGCTCAAATGTGTTTCTCTCTCTCTTTACTACCACCTTGCTCTGCACTGTAATCCTAACATTTTTTGTTTTATTCCTTTGAATGAGTGACAATCAATGCAGAGGGGAATAGTGCGCGTTGTGCGACCTCCACTTGTGTCATTATTGTTAGCTCATTTTCCTTCTCTTTTTCTGCGTCGTTCCCTTTCACCATTATATTACCCTCCCCACACGGGTAGCCTCATCTGACCTTTCGCAGTGCACGATGTGTGAGGCTTCTCTGGCTACACTTTAGGCCCTCGCTGCTGCGTGAGCGTGTCCGCGTTGTCTTTTTTTTCTCCCTCGCGTTTCTCCCAGTTTTCTTTCGCTGTTTTTTTTTTGTTGTTCTCTGCCCTTTACGGTGGGCTTTTAGTCTCCTCCGTGAGAGCCGCGAGCCTTATTTGTCGGTGTTATCGTCGCCATTCCTTTCTCTCTTTTTTGTTTTTGTTTTGCTCGGACGTGGCGACGACAACGACAGCAAGAAGAAGGTGAAGGGGAAGGCATCGTTTTGTGTGTCATGAGCCAAGGCGCCATACGTCACTGTAGCCCCTTTCGAAGACCACAACTTGTGCGATAAGTGTATCTGTATGAAAGACAGCAAAAAGGGGCAAGCACCGGCTGTATCATTTTTTGAGCGTCGCAGAAGTGGCCGTCGTAGCGTTCCGTGGCAGCCGCGGCAATCGAAGAATGCACGACAACTCTATACTTTCATCTGCGCTCTGACGCCTTGAGGTCTTCCTTCGGTATTATTCTTTCTTTTTCAAGAAAAAAGAATGAAAGCGAATAAGTTGGGTATGTTTAAATTTGAGAGGGAAGCACAAAAATGTAGTAGCTACATCGAGTGGCGTCAAAGGTGTCTTTTGGCAGATCGTATGATGTATTTATAAAACGTGTTTGGGTTTAACGTGACACGTGACACGCTAATAGTCGCTTTTTTTTTATGAAGCAGAGCTGATGTGCGCAGATGTTTTCAATGAATCGTGCAGTGGGTGTTACCGGCGTTCCTTTCTGTTGGCTTGTAGACAGCTTATTCATTGAATACTGCAAATTTCACGTTTCTCGTTTGCTTTCTTTCCCTCTCTCTCACTTTCCTTTGGTTCGTTTCCATCCATTTTAACTCGCGCGTAACGTGTGAGTGCCAAAGGAGTGACTAGCCAAAACAACTCCCATAATATTGATTGCGACCTTCTTCCGCATCGACAGCGAAGGGAGTTTTCTGTTCGCTTTTTGTTTCTCTCTTCTCTTCTGAACTTTCCATGAAGGCGGAGTCTGGCGTCCGGCAGCCGGGTGAGCCGGGCTACGTCAAGAGGATGACGCACATCATTCTCAGCCTCGTTGTCCTCGTCGTCATGCCATTGTACGTCTACCGTGAAGTCACGCTCCTTCGCACGCTCGCGACGGCTCCCGTTTCACGCGTGATCTTGTTTGGCGCGCCGCTTGACCCTCGCAAGCTTGCACAGCGCCTCAACCCGCACGGTGAGCCCATTTATATGTCGAACGTGGTCGCAGCAACCAACGGCAGCTGTGACGCCGCTGCCGCCGTGCCGGAGATCCCAAAAGGGCAAATTACGGCGGTGACTTTTAACGTGGATGACACGGAGCGGCACGGCGTGGTGTACATCCCCAACAGCTACCCGTCGGTCACCACCGCCACCACCACGCGCGCGGCCTCGCCGGCGCCGATGTTGGTGCTCTTCCACGGCCTCAACGACAACTGCGAGCACTTCTTAAATGCCACCGGCTTTATCCCGTACGCGGAGCAGCACAGCTTCGTGCTGGTCAGTGCCTGCGGGTCGCAGGGATACCTGGGGACGGCGTGGAACTCCGGTACGTGCTGCGGCTTCTCCGGTGACAAGCCGAACGACGTCGCCTTCGCGCAGAAAATCGTAAAGGACATGTCCGAGACGGTCTGCGTCGATGAGCGCAAGGTGATGGCGGTGGGCTTCAGCAACGGCGCCATGCTGAGCGAGGTACTCGCCTGCGAGGCCCCTGACGTGTTCCAGGCCACCGTCTCCATCGGCGGAGTGGTGGAGTTGCGCCCCGGCAACGCCGAGGGCCTAGCGCGTTGCACCGAGAAAGTGCGGGCCAAGCAGCATCGCGCGAGTGTGCTGATGGTGCACGGGACGTCCGATGCGATGGTGCCATGGGGCGGCAATCGTTTTCTTGGCTTTCCGTCGATCGACGCAAACCTGGCGGCGTGGGTGGAGCGGAACGACTGCGCGGCGGACAAGAAAAACTCCACAATTCACACCAAGACGTACACGAACACCATCTACGACCACTGCGGTGCTGCCACTGCGAATGTGGCGACGGACGATGCCGCGGTGAAGATTGCGTTGAGACATGAAAACCGCATGCATTTGCCGGCGGAGCGCACTGCTCGGGAAGCCTTTGAAACCCCGGCCCCGAGGAGCGGGTCACCGTCGCTGCGCGTGCAGGTCGAGCCTCTGGGCGTGCACAGGAAGCACGGGAAGCGCGTTGACCGAGACGATGAGGACCATGATGAGGAGCGTGAGGATAGAGAAGGCAGAATGGAGAAACATCACCACCCCAAAATGGAAAAGCGGACGAAAGGCAGGCGCGGTCCTCACCGTCGTCTTCCAGAGGACAGGCCACATCGGGGTGGCGGCAGGCACCCGCGCCATCCTACTCCATGTGTTTTGCCCCCGGTGGGGGAGAAGCAGGCGAAGGTCGACGCGGATTCCGCGATAAGCCAGATCGAACTGGTGAAGGTAGAGGGTGGTGCACATAGCTGGCCCGAGGACAAAGAGTTCTCGACGACGGAGTACATCATCCAGTTTGGTGCTCGTGTCTTCGGTGGCTACCCGAAGTAGTGTATGCGATCTGAGGAGCGGACTGAAATGTGGCCGCACACGGTAGAGAACAAGGCGAAAAGTTTTCTTTTCTACAAAACACCGCCCTTCATACTTCTCCGCCTTTCCATTTGGGTCAAGAAAGAATCGCACGCATTATTTTCTTTCTTCTTTCCACCTCGAAGCTGTTCTCTTTCACTTATTATGCTGACGTGCTTTTCTTTTTCTCTTTTCTTTTTTTGGACTACCGAAAATGCAACAAGTGAGACGTCACGGTGTCCTGGCTTCCAGCGGGAGGGAATACGGTTTTCGTCTTCTACGTGCTCGACAACTTTGAATGTTTCATGTTTCTTTTTCCATTTTTTGCTTCCGTTTTTCTTTTTTGAAAAATCCGTGTCTCTCTTCTTTTCACTCAAGTTACTCTCTTTTTAGTTTTTCTGTGGAGAGCATGTCACGTTTCTCTCGTATCTCCTCTGGCATGTGAAAGCTATTGAAGACCCAAAATGCAGTCCAGCAAGTCGCCTGTTGGATGTAACGAAGGTTTCTTTTTCTTCCTTCCTTCTAGCCGTGCGCTGCGCTTTTGCGCCTATGGCAAGGTTCGTGGAAGAAGGCAAGAAGTTGTCTTTCGCTTGACGGCGTTTCCACTAGCAGCTGAGCAACTATCGAAGAGCTGCGGTTGCATCGGTAGCTGCCGGTGCAGGGGTGTTCTTCGACCATTACTGTGGGATGGAGCAGTACAGGACGTTGGAAGCTGCGTACGTGCCAAACCGACGCTTTCTAAACTGTTACCTCTTCCACACGCCCATGCTACCCCCGTCAGAGTTGTTTCTGCGAACCTTTCTTCACTCTTCCCCCTCTCTCTCTCCTCTTCTCCTCTTCTTTTCTTTGTCTTTCTTATCGACCTTCTCAATCTACCGTTCTTAACCTTGTTGGTCGAGCTTCATCGGCCGGCCTTACCCCTTGCACGCGAAACAAACTAAAAGAACAGCAAATACAAAAGCACAGTGTGGAGGACTTTCTCGTTTTTGCGCGTAACTGTGGCGAACCGCTCGTTGTCTCAGTTTCAGTTTCGAAGTACGCCAGAGAATCATTCGGCAACTTCACGATCACCAATTGAGTGACGCATTCAGCTGTCGTGTTATTTCGTATCAACATCCACTCCCCCCCTCCCACACACACACACCCGATAAAACAGGAAAATGCCGAAGTCAAAGCGCTCCAAAATCGTGCCGCTCACGAAAACGCAGGCGAAGACTCGCGACGACAAGGACAAGCTGATGGAGCGCATTCGCGCTGCCCTGGAGGACTACAACGATGTTTACACCTTTGAACTGCACAACATCCGCACCAACATTCTGCAGCAGATTCGTGAAGAGCGCAGCGCGGACAGCCGTCTCTTTCTCGGCAACAACAAACTGATGAGGATCGCCATCGGGCGTGACGAGGAGAGCGCCCAGAAACCAAACCTGCACAAGCTCGCCCCTTTCCTCACGGGTCTCTGCGGGCTGCTCTTCACCAACCTGAGCAAGAAAGAGGTGAAGGACTACTTCGGCACCGTCGGCGCTCCCGTGTACGCGCGGACGGGGCAGACGGCGACTGAGTCACTGGTTCTCAAGGCGGGTCCTCTTCCGCAGTTCCCGCACAGCATGTTTGATCACCTCGCCAAACTGGGTCTGCCGATTAAGCTGGACCGGGGTGTGATCGTGCTGCTGCAGGACACCACCGTTTGCGAGCCAGGCGACACGCTCAGCGCAGAGGCGGCACAGCTGTTGAAGCTTTTTGGGATGCAGTCTGCCGAATTCAAAATCGATCTGACGGCGCACTGGTCGAATGGGGTGGCGAAGAAGGTGAGCAGTAGCAGCTCGACTAAGGACGAGGCGAAGTAGCGGGAGGGTGTGCGTGTGTGTGTGTGTGTGACCTGCGGCCAAAGAGGGAACGTGCAGAAGTGCTTGTTGAGCAACTTCCTTCCTCTTTTGTGGTTGTTTGTTTGGGCATGCACTGGCTCACTTTACTTGACAGGTGGAGATATCTCTTTCCTCGGGATCTCCTTTTCCTCTCTAATGGTGGGGCTCTTTTTCCGTTTTGTTTTCTTCTTTGTAATGGTGGTCGTCTTTAACGCGAATAAACGCCTGGTAAGTTATTAACACTCAACTCCTACATCGAAATAAACGACCAAGATAGAACGTCTTCTCCGCCAACATTGCGTTATGAAGCCTAACAGTGACACACCTCGTTGGTGGCATGGAGGATCGTTAGGTTCCGAGTCTTCGTTGAAGATTTGACTGTTGAACACTGTGGATGCGCACAGCTTACATATCTTCTGTGGGGAAAGAGGATAGTCGGAGTACAGGCAATTACTTGTCCGGTACACGCTGTCAAAAAGAACAAAGGCTCTGCCGTACTTTCTGTGGTGGCCGAACCGACCGGGGAGCTGTTTTCTTTCGCGTAACGGTGACTCTTGCGATATCCACTTAATGGGTTCTTTTTCAATTCACCACCTTTCATTGCTTCTCTATTTGCACCTTCTCAACTGTTCTTGAGACTCGGTTTTGATGATTGTGCCTCCTTGTTGTTGGGGTTGCTACTGTATTTCGGTTCTTTGCTAGAACATCCGGTCTTTTCATCGGTTCCTTTACGCGGTGAACATAAAATATACTACTGTTTGCTGTTTAGTGGCGCAGCAACTCAACGACTCATCTTCTTGGTGTTCAAGTGTGGCTGCATCCTCTGCCAGGTGCAATTGTTTTTCTTCTGGCGTTGTTTCGTAATCCCTGGTTTTTCAGCACTTCCCTCCTCCTCCACGTTTTGGCTTTATAAGTCAAAGAGAGACAAGTTGAGTTACTGTTTCATCTGCGGAGGTTGTACTCGGCCTTTCAGACACGCTGCGAGAGTCCACGCTGGCGTCCCTGTCGCGTCTTTTCCTTTCGGTGCTGAAGCAGGCAATCCTTCCTCTTTTCTTTCTTTCCCCGTGACCGAAGACTTTCGCGAGCAACTGCTGCAGTCCTCTTCACATCTTTTTTTTTTCCTTCTCGTTTGACGGACCAGATAAAGTAATGGCTTCCGTCGAGACTCGCGACGTGGTGAAGCAGTACGAGCTGCAGTGCAACGCCCTCCTTACCTCCCTTCGTCCTGGTGGTTCACTGTCTTCGATCGAAGTGCGCAGCCCGTGCGAGGCGCTGCTCGTACCGCGGCAGATATCCCTCGAGGCAATTCACATTGTTCCATTTCTGCAGGCCAGGCTGCAGCGAGCCCGGCCGGCTACCCCGCATTCGCCCCCGCCGCCTCTGTCCGATCTTTTCGGCGAGGGCCACGATACACCAAAACGGGAGGAAGCCAACCATGCCAACACGAATGCAAAGGAAGCGTCTATCGAGACCGACGCACCGTCATCGCCGTCCGGCTTGTACTACTCTCCCGAGAACGAAGGCCCCTTTCGCGCTGCGCTGACCTCCTTTTTGGAGTACCACCTCCTTCACTTTGACGCCTTTGGCAATTCAGAGTTCACAACGCTGCGCGGGCAGCGCGGTGCCTTTTCGGAAGACTTGGACCACGTAAAGCGATTTGGCCACATTGGCCAGGTAGCTGTGCTGGTGGACGCAGACCCACTGCAGCACCACGAAGCGTTGTTCAACAGCGGTGGTACGCAGGCGAAAAGGAGCCCCTCACCCTTTGGTGGGCAGAGCACGGAGGAGAAGTGTTATCATCCTGCCTCACTGCAGATTTTTATAATTGACCGGCCACTGATGGACTCCACCGAAGCCCGCTACATCGTCGACACGCTGCGCAAGCTGACTGTGCGTGAGGCGACCGTGGCCAACGTGACGGCACGACTCAAGGCGCTGTTCAGCAGCCCCCCGACCTCACCCCGGCAAGGCCCACAGCAGCAGCGCAGTGGTGGCGCTACACAGCTGCCGCTTCTGATGAGCAGTGATGACAACGCCGCTCACGCGACCGCCGCGGCAGCACCAACTGCAGATTCGCCAAGGCTCATCTCACCAAGGAGCGCCGCGTTCACTTCGCCGTCATCGTGCCAGGTCATGCGTGCCGCCTACGACTCGGAAAACGAGTCCATTGCAGAGACCGTCGTCATCGATGACTTCGCGGAGGACGTGCCAGAGGAGCCGGACCTAGCCCCGTACGTGAGCAAGTATACCCAAATTAGTGAGCAGCAACGTCGACGCAGCGAAACGAGCCGTGCGTCGGAAGAGGCAACGCGTCCGCCCATCGTTACGGGGAAGGCGATCACTGCGAACGATAACAACAAAACCCACAAAAGCGGCAATCATGTGGTTGTGGCCACATCTCTGGTGCCATGCGTGGCCGACCCCAACAACGGAAGGGGCAACGCCGTGGCCCAGGTGAAGGCGCAGGTGGTGGCGACTCCACCGGCCTCCAGGGAGGAGAACGCGGGCACAAACTCCACCAGCAGCCGTGACCGCGTCGTCTCTGTCACCATGACGGCGTCCAGCCCGAGTGCCGCAACGCCGTCCGACGCCACCCACGCCAACGTACTACGGCACGAGTACAGTCGTGAGTGCGTGAAGGACTACCGCCGCGTGGTGGCCGCAGACAACGATATTTCCTACAGCATTTTTGAGCACTTGATGTCCCTGCGCTGCAGCACGCCGCTGGCTACGCTGATGAGCTCCTATGTGTCAAAGAACCAGCAGCTGCAGCAGCCCATCTTGAACAATGTGAAGTACAACAAATTCATTGGGTCTTGTCATGCACTGGTTCATCAAATACCACGATTTGCAGCAGATCGCAGGCAGGCGGCTATTCTGTACGAGGGAATTGAGCGGTACGTCACGTCGCGACTGTATCATCAGTTCTATAACGTGAGCGAAGCCGAAAAACAGCAGAACTCGATGCTGCAGGCAGCGTTTATGCGGCTGGAGAACATGACGGCGGAGCAGCTGGACGCACTGCCGGAGGTGGAGCGCCACCACGTGTGGGGTCAGGCGATGTTTGAGCTCGACGGCATGGACTTTTTCAAATCACCGCGCGAGAAACTGCGGTGTGGGATGCGGGCCTGCGAGCTGATAAGCCTGGCCGTCGGCGACATTCTCCGCCAACGCCGCAATGCAAAGCACCCGACTCCTGCGAAGAACGCGGTGCCTGCTGCATCGTCCAGCAGCAACGTGTCCCTCGCCTTTGGCGCTGACGAATTCCTCCCGTGCTTTCTGCTGCTGGTGCTGCGTGCGCGGCCGCTCAAGTACGTGCAGAACATTTCGTACATGGAGAAGTTTCGCTACGCCAGTTTGATGTCGCCGGAGGAGTCGTACTGCTTCGCAACGATGCAGTCGGCGATGATGTTCTGGCTGAACTGCAAAGAAGATGGCCGCGTGGGCTCCATCGCGGCATCACCCGCCACTTCGTTGTTACCGCCGCCGGCGCAAGGAGGCGGTACGCCAAAGAGGCGCGGCTCCGCGAGTGTAGGGGCGCTGATCAACGCCGCGGTGCCGCTACCGCCTGCCCATGCGGCCCCTCTTATGACGGAGCAGGACTTGCTGCCGTCCGTGCGGCAGGCCTCCTACACGGCCCGTGCACGTGGGTTGGCTGCGGCCGCGACGAATGAGCCGCCCCAACAGCCCGTCGACTCCCCCGCTGGGGCGACCGTCATGGCGCGGGAGGAGGCGCCGACGGTGCTCGACGTTCTCTTCGGCTGGGCAAACCGAAGTCTAGCGCCGCTCGCGGACGAAATCGGCCTCGGCGGCGGGTCGCGGAAGGCCACGGACTCTGCCAGCAGCTTTTCTCCGACTGAGGCGTCGTCGCCCGCAAAGGCGGCCGCTCAAGGCTCTGTCTCGCCCGGTCCACAAGGAAAGAAAATGAAGGCCGGTGCGAACCACGCCCTCTTCCATCCAGGCCTGGACGTGACGGTGTCGCCGTCTTCTCACGGCACTCCGCCAACTCCACAGCCGGTGCACCAACCTGACGCCAACACGCGAGCCCTCGTGCGCGAGCTGCTCGTTACGCAGCGCAAAACGTTTGAGCAGCTCACGCTGACTGAGATCGAGATGATCGTGGAGGAGGCGCGTCAAATGCTCATGGAGAAGAAGTCGCCGCCGTTGGAACCGGAGAAGAAGACCATACAACACAGGGAAGAGAGTGTATGATGGGGACTGCGGGAGACGGTTGCCGTTGCGGTGGTGCGTTTTCGTACCTACATGCATCACAACCGAAGTGCGCGTGGCGTGCGTAGAGTCCCTGTTGTGAATCGCTGTGTGATATGCAAGGCTATCCCACCCAATGTGGTGATGAGCTGACAGAGGTGACGGAAGGTAGTGGCGTGGTGGACAACACCGTCATTTTTCTCTGCATTCTCTCAAAAGATCAAGTGGTACATAAACTATTTATTCCTGTTGTTTCATCAATGCCGTTTTGTTATTTCCACTGTTTTTTATTCTTCTGCCTTTTGCTGCACATTATTTCTCTTCCGTTGCATTCGTATATGTGCGTTGTTCTGTTTCGTTTGCGTGCTAACTCCACCGGTTTTTGTATGCTACTGTCGCCACGGACAACCGCCCTCCTTTCTGTTTGAGCTTTGGAAAACGCAGACACCATAGCGCTGCCTCAAAGATGGTTGTGAAAGAAAAAAAGAAGCAATGGATAATTGAATGGAAAGCACACGATGCGTAGTTGCATTTCGATGAACCTGCCACCTGGGTATTGTGCTTTGCCGCGTGGCAAACATGCTGGACACTCTCTGTGTCCTCTCGTGATTGATGCATTCATTGTTTTTGCGTCTCTGTTCCGTTTTCTCTTGTTGCTGTGTGTGTGTGTGTGTGTGTGCGTTGCTGCTGCGTTACGAACCGTGACAAGGAGGAAAAAGCCCTCATATTTAAAGAAAACATTATTCGCCTCGCGGTGTTTGTGCGTACGCGTTATAACCCCACACTTTACCGCACAACGTCTGCATTCATTCGTTCGCTTAGGCAGTGCCGCCTTTCCTTCACCCCGCTCGTACGCCAGAAGCACCACACCGTCATGTCCGTAGAACACACCACGGCTGCTACCGAAACGCAGGTGGCGCAGCTGGAGAAGCGCGCGACGGGAGCCGAGAAGCAGCTGCAGGCGCTGAAGGCGAAGCTGGACGGTGGTGCGGGTGCGGCCGCCAGCAACGCCGACCTCGAGACCCGCCTGCGTGAGCTGTTGCAGCTGATGTACGAAGACCGCGAGGAGTGTGAGACGATTCGCGCGCAGCGTGACGAGCTGAGAGAGGAAAACGAACGGCTGCGTGCGCAGGTGGCGAAGGGCGAGTACCGCGCGAAGCACCTTCTGCGCACTATTGAGGAAATCGAGAAGGGCACCTCACAGCAATGAAGGTGCTTTTTTTTTTAAACGAAGACAGATAATGCGATGTGAGTGGGTGCATCTGTTTCGATTGGCTGTTTGGAAAAGCCTTTCGTAGTGGAAGGAAACCATGGAAGCTACACTGCCAATAGCGACACAAGACTCCTTAATGGGGACGAAAGTGGTCGTTTTGATTTGAATCCCAAACCACAACCACTTTCCTTCGAGCGCTTTACAGGACAAGATTAATGACTGTCATTCTTTGCCGTGTCACGAAGCTTCGCTGTTCCCGTTACGATTGGAGGTGTGTCTCTTGTGCATTTGCTGGTGTTGACTTTTATTTTCTTTTTATGCTGTTGTTGGTGTGTGGTTGTGACGGAAGCCGCTGGGAGGTAAAGGCGCAGGGGAGACATCTGTCTCCAGTTGAGCGAGGGTACTCGTAGTGTGCTAAATAATAATACTGAAAAAAGAGAGCCAAGGAAAACAGACGCACCAAACAAGAGGCAGCATGTTGAAGGCGGTAGGAAAGTGGCGAAGTGTCACGACGCGTACAGCTCCATAGGTGGCATCTCTAGCGCTTCGTTGTCGGGTCGTTAGTTTCGGTAGAACAGAAAGGCATGCTTTGACGCAAGACACCACTTCTTCCCCCTAGTGTTCTACGAAGCTCGTGAAAGAGACGACACAGTACTAAGGTCGTGTGTAAGTCCAAGCGGTTACGGCAGCCAAAAGCAGCGCTATTGCGATTGCTGAAAAATCTAAATAGAATTTGCTGTTTGTGCTTCGCATCTTCCGCAGTACCCGAGTGACACTTCTTTACCAGCATCTTCTCCTCCCTTCTGTTCCCCACAGCACCAACAGAAATTACCCCCACAAACACACCGTTGAAACTCTTTCAAATCTTTCGACAAGCCCTCTTGTGTGTGTGTGCTTCACCCCTGCAGCTATTGGCCCCCTCGTCCACTCATCCATGACTGCCGAGTACACACGTGAGGAAGTGGCGAAGCACAACACGCCGCGCGACTACTGGACAATTGTGGACGGTGAGGTGTATCACTTTGACGTGGAGTTCATCACCTTAGTGCACCCGGGTGGGCTGTACATTCTGGAAGCCGCCGGCAAAGACGGCACGAAGCTTTTCCACGAGCACCACAATCCAGAACGCGTAATGGATGTAATGCGGGAGTTTCAGATCGGAAAGCTGAAGCAGTGATGGAGGCGCTCCGACTGGCGACCGAAGTATAAAAATGGTTTGAATATGTCCCGCTGGGGGAAGGGGCGTTTCTCGTCGTGGTAGTACCGCAAGGAGCAGCTCTCGGGTACGTTTTTGTTTTCTTTAAATAAAAGTGGGTTCAGTGCTCTGTTGGGCGGTTCTATCGGGTTTCTCCCCCTCTTTTTTTTTTGTGTTCTGCGGAGGCTCTGCTTGCTTCTGTTTGGGATGCCGTTGCGAGGAACTCCGCCGGCAAATGGTGAACTCTGTGTAAAGGCGGTAACGTCCAAACAGAGGTGGTAGCGTTGGGCGGATCAGCTCACGCCCTTGTACGACTTCCATGCTCCTACGGCTTTGTTGCTCCAGGAAGTGGGGGTTTACTGCTGTTGTGGTTGTCATAGACAACGTCGTTGGTTGTGGCTTACTTCGCACAACTTTGTTCTTAATGACTCCCCAAAACAACCACCATTGCAGCAACAACAGCTGTATGTGCCTCCTCTCTGTTGCGTGTGTACTTGTGGTTGTTCATCAAACGTCTCTTTTTGGTATACATGTTTTTCTTCTCGTTTCGCTTGTAGCACCGTTGCGTGCTTTTCACACATTAATGAATAAAACAAACGGAAGGCGGAAGCGTGAAGCCAATTTCATTGTTTCACTTTCATCCAATGCATGTCAAAGCGAACCCCAATCGTCTGAAATAGATTACGTTCAACTACTGTAGGAGTACCTGTGTAGGTGTCCGTCTTCCTTGACATACAGGGTATCAACGCGGCTCTCTCCGCGTCGCGGTATGCGCGGCACCCCACGTTAAGTCCATCTTTCCCGTCTCCCTTCACGACCTTCTCAACGGAACCTACTCTTTTCTCTATCTTTTTCTGCCTACCTCGATCTATTGCTTGATCGAACACCAACGCCAACACATTAAAAAATAAGGTTTGTTTTGTTAGCTTCGTTTTGACGCATTAGGTCGCGCCTACACACGATTCAGCTCGAGCAACGTGGTTGAGCAGGCACTTTCGCCTCTCTCAACGCATTACTTTGCACCGTTTTGCCGTCGTTTTCTTTTTTTGTATTTTTTTTTTGTTTTCTGCTCCCGCTTTCCTCCTTCCTGTGCGGTTATTCTTTCGGAAAGGGTGTCGTGGCTTTGCGGCATTGTGGAGATTGCACCTCAGCCAAGCGGGCAACTGCTTCAGCATTGACCGCCGCCGTCCTCTCCGAGTCTCTTTCTCGACTAGTGCGTTTTTTTCCCTCTCTCCGTTCACGTACGCGAAGCTAGGTAAGAGCTTCTTCTTTTTTAACTTCGATTTTTTTTATTTCTAGCATAGTCCATACAAGTTCTGTGGAGCAAATTCTTTTCAAATTACGTCGTGTTGGCGGTGTTGTATTCGGCTGCACATGGGTAGCGGAAACAAAAAGAAAAATTAAACGGTTCGAAATCACGTTGTTGCATTCGTTGAAGACGGCGGTTGGCATCGACGCTCGTGCGCATATACTGCACACTGTACAGTCGCACTGCATCATAAACAAATTCAGGCACACACGCTTGTGAAAGGAGGCTTACGCGTGAGGGGGCGAGGGTCTGAGTAGTTATTCTGCCACACTAAAGCAGTGCTTTTCGTTTCTTTCTTCTTCGTACTTGCGCCATTTTTTTTTTGCCTCGAGAGGGATATTTTTATATTATTATCTGTGCTTCCTCACCCCTTATTTTATTTTGTTCAGAAACAAGGTGAGAGCAGTGTTCTCGTGTGTGTGTGTGTGTGTGTGTGCGTGTGTGGACTTATTGGGAACAGATTTCTGAGTGACTCGTCGTGCGACATCACCATTTCTCCATTGGCCTCTGGAGAGTGTAGCGCATCTCCATGTACTCTCCAAAAGTGAATTCAGAAACCTTTATTGATATTTTTTTGATGTTTTACTCGCGCAAAAGAAAACACCCTTAAACGGCTAAACTGCTTTCATATCCTTAATTCCTTCTTCGATTTGGGTGCGTGAAACCTAAATCTGCGCTGTGGTCAACAACGCAACCGTAGTATTTGACCCTCGGCTCCCTTCGCGAGGTGAAGGCCCACGGCGGGTTGGAACGCGGTGCCTCTGGGTTTTTTCTTTTCCTGTGCTTAAAAGAGAAAAAACTGAGACGCAGTTTCGTCGAAGGCATTTACTGCTGAACGGCGCTTTTCTTTCTTTTAGTTCCTTTTGATTTCTTGTTTTACTCCAGAATATCACAACATAATATCTTAGCTTTTTTAGAATAATGGGCCGTGGTGCTAGGCACATCACGCACCACCGCAGCAGCTCCACGGACGAGGGAATGTCGGAGTCCACTGTTGCGCACTTCGACGCGCCGGCGCAGCAGACGCTGACTCACACCGGAGAGGGCAATCAGGTTTCTCTGACGAGCAATTCCGAATGGAGGGCGTCGAGAGCGTTGTGGAAGTCGGTCGAGGCTTGTGTGACTGATATCTGCTACACGATCGAAGACCGCTTCATCCTTCCGCAGAGCATCGATTCGGTCCCTCTGTTTCACAGCGAGGAGGAGGAGGATCACATGAGTGTGGCCGCGCTGATTGGCCACTTCATGTCCATCTCTACCCTGCTGGCTTTTATGGCCTACCTACGTCGGCTGAGCAACTTGATGAACGGTGCGTCGCCTGTGATGGGCGAGATTTTGTTTTGCGTCTCGCACCTCTCGCAGGTGACACAGGAGCAGCTGGGGTGGAGTTTGTTTTGCTCGGGGTTTTTGTCCACGAGCGAGTTTGATGTGTCCGGTGCAGACGGCAGCGGCGCTGGTGTTGCGAACGGTGGGGCGGGCGCTGGTACAAACGGTGTAGGCTCCAACGCGGCGGGTAGTCAGGGGGTGCGACGGCAGGCGCTGGGCGGAGCTGCAATGGGAAGAGTAGGGGGTGGTGGTGGTGCGAACAGCAATCTTGGTGGTAGAGCTGGGGGCGGCGCAGCCGGGTACGCCGGGTATTCCGGCAGCAACGTCATGCGTTACCTACTCGGCCGCAAGCCCGGCAGTGTTCAGCGGCAAGAGTCGTTGCGTTCGTACTCCTGCCGAAGCTTCTACTCACCAGCTGCGTTTTTGGTGGAGCAAGCGTGCTGGTTCATTGTTCTGATTTTCGCCCTTGACACCGTCCCGCTGCAGCGGCTTGCAGTGGCGAGCTTTTTCGGCAACGCGGTGGGCTGGGTACCCGTGTACTCGGCCGGCACCCTGGCAGCGCTGGCGTGTGCGTTGCTGTTCGTTTTTATGTATTGGATCCCGTCCTACGAGGTAGACGACGCGGTGCTGTCGGTGCTGCTTCTGCGGACTCCGCTGCACCATATCATGTCAGCCTACTGCGCCTCCCTCTGTGTCACGCTGCTGTTTGCGGAGTCGATGCTGCTCGACGATCTGCGGCGCACCTTCGTAGAGATCGTCTTCTCTTTACCACAGAGAGTGCTGCGAATGAGTGGCAGCCACCCCGTCGTAGCGCAGGGCTTGCGGGTATGTGGAGAGGTGCAGCGTAGCTACTTTTACTTTGTCGACTTTTACTTTTTTCTTGGTATGATGCTTTGGTTTGCGCTTGTGTTGCTGGAGACGGCGGCCGGCATCTCCATCCTGGGCATCACCTCACTGCTGCTGACGGTGCCGTGGCTGGTCGGGGGAGGTTGGACGATCGCCCCGGGGCGTGCGCTGAAGGAAACGGTCGTGTGCGTGGGCTTTTATGCCGTCACCGCCGTGACGCTCGCCGCGGTTGTCCCATCGCGGGGGATTCCGTTTCTGTCGAACGCGGTGCAGGCGGCGGCCATCTTGCTCTTCATGGTGGCCCGCTGCGAGCACAAGCAGCCGAACGGGTGCGCGTACGTGTTGATTTGGATCGTCATGTTGGCCGTGTATTTGTATGAGAAAACCGGCTCGACTCGGGAGGCGTCGGGGTCGGTGGTGTGGGGACCGAACGAGACGACGTCGCGGGTGAACTTTGCAGGGGCGGCGCAGGTCGCCCTGCAGGACCACATGGACCCGGAGATCGAGGCGGCGACCATTGTGCGGATGTTGTGCACGACGTTGTGGCAGCTGCTGTCGCGTGGGCTGAGCGAGGAAGGCACGCAGGTGCTGCACTTTAACGTGGTGGTGCTGGGGTCGATGCTGTTGCTGTCGACGTCGGTACGGGCGGTGGCGGTGGAGGGGATTGACTTCTCGCCAGCTTCTCCAACTGCCTGTGCGACGGCGACTACGGCAACCGCGGCCTCTGCGACGTCCACCGCCGGGCCCATTAGCAGTGCTTCAAGTCAGGCCGTCGCTGCTACCGTCATCCCCGCGTCCGCGCCTGCCACGACGACGGCAGCACCGATGAACTCTGCGGGACGGAGCAAAAACGGTGCTAGTGCTGCGCACGGGACGAAGACAAGCCCGGGCGTCACGAAGTCGCTCTCCAAGTCCGGTCCTCCAGATTCTCCCCAAAGTGCGAATGGGAGAATCGCGGACAGCAGCGACGCGGCTCGACCTGGCACGGCCGATACGTGCGCTGAGACCACAACCCCAGCGGAGGCGGTGGAAGAAGACAGCACGGGGAGCGAGGAGTCCACGACTACGGCATCGGTAGAGGAGAATGCCGTAGAGCCGGAGAAGGGCACGGCAGCAGTTGCGGTGGGTCCGACGCGAACGGCAGACAGGGAGGAGGAGAAGTCAGCCCCTGCAGGAGCACCGGATGTAGTGGCAGTCGAAGGCGAAATAGAGGAGGAGGAGACAGCCAAGGAGGAAGGGCCGGCGGTGTCGAACAGGGCGGAGGCGGAAAGCGCTGAAACCGCCGCGGAAGAGGAGCCGCAGGTTGACATGCGAGCCGTCGCGGAGGTGACGAAGGCCGTGGCGCGTACTATTGGTGTTTCACCGACGGTACAGCAGCAGCGGGTACTGTCACCGTTGCTCTCACCAAAGAGCCCGAAAGGCGCCGCAGAGGTGAGGTCATTGGGGGTGGCGACGCCTGTCCAGACCGAAGTGCGAGAGGTTGCTGTGGCGACGACTGAATGCGATAGTGAGGAGAAGTTGGCGGTGAAGGTGCTGGCGGAGGTGAACGGCGTGCTAGAGAACGCCTCATTAGCGACGCCTGTGTCGCAGTCGAATGAAAGCACATCGTCTCCTACCAACCCGGATAGCGGTCAGAGCACGACACGGACCGAGTCCAAGACAAGCCTCAGTTCCTTCACCACCGTTGAGAAGAAGAAGGGCCGCCATCAGCGTGACCGGGAGCGGAAGGCGTTGCAGCGGGAACGTCTGAAGGAGAGCTTGCGGCTGGAGGCAGAGGCCTCTCGGCAAGCGGAAACTTCTCCAGTGGCGGTGGCAACAGCGAAGTTGCCTGTGGTGGGGCCGGCCAAGGCACCGGCAACAGTTGTCTCTGCAAAGGCGCCTGCGCCGCCGTTGCCCCGCTCACAGACCGAAGGCTTTCAGAAGAGTGGTGCTGCAGCCGCCGAAACGACAAAGCTGGCGGTTCCATCAAAAACGGAGAAGAAGAGCGAGACCCCTCGGGCTTCTCGTGCGTCGCAGCCCGAGGCGACGAAACCGCCGGCAGCGATGAATGGATCATTCAAGGCCACTTCAACGGCAGCGGGGAGTTCCAACGCAAGTGGTAGCAATGAGCGCAAAAAGGACAATTCTCCTGCTGCTGTGCGCGCTGCGCAGGACAAGAAACAAGAAAACACGGAGTTCGCCAGCGGGAAAAACAAGACGGCGGCTTCCCCCACCGCTGCTGTTGCTGCTGCTGCTGCGGCGGCGCCGACGACGTCAAAGGAAACGGCGAAAGGGAGTGTACCAGCGGCCGACGGCAGCAGGAAAACACCCAAATCGTCGCCCCCGGTGGTGCCCTTTCCGCTGCCGAAGCCGCGGCACGAGCAAGCAGCGGCGGCAAAGGCTGCTCCTGTCCCTACGTCTGTGAAAAGATCATCCTCAGCTGCTGCTACAGCTGCGGCCACACCGGCCGCCGCGCCTACTACTTCCCTCACTGCAGCAGAGAAGTTGCGCAGAAGTGCGACGAGCTCCATTCTTTCGGGCAAGGAAGCTCACTCCGAAACGTCTTCTGCGGCCACGCCAGCATTGCAGACTCCTGCAACACCCAAAACATTCACAACAGCAGCATCAACCTCAACAACAGCTAATAACGCTGCCGTCAATACGGCGGCGGCGAAGAAGGAGCCGCCGCAGAAGGCACGGCGAGAAGTTCGACAGACTTCGAGTACTTCTGTGGTAGACGCGGCGTCGGCGAATCCCCAAAAGGCGACGGGGGTGGCACCGCAGAAACCCTCCATCACGCAAGGAAAAGAATTGCCGACAGGCAAGAAGGATGCACCGTCACATGCAGTGACGAAAGCAGCAGGACAGGTGGAACAAACGAAGACGACGTCCCCTGCCTCAGCGTCGAAGCAACCGTCACAGTCAGCGGCGGTGAAGACACAGCCAGCTGTCGCAGCCGAGGACCCGGATGAGAGCTACGACCTCAATCGCGTCTTGAACTTCCTCAAGCTAAAGTCGATGTACGTCGAGGACGAGGATGGCGAAGGCGGCGGCTCCGACGACTCTAACCGCGGCGGTTACCACGGCGAGACGTTTTTTAAAGCGGAATCCCCGACGGCGAAGGAGGCGGAAGATGCCTGCTTCTCCACCGTCCCCGCGCAAGCGACTCCGGGGTCTGTCACCACTTCCATCGGCCCCTTCAGTACCGTCCCGCAGCCCTCGGAGCACGTCACCTCCCTTCACAACACCCCGCGGCGCCTCGTGCCGCGGTCACAGTCCCCGTCCGACTGGGCCGTCAAGACGGGCGAAGGCATCTACGGCGACGTTGCTAACGACTCCTTGTCCCCGGGCAACCCCGCCTTGCCAGGTGGCAGCTTCCACGTCTTCTCAACACACCCACAAGGTGCGGCTGCAGCGGCAGCAGCAGCGGCAACGACCAATACCTCCTTCACCTCCGCTCAGCAAACGCTCTTACCACCGCCACCGCAGCTGCAGCAACAGCAGCAGCAGCGGCTTGCCTCGCCTAATACGACAGCGACAGTACAAGGAAACCGTTTCCTGCACCCCACGCAGGTCCCGGAGAGGGAGGGCGTGTTCGCAACCATGACAGCGCAGCCGATGCACGCGAAGACGGCAACACCACCTGCGGTGTACTACCAAATGCCGCAGCAGACGTCGCCGTCGCCGGTGGCTGCCGGACAAGCACAGCAGCAGCAGTCGTCTCCCTTCAGTATGGCAATGATGACCCGCGGCGTTGCCGCGCACTCCTTCCCGGAGATGACACTGATGAACACTCAACAGCGCAGCCCATACACCAGCGACAACAGTAGCGATGGGCGCAATAGTAACGCCAATTGCAACTCCATGTTGTATGCCCCGGTGGGTGGCACGCCGTTACAGGGGAGTAATGGAGGTGGTGCGGATCGGCAGCAGACTGTCTTCTCGCGTCTTCGCGCCGTGCCCGACAGTCGAGGGGCGATGAATGAGCCGATGGTGATGTCGCCGTCAGCTGCGCAGGGAAATGGGACGCACATCCTGCCTGGGCAGCCAAGTCGTGGCTCTGGTCCCGGTCCCAACATGGCCCAACCGATGATGATGATGATGGCGAACTCGGGAGGCCAGATGTCGCTTTTTCCGGTGGTCTACAGCCAGCCCGTCTATGTGATGGACTCCAACGGCATGATGCGTGCAGCGCAGGTGATGTCGCAGCCGCAGATGCAACCACATCCGCAGCAGCAACAGCAACTTGTGTACCAGGCAAACATGACGCCATCGGGAGCGGTGCAGAGGCAGCCGAACGTGGTCGCTTATCAAACGACGCCGCAAACCACGTACTCCCCATCCCCGCCGTCGTGGCAGCCGTACTGATACACTTGCGAGGTCAACGAGGCCCTAACCACGGGCGTTTTTGTGTTGTTAACTTAAATGCTTCCCTGTACGTAAGTGTTTTCTAATTTTTATTCTTAGTCTTTACAGTTAATAATTGTAATTCATGCACAACAGGCATAAAACGTTTGCGGTACGCTTTGCAATGAGCAACGGCTCCTCTTTTCTCTATTCTTTCCTCTCGCTCGTCCTCTTGGAAACCCCACAATGCTATCTGGTCTTCTCTCTGTGCACCTATGTGTGCGTACCGCCTGGCGTTGTCCTCTCGGCGAGCGTTCTACGTCTTCGGCTGGCTGTAACTTCTGGTAATCTTCAACGAAACGAAGTGCCAACGAAGGGGCCGCTATTTGCAAGGACGCTTTTTTTTTCCAGCGAGTAAGAGAGGGAGATCACGAATGTGTTGTTCCATCAAAAAGGAAACAATAATGTGAGGAACGAGTAGAAGGGCATGCAGGACTTCAACCCGTAGTGTACAACGTGGATTCTTCTCACTTGAGGTTCGTATCGGAAAAACGAAACAGTACTCGAACAACTTCAAGTGCTGCACGCCACGAACGGTGACGAGCTGAACGCATGTGTCACTGCTGCTTGCTGGACTTTGCAAGAGCAGAGGTTATAACGTGCGCTAACGTTTTATAAAATTATTAATATTATTTATTATTTCGGGGTGCTCATTGAAAAATGACGTAAGATTTTCTGCTTTTGCTCGATTTGTGCGTTTTTTTTCTAAATATATATATATATATATATATATATATTTATATATTTCTTTTACTTTTAGTAATGTAGATGATGTACAGCAAAGCCTGTTTGAAGTCTTCTTTCGTTTTTTTTTTTTGGGGGGGGGGATAAACGAAACAAAAAACAGTACAAATACAGCATTGATTGTCTCTCCTCCTTCTCTTTTTTTTTTGGCCTTCAACGCTTCTTTTTGATTTCGGAGTTGCAGAACTTATTTTCTGTTTTGTTTTCCGTCTGGCTGTTTAACCTCCTTTTTTGTTGTTTTGTCGTTAATTTTCTTTTTTTCTCTTTCTACTGGTAATTGTTTTTATGAGGCTTCAAGGTTTTTCTTTGTGACTCTTTTGATGTGGTGGTATCATTCGTTAAGGGTGCGATGCCGCTAGGCCCTCAAATGGAATGGTTTAAAAAAAATATTTGTAATCGTCATTGACGAGGTGGAGAATTAAAGCGTCGATGGTGACAGGCGACGTGGTCAAGAGCGAAAGAGAAGAGGTGGCTCACTAATACGACCGCTACGATTGGGGAGCACATGAAGCAGTTGGTGGCAAAATGGACTTGGATCCTTGTTACTACTGCGGTGAAAAAAAATAAAAAAAGATGCTCCTCCTGTGAGTATTTTCATGTCGCAGCTCCACAGGAGGATTTATACGTGCCGACAATTTGTCGGGGTTGGTTGTGCCGTCTTCTGCTCTCTAGGTGGCGCTACTGGCTCTCCACTCACGTCTCACGCGCACATGCCGGAGAGTTTCATGCGATGCGTTCTCAACTACTTCTTTGTTTCGCCTTCACACATCCTCACACACACACACACACACACCCGTGTTTATCGTGCTGACGTTTTTTTTGTTTGTTTAACACTACCAAAGATCAGCAAAAGGAAGGAAGCAAGCAAAACGGCAACAATAACAAAAACAAAAGGTTTTAGCTCACCTACGCATGAATATTCAAATCTCGGGCAACTTAAGCGGCCCAACCGCCATCTTTCTCGCGGGGTGGCCAGACACCTGCGATGTGTTTCGCGACAACATCATGGCCACCCTAGCCGCCGACTACCGCGTTGTCGGCATCACCTTACCCGGCTTTGACGATGACCACCCGTTTCTACAGATGCTGCGGGAGAAAGGTATGCGCTCCTCATCGTTCGGCGGTTTGCGCTCTGACAACGATGCACACACGCAGTCGACAGCTAGGTCGAGCAGTGGCAGCTACTGGCTACCAACTTTCTTCCCCTTCTCGTACCTTCGCCGCCAAGACGAAGACGCGCACATGGCACAAGCCCAGCATGCCTGCCTCGTCAACGCACTCCGCCTCTCCTGCGGACGGCCTCCGCTGGAGATGTTTCGGACCACGTGGAAGGGTCACAGTCTGGAAGACCTCGTCACGATGCTGGAAATCGCGGTGGACACGGCGATGGAGACGTGTAACTACTGCCCTACGACGACTCCCTCTGGGGCTGTTGCTAGCGGTGCTGCTGCTTCAACCCGTGAAAAACGGTGTCCAGATGTCACCAAAGCTTTCGCAAAGGCGGCTTTGGGGGTGACTGTGAACACAGATGATGGCCTCGACGAGGTGCCCTTGCACCAGTTACCACCCACCTACACGCGGCCGGTGTTGATTGCGCACGACTGGGGATGCGTCTTGGCGTACGAGCTGCTGCTGGTGCGACCGAACTTCTTTTCTAGAATTGTGGCACTCGACATCGGGGCGTACATATACGAAAGCGACGCCGCACACGTGGAGCGGATGTGCGGGCTGATGAGCCGCAGCGAAAGGGGTGGAGTTGCGCCATCGGCGAGCTTCGCCGCGTGCGGTCCGCGAGCACCAGGGACGGCGCCGCCTGCCATTCCAGAACAGACACCTTCCACCCGTGCCGGTTGTGGAAGTGCACCGATCTCTAATTTCTCCACACGAGACGCAACAGACGACGTAAGAGGAACATGTTTAAGAGACATGCGTCCACGTCAGGAATTAAAGCTATCCGCTGGAATGACCGACGCGAGCCACGGCCGTCAAGACTCAAGTGGGGCAGCTACCGCAACGGAGGCACCGTCGTCTCCACCTTTGCGACAGGAGCACCCCCACAACGGCAACTCTCCCCCGGGAACACCGACCTCTTCCCCCGTGACGGTCGCCCACGGCGTCTTGCCCGGTGCATATCTAGGAAACAGACAAGCCAACGAAAGCGTCAACACCACAACAACAACTCGATTTGACGAGCTAACCGCTTCTGTGTCGAACACCTCACAGCTGCGCAACAGCGTCTCCGGCGCCGCGACAAGACGCTCCTTGGCGTCGCGGTACGCGATTCGACGCAAGAAGCCCACCCAACAAACCCGGCGCGCTGAAAGATGGAAGACCATTTTGATCGTCATCTATCAGTTTTTCCTCATTATTTGTGAACTCTTCCTTCCGCATCAGCTCGCTCGCTGGCTTGTTGGCTGCGTTGCCAGTCTTCTTGGACGGCCGACCTACTGCTATGACCCCCAAATGGTCTTCACGCCGACGGTGGAGCTGCTGAATCACACGCTAAACACGCAGTTCTTTGCGCAGCACCCTTACGCCCTGGAGAACCGCGGTGTCTTTGAGGCACCGGTGTTACTGCAGATGCAGGAAGGGACGAGCGTGGGGAGCCATCCGGGGGAGTCGTCGTGTCCGTCGACAAGCGTAGAGTACCCATCGTCCGTGCGAGGCAAGCTACCTGCGCGCTTGCTGCCCGGTTGGAAGATCTTGTTAGTCCCTTATGTGGAGGGCAGCCCCGTACCTGTCGACCCCACACAGAGGACACACGAGCTGACTGACGCGGACGGACAACACTGTCCACAGTTTCTGCCATCTCCTTTTTCGCGGCGTAGCGCCCACATTCGCCGCGCTGCAAGTGGCGGGCCGGCCAGCGGAGTCAACGGGAAACAGCGCAGACCACGGTCGCGCATGTTGCACACATCGACACACTCAGAGCTGAGCGAATCCTACTCTCTGGGCAGCGACTCCGCGACAAGTACGGATTTTAGCGAGGACGACATCTCCGGCTCGCTGCAAACCGGTGGTCAGCAGCAGGACGAGCAGGAGAACTGTTTGTGGAACGGAAAGTATGCTGCCGCTGCCTCCGACGCCAGCTACACAATTTACTCGTCCTACGCAAAAGGAGCAGGGCTGTTTGAGGAGTGGAACACGCCCATTGAAGGCCTCGGTCGCATCAACGCCGGTGCCGGTTCCAGCGGCGAGCTCGACCCCTATCTGTCCGTGCTGGCCATTCCCAATCTGCTGTGGGCTGCTGAAGATCCGCTGGCGCTGACGGGCGCGCGCTCGTTTCAGGACCACTGTCGGTGGGGGATGAACGCGAAGGAGGACTATTTTCTCACCTCGCCGGATGGCGATGTTGTGCCACGGCGCAGCGCTGCCGGCGCTTCCGCCTCGCACATGCAAGTGATCAAGCGTAAAATCTACTACCAGGCCATTGCTTTCCCCCCGCTTGCGTCGCCGCTGAACGCATCTGCATCGTCCGTAAACGGCGACAACAACAATGGTAGTCGTGGCAACAACGACGACACCGCCTCGTCACGCAGCACCCACTCGACGATGCTGGGGCGGCTGCGACGGTCCAACCGCAAGGCCGCATTGCGGCCCTCCGTCTCGGTCGTCGCGTCACCGCGGCAGGGGTGGATTTACCTCCGCTTTTGGCTCGGCACTTTTCTCATGCGGTTTATGGCGGCTGGGAGTTGGCTCTTTGGGGAGAAGAAGCCGGCACCATCCTCGGGGGCAGCGGGGGAGGGCAGCAGCGGCGGCAGTCACAGTGCCAGCAAGACGTACTCGAATGTCATGACGACGGCCATGACGACCATTTACCGCCGGCTGCCGGTCACGCCCTCTCTTGCCGCGAGCACGGCCAATTTGCCCGGCGACGGCGATGTCGTGTTGCAGCCCATGGGCTACGCCCCGCTGGTCACGCAGCGCTACTTTGTGCCGCTTCCGGTGCCGATTTTGTTCATGTACGGCGGAGAGAAAAGGGTGATGTTCCACGCCGATCACTGGTGTGCGTACATCCGCCAATACCAGCGACCGCGCGACGGCATTTCAGATGTGGTGGAAGTACAGGGCGGTGGCCATTGGTTCTTTGCGGAGAAGAAGTACCAAAAGAAGGTTGCCGATCGCATCGCCGAGTTTCTCGTCGCGGAGCAAAAGTCGCCGCTAGGTCTGTAGCCGCTCGTCGTCATACCGTGTTGTGTGAAGTACGCTGCGCTGTTGTTGTTCTTATTGCTCTCACAAAAGGAACTCATCGCCTTCAGATCACAGTGGTTTTTTTTTTTAATATTTGGTAGCTATTTCTTCAATGACGCTGCGCAAACGTGCGCGTCGTGTGCAATACCTCTGCAACACGGCACCATGGGAATTTCCCCCCAAAACGGACAAGGTTTCATTTTGGGGGGAGGAGCTGCAGTCTCCATCCTCTACTGGGCGTCGTGTGCTCGGGCACCGTTGTAGCTGTGACGCTTTTGGTACGGCTTCTTCTCTCTCTCTCTCCCTCCATCTTCCTTTTTTTTGTTGTTAACCCCTTCGAATGATGCCCAACTACTTGTTCCCACAACCACACTTGAAGAGAAATCAATGGAGTTGAACGACCTCAAAGAAGATGTGCTGATGGGAGACACCGACAGGGCCACCGTACCGGCCGCCGTGCTTGCGTCGGCGCCAGTGCTGGACATCGGCTTTCACCCGACGCTGCCCATTCTCGCTGTGGGACTCATCACCGGAGAAGTCGAAATCTTTGAGCGCAAGAGCGTCGATGAGATGGTGAAAGTGCCGCTGAAGAACGACTTCTCGTCGTGGATCTTCAAGGGCCAGTACAACGAGGACGAGGTGGTCATGAACTACCATCATCAGAACATGCTGATGCACCCGACGGGCGGTGTTTCGTCGATGGAGTTCACCGATGACGGCTCCTACCTCGTGACGGCCAGCGGCGATCGCACCATCTCCGTCATGGACTGCGTGTCGCTGCGTCTGGTGATTCACATCCCATCCGACGAGGTGCACGCACGCACGACGGCGAAAAAGCAGCTGAACGCGATGAACAAAAAGAATGACCCGTTTGCGAAGACGGCGGTCAAGGCGGTGACCACGAAGAAGAAAGTTGGCCGCACCGTGCCGGTAAACCCACACAAATACGGCATCTCCGCGATGAACGTGTGCGATGAGAATTTGATCGCCACAGGCGACGACGACGGCCTCATTGCGATCTGGGATATGCGGGAGCGCAAGCCTGTGCACGCCTACCACGAGCACGGCGACTACGTTTCTCAGCTCTGCTACTTTACCGACGTGCAGGAGCTCGTCTCCAGCAGCGGCGACACCTGCCTCGGCGCCTACGACGTGCGGGCGGGCAAGATCCGCGACTTCAGCGTGAAGCGAAAGGACGAACTGAACTGCTTTGCCTTCATTAATAACAGCGGTATCAGCAACGCCGCGTTTATTCCCAGCATCATTTGTGGTACCCCACACGGTGGTCTCCCCATTTGGAAATATGGCTCGTGGAAGCGCCCCTACGACGTGATGGAGCGCCACCCCGCGGAGTGCGAGTCCATCATCTCCTTCCACGGCGAGAACACTGCTTTCAACCACAACCTTATCCTCACCGGCGCCTGTGACGGGCTCGTACGGGTACTGCAGATGTACCCCGTCCGGCGCAACCTGTGCCAGCTGAGCGCACGCGATTACACCTACTCCCACTCGAGTGTGCTGGGGGGAAACAAAAACACCAGTGGAGGGTCGCAGCATCAAGGTAACTACGTCGTGCGGCGCACCCGTGGACAGGAGGCAATTACGCGGATGCGCGTCTCGCACGACGCGAACTTGCTGGCCGTGAGTGGTACTGACAATGTGATTGACTTTGTCGACATCGCCTTTCTGAACAACGAGGACGAGTTGGATCAGCTGCGTGGGCGGGCAGAGCAGCGTCACCTGCGTACTATTCGTGAGCTGGACCGCGAGCGCGACGAGGCAGACGAGCGGGAGCGGCGGCTCATGGAGGGTCGAGACGGCCACAGCAGCGACAATGACGCAAAGGGGGAGAGCAGCAGCAGTAGCAGCGACGACGCGGATGGCGGTGAGGACGGCTTTTCGGACGCGAGCGATGACACCAGCAGCAGCGATAGCAGCAGTGAGGAGGAGGTGGACAAGGAGGCCAAACTTGCTCGTCGCGCGGCGCTTCGGGAGAAAATGCTAAAACTGGGTGCGGTTCAGAAACGTCGCCGCTCCGACGGCAGTGATAGCGGTGACGAAGGCGCTCACAGCACGAAACAAGCGGAGGCCAAGCCCAAGAAGAAGGTGATCAACACGAAGACGAAGAAACACGCGGATGAACCCGTTGTTGTTGCTGACGCCAACACTGACCCAATCAAGAAGAAGAAGAGAATCACGGCGTGCAAGAAAGACGTGGGTGCTTCGCACGACTCTCCGGCGAAAGGTGGCGATGAGTCTACGTCAGACGTACAGCGGGGGAGCAAGAAAACTGCCAAAACGAAGGCGGCGGATGCGAAGTCGGGCGACGAAGGCGGGGAGGGCGCGATTGACTCGATGGAGGCGTACCGCACCGATCGTCAGAAAAAGCGCGAGCGTGCTGCGGCGGCTCGTTGGCTAAAGGAGGAGCGACGGAAGAAGATTAACTTCACCTACGAAAAGCGTCGCCGGCGCGTGGGCGGCTTCTTTGGCGATATGGTGGGCGGAGATGATGATTAAACTCTGTTTTTGCTATTTTGTTTAATTTTCGTTAAATACGTCTAAGTGTTTACTAAGATTCTTTTTTTCCCACATTTCAAACAACACGGCAGGAGAGTAAAGCAGCGAAGCTTCTCTGTTGCAGCCACGTCCGTGTTGAAAAGCAGGGAATGCGCCGCGGTTACCATTCCCCTTCCAGGCATCAAATGCAGCGTAGGAGAGGCTTCCAGGCGATGCAGTGTTGGGGACAAATGCGCGTTCCTCATTGAAGAGAAGCACGACTCCTTTCTGTTCCCTTTTGCTTTTCCTCGTGTGTGTTTTTTCCCTCCATTCATCCACAGCCTTCTCAAACACCAATTTAGAGCACCCATACCGGTATTAGGACACACATATTGAGCATGCCAGCTCTACCGCCAGCACGCAAAGGTGCGAAGGGAGGAGAGGAGCCCGCACGCAAGAAGAAGGTTCTGCCAGTAGAGCTGTGCAAGTGTGGGGCCGACATGTATCGCCCACCACCAAAGGGCAAGAAGGCACCGGCGCCGCTCGTGCACAACCCTGGCTGCGTGTACCAACGGACCACCTGCGACGCCTACCCGCACCTGCCGCGGTGCGTCGCGTGCCAGAACCCGTGCAATTTTTGCTTAGGAAAGACGCGCTGGTGCCCCCACTGCTACGAGAACCAGTGTGAATACCGCTACAAACGGGTGGTACTTGGCGTGGAAGTCTTGACCGGCGCTAACGTTGGCCCAGGCTCCGGCGAGCCCGTAGCCTTGGCGCAGCGCAGAGGAACGTCGCGACGCAGAACGACGGTAAAGTTTGTGGACGGCAAGCGTAGCTGACCTTGCCGCGAGGAAGTCCTTTCTGCATTTAGCCTGTACAGTTTGAGGGTTGTGTTGCGTGCCTCTTATTTTTTTTTTCTGAGGAGTAAACACGACTCTTAAAGGTGCCGACGTTCGATCAATGTCTTGTCAGGTGTGCGGTAGTGGTGTGGGCTGTTAGGCGCTTAACTTGATCTCATCTCACCACTTTTCGATGTAAACAATCATCCTCCTGTCTCGTTGGGAGAGGAAGAAAAGCAAAAGACGCCAATTTTCAAAACACAAAAAATCCCGTATCGTAGTGAAACGACGCTTCACCGGAACAGAATACTGAAGTGGTGGTGAATAGGTAACCCAACCGTTTCATCGGTTGCAGAAAGGCAAACGTTTCCTGGAGAACGAAAGGGCATTTGATTGGGTTTTTACCTTATTCGTTTTTCCCTCTGAATTCTCGTTAAGCTACGTCCCCAACGCAACGGCACAATTTCTCTCACTTTTCTTGTTTGCTATGCTTTCGATGTGGATGATACGCGGTGTGAAACAGCTGAAAGTGCCGAGACCAAGTTCCGCACAGAGGAAACAAAAAAGATACGCTTTTATTTTCTGCTTTATCCGGACAACAAAGTGGAAGCATTATTTTTTTTTTACCGATCTTTTCCTTCTTTAACTGCGAACACCTTTCGTATTCATTTCTCCCTTTTCTGTTGGTGTTTGCCATTTCAACTACGCGAAGCATCCGTGTAAGTGCGCCTCTTCAACCACTTCAGTGAAGTGGAAAGTATATATAATCACTTATTTTTAGTATACCATCTGAAACCTCGAACGAATGAGCGGGGAGTCATCGCAGCCGTCGAATGGGGAGCGGCTGTTCTTCCTCTACGGCTCCGAGACTGGCAACGCGGAGAGCATCGCGAAGCGACTGCATCACGACGCTGTCAACACACACGGATTCACGCAGGCGGCCTGCATGAGCCTGAACCAGTTTGTCGCCAAGAAGGTGCTGGATGAGCACCTTGCGGACGACGTTGCGGTGCCACTGTGCCTCGTCGTGGTTTGCAGCACCACCGGCGAGGGCGAGCCGCCGCTGAACGCGTCACGCTTTCGCAGGTGGCTGCGTAACACCAGCGGCACGCTACACAAGGTGCGGTACTGCGTCTTGGCGATCGGTGACACGAATTACAACAGCTTCTGTGCTCCAGGTATTTCTGTGGACAACAAGCTGAACGAGATGGGCGCGGTGCGGTGCTACCCCCGCGGTGAGGCGGACGATGGCGTGGGCCTGGAGTTGGTGGTAGACCCGTGGACGGAAAATGTGTGGTCAGCGCTCAAGAAGGGCAACAGCAGCACCGGTGAGACGGAGGCCGTTGGGCGGGAGAAGTATCAGGCTGCAGAGCCACGCGTTGACATGTCTGTGGCGCAGGAGGCGGCTATTTTGTACTCCAACGCGTCGCAGCTGTGCTCCGTCGCGGCCCTCTTTCTGTACGAACGCGTTGTGGAACTGGGCGGGAAGGCCGACCTCTACCCGATTCAGTACTTTCATCCAAGGACAAGCCTGGTGCGGCCGCCAAAGGTGTTGCTCTTCATTGTGGCGACCGACGCCGATGAGGGCGTGCTGTGTGAGAAGTGCGCGTGCCAGCCGCAGCAACTGCCTCCCTTGGGGCCCTTCAGTACGTGGCTGAGCAGCAGCAGCGGCAGCGACTCCTCTGTCGTCCCAGCAGACGCGGCAGAGGTGCAAGGATGGATGGCAGACCCCTCGATTCGCTTCTTCAACTCGTTGGTTATTGCGCCGAAGAAGGAGAGCGCCGGTCGGGCGCAGCAGCTGGACGCTAACCTCAAAACCGCTGCCACGCTCAGCAAGTTGGAGTTTCTGTGTCGCCGGCAGTCCTCTGGCGAAGTACCATCCGTGGCGGTCACCGATGACGATGCTTTTTTCTGGGTGGAGGGCGTGCTGGACAGCCTGCCTGGTGTGACCGCCACCGCCGACACGATTCACAGCACGATGGAGTACTTCTTTGATGATCGCGTTGGGGCTGAGTTTCGCAGAGGTGTGGTGTCAGGAGACGTCGGATACACGCAGAAGGACGGCAGCGCGAGTGAGCAGGAGTCGGCAGCCACCACCACCACCACCACCGGAACACGCCGTCGCTACCGACTGCACGAGCGGGACGAGGGCCGCAGCAGCACCACTGACGGTGCAGGAAGTTCGCACTCGCCTCAGCCGGTACTATCGCCACCGCCGCAGCAGCAACAAGAGCGCGCACAGGATGGGACGCTGCGCAAGACGCACCAGGTTCTGGACGACCTGCTCACACCCGTCGTCTTTCTCTACTCTGATAAATCAAAGTACGTGAAGCAGTGTGCGTTGGACGTCTTCGGCGCAGCCGGTCAGCATCACCTTCGCAGCTCCGTGTGCGAATTGAGCAACTTCCGCCAGACGGGCTTCCCGCGACGTGCTACTTTTGTCTTTGTCGTCTCCGGTGTGCTGACCAAGTCGATGGTGCGTGTGCTGAAGGTGCTGCGGACGATGCAGGCGCAGGGCAAGCAGGTGGACGGCGTCCACTTCGCTATTCTCGGCATCGACAAGTCCACCGAGAGCGACAAGTTCAACGCTTGCGCGCTAGAATTGGAGACGCTGCTGCTCGAGATGAAAGCCACCAAGATTCATTGCACCGGCTTGGCGGACATGGACTGCGGCAGCCTTCTCCCCATCATCCAGTCATGGGAGTCGAATCTGTGGAGCGCCATTGTACACCCCATGAAGAGTGTGGCTTATTTGGACATGGCCTCCCCGAACATTCAGGTCCACCAAACTTTCTCTCCGTTGACAGGTGTGCCACCGGGCATGAGCGGAGCCGCTGCCGCTGCGATTGCCGGCGCCGGCGCAGGGGACAGCGACGGCAACGGTGTGCCACGCGGAGCAGAGAGCACGTTATATCCTGTTGCTGGGACAGTGCTGAACTCCTTCTCCCTCCCAACAGCAGACAGCATTACGGCCGAGTTGGCTCGGAAGGCACCGTCGACGGCGTCACCGATAGCCGCCGCGGTCGACGCACTGCCTGGCAGCAGTGGTGTCCGAGGTGCGAACTCCGTTTTGCTCTCCTCAGGCGAGGGCACCGCGAAAGTCCCAATGACGGCAACCGGCGGCCTTGCGATCGACCTCGGCAGCTCACTTTTTCCGTGGGACATCGTTCCACTGCACAAGGCGAACGCGCAGCGCACGCCCGTCGCTTTCCTCTACGCGTCGGCGGGTATGTCCAAGACGATGGCCCTCAACGCGATGCAGACCGCGGCAGAGAAAAGGTTTCCCGCTGTCCTGCACTCCTTCGCGAATTATCAGCTGATCGACTTCCGCGCGTATCCAAACCTCATTCTCTTCTGTGAAGCCGGCCCTGACGGCCAGTCGAGTGGCGGTCGCCGATTCAAGAAATTTCTCACACACCCGCTGCACCGTCCAGACGACCTCTCGTACGTGCGCTTTGCTGTGCTGGGTCTCGGCGCCACCCCCAGTAACGTCGTCCACCCTGCCTTTTTGTGGGCAAAGCTGCTGTCTCGCCTGCAGGCCAACCGTGTCTTTCCGGTGGTGATTATGCCGTCCATGTCGCAGCTGCACTCTCTCGGTATTCCGTGGGCGGAGTGCGTTCTCGCCTCCATGGCCCTGATACCAACGACAACAGCGCAGCCAGCGGACGCAACAAGGGAAGGGTTAGCGCCAGCACCCGACGGCAACCACCCGCCAGACGAGCAGCAACGGCAACAGCAGCAGCATCGCGCTTCTCCCAGTACTGCTCCCCATGATAGCGAAAACGACAGCGTTGCTGCTGTTACCATCAATCCACAGCGGAGCATTCTTTTCTTATTCGGCAGTTCTACGGGCATCACTGAGTCGATTGCGCGCGACTTGCACCGCGAAGCACTGGAGCGCGGCTTCCACTCTCGCATCGCAGCACTGCAGTACTTTCAGAAGATGAGCTTCCTCTCCACGGCGAATGTCGTGTTGGTGTGCAGCACCATCCCAACCGCGCCGGGTGGCTTTCCGCGAAACGCACGCAGTTTTGCCCGCTACGTGCTCGCACAAGATCAGCCCGTCACGCTGCTGAGTGGGACTTCATTTGCTGTATTGGGTGTGGGAAACGGTTCCGCCACGCTGCAGGGACCGACATCCTACTGCCGCACCGCCGTCCGTTTTGACCGGCGCATGGCGGAACTCGGCGGGCACCGGCTCTGCGAGGTGGGCACGGTGGACGCCTCTCAGGCCATCGCGCAGCCCGTCGAAGAGTGGCGGCAAGCGATGTTCGCGGCGTTGGAGGCCCGTGCGGCGGCGCAGCAAGCTGTGGAAGCAGAGGAAGAGCAAGATGAGGCCCAGTACCGTGAACTGCCGCTGCCGCTTCCCAGCTCCGCGAACAACGGCAGCGGTGGAGGTGGTGTGTGCGCGGCGGCCCTGGAGAAGCTTGGCGGACTAAAAGCAGAAAGCGCGGCGAACAGCTCGGTGGTTGCGGTGGCGGACCGATCGCGGCTGCGACCACAGCGGGCCATGATCGCCTACTGCTGTACACCGACGAGTGTGGTGGAGGAGCTCGCCGAGCACCTGGTTCGTGTGATCGAGGAGTCCACACCGATGGTGCCGACGGTGTGTACGATGAACGACCTGCTGAAGCGAAACTGGCGCAGCGAGTTTGAGATGCTCATCTTCGTGGCGGGCCAAAACTCCGAGGCCGAGTATCCAATGAACGGGGCGACCTTTGCACGCGTTCTGCGCCAGCGCACCGCGCCGCTGGACATGTTCGCCTACGTCTCGTACACCGTACTCGCGGTGTCAGACAGTAACTCGACGCAGTTCTTCATGGGCCGGCAGCTGGATCGCCGTCTCGAGGAGCTGGGCGGCACTCGCGTGTACGCGCGCGGCGAGGTCGTGGACTCCTTTCGACTGGAGCGCACCGTGGAGAAGTGGCTGGCGGGGCTGACGAACCTCTTGACGTCGATGTGCGAGAATGCGGTGAGCAACAGCGACCTGGATGAGGCGGACGAGGTCGAAGGTGGTGGTGGCGTTGACGGTGGAGTGCAAAGGACTGCGACAGCAGCGGCAGCGAAGGGCAAGGTCCCTTCCGAGGTGAACGCCGGGAAGCTGCTTCGCTCCTTACACCGCACCAACGACGTGGCGGTGATGCAGCGTGAGAAAAGGACAAGTAAAGGACGATCTACCGCAGCTGCTGTTGTGGGTGTGCAAGGCGGCACCGGCGAAACGTCGTCAGACGGGATGGAGCCTACAGCGGCCACCTCGAGAGCGGATTGTGATCGAGTAAAGGCAAACAACGGACGTGAGGACGGCGGCGAGGATCCGCAGAACCGCTTTTCCTCTGAGGCAGACGCAGAGAGCCGCGTCAGCGGTGTTGCCTCGTCCTCTCAAGACTGGCGGACAGAGTCGTCCATGGTGAACCGCATTGCCTACAGCGCGAACAACGCCGGCGATCGCGTTGACGGTGTCGTGCAGTCGTGGAAGCTGCTGACCTCGCCCCAAGCGGAGCGACCCGTGCTGCAGTTGAACCTGTCGGTGAGTGCAGAGACGCAATGGTCGCCCGGTCAGACGGTGGCCATTCTCCCCTCCAACAACTCCACGGAGGTCGAGGCACTGCTGCAGCTCTTTAAGGTACCGCATCACGAGCCTTTCCATCCTTTGTCGATGACTGGCACAGAAGCCTCCTGCTTCCCCACCTCACCACTCTATGACGCTGTCGATTTCCCCGTGAGTTGCGGTACGATTCTGCTGCGGTACGTCGATTTGCGCGTCACGAGAAGTCACAAGCCGTTTATCCAACTTCTCGAAAAGAGCGCACCCAACGAACTGGACAGAGCAGCGGTGCAGCAGTACTTTCAAGCCTTTTCGTCCGAGCGTACCCCGCGGGCGTTGCTGGAAGTTCTCGAAGCCTTTCCTCATTGCATTCCTCCTTTCCGCCACGTCGTGGAAAACCTGACCTTGATGCAGCCGCGGCAGTACTCTATTTGCAGCTCGCACCAGGCCGACGCCACGACGCTGTCGATTTGCTTCAAGTTTGTAGAAAAAGGCTTGTGCACTGGATGGATGTGCGAGCAGTGCCTGTGGGCTTCGAAGCTCCCGGCGTTCGCCCTGGCACGCCTGTGTTGCACGAAAAACGACGGCAACGCGTGCGGTCAACGACGCGACATCATTACGTGCGAGCTGGTGCAGCCGAACACGCTCATCGCAGCAAAACGGCGCGTGTTAATTCCTTTCGTGGTTCGCCGCGCCTCGGAGTTCCGTTTGCCACGCGACCCGCTCATCCCAATGGTGCTCATCGGCCCGGGCACCGGCATTGCACCCTTTCGCGCCTTCTTGCAGGAGCGAGAAGCGTGGCTCACGCAGCGACAGCAGCAGTGCGGATCCACTTGCCTGAAAGGTCAGCTATGCGGCTGCCCCTACGCGGAAGCAAGTCACACGAGCCACGCCATCTGCGGCAGCATCGACCTCTTTGACGGGTGCCACCGCCGGGGCGAAGACTTCCTCTTCGGTGACGAGCTGCGACAATGGGAGGAGGACGGGGTGCTGCACTCCATGACGGTGGCCTTCTCACGAGAGCCGAATGAGGGTGGCTTTTGGTATGGTGGGTGCTACGTGCAGGACAAGATGCGAGAGTGCGCGGTGGCACTGATGGATTTGATTTTGCAACGCAATGCGCACTTGTTTGTCTGCGGCGATGCGGATGGCATGGCGAAGGAGGTACACGCCACGCTCCTTGAACTCATTCAGCAGCATCTGTCTCTTTCAGACGCTGCAGCGGCGGAGTATTTGGAGCAGCTGAGCAAAGACGGACGCTACCTGCGTGACGTGTGGTCCACCAGTTTTTAAAGCCACACACCCAGACGCATGCATGCCTGCATTTGGGGAAACCAAAAGCAAACAACAAATGTCGTTCAAGCGTGGCGACATGAGTGCGCTTCGCTCTTCAGTTGACCGCCTTTTAACCCATGATGCCTTTATCTTTTTCTTTTATGCTTCTCATGAGCGAAAGGAAAACTGACACATCGCAGAGCATGGTGTGGAATCTGAAGGTAACTTCACCACAACTCGAACTGACGTTTATCCGAACGCTTTCCCTTTCTTTGCTTTCTCTTTCAAATCGTTGACGTCTGATAATTGGTACTGCTAGTCTCTCGAGTGTATAGTTGTATGATGGCATATCTGAGCGGTGACGCATGTAGAGGAAGCATCTTCGATACGGAGCGTTTCCTTCTCCTTTTTAAGCATATTTGGTGCAGACGAAAATATGAGATATCCAAGTGCGCCCGTTCGGCTTTGCGGTGCCATCGCTTGCACAAGAGGAGGGGAGGCCTTTGCTTCACAAAAGCTATTCATGCTGACATGAAACTCTTTTGAGCGGTGCCTTTCCTGATAGCTTCTTTTTCCTCCTTCTATTACAATTGTTGCCTCCTCATCGATTCTTTTGTTTTTTGTGTGTGTGCTTCTCAGAGCGCACGTTCCACCCAGTGTACGGGCACCGTCACAGCAGCTGGGTTACCTTGCCGTTGCACGGCTTAACCCTACCTTTTGAGGGTGCTTCATCTTTCGTTTATTTGTTCGCTTTTTTAGAACAATTTCCATATAGATATATACATTACGCTTCCGCTTGCACGTGGGCGGATTTTGCTATCTCTTTGCTGATACCTCACGGTTTTCTTTGTCTCGCGGGCCAGCAATGTCCGTGACTGTGTCGAGTAGCACCGTGGTCTCACCGCTGTGGGCAGCAGCTGAAGCCACAAGCCTGCCCGAGACAATTCCTGTACACGAAGCGGGCATTTTTCTTTCGTTTCAGCTCACGGGAGAAAAACGTGGTGCCACCGCCGACGAGTTCACCTTTGTGGCCTTCCACCCTGTCGATGAGACCTGCTTTGTGTTTGGCACGGCCTCCGGCAAGGCGTACGGCGTGTCGTTACAAGACAACAAGGTGTTCCTGCTGGCAGACCTCGGTAGCGGGGCGCTTCGGTGCGGCATCTTCTGCCCTGGTTATCTCACGAGCCCCATCGTCGTGTTGGTGAAGACGGGTAATTGGTTGGTCTTTGTGGACTGGCAGCGTGGAACGGTGGTGCAGGAGACGGTGATGGCTGCACACACGCAACCGATTCTACGCCTCATCACAGGACCGTCGACGGAGTCGTTGTTCTGCGCCGTCAGTGCTGATGCGTTCTCGTGTTGGGAGCCTGTCGTCGCAGGGGTCGGGGTGTCGCATCTGGATGTGCAGCACCGCGGGTTCGTTGATGTGCAGGGAATTGAGACGAAGGCGCCGACTCCGAATGCGGCCGCGGCGCCCGTGAAAGGCGACCAAAGGAGCGAAACACCTTTTTACACCTGCACCGGTAGCGCAGTGCCAACGCACGGCACACTGGAACGGTTGCAGGAGCTGACGAAGGTGCCTGTCCAACGGCAGGGCAAAAACGCACAGCGCTTTGTGGGTCTGCATGTTCTCGATCCGTCGCTGCTGCTCTCCGTCGAGTCGAACAACGTCCTTTCACTGTGGAAGCGTCGCACCAACTTGAGTGGGGTTCCAGTGGTTCCTGACTCCCGGTCGGACAGCTCTCGCACAGCAGATGTAGCCAATGGCACCTCGGTGGCTCCGCTGGAGGCGAGACTGCAGCTGCGTGAAAGTGTTGCTGCTCCGTCGACGCTGCGCCTGCGGTGCTCTGCGACGTGCGGGCTCCTCCTCGCTGTTGGTGCAGACGCCGTTACCACGTCGAAGCAAGGCACCGTCGTGGAGCCCGTTGTGGCCTTTATCGACGCCCACACATTGGCGGGAAGCGGTGTGGTGCAGCTGCCGGGAAACGGCTACAACAGTGGCAAGGCTGCCGTGACCGTGGTGCAAGTGAGTGCTCTTCAATCGGACCTTGTCGCGTGTCTTCTGAGCAGTGGAGTGGTGCATGTGGTACTGCCGAGCACCTATCACCTGGTCTTTACCATTCAGCCCCCTTCCGCCTTTCCGGGAAATGATGCCTTGCTTCGCTCCTTACCTCCTTCTTCTGCCTCGTGGTCTCGCAAGTGGTGGAGTTTCACGCCCTCAGGACCGACGTTTGGTGCGAGGTACCGAAATAACGCTCTGGTGCTGCTGCACCTACCAACCGCGCGGAAGGAGGCGGCCGCGGGCAACAGAAGCCTCGCACAGAAACCGACGTCGCCAACGATGCGCAGGTCACATAGCATTTTACAGCGCCGCCAAAACAGTCCAGTGAAGATTGACAACGTCAACAACACGAGAGACAGCGCAAGACCTGCGTCGCCGGTCGTTTCCCCACAAACTGCCGTGGCCTCCTCACCCTTGACACTGGCACAGCCGTTCCTGCGTCATCGTCCCACTTCAAAGCCGTCGGCAGGGGCATCCGCGGGGACCTACAACGGCGCCGACTTTCCTTCCTCCGCTTCACAGATGGGTGGGGCCGGGGAAACGGTGGCGGAGGTGGCGGCTGCGTTGCTGGTCCTCGCCACGTGCCACCCACCTCCTGCGGTACCCCCAAAAGGTTTTCCGACAAAGTGGGTCGATGTGAATCTTGTGGATGTGGGCTTCGCCGACGCCGACGGGCTTGCAGGCGGCGGGGACGCTTCCGAGAAGACCAACGAAGCCAGTAGCGATCCTGCCGCCGGGCGCCAAATGTCGGAGCAAGATCTGTGGTCCGAGGCCAAGTTCTGTGATACGCTGCCTGCGGTCTCATGCCAGTACAACCTCGAGCAGCTGCGCGCGCACCTTATGAAGCATGGAGTGTTTCCCCACGCCTACCGTCCTCTCATCTGGCGGTTTCTTGTGGGACTGCCGACAAAGGCAAGGACGGCGTCGCAGTTTGCGGCCGTCGCGCGGCGGCCCCTGCACGTCGCGGTGGGTCCTCTCATGAAGCCGTTCCCCTTACCTCCTAACCAAACACGGCAGGCGATCGAGAAGGCGGTGTCGTGTCTGTGCTGGGCGTCGCCGGTGCTGACGCTCGCGTCTTACCTACCGGTGCTGGTCTACCCGCTAGTGGTGCTCTACCGCAACGATGTGCAGGCCGTCGTGGAGCTGGCGCTGCTATTTTTTGCGAACTGGGGAAGAGATTTCTTTGTGTGCCACCCACTCGGTCCAATGTCGGTGCTGACGACAATGGAGCGCGAACTTGATCGACTGGATGCGGACGTAAGTCGGCACTTGAAGGCAGTAGGGGCTGGAGTGGAGGTGTGGGGATGGGAGCTGATGACATCCTTTTTCACTGATGTGCTGACCGGGCCGGAGTGGCTGCAGGTGATGGACCACGCGTTCGCAGCGTCGCCGATGTGGCTTTTCGCCTTCCACGTCACACTGGTGCGCCGTCGACTGCGCGCGTCTCTCATGGCTGCTGTCAGCGCCGACGAGGTACGGCGCGTTCTGAGTCAACCAGCCGGCACGGGCGCCACGCACTCTTCCTTACTGTCCTTGAAGGAGGTGGTCGAGGAAAGCTACCGACTGCACGCTGTGTGGGCCAAGCGTAACGAAGATAGTGCTGCGGTGGAGCTGCTCCCCTCCTCCTACGCCAAACTCCAAACCTTGTCCCCGCGCTTCGAGTACCCAGAAGGTCCCGTGCACAATCCAGTTGTGCTGGCCGAGAAGATGCGTGAGTTAGCACTGGTACAGCGCAGCCAACACGAGGAGGCGGAAGCGGCAAAGCGCTACGCAGCGGTGCACAAAGAGGCCGAGGCCGCCGCGGCGAAGGAAGCGGCGTTTGTGCAGCAACAACGCGCGCGTGTCGCCGCGAAGTACGACGCCTCCGCCACTGCGTGGGAGGTGCAGGTGGCGCTGGAACGGTCACGACAGGCGCAGGAGGCGCAGGAGCGGCAGCTGCGGTGGGACGTGCTGCAGCGGCGTACCCGCAACGCCGAGCAGTTGCAGGCGCTGAGCACGGAGATGAACACGATCGAGTCGCAGCTCCGGCACGACATGGTGGACCGTCACATGGAGCAGCTGAAGTGGGGCCTCGCCACGCACATGACGGACGAGGAACTCTCCCGGCTGCAGCGAGCAGCGGAGGAGCAGGTGGAGCGGGCAATGCGGCACATGGAGGAGAATGCGGAGATCCAGGCAAGAGAAGTGGCTCGATTCCAGGCGGAGCCAGCCGTCACGGTGGACGTTGCGGATGCTGCAGACGGGGACGATACGGTGAGCAAGAGCGCGGAACAAGAGGAAGTGAAGGAGCCGAGGTTCTCTGATTTGCAGTCTGGCAAGGACAGCAGCACGCTCGCAACGAAGTCCACACTCGGGGAGCACGTAGATCCTCTGCAGCAAGACGACGAGGGCACAACATCTGACTCTGGCGCTGACGCGGAAGTCAAGGAAAGCGTCCAGCGCCATGCGGCCAAGGGCGCACCCAAAGCGCGTTCGCTTCATTGTCCTGAGCAAACACGCGTTAAATTGCTGCCAACTACTTCGGCAACTGACTCGTCATCGGTGGCGCCGAATCATGAGACCGCTCCCGTTGAGGCGCCTCGTGCCGCAGATGCTTCCATTTTGTCAGAGGAGGCGGGGACCGAGTCTGCAGGAGCCAACACGACGTCGTTGTCCGCCACCACGGAAGCCTACGTCTCTCCATCGAAGGAAACGCAGCCGACGACCCTGCGCGGTATGCATTATCCAGCCCGGCGGCCCGGGCAACCTGTTCCTCGGCACGCGTCTTACCGAACGTCCACTGGCAGCGACAACAGCAAGAACTCCGATCCGACCTTGGAGAGCTTCGTGGAGCTGCGCAACCGTGTCTTGCGGCGACTGCAGCCATCAATCGACGTGAACGCCATTCGCAGTGAAACGGACGCCTCCAAGAGGCGCCACCAAACATCTCCCGAACAACGAGGCGACCGACGAAGCTCGACGAGAACCCACGACACTCCCACGTTCTCCTCCGTATCCTACTACACCACAAGCACGTACGAGAGTCGGACCAGCACCAGCACGACGGAGACCACCACCCACCCCGCATCTTCGAAAACAGCATCGTCATCTGGGCGTCGCCTGTTTGATGACGCACCTCGCCGTGACTATGCAGCGCACACGAAAGGCGATGACTGTCACGTGTCGCACAGTGGACGGCAGCGCAGTGCACCAAAGGCCCCGCGACACCCCACGGCATACGCGGCTACTACGTCCACTGCAACAGCTTCCGCTTCACGCAGCACCAGTGGTGAGAACACATCTCCCTCCTTGTTTTATTCTGATTACAGCGAGGGGCGCTCAAAAGAGACAGCGTCCACCGCTGCGTCGTTTCCTCGCTCCTCGACGTTGTATTCCGATTCCACTTCGTGAATCAGAGGAGCCGCATGCTGGTCATCGGAATGCGGCTGAGTGTGCACATGATTCGCCGTTTCCCTTTTTTTTCTTTGCTGATCAGCAACTTCAGATTGCTAGAATTAGACTTGAACGGCCGGGCAGCCTCGTTGAGCGTCATAGAACTACAGGTTTCTTCTTTCTTGTTCGGATAGATCGCGTTTCACTTCAAAATCTAACTTCATGCGTTCAATAGGAGAATCGGTAGCGCATTCTGTAGTGTTGTAAAGTGTATCTGAGGCGGTTCGCGAACCTGAGTGAACCGCACGCGCATGCCGTTTTTTTCGCATGCGGTGCGTCGCGTCAATCAACGACAAACGAGCAAAAAAAACTAAAGTGATGGCTGCTGTGCAGAAGCACTGGCTTCCACTCGCATCAAATCCTATCTTTGATGTATTTCCCGCAGATTATCGTAAACATGCCTCTCGCTATATCACCTTCTTTCCTTTTGTCTTCTTTGATGCTTTCACGTACAGCCGAATGGGAAGACTCACCTATACGCATAGACCTGCATAGAAAGCACGCTAACTCTTTTTTTTTCTTTCTTGGCGTTTCATCTCGGGAAAAGGTAGAGCCAGTTTTGAGTCCTCGCAGACGTTAAACTATTTTGTTTTCCACTTCGATCAAAGCGGTATCAATGTCGTCATCCTCGAGCGTTCCTGTCGATTTCATAGACCCGTATGTGCTGGAATTTGCGCTTAATTTCAAATGGCTGCTTCGCTACGCTACCCAGCACCTTGACCCCATGGTGGAGGTGCAATACCCCACTTTTGTTGCGGACGTAGTGAACATGGAACGCGTGCTTGCTCAACTCACGTTTGAAAGGAGCTGCGCGCTCAACAACATGCCGTTTGGCGCACTGCGGTTGTCGCGAGACATGGTGCTCTATTTACTCGTGTGCGACCACCTCCTTGGTGGGTGTCCGCCAACGATGCATCCTTTTCTTCAGCAGGCGTACAGCAGTTCTCGCGATAACGCGCAAACGCAAGGCGGAGGTCCGTCGTCTTCGCACGCGCTGCAGCGTGAAGCGGTCATCCGGTCTCGGCGGCCGGCCACACACGCGGACTTCAACGAGAGCTTTCCCAGCGCAAGTGATGACGACGCAGAAGGCGCAGAAGGTCGAGGTGGGGTGGTGACCGCGGCAGTTGCAGAGCCAGCAACACGCGCGTTGGACGGCAGGCAGCTCGGCACTCTTGACAGTGCGGTCGCACAGATGAGCACTTCTGAGACGACGGGTGCGGAGGGGACGGCGGCACAAGCCGCTCTACTTTTGCTGCGGTGGCTCTTTGTGGAAGGCGTTTTGTCCGAAGACGAACTTGCGGCAACGCTCAACCTTGACCGCGTCGGCGACAGCGCATCTGATGTACGCTCTGGTAATAGTAATCAAAGTGAAGACTCTCGAGCCTTTCAACGGCACCAGCGACTGGCAGCTCGACTGGCGGAACTCATACCGTTCTACCTCGGTGCACACGTTCTTATCTCCCGCTCCATCCTCTTGCAGTACAGCGCAACGCTGTTGACGGCAGACGGCGTAATGCAACACGTCCGGCGCTTAGAAGCCCCCCTCGAAACGAAATCCAAGTACGCGCGGTATTCGGTGGTGTACCCCCCTAGCAGTGTCGAGGGTGCGTTGTTGGAGTGGTTTCAAGCAGTCATGGACTCCGCGCAACAGCAAATCCGTGACAACGCAGTTTCCTCGGCACGGTTAACGAGCTGCATTCCGCTGCAGAGCTTTATTGAGCACGGTCCCTTCTGCCAGGACGTGCTCGATCCATCCGAACGTGACTTCTTCCGCCTCGTGCAGTGCGGGGAGTGTGTGTGCATTGCACTATGGTTCTACTGCCCCGAGGCGCTGCCGCTGACGGAGCTGTCGCATGCTCTACGGGACGCGGAGGCTTTTGTATCGTCACCCCCGCCCGAGGCAGCGCACTTCTCGCGTGGCGAGGCGGCTGATCTTGTTCAGCGTCATCGGTCACTGTGCCACTGGACCGCGATCATCGCTGCGTCACGGTACTTGGGTGTCGTGCCGTTGCTGTCGCCCGAAGAGGTCGTCTCCTTTGGCCGCACCGCGCTGCCGCTGCACCTCTTCGTGCTTATTCAGCAGCTTTTCGCCGTTCTCGCGACGAACGCGGAAGAGGACGTGCGTGTGAGCGCGGATACGGCGTGGTGGAGGCAAATGGGCACCTCCGACGCGTACACGAAGGTCATGGCGGCGAAGGAGATGACACGGCAACGGAATCCAAACTACGATGAGGACACGCACACGGGAGCGACGAGTTCTACACTTCCCGGCGCGCAGCATGTGCTGAGGCAGTCCATGCGCGACAGCTTTCCTCCGGAGGCGTTTTCTCATTTGCGCGAAAGTGGCCAGGAAGGAGAAGAGGAAAAAGTCGAGGAAGAGGTGGTCGTTGGATCTCCCAACGCTGCGACGAGCGCCGCACTGGAGCATGTACCAGAAGACCCAGACATCATGGAGGCGGTCAATCGTCAGCCGACACACGACGAAACAGTATCAGCCAGGCTTGGCAGAGCGCAAACTCTGGCTCTCCCCCCAACCACGGCAGCAGTACCCAACGTTCTATCCCTCATCCGCAATTCCACTCCACTCCCCAAAGAGCGTGTGAGTGTCGAGGACTTTACGGCGACTCTGGCCGCAGAGGCCGTTCCAGGGGAGCGCAACATGGGCCGCAACAGCAATACCAATACCAACAGCTGTGGCAGCTCCTCCTCCGCCGCTTCGACTCATTTCACGGTGGAATTTGCCCACACGCAGCGGGGTGACACAGAGGGTTCAGATGCCCGCATGGGTACCATGGAGGCTGCGGCATCGGTGCTACGTCCAATGGTACGGCGGCGTGCGAAGGAAAGTCCTGTGACGACTGGGGAGATGCGCTCTTACTCGGGCACGACGTTCACGTCCATTGACACGGAGCATCCTGTGGCGACTGAGACGTACGAGAAGGCGAGTGACGTGTTGTCTGGATCCGTGAGGAAGGTGGAGTTTGCGGTGCATGTTGTGGACACCTATGTTCGCACCCCAGACGACGTACCACTCACAGTGGACGAGGTGGCGAGATCGACAGAAATCCTAGGAGATGACATAGAGGATGGGCCGTTGAAGAAACCACCCTGGAATGCAGATGAGATTCCTTCAGTGAGTGCCGCCGGTCCGCAAGGTGTGCCGTATGAAGCCGCTTCTGTATTGTCCAGCGAGCATCGCTCCCCTCGTACGGGACATGCCGTGGAAAGCCTCGCAACAAAGAAGACTGCATCAGTCGCACCAGTGCCCGACGACGTCGATACAAATTTGATGAGTCGAGTTGAACCACGTCCCTTGCTGGAAGACAAACAGCTTTTATCACCACCGCTCTCTGGCCCTCGTGAAGACAGCGACAAGACGCGATCACCTTTCGTAAACGACCCACAGACCGTTGCAGCGTTCAACGTCGATTCACAATCCAACGCCTCTTCACTGACGTACAGCGCGGACTTCGTGGTGGAGTCCGGCCCTCCGGACGCGTCAGAATCGCCAATGAACGAGGTTGTCGTGGCTGTGGACACGAGCGCGTCGTTCAGCGCACTAGCGTCGCGAAACCAAGTGACAGACGATGATATTATGGTCTCCGCGTCGCCGCTGGTACCGCTGGGTGACGAAGCGCACGACGGCGAAGTCCAAACAGCTTCCTCACCTCTAAATGGAAGCATCCAGGAAACGAGAAATAAGGTTAGTGTACCTTTTCCCGACTCCGCAGTGGTGATCAAGAAGTTCACGGCAATGGCAGACGATGCGGACACAGCGGAGAGTAGTATTAGCGACAACAACAGGAGCAGCAACAACGATGACACAGCACCTTCACCGGCAAGTGTGAAAGCGATCGAGAAAGACGGCAGTCCCTCCAGACCATCAAGGCTCTTATCAACACCTTCTTTGTCTTCTGTTGAGTCGGACGCGGCTGACTCGCCTGAATCTTCTGCCCACAGCGAAGCAACAACGCGTGGAAACGACGATGTTCCTAATGTGTCACCGCTCGCGCTTCTCGCCGCACCGACGCACCCGGTCGCCGCGACCGCGACACCAGCAGGGCACTCCCACAGCGTCACCCACGACAGCGAGGCGCGCTCGACCCCGACAGGGACCGCTGCGCCGGTTTCGGCGCACTCGCGCAGTGTCACAGACATCGCCGTAGAATACGATAGTACATTTTCCGCCCTACGCGATAAAGCCACGTCTGGGATAAGGGAGTCCTTTCCGACGCCGACGGAACGAGAAGAAGCAAATCGCCTGCGATCTCGTTTGGTGGAAACGACAAGTGATACTTCCGCAGATGTGCCGGTGGTGTCGCAGCAGACGCCCGTGCCTGGGCACGTCCCCGAAGCCTCCGTCCAAGACTCTGTGTGTCAGCCCGGTGCGCTCTCTCCCTCTCCGATTCAACCAGAGAGGGAGCTGCAGCTTTTGCGCTCCGAACTGCTGCCTGCTGATCCTCTTCTGCGTGAAACCGCACTCTCCCATCATACACTTAGTGACGACGACAAGAGCAACGTGGAGGGTCTCTCGCCGCTAACACCGGCGCTGACACAGAGTGTCTCAGAGGTGTACGGCAGCGATTACGCGTCGCTGCTGGAGGGTGTGGCGAGTTCGTACGGGAGCCTACCGCAGGGGCACCGACCACGGCACTGGGCCGAGGAGAGCTGGTTTTCTAGTGTGTCGCACCCCAATCGGCAGTCAATCCAGAGCGCCGCTGGATCGATGCTGAGTGACGGATCGCCCTATACCTCCACCCGCGTGCGTGAGCTTCTCCACCGCCTTGGCAGCACGGCCGTTGCGAATCTTGACGACAAGGACAATGTGGAGCTGCGTGGAGCACTGGCGAGGCAGCAGGAGCTGGTACAGCAGCTGACCGCCGCGTTGCAGGAGCGGGCTCGCAGTCGTGAGGATGCCCGCGGATTTGCACCGCCACTTCGACCCCGTGACCGCAGGCGCCAAGTCCATCTTCGCTCCCCTTCTGAGGATCTCCGTCGCGGTTCCTCCTCTGTTGAGCGGCAACGCAGTGGAAGCCGGTCACTCCTGACGGATGTGCAGAGGCGTCATGGCGGGTCCGCGGCGGAGAACTTGAGGCAGCGGAGTTTGTCTGGCATGACAGTGGAGTCGCAGGCGACGCCCACGCGCTCTCTCCAAACCGACGTCGGTGCACAACTGGCAGAGACAGACGTCTCCTCCTTGTTGGCCGACGTCCTCATTCCTGCGAAGTCGGTGAGTCCTACGCGAGCCACGCGACAGTGACAATGCTGTTTCTTTTCTTCTTCTTTGTTACTTCCTGCCGTGGACACGCGATTACGACATCGTTTTGCAGTTGAAGGCAAAAGAAAGATTTGAGGAAGCCGTGTTGACTACGGCGACCGCACAAATTTCGCCGGTTGTGATTTCCTTTCTTTTTTGCTACACTAGGTGGAATTTTTACTAATTCCTCAATGCATTGTTTTTCATGATGGTGTGGCGTAGGGAAGGCGCATCTCTTTTGGTAGTACTCTGAAAGAAAACCAAAAATACAGGCCGTGTTCGAATATGAGCCAGCAGCTGCAGCGCCCCCTCAACTGTTGCGTAACTAAATTCCAAGCGCAAACGGCCGCTTAGGGTGCGCGAAGGCATTTTTGTTTTTTGAGGGAAATCAAAACAAGACCGTTATTCACATATGCGACTTTACTTCGATTTTTCTGTCCACCGTACGTATCTTTGCTTTCAACTTCATTCAGCTGTTGTAGTCCGCAATCAACAAAAGCCTAAACATAGGTCACAGAATCACAACAGATTATTTGTATCTCTTTTTAAAAAAGAAGAAAAAAGTCATGTCGGAACAAAACCAACGAGCGCAGATTGCCATCAATGGCTTCATCGCATCGATCCTGATTGTGGTGTGCTCCGTCACCTATGTGTTGTGGGCGGTGCTGCCAGATGAGGTGCTGCACGCGATGCACCTCACCTACTACCCAGACCGCTACTGGGCTGTCGCGATGCCCGCCATTTTGGTGATGTTCTTGTTCTATTACTTCACGACGTCGTGGCTGCTTGTTCTGATCACCACCCACCCCCTCACAGATGGCCGCTGCGTTACGGATGTGGACAACAAACCGGATTACGAGCTAGACGTGGGCGCCTTGGCGGACCCGAGCAACAGCGTTCCGCCGTGGGTGGACATCCCTGTCTCTGTGGCGAGCCACCTTCTTTTCGAGCCGTGGAAGGAGATGGTGCGATGAGCGTTGAAGCCGAAAAACTCTCTTTTTCTGCTTCTGGGATTGTTGTCGCTGCTTGTATACAACTTTGTTTGTGCTTGTTTGTTTGCGATGTGCCTGAATGTCGGTCGGCTGCGACCGCTGAGTCATGTTTGTTTGGACCGGTTCTTGCCGCCATTCTCTCCGCGTCGTTGCATCCATGTTGTCTTCTCTGCATTTCAAAAAACCTAACCGGCGAACCGTAGCACCTTTGCAGTGTGAGCAGCCGGCACTAAAACAAGCGTCGATGAGACGAGTGCTGTTCGATAGCTGCAGTAGGCAGTCGGGGACGCTCGGCTTCGTATGCGTGTGCATGCGTGAGAGATTGTCGCTGCCGTGACTGTTGTTTAGCTCCACTCCCGCAACCCGTTTACAAATCTTCATGCAAAATGACTCGTCGATCTCTTCTCCTCTATCTTACTCTCCGGTGGGAAAAACTACCCTTTTCAACTCCTGAACGGCACCTGAGTTTTTTGTGTCTCACAGGACCGACCGTACCACTTTTCCCCACCACCAAAGGAACAAGAGAACTGGTAGTGGTAGTCATGTACGCGTCTCGTGTTTGCTGTCTCTATCGACAGACGAGTGTTTGCGGGCAGCAGGCGTCGCTCAGCCACACAAGCCTTGTGCGGCTGATGAAGCACACGGCAAAGCACGCGAACCGAATACAGCTGCCCGAACTGTACAAGCTGGGTATTCTTCTCAAAGATCCTAACGACATTCTCGGCCTCCATCGGGACGGTGAACTGATGGGCGCTTTGCTGAAGCGCTATCACGACGTACGAGCAGGTGCCACGCCGTTTCAAGTGTCGTTGCTGGACGCTGTGCTAACGTCTAGCACTCTCCCCTCTTCGTCATGCTCTGTTTCTGAACTCGCTGGTGGCACAACAGATATGAGCAGGGACGGCAATGCGGCCACCGCTGCTTCATCAACGCTGTCTTCGCCGGTTACTGCGCAGGATTATTACAGGGCGATAATGGATCTGGAACGAGAGGTGGAAGAAGAACACGGTCGTGCTAACGCACGGGAAGCACGTCAGACGGCAAAAAAGGAACGCTTGAATCAAAATCGATACAGCAGCAGTTCGCATTCGAACGATAGAAGAGGGAGGCGGGAAGGACGACCAAAGACTAAAGGAGGCGGCGGAGAAAACTCTTCGACGCGAAGCGGCTTCACGAAGCAAGAAGTCCCCTCTTCTAACTCGTCCAACGTGCCAAGCCTTGGCGAAACACTCGGTAGCACGCGTGCGGAAAACTTGGAAAGGTATCTCAGCGCACTAGAACCCGTGCTACGCCAGCTTTCTCCCACGGAGACCACCCGACTCATTAGGGTTCTGGCGAAGCTGAACTACACCAACTACGAGCACACCGTTCTCCTCACTCGTCGTGGGTGCGAGGTGGCGAACCACCTCCAGCGACACGACCTCTGCACTCTCTATTATAACCTGCACAGGCTATACACCCGGGACTCACTTGTTGCAGTTGTGAACCGCATCTTAGAACACGTGCAGGAGCTCACCGCGGAGGAGGTGTATTTGCTCTGCCAGTCGGTGGAGCGGCAAGAGAGCACGTCCACCGCCTCGCAACGTCTGCTCACGCCGTTGGTTGCACAAGCGGTGAAGAAGCTACCGGATGCCGTCTCCTCCGCCTACCACCGCACTCTTTTGGTATCCATGGCGCGGTACCATGTGCAGCAGCCGGCTACAACACAACTCATCCTGCGTGACTGGGTGGCGCGGTGGAAGACGTCGTCGTCTGAGAAAGATGTGCTGGTGCTCTTGGAGGCTTCCACGTCTCTGGCTGCGCCCGGCACCGAGCCGGAAGGCTTGAAGGAGCTGATTGATCGTCTCACGTTCCTTGCCCCGACGATGGATCTGTGGCACGTCGATCACGTGATGGATCTCTTGTCCGCTGTGCCGATGCACCTGAGCACCGACTGCATGCGCATCTTACTCACACGACTCGAGAACGAGTCTGGGAAGCTGTCCGTGGGGCAGCTGAAGTTTGTTCTCCACCTCCTATCTACCTACCCGCCAGCTAAAGGTCAGGTCGCGGTGGTGTCTCTCGCGTACGCGTGTGCCGTGCGTGCGACGGCCATGGACGCGGAGACGCTGGGGAGTGTTCTCACCTCGCTCGCCACGCTGCAGCTCTTCACCGACGACTTCTTCACCATTGCGCACGTCTTACAGACCCAAAAAGGCGGCATGCGCAGCTTTGCGCAGGTGCAGGCGCTGTTCGACTGCTGCACGGCGGAGATGGCGGCGCTGCCGCAAGGCTTGGGCATGCTCACGAGCGTGATCTGCACCGTTGCACCGGCCTTGAACGATGAGGAACTGTCTCACTGCCGCAAGGCGCTTGTGAAACTGGGCGTCACGGACCGCGAAGTGCTGCAGAAGATATTTGCCAACGCGAAGCGCGCTCAACGGGCTCCGGCGAACTCCTCCTCATCGCGCAAGCGTCGCGGTGGCTACCACGACCCCATGGCTGATCTGCTGTAAACTTCCCTCTCTCTCTCTCTGTGTGTGTGTGTGGACGGGTGGTGGAGGAGAAAAGAAAAGGTAGGTTTTAACTCAGAGGAAAAAGTTTCGTGCGACCCGAATTTGTTCTATCCACGTTGCCCAGTGCTTTTGTCACATCTTTTTAGTTATAACGAAATGCTCTCTTGTTGTCCTTCATGCAGTCACGTCGATGTAACAGAGCTGCGTGGATCACTTTTGTGTTTTCCACGTCGTTGTTTATCTACCCGATGGCAAGCCAGCAGAAGGAAAATTTATCTCAGTGCTGTGGGATAAGCAGCTGCGAATAACTCTCTTTTTAAAACCTGCTGCTCTGACAACACGAGAGGGAAAAGTGACTTCGAAGCATTCTGGGCTGGTGTTGTTGCTGAGGCTCTTCTACATTCGTACCATCTTCTCCTCTACTTCTCTGTCGTCTGGAACTCATGCGCTTTGGCTGCTGTCGATCTAGTGCGTTGATCACCACATATTGTTTGTTATTGCTCTTCGCCATTCTCCTTGAATTGTGGTTTGAGGCGCCTTCACATCTGCGTTCCTATCCACAGTTGTGTACCCTTTTTGTTATTGTTCTAGTACTCCCTTGTTTGCACATAGAAAAGGCGCAAGATGAACCGTGCAAGCGGTGCCATGGTGGCGGCGAACCTGTTCCAGTCCGCCGTCTCTACTGGATCGCAGCGGGCGTCCTTGCAGTACATCTTTCACCGCATCCGCCTCAACCTCGTCCCGTTTAATGCGCAGGACGTCTATCAAATCTGTCTCGTTGCCTACAACAGCGACACCATCGACCTCATGGCAGACGCCGAGGTAATGCGGGGCGTCGCCGACTCCTTCAACCGCGCCGATCAAAGTGTGCTGACGCCGTTTCAGGCGAGCCTGGTCGTGGACACGCTGCGCAAGGCAGGAATCAACGCATCTTCAAAGGAAGTGATGGTGCCAGAGGAAGACGCCGTGTCGCCTGAGACGTTGCTGGATGTGCTGCGCGCCATGAATGTCCACGGTGGCACCCGGGATGAGAAGAAAATAGCGGCCGTGCTGGAGAAAGTGCCGCGGCTGCTCGACGAGTTCAGTCCATCGCAGCTGGCGTTGGCCCTGTCGGAGTTAGGAAAGCTGCGCTGCTCCGATGCGGACGCGATGCACAAAATTGCGAAGCGCCTCTTCAACTTCGCAGATGATGTGGGACCGTTAGAGGCCTCGCTCGTGGCGAAGTCGCTGGCCATGACGCGCGGCACGCCCTACACGACCCTGCGTAGAGCCTTCAGCCTTGCAGAGCAGCGCATCTCCGATTTTCAACCCGAGGATTACACGAACACGCTGGTTGCGTTGCAAAACGCTGGCAGACAGTACACGCGTACCTTTACGAAGCTTGTTGAGGCGGGTCTAGAGCACGTAGAGAACATGGACGCGACGACGCTGACGGCGTTCTTGGTCACTTTTACGCAGCTGGAGTACACCAATCGCGAGCACGTGGAGATTTTCGCCGACGCGTTCGTTGACGTTGCGAACGACCTGGATGAGAAGACGCTCGTGCAAGCTTTTGTAGCCCTGCAGCGGCTGAACCTACTGCACGAGGATGTGTTTAGCAGCCTTGTTTCGTGTTTACTACGGTACGCCGCGCTGCTCGATCCGCGCCACCTCGCACCGGTGATGGATGTGTGCAGCAGCGCGGCGCACAACTCCGACGTTCTCATGAAAATCTTACTCGACCGAGCCTTCGAGTGCACGCGCTACCTCCACCCTGCAGCGCTGGCGGAGATTCTGGACATCGTCGCTCACTACCCGCCTGCTCACACTCACCCTCTCGTCGACGTTTTCGGCCGCCAGGCACAGCTGCGGCTGGAGATTTTCTCTTCGCTGGATCTAGCGCGCGCAACACGTGGGCTAGCCCACTTGGGGTACAGAAACCCGGAGTACTACACACAGGCCGCTCAAAAAGGGTTCATGTACGGATTTAAAGACTGGTCTTTTTTGGAGCCCATTCTCATGGGCATGAGCTATTCCGAAGAGGTCCCAATCCGCACCATCAAGGTTCTTGCCTCCTTCACCGCGCCCATGGCGAAGTCCATGTCGCTGCAGGAGGTGGAGCGGGCAAATCGCTATTTTCTACAGATGAAGTGTGAGGAGGACTTCGTCTACCGCGCCCTGGCGAACCGGGTGATGCACTTTGTGAAGGAGATTACGCCGGATATGCCGCAGGAGCTGCAGCAGCTCGTGCAACGCGGTGCCGTGAACAGAATGTCAGAAGTCTAACCGAGCTGGCTTTGTTTTTGTGTGTGTCGCTTTGTTCGATACACGCGCGTACTCTCTCTCTCTCTCTCCTCACAGAACGGTTGCATTGCTTTCAGCTGCACAAACTCAGTTTTGTGTTTGCTTGTTTGTTTGTGTTTATCGGTCGGTCGTAACGTTGAAATGTGCGTGATTAAATTACGCGGAATCAGCCGAATGAAATGAAATCCATGGCATGTTTTGAAGAGAAACGCTTGTGGCTGCTGCAGCTTGAGCTTTATATTGCTCGAATGCCTGTTGTCTCTGTCTTTGAATTCTATTCTGTGTTCGCGTGAGCCACAGACATATCGTCCTCCGCATTGGAACGCTACTCGCGTTAGTAGGCAGTAAATGAACAGAGAGTAACTGCTTTGTTTTTTTTCACCGTGCTTCTTCCTCCCATGCTACCAGAGAACCGTTACCGTCGCCCTCGGCAAAAAAAAAAAACAATAAACGTTCGCTTGCATTCACACACACCCTTTTCGGGACAAAGCACTACAGTTGAATTCAACGACAGCCTTTGATATACCTCATGGACGGTCGCCTCTTCACCATTGCGAGGGACGGTCTCCGCTGCACCTCGCTCTTCGTCGCGGGGGATGCGCACCGGTGCATTCTCGTTGTCGGCTCCCAAATGGACGCCCTCCTCGCCACTCCTTACGCGCACGACCTCTTCGACGGGCTCAAGGAGAGCTGGGCGGTGGCGCAGGTGGAGCTGGGCAGCAGCCGGGTAGACTTCGGTGTGTGCGATCACATGTCGGATGCGGACGACGTCAACGCCGCGCTGCACGCACTCACGACGGAGTGTAAGATGACTGAAGTGGTGTTGTACGGCAGCGGCACAGGCGTCCAGGTGGTGCTGGAGGTGTTGGCCTCAGGGTCGCAGGCGGAGGTGGTTACGCGTGTGGTGCTGCACGGTGGCGTCGTCTCCCCGGAAAGCAGCAAGCACTTTGCCCCGGACGCAACGGAGCACCGCGTGAGTCGTGCACAGGCGTTGTTGAAGGAGAATCGAGGGGCAGACATGGGCGCCATGAAGGACCTCTACGACATCCCGGTTACCCCGGCGCGTCTGCGGTACGGGAACACCCTTACTGTGCAGGAGGCACTCTGGCAGCCGGTGCTGGAACAGAACGAGAAGGCTTACAAAGCCGCTCTTCGTGGTATTGCGGTGCCGGCGCTTTTTCTGTTGGCCACTGATGCGTCGTACAACGCACGCGCTGCATCTGCCCTCCCTGCTGTGCGTAGTGTGGCCATGAAGGCTATTGGGCTTTCGAGCGAGGCCGTCCATGTGGAACTGCTGCCCAACACCGTCGATGAGCACCGTCGAGTTCTGAAAGGGGGTGGTCCGCTGGTGGTCACTGCAGTGCAGCAGTTCCTGGCTTCTGCAGATATGCGACGGGAACAGCGGAGGATCGCTGCCGAGGCTAACGCGGTGGAGGCGGAACGCCAGCATCGATTTGACCTTGCGAAAGCGATGTATGCATGAGGCTGTACGTGTGAACCTTTTTTTTCTTTCTTGGTATCAAAAAGGTATACATGTATTCCTTGCGGATGTTAAGTAGCAGCATATGTATATATATATATATATATTTATATATTTCTATCGTGGAACTAAAACGCTAAGGGATGAACAAAGTTGCAGTCTTGGCGCGGTAAGGCGGGGTGAAGGTGGCGATTGAAGGATTCTTTGTGTTTGCCGCTACAGGAGTAGGACAGAGCATGAAGCGAGGCGAGGGCAGCAGGACGCGTCTCGTGGCTCGTGTCTTCCCCCGTTTCTCCTTTTCCTGAAATGCTCGTAATAATAATAATAATAATAAACTTTTTCTTTCGCCAGCGGATGGAAGCACACGGAATGTGATGCAGCGGGAGTCTAACAAAACCCAGTTCGACTGCCCTCCTCGCCCTTCTCATTCCCTCTCTTTCTCGCTGAATAATAATAATAATAACACCACGCAGTGTTTTGTAGTCTCACACGAATACGTATATCAAAAAGGGCAGTGCCGTGCTCGTACTGCACTCGTTACACAACGACGTACTTTTCTTTATTCCCGGGCAAACACGCTTTGAATGGAACGCGGTCGTACAATCAACGATCATAGAACTTAACAGTAAGGAAGAAGTGAGCTTTAGTGTTTTTGTGAAGCTTGTTTTGCCATCAACCCCTCCATACTTTGATTTTATCTTCTTCTTCTTTGCCCAGGTAAACGTACCACATAGACTGCAACATAGAACGCTGCACATTTTATCGCCTAAAGAAGGAGATGTTCTCCGAGTCGGACGAAGATGAGCAGTACACCGTACATGAAGTGGACGGCAAGGAAGGTGTAACTCCGCAGCCTGACGTGTCACTGAAGCCAGCGGAGGCGCCGGAGGCGGTGATGAAGGCAGACAACGCAGCCGCCGCGTCTCCTCTTGCTCGGTACTATCGACTTGGCACAAAGCAGCGCCACGCCTTCGATGAGCACATGCGACGACTGAGAGAAGAAGCGCAAAGGACCCAGCAGGAGCGCGAGTTCCGCCAGCACTACCCTTTCCGCCCATCGCGTGAGACCGCAGCGTACACTACGCTAGAGAGAGAGGTAAACGTTCCTCCCAAGAAGGAGCGAGGCGATGAGGCACTGGTTGAACAACCCCGGGAAACCGTTAGCATTTCAACGACACCGGCGAAGCCCGTCTTTCACCGTCTCGCAGCACAGGCCGTGCAACTCGAACTGCGCCGCCGTCATCGCGAGGAGCAGAAGCGCCGCGCGGAAGCTGCCGCCCTGCGCGACGCCTTCCAACCCGCCATCAACCGTCAAGCACCCGTGTACACCGATGAGCTGTGCCACCTTGACGACGTTCCAGTCGAGGAACGGTTGCTGCACTATGGCGAAACAATCGCACGCGAGCGTCAGCGCCGGCAGGAGATGAAGGTGCTAGAGGAACAAGCTGTCCTGCAGGCGGCCCAAGCTGCCGGGACGGGTGGCAGCGACAGTGCTCTCCAGCAAATGAACCCTGCGGAGCGGCGACGCTTGCGCGAAGAGTTTGAAGAGCGTAACACCCGTTTTCTTGCGCAGAAGGCGCAGCACCGCGTACGCGCGGAGAAAGAGGCAACAGGAACGTTTTCCTTCCAACCGCAGATTTCTGCCACTTCGGCAGCACTAGACGATGCGCGTCAGCGAGAGGTTGTGCAGGCTCGAAAAGCAGAGCTGGAAGAGCTGCTGGACCGCACCGCTGACGGCGCGCCGTTCACGGTGATTCAGCACAGCACGAGCGGCAGTCGCGATGTAAGTCGTCGCAGTGATGCACTCTACGCCCATGCTGTTGCACGGCAGCGCAAGCTGAGTCAACCACTTCGTCAGCACGAAAAGATCAACAGTGCGCGCGACAAGAGAGGTGTGCTCGACGGTAGTGGCAAGCAGACCTCTACGAGCTCCGCGTTTGCCCATGAGGAGGAACCGCCGTATCAGCCGCGGACCAACCCAACCTCCAGCAAGTGGATCGCCAGCGGCCCTCATCGACACTTTTTCGAGCAGGACTTCGTATGCAGACAGGCGCTTTACGCGCAGGTAAGGGAAGAAGAAGCCAACCTGAATGCAGAGGTGGAACCAAAGATGGCCGCATCGCCGAATGCAGCAAGAGGCACAACGAATAGCGACGCAGGCGACAGGTTAGTAGCGGCAGCAGCGACAACAAAGGCATACAAGGCGAACACAAAGGTTTTAAATGAGCGACTTTATTACAGTGCGAAGAAGGCAAGCGAAGTGGCGCGTCGGCGACGTGAGGCTTCGCTGAACGCACAGGAGTGCCCTTTCCGTCCAGAGCTGTCGCCTGGAACTCAGTACGTTCTGAAGCGCATGAAGCCGCTGCGTGACGGTGACGTCGTCAAAAGACTGACCGGCGCAGTACCGCCATTGGCGCAAAAAAGAGCTGAAATCGACGACGAAAAGAAAGATCTCTACGAGCCGACGCCCAACACGCGACGATCTGACAGTCTCAACACTCGTTCCGCGTCGCCTTCTGCATCGCAGGGTCTTTCCACGGATGGCGCGAGGGCGGAGCCACCGCAGCAACCGCCGCGGAAGCGTTCCATGGTCACACGTGATCAAATTGAGCACTTTTACCAACGCCAACTCGACTTTCTGCAGGAGCGGCGGGACCTCATTCAGGAACGCAGAGAGGGCGAGGTGGTTCAGGAGCTTGTCGAGTGCACTTTTCGGCCACGCACGAACGTCGACCGACACGACGGCGCTGCTGCCTCTCCTCGCACGACCGGCTGCGCCGAAAAGTCGGAGGAGCGCGGACCCTCGGTGAATCAGGTCACGGGTGTGACAGGCTTCTTAGAGCGCCAAAAGACGGCCCGACAGCGCAAGGCGGCACAGGAGGAACTCGTGCGCACGATGGGCCTGCCCCGTCACAAGTCCGCCGCCAATCTCAATTTCGTTACCGGGACAACGGTTCTGAGTCCCTTCACGCTGCAGACGGCGCAACGGCAGCAGCAGCGGCGGCGCTCCTCCTGCTCCCCATCGACCCAGCGCACGCTGTCACCGGCGAATGGGGTGGAGTGCGGGGAGAACGCACGCACGTGGGTGAATGAGCTAACATCATCCGAGCGCGTGCTGTACGACGCTCTGGAAGAGTCGGAACACTACCCCGCCTCGTCCACGGCGCCGCTTCATCCCCTTCCCGGCTACATCCGGTCCGAGGAGGAAGGCGACGACGACACCGTGTACCTTGACGATGTGGAAGGTTACGCCTACACCGCGGCGAATGATCGTGGCGACGCTGATAGTGCAGAGGCCGCGTACATGCCTCGTCCATCTCTGCCGCTGATGCTGCCGACCTGTCGCGACGTGGGTGCCGAGGCGCACCGTGAGAAGACCTCCCTGTTCTCCTCTCTTTCCCCCAACACGTTTTCGGGCCGAAGTCTTGCCGCTAGGGCGGCGAACCGGCACCAGGCAGACGGTAGCGCAGCGGCACGGTCGCACTCGTCTGAGAAGCCATCCGCGCTGAAAGGGACAGTCGCGGCGCAGCTCACCTCCAGCGCCCAGCGGCGCAAGCAGAGGCGAACGGTCTCGTTTGCTGTCGACGGGTCCGCCTCCTCACCGCTAGGTGGTCGCAAAGCTCTTGCTGTCAGCTCTCATGCGGATCCGACACGACGCCTTTCGCATTAAGCAACGGCGTGTGTAGGGGTGGCGTTTGCAAAGTAGTTCGAACATATATATATATATTTTTTTTTGCATAGATGACGTTACGCTGAGAACACCACCACTGCATTGCGACCCGCATATATATATATTACTATTTTGAAACGCTCGTCATCGCGGTGCACAGGTTGCGCATTATGGACCGGAGTTTGTACGTCGTACTCCCACATTGAAGCTCTTCGCTGGACGACGGTGCCCACCACCAACTCCTACCGTGTAAGCATTCTGAATCGGTGGTCATCTGGGTGACTTTTCTTTCCTTCTTTTTGCAGTTCTCACAGCATTTCTCATAGACTCCCGCACCCGCGCATATACACTCACAGACACGCATACACACACACACATAGATGCGTCATCATTCTTTGTTGTTTCTGCATAAGTAGTTATTATTATTATTATTATTATTATTATAACAGTACCATTCTTCACGACGGGAGGAGCCGATGTCTGCACGCACAGAGAGGCGTAAGCGCAGCTCCAACGTGCTGAAGTTCCACTCGGTGCGTCGACGGAAAATAAGCGACGCCGCCATCGTACGAGGAGTGGAGATTGAGTTTGATCGCACATTACCCTTCTGGCGGTGCTTCACTGACCTGCGTCTGGGGTCTGGCCGCAAGCCGGAAGTGACGCAGCGCACCACGCGGCTGCTCTGCCGCATCCCCTGCAAAGTCTTCAAGCGTGTCGATGTCGTGTGGGCTCGGACGCAGGTCCACCTACACGAGGTCAACGGCGGGCGACTTGTTCGCTCCGGCGGCACCAACACAAACCGCGCACCAAATAGGTTCCCTATGAGCTCTTCAGAAAGCAGTCATCGCAACGGCAACGCAGACACGTCGGCGTACACGATCGACACGCTGCATTTTGTCCACGAGGATGCGTATAAGAAAGGACCCGGTAGTGAACACAGCTTCCACGTTCAGTCGGTGGTGCTGCGCGACTCTCCGGCCGTCTTGCAGTGCGTTGCTGGTGCGATGGTGTCATTTTCTTTTCTTGTTTTCACTTCCTTGCGGCTGATCCACGCCTGTGAGGTGAGGAGGTGTCACATCGCCCAGCTGAGCCGGGCGCTGGAGCCGGCCATGCAGGCGTGTACGCACAGCTGCCAAGAGTCCTCTGTTAGTCGTGTGGGGAGAAAGGACGCGATGACCGCTTCACCACAGATGACGCCTTCCTTGATGCTGCGCAAGGAGGCGATGACGCATTCTACCGAAGACGCCGCGGGTGCGTTTGCGGAGTTGCGGGGGTGGTGCCCGGCTGCGTCGTCGCGAATTCTTATCCTTGGCATGGGCGGCAACAGCATGGCCCTCGCCCTCCGCGCCGTCCTCGGACCGGCAGCGATGATCGAGGTGGTGGAAGTTGAGCCTGCGGTGGTGGCGGCGTGCCTGCGCGTGGGCACCCTCGACGAAGGCGATGACCACATGAAGGTGCACCTTCAGGACGCCGAGGGGTGTCTGCGTGCGCTGCCGCACCACGTCTACGACTTTATCTTCATGGACATTTTCGAGCCGATGGAGGCCACCATGCAGAACTTGCACCCCTGGGTCGCCGCCGCACGGGAGAAGCTCGCTGCCGGGGGCCTGCTCGTGATGAACGAGCATCAGCTGCCCTCGGCGGAAGGACTCGCCCCTTACGGGAAACTTTTTGGCGATGGCAACGTGCAAGCGGTGAACTTGCGTGGGTGGAATGAGAGCGTGGTCGTGTGCGTCGCACCGGGCAGCCCAGAAACGGATACTTACACGCTGGAGATCTCCAAGTCGTACACGAACGTGGCCTTTAACGTCTACGAGGCACTGGTACCGGGTTGGCTGCCCCACTTTTCATGGCTGGTGCGAGCAAAGACGCACTATTTCCAAAAACTGCGGTGCCGGTTGTGGACCTCGTGAACACGGCCCTCTCCCTCCCTCTTAAAAAAAGAGAGGGGAAGACCGACCAATGAACGCAAGTCGTACTTAAACGATGCAGCACTTTCTGTACCTACATCGGATGACTTTTTTTTGTCGATGCTGGTGTCCCTGTCCCATACTGGGACCGTGCCAGCGAATGAAGAAAAACGAAATAATGCCGATTGACGTGGTTACTGTGTTTTGCGCCCGTGTCTTTCGAAATGCTTTGCTGGCTGCGTAGGTCTTTTTGTGTTCCTGTTCTTGGGGACAGCGAGGCTGAACGCACAGGAGCCTTCCCTTCTTTCTCTCTCGCTTTCTACCGATGAACTCAGGTTCTTTCCTCTTCATCATTTCCTTTCTCTTCTTGCCCTCTTCTCTACACCCAACAAAGCAGCTGAGGAGAAGCAAAACAATAACAACCAAAAGGGCCAGTTGAGCCGCGTATCACTGCACTGTGGCTGAGCTGACTGCGGTCTCATAGTAAAAGGCGCAGACTCACACACAAACGCCAAAGAATCCGTCCCACCACGCTTCCTCTTCTCTTTTCCTTTCTTCTTGCGTCTTTCGCAACTTTTTGCAGACTTGCCTCCGATCGCAGCTCCTCTTATTTTTGTCCCCTCTGTCTCTCGCAGATTTTATCGGTGTCTTCACAGCTCATGGCTAGCTTGTCCCAAGCGCGTGTCGCGCGCTTCACCTCTCGATGGCTCACCGATGAACTCAACAACTTTGCCCGCTCCGGCAACTGGGAGGGTGCTCTGCAGACCTTCGAGCAGCTGCAGCAATCAAGCCTGGTGCACCGCAATGTGTACCACTACACGACGGTGCTGAAGGCATGCAGCCGGGCTGGGCAGATGGACGCCGCCATGACAGTGTTCCGCCAAATGAAAGCGAACCAGGTGAAGCCGAACGTGTACACCTACACCACTCTCCTGAATGGGTGCGCCGTGGCGAAGAAGATCGACTTAGCGCTGCGGCTCTTCGCCGAAATGCGACTGGCTGAGGTGCCGCCAAACGTGCGCACCATGACGGCGCTCGTCACGGCCTGCGCGCGCTGTGGGAAGTGGGAAAAGGCGTTCCGGGTGCTTGACCAGTGCGAGGAGCTTCTGATTGCCCCGAACGTGCTGACGTACACGGCCGCCATGGACGGCTGTCGCCGCGCGGGTGTATGTGCGCCGGCCATTGCTCTCTTGGAATCGAAGATGACCGACCCGAGCCAGGTGCGGCCGAATGAGGTGACCTACAATACACTTCTTGGTGCCTGCACGGCGGCGAAGGACTACGAGGCGGCGCAACGCGTGTTTGCGCGTATGGTGGCAGACGGCTACGAGCCAATTGAGTACACGCGTGGGTTGCTCGCAGATGTGTTTCGTGGCACTCCGTTAGACGGACTTGCTGACAACATTCCGGTGCGTGTCAAGCCTCCAAAGTGGGAGGCGTACGTGCCGGACTCTGATCCTGTCACCGCGATGCGGGCTACTCAGGAGGAAGCGTCGTAAGGATTATGTTTCCGGTGCAAACGAGGTAGAATACTGCTTCGTGGGTTCTGTTGCGGTGTTCGTTGGGTGCTTTTCACCTTTCTTTGTGTCCCAGCATAACGAAGAACGTAATAAAAAAGACGGTGCTTGTGCCTTTTCAAACTCTCTCGCTGCTGCCGTGCGTTGTGTTGGCCCTTCTCTTTGCTATTATTATTGGTTTTGTGAGGTCTTCTGCGGTGTCGTGGCAATCACACGGATGCATGAAACTCAAGCGGAGAGCAGTAGTTTTTTTTTGATTTATTGCTGACGTTATGCATCGATCCTCCGCAGCCGCATGAACTGTTGACACCTAATGTTCTTTACTGACTCGCATCTCTTCTCTGCCCTGATCTTCTGTCCCTTCTTCGTTCTTCTGGTTTTGTTTTCTCTTCAATGCAAAAGCCTCCAAGAAACAGTTAGTAAATCCATCGTGGAGACGAAATGAACACCTCGAGCATGCTTGAGTTGTTGGCTAGCAACACACACAGCTCCGAAAACCTGCACGGCGTGGCGGTGTTGGGTGTCCCGGCGTTTGATCCTGCTGCCATTTCTCTCTTCCCTCGCAGCCAAAGTCACCCGGCCAGCGCTCCAACGACGACCAACAGTAGTGGCAGCGACCTCTTCACTGAGGCCATGAACGTCCGAGCAAAAACGCTGTGGCGTTCCTTGTACCCCCGCTCGGCTCCCCCAGCAGCTTCTGCTGTCTCCACCGCAACGACTAGCGGTTCTTCCGACGACGCCAGCAGAGCTGCCGAGTCATTCACTCTCATCGACGCGGTCTGCCATGGCATCGTGACGGTGGTGGCCGACAAGACCGCCGCACCGTCCGCCAACCTGTCGTCTCGTATCACGCCTACCATTTCTGCTGCACTGACCACGGCGCACAAGCGCAGCCGCGACGAGGACGACATCGTGTCCATCAGTCCCGAGCAGCTGAAGGCGCGCAGTGCGCTTGTTGTCTCGCAGGCCGCCGCGCAGGAGGCGGAGGCGCAGCAGTACAAATCACCTCCGAAGTGGAAGCTGTCAAAGGTGCTTGTCGGTCATCAGGGCTGGGTGTGGACGACGGCGGTGGAGCCGGGCAACAAGTGGTTTGCCACCGGCGGCTTCGACGCGATTATCAAGGTGTGGGACTTGGAGACCGGTGCGCTGAAGATGAACCTGACGGGGCACAAGGAGGCGGTGCGGTCTATCGCGCTCAGCAGGGTGTCGCCGTACATGTTCAGCGGCAGCGACGACCACTCCGTCAAGTGTTGGGATCTGGAACGAAATGAAGTCGTGCGTGAGTTTTTTGGGCACAAGAGCTCCGTCCACTGCGTCGCTGCGCACCCCACGCTGGACGTGGTGATCAGCGGTAGCCGTGACAAGACGGTGCGGGTGTTCGACCTGCGCTCCCGCGCAGTGGTGCACACCATGTCGGGACACACAGATAGCGTCATGTCACTCGTGGTGCAGCAGGAGGAGCCGCAGGTGATTTCCGGCGGCAGTGATGGCTTTATCTACCTGTGGGATCTGGCCTCCGGTAAGCCGGTGAAGCGGCTGACGCGGCATAAAAAGCCGGTGCGGGGGCTGACCTTCACGGCGTCCGGCAGCGCCCTTGTCTCGTGCGGTGCAGATGAGATACGCGTGTGGGACCTGCCCTCCGGCGACTACGTCACCAACGCTAGCACCCGCGTGACGGACGCGGCGAAGAAAGAGAGGGGGGAGGCGGAGGAGTTGTCCTACCGATGGAGCTGCTGCGCGATGAGTCCGCACAACGTCTTGGCCGTGGGAAGTCAGGATGGGGAGCTGGCCTTCTACGACTGGAACTGTCCGCAGCCGCGACGGGTAGCGGGAAAGCACTACGCCCCCTATCAGTGGACCAAGACGAAGCCCTTGCCAGGGACATTGAATGGAGAGGGCGGGATCAATGGCATGACCTATGACGTCTCCGGCACGCGCCTCATCACGGTGGAGAGCGACAAGAGTGTGAAGATGTGGCGACTGCGTGAGTAAGCTATCTTTGGTGTTGTTGAATGCAAACGCAAGCTTTGTTGAGCGACTTCGAATGGCGTTGTTGCGGATGCGGCGTTGTGCGCATTCAGTACCGCGTGTTATAGCGACTCGCTTTGTAAAGAAATGGATTTCTAAAAAGACCGTTTACACAACTCGAATGGCCCCGAACCCCCCAAACGTTTTTTAAAATAATGTGCGCTCATTAGTGTGCGCAACGCTTCAGCAATGCGACGGGGGGGGGGGGGGGAGGAGGGCAACGCCGTGCCGTGCGAACAGAAGCATGTGTTCCAGTGGAAGGTTTAGACAATCAAAAAGTTGCTTTTTCCCCTCCATGTCTTTTTCGTCTCCAAAGCTGTTCTGTTCCCATCTTCTTCCCACTTCATCCTCTGACTGCGTGTTCTACACTCACTCGTGAAAGTACTTCCGCTTTTTTTTTTCTCCCCTGATGGTTACCGGTAGTCAATATCAGATACGATACACACAGTGTGAGATTGACGCTCGATACACCGAACATTTTGTTGCTGCTGCTGCTATTTATTTCATCTCTATTCCGATTCATTGATCTGTGCCGGTCGTAAGCGCCTTCCTTCCACATTTTCAATTTGATTTTTTCTATTGCATCTTCTCGTAGATTTGTTTTGTTTTTCTGATCGATTTATTAGTACTACTACTTTGTTTGATTGTTAAACTTCCTGTCGGGCGATATTTTCATCCCAGGTTTTACCATCTATATCTTCAGTCCCCCCCCTTTTTTGCTGTTATCATCACCGTCTTGGTTGCTCACATACGAACAGTGAAGTTTGCATTCGCGTTCGCCTTCACAAGAGAGCCGGTGCCTGGCTTCATTGAACTTAGTGGTATTATAAATCGTTCTGCTCTTTCGTAATGTCCGGCTTTGGCTATTATGCAAAACCCACTTCTTTTGCTGCACCGTCTGGCTCGGTGGCGGTAGGTGGCGTTTGTGTGAGCACCAACAACGGAAATGGCAATGCGGGTAGCGCCAACGACCGCGAGCGCGTCACCCGCATCCTCGTGGTAGGCGAGACCCGCGTCGGGAAAACGCTGCTCATTCGTCGTCTGTGCGACCAAATTTTTGGCGACACAGCCATCGAAACGAGCACGGAGGAGTACTCCGCCTTCAACAGCAGTGCCACGGCGGAGGGCGCCGCAGACGAGGACAATCTCGGTCCGGAGTGGGGGCCGACGGTAGGCATCGCCATCGATGCCTTAAAGCGCAGCACCACCGTCCTGTGCAATGTGCCGCATGCGAGCGAGCTCAGCATGCCGGCTCTCTTCCCACCTACGCCGATAGCAAACGGCATTGCAGCGTCGTCGTCCTCCTTCAATCACCCACCAGACCACAACAGCTACGGAGGTTACCCTTCTGTTTACGGCACGGTGCCCACGACGGGCGGTGGCGGTGGCGGCCTACAGTATCGTGGAACTTCGGCAGCCGTTTCGGTGCCAGGTGGGGGAGACAGCAACAACACCTTTAGCTCCTCCACCAGCAACCCACCCCCGAGTCAGCTTATGAGCCACCCTACACCTCTTCAGCAGCGCTGCACCGTGCGGCAGACCGTGGAGTTCCACGAGTTGGGCGGTTCGCACGGCTACCGCGACATCGCCCGGCTGCCGCTGCGCAACATTCGGTACGACGGCGTCATCTTCGTGTACCACCGCCGCGACCTCACGAGCACGGTCTACCTGTCCGACTGGTACGACTGGGTGTGCAACGTCCTCTCTACCAGCGCCAGCGTGAGCGGACCGGGAAACCCGCACAACAGCAGCAACCGGTTCAAGACGATGCCGCGCTTCATGCTGGTCGGGACGCAGCTGGTGGGCGATGAGCTGACGGCCGCAGCGGCAGGGGTGCGGAAAGATGTGGACAGCACTTTGCATATTGGCACTGTCGCCGTTTCGGACGAAGCGCTGCTGGACGGCAACTTTGAGGTGAAGGTGCGCGTGCTGCAGTCCCCGCAGACACCCGCCTCTCGCAGTCGGGTAAAGCGTGTGGGCCGCACCGTCGTGCGTAGTGTAGCGTGGCCTTACCACGTCTTCTGGTGCTTGTGGCATCCATTCTTCTTCTTGTCCGAGCAGTATCAAGAAGAGCGAGGCCCAGGCAGCAAACTCACGACGCTATGCACGCGGCTGGTGGAGCGGGTCGTGTGGCTGCTTTACAAGATGGAGCAGACACTCCTGTATTTGATGGCCGTCGTTCTGTTCGGGCCCTACCAAGAGGCCGTGGTGCTCGGACATTCCCGCACGAAGCAGACGCTGGAAAAGCTGCGCAGAGATGAACAGTGCGTGGCGCAGGCGCATGTGTGCCGCCTGGACAGCGACATCGCGCTGCAGTCGTCGCTGGACGAGATTGTCGCCTTTTTCGATCTTCTTCTGAGGGAAGACTGAAAACAAGAAATTTTTTTTTCACCGCGTTACCACTCGCAACGCTAAGTACATGGCTTGCCTCTCGCGAGAAGTGTGAACGGGTTCAAATCGGTTGTCGGTTGTGCAGTCACCATACCCAAGTGGTTACGGGGGTTGACTCGAAATCAACTGCGATCTCGCGCGCAGGTTCGAATCCTGCTGGTGACGACTTTTTTTGGTTGTCCCGCCGACCCGCGCCGCGAAAAAGTAAAACCACGACACCCACTCACCCCCGCGTTTGTTTTTAATTTTTTCTTCATTGACTTACAGTACTGACCATCATGTGTCGTTGGGAACGACGTCGTAACCGCGTCCCACGCTAAGAGATTACGCCTTTCTGTGTGATGTGCTTTGTGTTTTTCCCGTGTTATCTTTATTTCTTTCCTTTTCTTTCGTCTTCGTATTGACGCTATTGCCTGCCGATGATCTGCACGTGCTGCTTAAAAAAAAAAGAGGGAAAATGAAAAATAATGAATGGGCCTTCCTTCTGCTTCCGCTGTTCTTCGTTGAGAAAGCACCGTTGGGTGCGCGGTCTGTGTATGGCGTCCCTCGAAAAGGGAATGAAATGAGAATCATACACATTACCATCGTGTCTGTCAATAGCGTGTGATGCTCGACTCGGAGAATCAGAAACAGCGTTCAACGAGGAGTGGAGAGCAAAGGAAATGTACCTGTGACGCTTCCCCTGAGGAAACAGGCAACATAGAAAAAAATATTAACCACGTTCCTCCCCGATGTCAAAATATGACTATTCGCAGGATGACTCATTCTGAGCTGTCTCTCCTTTCCGGTATATTTTCTCGTTTACCTCTCTCTCTCTCTCTATCGTTTCTCCTTCTCGGTCCACCTCCCGCGTGGTCTTCCTCGAAATCCTAATCTCCTCCCTTTCTCCCTCACCAAAGAGCACGGGAGAGAGAGGAAAAGTTGGATTCGATTCGACTCAGGTTCTTCCGTCCTCTTTCGTTTTCTCTCCCTTCGAGGGAAAACTCTCTCGAAAGAGAAAAAAAGTTGATTTTCTCTCTTCCCCATCACACAGCAAAGTTTGAGGTGCGTGTGTTTTTGTGTGTTTGCATACGCGCATCTTCTCTTTGCTCCGGTTGTCTCACTTTTGCAGCACGTTTTGTGTTCTTGAAAGGGAAGCATCACACCAAATCCATTTTCCCAGAACTTGGGCACCCTGCGGACTTGTTTCTGGCACTCGCGACGGTTCTTCCGCTGACTTCTTTTATTGTTTGTTTTGCTCCTTCGTCTTTTTTTCTCGTTGGATACCGTGTTTCTTGTCGTACTGCGTCATTTTTGACTTTGCTAATAATAATAATCCTTCACGATTCGTGTTTTCGACACTTAAAACCACAACACCGCTTTGCGTTCTCGATCTCTACAGCAAGCCTTTCTTTTTTTTTCCCCGACAGTTTTTGTATTTGTTCTCCAATCCTGCGGACCTTCCCCCCTTCCTCCCCCCCCCCTCCTCGTTCCTTTCTTAAACAAACACAAACCCGTTATCGTGCCTTATCTGTTCCATCATTTCTTCTTCTTGGTTTCTCTGGCCTCCGCTTATCGGCTTCGTGTTCTGTTTTCCCTGTTCCAGCCTTCTTCGTCTTACCTTAAAACTCTACCTTAACGCCTCACCCTTTTTTTTTTCGTCCGTTTTGGCCCAGTAATGCGTTGTGTCGCGTCACGCTTTCTCTTCGTGTCTGTTGCTTTTTTGTTTTTCCTGGTTTGCTGTAGACAACATGGACTCGACGTTGAGCAAGGACTTGGGGTCAACGCGGTCCGTGCACTCGTACGACCGGCACATCAGCAGCCAGCGCACGTCGTCCTCGTTCGTTACGATCAATGAAAAGCGGTCCTGGCGACCTCCGCCTTACATCTTTCAGCCGGTGCTGGACTACATGCCAAACTCGGCCCCGCTAGCGCTTGCAGCCGCGAACCCGTTTCTCCGCCTGTACGTCGAACGAAACGAAAACAATGGCGGCTTTCTGTTGGATGGCTACCAAGTCACCCCATTTTCTACGGAAATGGGTAGATCCGCATGGGACGGTGGTGGGGGTAGAGGTGGAGCGGCAGGCGTTCGCAACGAGGGCGGGGAAGCATGGGGGCCTGACCCGTTCGAAGCAGACGGCGATGTGGGCGCCTGCGGGCCTGGTGTGTACAATGGCCCCTATAAGGGCACCAGTGGCCTGGTCGTGGAGGAGGATGAAGTGGGCAACGGGTGGGCAGGGGAAGACGAGCGGAGCGTCTGCGAGGAGCCCTATACCCCCCTCACGAGCACCGACGGCAGCGGCGGCGGCAACGGGGTGCATCTTGCACCTTTTTACATACACGGATTCGAGCCGCTGCAAGGTGTTAGTCCGTTCTCTAGTCATCATTATCCGTCCGTTGGTGTGGATCGAGTGGTGCCAGTCTCTACGCAGGCGGTGAGTCTGTCGATGAAATCAAATGCACCGTTTGCTGCCGATGTGCGAGATCGCGGCTGCCTGCAGGAGTGCTGGCTCGGCGCCGCCGCGGAGCTCTCGCTCTGTGTGAGCATCGTGTGCAAGTCCGATGCGGCGTTGCACTTCGCCACCCTCGGCGCGTGGTGGCTCTCACGTTACTACGGTGTTTCACTGCGACTGCACCACATGCATCCGGCACAACTGCCTGCGTTCAAGAAGGTGCAACAGTCGCTTTTTATTAAAGAGCTACAGTTTGAATACTGCGTCTTTTCCGAGGATTTTCTGCAGTGCATCTCGACTTCGGTTGACTTGCTCTCGCTGTCCATCATTTCCTGTTCAACGTCGCAGGAGGTGACGCTGCGATGCATCGACTCGATTTTACGTAAAAGCGGCAGCGAATCGAAGGGCGGTGCGCTTGCACATACAAGGGAAAGGACAAGCCCTCTCCGTTACGGTATACCCCCCACACCGGGCGATCATACTTCCGGAAGTCAAGAAAACAATGCAGGCTCATCCGCAACCACTGCTGCGGCGGAGTTCCGCCGCGAGGTGACCAACTGGTATCTCTCCGGTGTCCGATCCCTTGGCTCTCTGCGCCGCCTACGCTGCTTGCACATTCTCCACACCCCGCTGCACGAGACTTTCTTGCAGGCCATCACCACGTGCACGTCGCTTGAGTGCCTCATGCTGCATCGCTGCCGCGGCGTCCGCTCCCTGGAGCCGCTGCAACGGCTCAGCCAGCTGCAGTCCCTCAGCCTGCACGGTCTCTCCATCGCGGACGTCGACGTGCTCTCGCTCGGCGCGTTGCCCGCGCTGCGGCAGCTCGTACTCGACGAGTGCCGCAACATCACCGATCTCAGTTTCCTCGCCCCGCTGCGCCACACCCTGGAGAAGCTTTTTGTGCCGCGCACGCTTCTGTCGAACGTGAATATGCAACACATCGGCCTGCTCGACAAGCTAGTGGAGTTAGATGTGCACTCGCTGCGCCAGTTGACGGAGCTGGACGCGCTGAAGGAGCTGACCAGCCTGCGCGTACTCAATGCGCGGGACAACCTCATCACGAATCACGGCTGCGCCATGTTGAGCTGTATGCCGAGTCTGCAGCGGCTTGATTTGGCCTCGTGTCGCTGTCTCACGTCTCTAGCTGCGGTGATCGGTCCAAGCAGCCGGTGGGCACAGCGTCTGCTTTCGCTGAACCTCTCGCAGACTGCCATTACCGATGAAGGACTGCGCGGCATTGCAGAGTGCACCGAGTTGCGCTACCTCAACCTTTCCCAGTGCAGCGCTGTACAAGAGCTCTCGTTTCTGCACAAGATGTCTTCCTTGCGTTGGTTGCACCTCGGTAGCACCAGCGTGACGGAAGCGGAGACGGACCGGCACTTACCCTCCGCGAGTGCGCTGCGCCTGCTGAGTCTGTGCTGCTGCGCGAAAATCACCTCCCTCAAATTTTCGGCCAAGCTGCCGCTGCTAGAGTATCTGGATGTTGAGTCGACTGGCGTGACGGATGAGCAGCTGGTGCACCTCAGCCGGTGTCGCAAGCTCCGCTTCCTGTCCTTGCAACGCTGCAGCGCCATCACGCGGCTGGACTCGTTGTCCGCGGTGCGCTCCTTGCTGGAGCTGAACGCGGCCATGACCGCTGTAGGCAGCCGCGCTGGTAGGCAGGGCAGCCTCCACGCTGGCGACGGTGAAGGTCACCGCGCCGCGAGAAGCGCGTCTTCGTCGCTGACCTCGCTGTACGCAATAACGCCCCCAACCATTTCAGGGCTGTCGCCGCCGCTGCTTTTCTCCACCACCTCCGCGCCTTCGTCGCCAAACACGCCATCCGAGGCTACAGCACCAACACCTCCAACTGCAGTAGCAGACACGCTGTGCTTCCCCTCTGTCCAGGTGCTACATTTAAATGGTTGCAGCCGCGTAGCGCGACTGGAGGGAATCATAAAAAACTTCCCCCAGCTGCGTGTCCTCTACGCCGACCGCATCTCCATCGCGGCACACCGCAGCAACGTCGGCGTCGGTTTCATCGTCGCGGAGGCGCAGCGGCGCGCGCGACTTAACGTGAACATCGAAGGAGACGCGGGAGACGACGAGGCGGGGGAGAACGGTGGTGGACGTGGGCAGCACAACGGCCCAGGAGCGACTAAGTCTGTATCCCGCCTCGATGAGGTGCTGCAGCAGTACGTGCCACAGCCGCCCGCGACGCCGCGACCGCGCACCGCACACGCCGTCGGTGCCCGCCCGTACCCGCCCCATCAGCGCGGAGCGTCCTGTGGGGCGGATGCGGCTCTGGTGGCGCGGGTGTCGGGTGACGCCGTTGGAGACTCGGCGCGGGTGCTTCGCCTCGTTCTCCGCCGCAGCTCGCCAAACGATGCCATGTTTGCCCACCTGTGTGCTCACTTCACCAGTGTCACGTCGCTTGATTTGTCGAAGTGCGTCGGCATACAGTCCCTACCCGGTATTGGGAAGCTATACGCGCTGAGGGAGCTCTTTCTCGCGCAGTCTTCTGTCGACAACGACGGCGTCCGCGCCGCGAGTGCGTGTGTTTCGTTGGAGGTGCTACGGCTGTCTGAGTGCCGCAATGTGACGGACGTGAACTGTTTGGCAGTGCTGAGAAAGTTGCGTGCCCTGAGCATCGAACGCGTGCAGGTGACGAACCACGGTTTTGAGGGTATTGGCGATTGTCGCTCTCTTCAGTTCCTCTCGTGCGCGGAGTGCCGGTACTTGTCTGACGTGAACACACTTGGTCGCCTTCAACGGCTGACGGAGCTGCATTTGGAGTTGACGGACGTGCGCGACGCCGGCATCCGCGGCCTGCTGAAGTGCACCGCGCTTCAACGCGTGTATTTCACGCGTTGTCAACGGTTGACGACGGTCGGTGAGATGCGCGCTGTACTACCGCAGCTGGAGGTGCTTGACGTCTACGGTACCTCGATACCCACGCGCGTTGCCGGTCAAGGGCAGCAGTTTGCCTGTGCGCTGATGTAAAGGTAATCGTTTCTTTTTCACATGAAGAGAGACGTCTATATTATTATTATTATTGGCTCATTTGATTATTACCTATACGGGTAGCGTTTGCATACAGGGAAGCACCACACTCATTTCTGGGAAGCCACGGACAGCGAAGCTCTACAAGAACAAAAAAAAAGTGGAAACGAAGTTTCTAAAACTCCTTAAGGACTCGGTCTACTTCGGTCCTTTAAATGGTGCCACCTTCATTTGTTTTCAGAAGCTGAATGCGTTCGTCGTACACCCATTCTACTTCTATATCTTTGCCGCGGTGGTCGCCTTAACGCCCATCAACTTTCGTCTCCTCCTTTCGACTGTCAGATGGCTCAACTTCGTTTTCCACTGTTCCCTCTCTCCCTCTTTCTGTTTTTTCTCAACCCCCGCTTTCATTCCTCTGTTTTCTTTTTTACTATTATAATTTCTTTTCCCCGCAATCATGTGTCACAGTAATACAGTTCGACAACCCTCTACATCATCACACAGTCGCTACGCGACATCGATCTATACCCTCAGCGCCTCTGTTTCTCTTTTACCAGAGGGGCTGCGTCGTGTGAGTGGTGAGTTGAGTGTCCCCGTGGTTGACAGGGGAAGTAAAAGGAAATAGTGGGGGTAGCGCGGCGGCTCACAATTCTTTTTCCTTTTCCGCGTCTATAAACCGGTAGTACCACGCTGAAAAAGATCATCGTTGTGGCGGCGGAGTTGCCTGTCTTGCGTCACTGCGAATACTGAGCATCTTCTGAAGAAGCAGAGAGAAGTGTCACGTCGTGTTCTGTTGTTGTTTGGTTGGGCATCCGAAGTGCATTTATACACATACATACCTACACGCTGTGGAGCAGAGAGCGTGCACGCTCTTGTTATACGAAACTGTGCGTGTGGAAGGCAACCGCTGCAGTTGCTGTCGAAGAAAGGTATTGGCCGTTCTTCTCCCTCAGTTTCTACTTCGTTTTATAGCTTTGCTTTTCATCCTTTGTGTCTCGCTAAAATACCACCAATCCATCACAGCCACAGCTTCCCGGTCCGATAAAGATTATTACTCCTCCCTTTTACTGTCATTTTTTCTACTGAATTTGTATCCTCTTTTTTACTCTTTTATTTGCGTTCTGCGTCTCTCTCTCTTGCTTGTGTTGCTTCTGCCGTACCCTTTCACGCCACAAAATTCGATTTCTGCTGTTTTGACTAGCTCTGCTTTTCTTTTGTCTTTTGAAGCTCTCTTTCTCTCTTGTCGTGTGCGATTTTATCACTCCCAAGTACCCAGCATTTTTTCTGCCTTTCTTTTTCGTTTCAGGTGGCATTGCGCTGTCGTCACCGTGTTTGACTGCGCCAACGTTGTTCCCAACGCCTTCAAAGCCTACTCGCTTTATCTCTCGTCTTTTTCTTTGTGTTGTTGCTGGTGTGGATCCCGCGCACCACCCCTATTCTCGTTTCTTTTCGGCGCGTCACTTTAGGGTCCCACGGTGATCTTTTTCTCGTGGAACGGAAGCGTGCGAGAACCGGCTCGTCTCACGTGCACCACCACGCACGCTCCGCGCAGGCGAGGCACGGCGAGAGAAAGGTGGAAACCAATAATCCCTGGTGCTTTATTCATTGAGAGCTCGTTTTCGGTGTCCCATACGTTTTGATATTCGGTTATATTGTCTCGAGACAAAAAAAAAACCACGAACGAAAGATGAGCGATATTACCGTGCAGCTCATCTTCGCCTTCGTCGGCACACGGGTGCCGTACCACCTGTGCGAGCCGGTCACGGCCGCCGCGGCGGTGACCGGCTCGCCCCTGCGCTCCCCCTTTGGGAACGCCACAACATCCTCCACGTCCTTCAACGCCACCGCACAGTCGTCGCTGCGGGTGCAGTCCGTCAACTCCTCACCCAACTTAGTCCCGTCCGCCCCAAGGACTCACTTCACCGCACAGCAACTGTTGACGCGCCTCGCCGCGATTGCAAAGCCGCTGCCACACGCCACGCCGCAGCCAGCGGCAGACGACGCGTCCGCCCAGCCTTCATGTGAAGAGTCCATCACTCCACCATCTTCGGCGGTCACGCACAAGGCCCCCTTGCTGGAGCTCTTCGACTACACAACAATGTCCCCGCTCGATGGCGCTGCCGTGTTGCTGGACGAAGATGTACTGCTTGTGTTGTGTGACGCGGACACCTCTGTGGTGCTCGTGGAGGCGCTGCAGCTGGAGTGGCTCGAGGCCTACTCGGGGACGCACCGACCACACCAGTTGACCCGGCCGCTGACGCCTTTCACACCAACCAGCGCAACGGAGATGGCGGTGTGCACGACGGAGGAGAGACTGCGCAACGTGGCGCACGCTCGCCTGGCACTGTGCAAGCCATTACCGCTACACAGGCAACTGCTAGAGAGAGAGTTCGCTGAGTGCATGACGGCGCTGGCAAACCAGAGGAAACACCTTCAGCAGCTAAAGTCGTCCTCTGACAGCTTTCCTTCGTTGAACACAACGACAGTTGCTGCAGCTGGAGGAGCAGTGGAGAGCACTGTGCTCAGCGCCTCCACGTCGGGCATGGCGGAGCGATTTCCACTGCTCACGGAGCTGGAGCCGTCATTGACCTCGCTGCTCGCGTCGGACGGCGACGGTGCACACGGCGTCAGCATCGATAACTCACCGCTCATGTGCGATACCCAGCTTGCCGCCAAGGAAACACTTCTGATCCGCATTGCCAAACAACTCACCAAGCTGCTTCAGCTCGTAGCGGAGGAGGAAGACCACGAAAACAGCTTCGCCGCCGGCGAGCACACTCAGGCGCTTCAAGCGTTTTTGGCAAGCGCGGAGCAGGACAGGGACACCGCCGAGGCCATTGTGAAGACGTACCAGGCAGAGATGACGCGGCAGCTGAAGTGTGTGCGGTTTCTCGTGGCACACGTGACGCACCTCCGCAACATCGTGAAAAACACCCGGCGAGAAATTGGCGCGATCGAATTGGTGTTAAATCGCCTCTCGATGATCCTCGAACGGCCTCGGCTATTGGAGCAGGCCGAAGCGTTGCTGCGCCGCCGTGTCATTCTACGCCGCGCCGCACGACGCCAGCTGCTCCTTCTCCAAGAGACCGAGTACGGTGACCTGCAACGCGACTTAAACGAGTTCTCTCATCTTCGTGAGGTGCAGAAGGTCCTGCCGCCCAAGGTGCGCTGGTACTTGCGTGCCCCCCTGCCGAGCCTACATCCCGTCGAGGACGTGGTGGCGACGCTGCTCGATCACGCCCTCATCGACCGCGACGTCGACGAGGCGCAGGAGTTGGTCGAGCGCACACGTTTTGCTCCCCCGCTCGCACCGTCGTCGACGAACGCGGGGCAGACGCCACAGCAGATCAACGATGCACTGCTGCCAGTGGAGCGGTTGCTGCGACGCGCGGAAAAGGCGGAGGCGGAGGCAGCCGCGTATAAGACTCGCGTCGCAGAGCTGGAACTGAGAGTGAAGGAGTACGAGTCTGTCAAGGACGCCTCGTCCAAGTCCATGGACACCGCCGAGACGGAAGCGCTTCCCGACGACGCGGCGGAAGAGGCGGCTTCAAAGTGAAAAGGACCATGGGCAACACTTTGGAGCTGAAATCTTCTTCGCAGCTGTTGCTTCGATGGACACGACTTGACAGACAGACACACACGCACACACACACACAACTTGCACACAATCGATTTGCCGGCGCAGCTCTTTTTCCTCGTTTCTCACCTTTATTGATATTCATCACATTCAGTTGTTTTTTGTACGCTTAAAACGCTTCTTTTTTCTCTTTCAGTTTCTCTTTCTTCTGTTCCACCTTGTGCTTGTTGTGGGCTACAGGCCCCAAACCTTCTTGCGCCACGTCAAATGTGTGCTTTGTGTTGACCTTTCAGCGCAAAAAATGCATATATACTAAAACTAGCTAGCTAATAATAGTAAAGCTCCGCGTGTCGCGCTCCACTTCTGGCCGATGGTAACGAGTAGAGCGCGTTGAGCACACGATGCTGCTCGGACACCAAAGTGTTTCCCAGAGATGCGACTGCGTAAAACGGCATGAACTGTGTGTTCACGTGTGATCTTTTATGTCTCTTCGCGCATTACCTTTCCCCCGCCATTAAAAAGGAAAACAAAACAAAAAGACCACACAACTCACCTCACTTCCCCCTTCTTTTGTTCGTCTGCTTTCTACTGTAAAAGGAATTACAGTACCACCTATTGCGTCGATTACGAGAAGCGCTCTCCCGATTTGGGCATACTTCCAATACGCACACCCACTACACGTTTAGAAGTACGAGAAAAGGAACTTCGACCTTGTATCTTTCTTTTGCTTTCCTCTTGTCTGCCCATCACTTCTTTGGTAGACTTCAAAGGTGATCGGGTCTCTCTTTTTTCTCCCTCGCCTTTAAACTGCTTTGAGTGAGTTTGTACGTCACTCAACAGTTTTATTTTTGTGTTTCCTTGTCCTGCTTTGTACGGTTTTATCTCTCTTTTTGTTTCTTCTCTTCTGGCTTTAAGTGTCGTTTCTTTTTTCCTGTTGTTCTAACACAATATCCCTCTCTTTATTTGATTCTCGTTCTCTCTTGTTATTAAATATATATATATATATATATTGTCTTACGCGGGCAAGGCACTGAAATTGTGCACAGTCTCATTTCCCTCGTCGCAGTCTATCTCCCTCTCTCCCCCCGGTATCCAAACACACACACACACACACACAAAAAGGATATATGCTCGTGGGATTTCTGTAGAAACTCTATCTTCCGCATACTAGGTGACCGCACAGATAGTCAACGGAAGCTCTTCTACTCGTTGGTAGAAACGATTTCCTCACTTGCGAGAAGAGTAACGCTGTAAACGAAAAAAAAAAGATTTTTATCGTTCAAAAGCGTCTCTCATCTGTCACTTCCACTCTTGATGTGTAATCCGTAATAATACTGCTGTTCTCTTTTTTTTTAAAGCCGTTATTCCGCAGTTGACACGCAACACTTTTTCTATTGTTGTCGATCATCACCACCTTTTCGTTGCAAACATTTTGTACTATCTGCTAACTTCTTTTTTTTTTTAGAGACTCCACATTTTTCTTGTTGATATCGGTGCGTTGTTTTTAGATTCTTGTGTCTCGGTAGCTGCGGTGGTGGTTTGGGTGAAGACTTCGCACAGCAAGAAAACGGTGCGTGGTGCATTTTTTTGTTTGCTTGTTTATTTACGAGTACCCTTTTGTTTCCTTTCTCCGCGGCTACGTTGCTAAGACTGTGCGGGTCTCTTTTTTATTATTATTTTTGTATTGTTGTTGTCTCAGAACGTAGAACATTTCTGTGAATTGGACAAAAGCGAAACTTACGTTGGACGGCGGTTGACTAAGTTCAATTTGAACCGTTGCCTTTTACCATTTATTTGACAATCTTTTCTACCTCTTTTTTCTTTTTACGTAACTTGCATTTAGGCGTGGCTGCGCGAAGGCACAAGCTCCAATCAGAATCACCTACACAACAACAAAGAAAAATACACGTAATCCGACGGGAGATGTCTTTCTTGGCCCTTAACGTGTGCTTAATCAGCTCCGGCTTCGACACCGTGGCGCTGCCGCTGTCCTCTACGCTCTGCCCGGTTGACCCAGACGACGATCTGGAAGAGGGCTCGTTTGGCTACACACTCGCCCCTCTCACGGAAAAGAGGAGCCGCAAAAACTACGGCTATGCGCACTGCACCGTGGTGCAGCTCTGCGTCCGCGCGCTCGACTTGAAGACGGTCCGCGAGCTTGTTCGCGACACCTGGGTTAAATTTCGCGAAAGGATGACGGAGGCAAAGGAGACTCTGGTACTGGACGGTATCGCGGATGGGCCGACCTTCGCGAAGACGGACGACGGGCTTACCGTGCGCCTGCCGAACATCAAGGTAGAGCGCTCACCAGAGCTCATGTGGCTGCACGAGACGCTGGTGCGCGAGCTGGAGCCGTTTCACGTGAAGGTGGCCTCCAACGATGTGGCGAAGCGCTCCTTCAACACGAAGTTCCCTGCCGACAGCAACACCACCACCTCGGATTGGCTCCTGTCTTTCCTGTCGAAGAGCAGCCATGAGAATTACGTCCCGCACATTTCGCTCGGTGCGTGTACCATGGAAAACGTGGCGGCGCTGTCGTACTTGCAGCGCACCGAGGTGCCGTGGCGTGAATGCCGTCTCGTGGTGAGTCACATGGGCAACTACTGCTCTTGTTTTGATCTGATGGAGTGACGGCGCTAGAACATGTAAATAATTGACTCTTCTTTTTCGTTTTGTTAGTGAAAAGAAGAATTGTCCTTTTCTTGTATCTCATCATCCACACTTTTTAAAGAAAATCAAAGTGTTCCTATTATTATTATTGTGATCCTGTTTTGTTGCTTACTTTATCATTACTGTTTCCAAGCTTTTTTTATTTGGTTTGTTTAAAGAACGAGGATAAAGACACTTCTTTTGATCATTGTTGCCTCTATTTCTCTTCTTCTTTTTCTTTTGGTGGCACATGTATGTTGTTTTTCGGGACTGCTGTTCTTCGCTTGTCTTCTGATTTCTTTAAACTGTTCTGCCTCCGTTTCTGTATGTTTCCTTTCTTCCTTTTTTTACTACTTCTACTTAATGGATTTGTGGATAGGTGGTGCTTGTGGATTGCACGACTACTTCAAAAAAAAAAGAAAACTAAGCATCCGCTACGTTCGACAATGAAGCCATATGCTATTTGTCGTATTCTTGAACTATATTTGTTGGTGTAGTTGCGTTTCTCGTAAATATTTCTTCTTTTTTTGGGTGTGCTTTCATTCATTGTTGTCAATCCCTTGTTAGTCCGTGTGCTGCATCCCTGAGCGGTTTTACGCCGGGCGGGCGAAGAGAAGCACAGAAGCAGCGTGAACGTACGACTGACGACCTCGTTGTAATGTCAGCTGTCGCTTCTTTGTTGCGTTGCGTGGTGTTCCGTGTGCTTTTGGGGGGAGTGGGGGGCGTCTGGGGGTGCCTCACGGGGAACCGCCTCGCGTAAGGTGAGCAAAAATCATCTTCTCTGTGATTTTGTTGTCGAAACGTTATTTTGGCTTTTGGTTGGTGCTTCTGTGCACGCTGTGCAACATTGGTTGGCCGTGGCGACCCACTTTCTCTCTATCCGATTCTCTAGCGAGGAAACGAGAGGATGGAAGGAAAAACAAAAGAATAAAAGGAAAAGAAAATGCACGAATCTGTGAACTGGTACGAGCGTAGATGGCATGGTCAAATCGATTGGTACGCAACTGCCTGTCAATCGCGCTGAGCTGATGAGCCCTGAATGTCGTTGGATCGCCCGAATTCGACGGGGGGAGGTGCGGGCAAGGAGCTCTTACCACGTGCGAAGCTACTTTTTTAAGGAAGGGTTTTCTCTTCGCTTCTCGCCATCCTCCTGGGTTGTATATATTCGGGTGGATACGTGGATTCGCGGCTGACAGCTTCACACCTTCTCCGTACAATGCAATCCATCCTCTCCGATATGAAGTTTATTACCGCTATGCCCTGTTTTCCTCCTTCTTTCTCCCCCTTTTCGCTGCACTACATTCGAGGAAACCTTCTCTAACAGCATCTGTGTCCTTTTGTGTGTATGTGTGTGTGCGCGCGTGTGTGTGTACGTCGAGCGCGTGGCGGGCGCTTGTAGTTGTATACTCCTCCTAGCTTTTCCTTTCCCGTTTAGAAGAATCTTTTCTGCGTCACTTCTGCTGCGTCCTGTCCGCTGCCTTTCTGTCTGATTTATATCTCTCTCTTGAACGTTGTGCTCTCCTACAGTATTCATCTTCTCTTTCTGGGGTCTTCGCCTTTCCTTGTTGCTGCATGGAACACACGTTTTGTTGCGTCGCGCACACCATCGATCACAAAGACACAACACTTTCTTTGTTTTTACATCTGTATCGCTCTCCAACACGCAGGTTCCTACACATACATCACCTCCGTCGCTTTTGATGCACTTTCCATTGCTGTCCTTTTCCTTTTCTCGTGGTGTGTGGCTCCGACTGCGCATGTTTATGATTGCTGCAGTCGCAAGCGTCTCTACATCACCTTTATCGCTCTCTTTTTTCTTCATCTTGGTTTCCACTGCGACCTCGCGCTCACACCGTGTTTGAGGAAACATGGTGTTGGGTCTCACTTGATTTTTCACCCACCGCTGTTGACAGAGCGCAGACATATTTTCTTTTCCCCTTTCCAATCTTGATTTTCTTTCATCGCTTCGCAATCGAGTCGATATCGTTTTAGGACCTTCTACCGCATCACGCAGTTGATTCGTCGAGAGCTATCAGTTGGCTTTGCTGCTCCTTCTCTCTTCTGGAGCAAACGAGATTCACATTTCTTTATTATTTACTTATTTCTTCCCGAAGCGTAAACGAGGAAAGCGATGGTCGGGCTTCTGGGCGTCATTTCTGTGTGCGCCACGGTGGCCTCCGTGTGCTTGTCTGGCTCTCCCGTCATCACCATGGTGAACATTGACGGGTGGCGGCCGTACCGCATGAGCAGGAAGATCTGAAAGAAGCAGGCCAGCGTGCACAGCGCGTTTGGCAGCGCGATGTAGATGTCCAGCCTCAGCACGCCGTACAGGGTCCACAGGATGCTGTTCACCGTTGCCGATGCCACCGTCACGGGCTGCAGGGACTCCGCGTTTTTGCTCTTGATGATGTCCTTCGCCATGCCGAGCGGGGAGCTGAGCATGAAAACGGAGCAGAAGCCGCCCATGATGCCGTTGAGCTGCGACGATAGAAAAAGACTCTTGAAGTTCATGAGACACAACATGAGAATCATAATGCAGACGACCAACAAACAGGTGAACAACGTCGTCATGAGCGCGAGGCGGTAGGTCGTGGATTGGAGAACACGCCCCGACTTCTCCTCAATACGGGCCACCGTCAGGAAGGTGAGGATGCAGTAGGCGGCGATGGCGCCGCCGATTGTATTGCAGATGATCACAGGCGCCGCCGTAATCTGTGCACCGTACATGGCCCACACGTTACAGTTCAAAAACACGGCGCAGAAGAACGTGATGGTCATGGGGCCGATCGAGTTCGCCTTGCGGGAAGTCGTGAAGACGGAGCGGGAGTATGCACCCGTGCCCGTGTTCTGAAGATGCCGCCGCACATGTGGGCATTTTACGTCACTCTAAAAATACGCGTGCCTTTTTTGTACTCTTACCGTTTTATCGTGCGTGCTTCATTTACATGCCTGAGTTTCCTCTTTACTGTTGCGAACTTGGTGCTCCACAGCACCCTGCGCAGTGCGACACCGCAACGTTCTCGAGTTCTGAAGGAAATTGAGAAGGCGTCTCCGCCGCTGCAAGCTCTGCCGCAGTCCACAGCTTTTCTTTTTCTTCTGGGTGGGGCCAGTATATGCGGCGGCGAACCTATCCGTACACATAACAACAACAAAAACTCTGCGGCTCTCCTTTCGGTTTTTCAATCGATATCGTTAAGCCCACCGTGCGACTTTCTTTCTCTCCTTCTCTGGATCCGCAGAACCCAAGAAGAAGCCCTCCGATGGATGCATCTCACCGATTCCCCAATTCTTCTACATTCTCCTTTTCTTCTTCCTTTTTTCTGAGTGCCTTCTGTCATCTATTTTGCATTCTGAGAAGTTGTGCAGCGCACTGGCAGTTTCAGGAGCTGTAGTGTTCTGTTGCTGCGCAGGATTCGTAAGCACCGTAGACCGCCACGAACTGCGTTCCTCTCGAGAACGCCTTCCCCCCAACCTCGTCAACACTGCTCTCAAGGAACTTGCGGGTGCGCCGCGGCTCCACCCCACCTTCGTATACACCGCCAGAATCTGTGCATTGCCGTTATTCGCTTCTATACACGTTTCCGTCTTTTCCGTTGTTGCTCCATCGCAATATCTTCGCCTCATGTTTTTCCCCTTTTTCCTTTTCTTCCTCTTATCTTCTTTTGCTGAAACCGCAGCGAGTATTGCTCCCTTCGACGCGGAAGCACAATGGTGAGCTTTCTCGACATCATCTCCGTCTCCGCCACGGTGGCGTCGGTGTGCATGGTCGGCTCCCCCATCATCACCGTCAACAACATGGACGGGTGGCGGCCGTACCGCATGAGCAGGAAGATCTGAAAGAAGCAGGCCAGCGTGCACAGCGCGTTTGGCAGCGCGATGTAGATGTCCAGCCTCAGCACGCCGTACAGGGTCCACAGGATGCTGTTCACCGTTGCCGATGCCACCGTCACGGGCTGCAGGGACTCCGCGTTTTTGCTCTTGATGATGTCCTTCGCCATGCCGAGCGGGGAGCTGAGCATGAAAACGGAGCAGAAGCCGCCCATGATGCCGTTGAGCTGCGACGATAGAAAAAGACTCTTGAAGTTCATGAGACACAACATGAGAATCATAATGCAGACGACCAACAAACAGGTGAACAACGTCGTCATGAGCGCGAGGCGGTAGGTCGTGGATTGGAGAACACGCCCCGACTTCTCCTCAATACGGGCCACCGTCAGGAAGGTGAGGATGCAGTAGGCGGCGATGGCGCCGCCGATTGTATTGCAGATGATCACAGGCGCCGCCGTAATCTGTGCACCGTACATGGCCCACACGTTACAGTTCAAAAACACGGCGCAGAAGAACGTGATGGTCATGGGGCCGATCGAGTTCGCCTTGCGAGCGGACGTAGAAGTGACGGAGACGCTGGCGCCTGTGCCGGTTATTTAAAAAAGAAAAGTGAAACTGGTCTCTGTGTGCTCTTTCGATACTTCTTGTTTGTTTTGGAGCCGAGCACTTGCGAAGTGTAACGCGGCTGCTGCCTACATTGCGGTCGTTGATGAAAACAAACCAAAAAGGACCTCGTCTCTGTAACAAAAAAGAAGAAGAAGCGGCAGTTTGTTCAGTGGTGTGTTAACACAAATCTTCGTGAAGAAAAGGATCGTAAATCCACCGACAAGAAAGACCAAACGGACGCCACTGACCACTACGTACTCCGCCGTTTAACGATGCAAAGGCAAATGCAAAAGAGAATGAGGACACGTGCGAAATAAAGGCGCATTTATGGAAGGAAGCAAATAAATCCCTATTGCAGTACATCACTGAAGGAGCAAAACCTCGGGACAGAACACCAGCCGCGGGCGGTGCCAACAACCCTTTAATCCCCAAACGTGTCTTTTTCTTGTCTGTCTACGTTTCTTTGTTTTGAATCACAGAGTACTAGTTTACATCGTGAAGCTGCGCGACGGCTGCTGCTGCTGCTGCTGCACACAGTAAAAAGAATGAAAGTTGAAAAAGACCGAGACGCCGCAGTCGAACGCCTACTCCCCCGACGGATCGGCGTGCACCGCCGCGCTGGCAGCCGTCGGAGGAATGTACACTTCTGCCTCCTCCTCCATCTCCTCCGCTGGTGGCGCCGTTGACCGCGTGGTCGAGTGAGCCAGGAAATAAGCCGTCGGCGTACGTGTCGGGCCATCACGCTGTCGCGCCTGCCGGTTCGCATCGCGAAAGTCACCGTAGTAGCGGAACTGTGTCTCCGTCTCCGCCTCCACGCGGGCCTTCTGCGCCTGCCGAGCGTCCTCCTCCGCCACGGTGCCACCGCGTGCGAAGGCCACCGCACGCTCCCGCTCCTCGTCAAACACGGGGTACTCGTCTAAAAACTTCAGCGCGGGGAATGCGGCGATCCAGCGCTTGCGGTAATGCCGCGCACTTCGGCACAGCTCGTTACCCTGCAGAAGCAGCGTGCGGAGGGTCTGGCGCAGTGGTCGCAAACCTGCGTCGACCTTTTCTTCGTCCTCCAACACGTTGTGGGAAAGATCTAGCGAGAGAAGCGCGGTGCAGCGCTGCAGACCGGTAAGCCGGGCAAGGCGATTGCGACCAGCCAGCAGCGTCTGCAACTGCGGAGCTGCGTTGTCCACACCGTTGATGCTCGTGATCTGGTTTTCTGCCACGTCAAGTGTGCGCAGCGCCGGCAGCGACGGCAGACTCTCTAGACCGGTGAGGGCGTTGCAGGAGAGGTACAGAGAATCGAGCTGCGTCAGCGCTGCCAGCCCATCGAGCCGACTCAAAGCGTTGTGGCTGAGATAGAGGACGGTGCACCCGGTGAACGCTTGAAGGCCCGTCAACCGTGAGAAGCCAAAGTGGTGGAGATAGAGCCTCTCGTTCAGCTCCGGCGTGGAGTAGCCATCGTGCTTTTTACACTGCTCAATGATAAGCTTCTCCGTCATGACCACGGCGGTGGAGTCGCCATTTTCAGGATTGGATGTTGTGCGGTTCGTCATTGCTGTCCAGCGCTGTGCGCGCGTCACAAAATAGCCGGGACGAGATCCGCCTCGTCGAACACTAAGCAAAGGAGCAGAGAAAGGGAGGGGCTAAAGTGTGGAGGGGACATTGCACAAGAAGGAGAGCAGCCGTCGATACTCGATTGAGCAAAATGCCTGCGACAGTGCAGTAGAGAAGTGTGCATCTAACCCCAACGGCAGTCTCTGGAAACCGATTTTTGGACGTTTTCCGCAGAAAATGGTCGCAATACCGGCAGCAATCGAACCTTTTCCTACGTTTCCTTCTCAAATGGAAAAGAAGAAAAGAACTTGAAATGGATTACACGAAAGATGGTTAGCAAGTCAAACTGTTCTTTTTCCCTCCCAACCGGGGCAACAGATCTTTTTTACTCTTCGCGTCACTGGTTGCGGATCTGCTCGAGCAGCAGAGCCTTGCGCACCTGCATCCCCTTCGTGGCAGCCTGCACCAGCTGTCCCATCGTCGCCGCCTCACACGCGCCTTGGTGGCACACATAGTACAAACCGCCCAGGGAGACTCCACCGCACACCACCACGCGCGCCGTCGCGGCCGCCTCCTCCTCCCGCGTCAAATCAGCCACAATGGCGCCGTCTGCTCGCACCGCTGCGCTGCAGGCCGTGAAGGTGTCGTACAGCTCCACGCCGCCGGCGGTGAGGGCAGCGGAGAGCGCAGTGGTCGCGGCGTCCCACAAGGCGCCGTCGTCGTGCACGACTTCGATCAGCACCTCGACCAGAAGCTGCGGAATGCGCTCCAGCACCACCGCCTGCTCTGCTACCCCCTCCAACGCCAGCGCCATGTCGCGATCAGCCGAGTTGTCCTCCGCAACGGCGGAAGAGGAGGCGGAGGTGCGGTGCAGCTGACAGCTGACGCGGCCTCGGGTGCCCCGGTACTCTTGCACGAGCTGCTGCGGCGGGCGGACACCACACAGCACACGTGTTTGCCCAATCTCGACGCAGGCGCTGCTGTGGCAGTTGGCCAGCACGTTTGTCACGACGTGGATGGCACGAACCGTCTCGGTTGACTGACGGCCATCAAGTCGCTTCATTTTTTTTTCGTTTTCCTTTTCTTCTTGCTGCGCACGATGGGTGGAAGGGGAAACGCAGCAACATGAACAGCCACAGCAAAGACCGTTTTTGACATTGACCAGGCGAAGAGGAAGTGGAAGAGGAAAGGAAGAGAACGTAAAGCAGAATCATCACAGCTTTGACACCGTATATTTCGTTTGCCCTTAAAAGATGTTTGCACCGTCATCAGCAAAGTCGTAATTGACACAGAGAGAGAAAAAACGAAATCAGCGGTTGGGATAGAAACGGAGTCACACCAACATTAAGTGTGAATCAGCGTCACCAGATTTTTCTGAAGAAATTTACTTTGATTTCCTGCATGGAAAAAAAAAAGAGAATAACGAAGCAAAACGCAATAATTAAAAACGTAAGATGTGTGCAGGCAGCTGCTTCACATAAACCATCCGTCGGGAGAGCAACGCGGAAAGCGCGTACTAGGTCCAACGTTTTCCTTCTCCCAGGGACGATCCACGCCTTAGAGCGTCCCAAAGAGCTCCAGTATCTCCGCATCCGTGAGCGTCTCCACGTCGAAGCCTTTTGACCCCGCGCCGGTCGCGGTGACTCGTGCTGCGCCTTGGCTGGAGGTGGCCAAATCGCCAATGGCTGCCGGTACTCGCGGAGACGGTGCCAGCACCCAACTCCCGGCTTCCGCAGCCACCTGGGAAGGGCCACCACTCGCCGTCGCGGCCACAGCCGCAGCCGCAGCGCTGTCGTTGCCGGCGGGCGTCGACGGCGCTGAGTCGCCCCACGTCAAGTAGGACTTCAGCAACGGGTACAGGTCCTCCGTGTGGTCAATCTTCACCTTCGTCTGCCGCACACGGCGCTGGGTGCGGGCAATGTCGACCGAGGCAGGTTGTCGCGCACTGCGGTTTCCTAACGATGTGGTTGCCGGACCCTCGCTTGCACCCGCACCGACAACGCCGCCGCCGCTGCCGTGCTGTACGCCAGCGACACCCGTACCTGGCTGCGTTGATAGAAAGCGTTGCTGCGCGCACACGTAGCAGCCGCCTCCCTGCTGCTGCGGCGCCGCGTTCATGACGTGCTGCGAGCACAGCGTGTGATAGGCGTGGCCGCACATGTACACGGACACCGCCGACGACGGCGACGATGCCGGCGCCACTGCGGCAGGCGTGAGTGTCGCCTCCATGGCGAACGCCGGGGGCGGCTCACTGAGGTGGACGTGACACAGCGCACAGCTGTCGGACAGCGTGACAATGCCGGTGTTCAGCTTCTGGTAGAGCTCCCGCCCTAGCGACATGACGTCGCTCTCGGTGGCGGACTCGCACAGGCGGTTCGCCTCCAGTTCGAAGCTCAGCGACGCCATCATGTCCAGTATGACCGGCTTGAAAGGCCGAAACGCCTCCTCTTTGTTGTCTTGCACCACCTTATCCACCACCACGGAGAGGTCCAGCGAGTTCATCATTCCACGCAGCACGTCGGAGGTGCACTGCGTGTAAACTGACACCAGCGCCGCGATCATCTTCCGCTGGTGCGGCGTGAGGGGCCGCGTCAGTCGCGGTAAACGATACTCAGCGCCGCTCAGAAGTGGCGAAGACGCGCTGCGGCGGCCATCACGACCGCTCCGCGGACTGTCGCTCCGCGCTTCAGCAGCAGCGCAGTTGGCGGCAATCTCCAGCTCACTTTGCATGCCGGTTCCGTCCACTACCATCGTCGCGTCTTCATGACGGTTGCCCTCGTCGGCGCCGCCGCCACTCCCAGACTGCAGCTGCTCATCTTTCGTTACGACCTGACACAGGAGACGGCGCGGCACCATGAAGACGTCCAGGAGGCGAAACCAGTACTCTGGGTTCTGCGCAAACGGACTTCCCGCACCTCCGGCGGCCCCACCGTCCCCTGAGAGCCGGTCCACCTGATACTTTTGGCAGAGAGTTTTGCCAATGGTGATGAGGCGCAGCAGCGTTGCGGCGCCACGCACCGCTGTCGCATCCATCAAAAAGTCGGGGATGGCACCGGACGATGCGCTGTGTGCTGCCGTTGGATTCTTCCCTCCTGCGGCAACTGCGACTGTGTTCACTGCAGTGGTGGTGGTGGTGCTCGTAGAAGCTGCGTTGGCTGCGGCGCTGACCGTGGAGGCGGAAGCAAAGGAGTGCTTCAGCGCCTCCTGCTTTGCAGTGGCGTGGCTGTCCGTCTCCGCCGTCAATTGCGCTATTACCTCCTCTCGCACGTTCGCCAGCGCGGCACGTGTTGCGCTCACCATGACCGTCATGGCCTCCTGAATCATCATCGTCTTTTCCAGCAGGTAAATTGAAGCGTCAGCGATGTGGTACTTGCGCACGGCACGAAGCGCCAGCTGCACGTCGTACGTGATAGAGCTCCCTTTCTCCTGCAGGTGCGCAAAGACCCTGTCCGGCGCGTGGGCACAGAGCAGCTCGATGTACGTGTTCTGCAAATTGATATCGTTCGCCACAGTCGGGTCGCCCTGCGCGATGAGTTCGTCAAGGTAGTCGAGAAAGGCCGCGCTGGAGCCGCGGAGGAGACGCATTACCTCGCGGTGGTTGGAGGGCAGATAGTCAAAGATGAACTGCGCAAGCGCCGTGGCGTCAATGCGGACGAGCGCCTCCACCTGACTCATCACGCCTCGCTGCAACGCCTTAATGGCTGCATCTATCGCACTTGTGGCTGCGGCGGTGGTGGTGAGGGAGGAGGAGCTGGTGAGAAGAGGTTCCATCGCGGAATTCGAGGTGTGGCGACCCGCCCCGGAAGACGGTGACGCAGGGACGTTGTTGTCGTCCATTTCGGTACCGTCAAGTGTGTCGCTCTCAAACCGCCGACTTGCGCTCAGCTGCTCGGCCGCGTTGGCGGTGCGTGTCTTGAGGTCCTGCAGGCGCTGCATCTCGCTGCGCAGCATGCCAAAGACGTCGCGCTGCAAGCTGGGGTCGACACTGTTTTGGGCCGGGTCAATGTAGCACCGAATCGCCTCGGTGTAACGCTGCTCTTTACAGAAAAGGGCTGCAAGGCAGCGAGCCATGCGAAGCCGCGTGAAGTCCGGCTGGAAGACGGCAATGCGCTCTTGCGGAATAAATGGCGGTGCCATGACGCTCATTAATCGCTCCTGTAGTGCTCGCCGCTCCTCCGCCGTCTGCGCGTTTTGGAACATGTACAGTGCATCTTGAAGGACCAAGTCCATCCACACATCGAAGCGCACCATGGAGGGGGTGGACACGGGCACAGAGAAGCCGTCAGCCGCGTTTTTCCCTCCGACTTCACCGTTCTCTCCGTCGGCGAGAAAGAGCTCGTCGAAGAAGGCGGCGTCCGACAGAAAGGTGTGCACCACGTCGTAAGGAGGAAAGCTGCGCTCCGCCAGCTCAGCCGCACACAGCTTCCGCAGTCCGGGTGTACGCGCCAACGCCTCATCGTCTATCAAGAACAGGTTGACAGGTTTGCTCTCTTGCCGGCCATATGTCCTTTCTTCACTTCCGCTTTTCCACGGCCGTGGTTGCGTGCGCGTTCCGCCTGTGAGGAGAAAGAAGACACTTGACACGAACTGGGTGCGGCAAAAGCCGTCTCTGCTGCTCCCCCACGGACTGCACAGACCCTCGTCGGACAGGGCAAAGAGAAGCACACGGACGGCGTGTTGTGGCCACCGCTGCAGGAAGCGCAGCAGGTTGTGCTGACCTTGCGTGTTGGTCTGCAGGAGAAACTCAAGAAGCGCCTTCTTGGCGGGTCGCTGCTCGTTTGCTGGAATGTCGGCGCCTGGAAGTAACGCGCAGTCTTTTAACGTGTACTCCACGAGGTCGACCGCCACTGACGCACTGGTGGAGCCTGCAAATGCTTTTATGGTGTCTGCGCTCGCTGCTCTTTCCTCCTCTGCCTCACCCTCCTCTTCGTCCAGTGCGTAGGCAAGCGCCTCCACGTACTGCTGTTGACGATACGACATGATGGTGACACTCAGCCGCAGCAGCTTGTGTTCTCGTGCGAGGCGCAGCAGGTTGGGTAAGCCGGCATCGAGACACATCAGCGCCAGCTCTGCGCGGTCTTTGCCTGACAAGGCAACATCCGGAGACCCCAGTCGACCAGCGGATGCCACGGTGGGAGATGCGCTTTGCTTATGAGGGATGGCCGCCTGGCGTTGCTGAGACGGGCGAACCCCCAGCGCCACTTCCAGCGCCGCGAGTTCGCTCTCACGCAAAAAGAAATCGATGAAGCGCTCAATCAGCGGCTCCGGCATGTAGGTGATGATGCCGTGGCGCATGGTGCCCTCCAACGCATAGAGAAGGTAGGACAGCAAACCGCGCTGCTGCAATGTGCGGGTGATGGGGCCGTAGAGCAGATCCAAGGCATCGACCGTACTACAGTAGGCGGCGACGCCCTGTAGAACATCGAGTAGCGAATCGGCGGCATTCTCTGACGCGGCAGAGGATGGAGTGCTGTCGCTCAGCGTACTCTCCAGGTAGGCGAAGAGAATGCGCTCCATGTACTGATGCAGATCGCGGCGCCGCTGTGCAGTGTTGCTGCTCAAGCCCACCATGGACAACGCCACCTCCTCTGCAAAGCCCTTCGCCAGGTCCAGCGCCTCCGCAAACTTGCGGCGCGCCACCAACGTCGTCAGCCGCTCTCGCCAGGAGTAGAGAGAGATGCCGTAGGCGTGGCCCCCTTTGCCGAGCAGCAATGCTGCTGATTGATTGGATGCCAGAGTGCCGTGGTACTTCGTCCCGCAGAGCCGACTCACAAAAGTGACGTACTCCAGTGAGGCGAAGTGATGGCGCTCCACCATCACCGCCACCGACGCATCCATCAACTGGGCGTCTTTGTTTTGGTCCAGCAACAACACGCTGCAGCCGGCTAACGGCACCATCTGCAACAGCGGCGCCGCCAGCCGCAGCAGCGCAATTCTTTCCACCCCTTGCGCGAGCGGGTCGGACGCGCTTCCGCTCGCGCCAGCGACGGACGAGCCGGTGTCGGGTAGCCGCAGGTTGAGGAAGAGCAGCTCAATTTCCGTGTTCCACGAGACACAGAGCAGCACGCGTGGGGCGACGCCTTCTTGCTCCATCGGCACAAAGCGGACGAGCTCGTTGCTCAGGGCCGACGAGGGCGGGTGGGTGTGCCGCGCCACACCGGTCACCGCCCCCTGCAGGCCGGCCTCCACGATGTAAATCAGCACCGCGTCGTTGCTCACGGCCGCCACGAGGTGTTTATCCGCTACGGTAGACCAGCGGGTGCGTGACACACCCGCCGCACCGGCCGTGGCGGACGGGAGAGGCGGCGGTGCGAGAAGCCACGGGATGCCGTTGTCGGTGTTCCACCCCGTCGCTGCCGCGGGTAGATGGTCCTTAATCTTTGGCAGGTTGCGCATGTAGAAACTGCTAGGATACGGCAGCGCGTCCACGTCACTGATCGGGGTCGCCGCGGCGGTGGCGGTTAAGGTCGTGGAGCGCAGCACATGCTTCGACATGACTTTCCACAACTGAAACAACTTCACTGCCCCGTTGCTCGCTAACATGAGAAATCGGGTTGTGTCGCGATGGAGGTGCTGGAGGCGCAGCACGGGCACGGTGCACTCATCTTTGATGATCCGGAGCGGGGAAAATGAGTTGAGAGACCAGAGAATGCAGACGCCCGTCGCGTGACCGGTGGCCGCGGTTGGCTCCTCATTTGTCTCGTCTGATGAGGTTGTAGCAGAGAGGGACAAGGAGACGACGGCGCCACGTACGTGCACCACGCTCGCTTCAACCGAGCCGCAGAGGCCAAGGAGGCTCCACCGCTGGTCGAAGAGCGCGACGGCGCCAAGGTTCGTGCCCACCGCCACCGCGAGCGAACTCGATTTCGCCGAGCTCGAGGGTCTTGCATGTGACGAGGAAGATGGATTGTTGGTTCGTTGCGGTGCCGCTTCGGTGAGGGCCACGCAGGTTGGCGCGCCGATCGTCTTGTTCAGTTCCGTCAACTGACGACGCAGGGCTACGTGTTCGTGGATGTGCAGCACCAACTCTCCCCGCTGTGTCTCGCATAGCACGGTGGAGGTGGCAAGCAGCTTCGCCTCCTCTAGCACCCGATCGACGGCATCCTGCTCCTCATCCCTCTGCGGCTGCTTCCTTGCACTTTCCTGAGCCGCTGATGTGGGTTTGGAACTGGTGAGGTCGCCGCTCACACTCGACTGCTGGTCGTCTACCGCGGTGAGGATGGCGTCGAGAATATCTTGTTCTTCTCTAGAGGTGAAGGCGCTCTTCTTTTTGTTCGCTGCGATGGCCGTTGTTGGGGAGCCAGCTGCTGACGGCTTCGCAATTTGTGTTGGAGTCTCGCGCGTGGCGTTATTGAGTGTTTGCTTGCTGTTCCGCCCTACTTCAGCGGATGAGGCGGTGGTAGAACTGGCTTTGCTATCAGCTGGATTCGTCTTGTTCTCCTTCTCTGACATAGTGGAGGAAGACACTGCATGTACTGGCGATGGTGCGTCTCCTTGGCCAGTGTTGGAGGACGTCACTGCATCTGCCGAGGCTGCCGCAGTTTTACTAGACACAAACGGTGCCGCGCCGGCCGTGATGCTCAACAACTCCTGCAGCAGCAGTTCCTCGTCATCGGCGCCAAGTGTGTCGACAAGGTCGGAGTGCGAAATGTGATGCGATGAGGAGAGGGATGAGTTCGCACCCGCTGCAGTTTCCGCCGCCCTTGCGCCGCGCGTGTCTGCCGCAGGCGGAGATGGAGAATGTTTGTTGAGAGAGGGCAGCTGGCGCAACACATCCTTGACGATCGCTTGCTCCGTCTTGCTTGTGTCAGCATCGCCTTCTCGTTTGCTGAGAACAGGACTGGGCCCCGCGATCTTGCCGAATGTGCGACTCATTGAACGCACAGGCAGAACACAGAGAAGCGCAAGAAACCGATACAGTGCTGGTAACTCTATAAGCACAACTCCACGCTGGGCACAGCTCGCGCCAGGTACAAAAGGGAAAAACGGTATATATTTAAAAGGGAGTTCTCGCGTCACCCATAACTGTATTTCTAACCGAAAAAAAAGTATGCGTGTATGTGTACAGCGCGTTATTGCTGTTTGGGGCGAGGGGAGGAAAACACGCAAATAAGACGTGAGAGAAGAAAGGGGAGGTAGTGACAGCTCACTGACGACGACCACTGTACAAACACGAGAAGAAAGGTGAAGCACGGAGCACACTCGAAAACTTCAATCGGGTGGCCACGGCCACCCTTCGACTTTCGGCGAAGGCGCGACGATGCAAGAGAGAAACGAAGAGCTGTACGAAAGAAGCGGAAGAACCAATAACGCAAAGCTTCTTTTACGGCCACCGCATCGTTGGAAATGATGTCCGTTCGCTATTCCAAGGAAACAAGAAAACGTATTGCTATGCTGCACTTCATTGGACAGTTTTCGGCATACATGTACATGTGAGAGCGAGAGAAGGGAAACGGAAAACCAAAACCAAAGAAAAGATGGACAAAACGTAACATACAATAACTACAAAAAAAAACGGCTGGTACAATACACGATACATAGAACCTTCGTTGTTCCGTCTTGGACCATAACGAGGCGCCAAGTAAAGCTGTATATCGCCATACCCGCGGAGAAAAAAAGCGAAAGAAATCGTCTAGCTACATCGATGGAATCATGGAGGTCGGTGCGTAGGATTTAACAAGGGCCCACTTCAACGAGTGTACAGGAACAACAACAACAACAAAAAAACGGTATAAAGCCACGTCTACAAATCAAACGTATTCGTAAATACAGAGAGAGAAAAAACACTCAACGAAATATTAAACGCAAACACGCCTGCAGTGAAATGCTCGCTTCGACTCACTTAGAGCTATGTACATCGCGCAGACGGAAGCCGAGTCAGCACAAGCGAACGTGGTGACGCCATGTGACAGCTGCGCGTAAAAAGCGAGAAGCACAACAAACGAGCATGAACGTGAAGAACAACAACAAACACACAGAGAAAAAAAAACATCTACATTGCCAAGACCAGAATCAGCGTGAAAACGTCGAGATGAGCGAAACGGATGCACTTTAGCTATCTCTCTCCTACATGCCCGGCTCGTCCAGATGGCTCATCCGGTACGCCTGCTTCGCCGCAATTTGCTCCATCAAGTCCTGCCGGTGCTGCTGCTTGCGCTCCGCATCGCGTAGGCGCTCCTCCTGGCGGATTATGCGGTTGGATTGCGCAGCCAACTCGTTGCGCTGGCGCGTCACTTCGGCCGGTTCGTCGTAGTTGTTCCTGCGGCGGAACTCCTTGTCGCGCGCGATAGACTCCTCAAACTCACGCTTGAACGTTTCCTTCTTGAGCTGCGCCGCCTCCCGCTCCTCCTTCGTCAGGCGCCTGTCTCGCTCCACCATCGCTGCCATCTCCTCCCTTTGCCTCGCCTCTGTGTCCTGTTTGGTCTTCATGGAGTCCTTGTGGAACTGCTCGTTCTGCAGCTTCATCATTTTTGAGACGTTCTTCTGCCGCCGCTCGTCCATCTCCGCCCGGTGGCGATTGTTCTCGTTGACCAGCTCCTGCAGCTGGCGGTCTTGCGCTTCCTTGGCCTCGCGCTGCGCCTTCCTCGCCGCCAGTTCACGCTTGTTGGACTCCTTCAGGCGATCGAGATACTGGCGCTCCTCTTCGCGGGCCTGCGCCTGCGCCTCGGCGAGCCGCCGGTCCACGTCCGCGTTGACCTCCCGCAGCGCCATCATCTGCGCCGCCTCGTCGTCGTGCATCTTCTTTAAGGTCGCCTTGCGCTCCTCCAGCTCGCGCTTCGCCTCCTCGTCGTAGAGGCGATTGTACTCCCGCTTCTTGGCGGCCTCCTCCTCCTTTTCAAGCTTATATGTGTTCTCGCTTGCGGGGGCCTCGCCAGTGGCGCGCAAGGAGCGTGTTTTGGCCCCGGGAAGGGGACGGCTTGGCGGTTTGTCGGCACCACCACAACCACCGCCGGTGGCCGTCAAGTCCTCCGTCGCTGCCTTCTTGCGCGACTGAGACCACTCCTGCTGTTTTTGAAGCTTCTCCTCCTTCCGCAGCGTGGCCTGGCGGAGGTCCTCCTCCTCCAGCTGCTGCTTCGTCGGCTCGTAGAGCGCAGCGCGGCGGCGGTTCGTCTCCACCAGGTAGTGGCGGCGCGTCATGCCCGCCGGGCCCGACTCGACAGGAGGGAGCGGCATCTTTGCTGTTTGGTTTGTTTGTTTGTTTTTAGGTGTGGAAGGTCAAAGAACGACTTGTTAGTAGATGTAGATGTGCGATAACCGCTACAAGTCAAAGTGTCCGGCAGCGAAGGTGCTTCTTGATGAGTGTGATGGTAAGGGAGCAGCGAGAACAGCGTGCAGCCTGACAACGCTGTTAACAAGGCTTTCGTTACTGTTTTAAATTCGGAGCTTTGCTGTAGATTTACGTGTTTGTTGCTGGAAATATAGAGAAGGAAAGGGGCGAAGATTCGAAAGGAGTGCAGAGGCCAGCAATTCAAAGCGGCACGGCTAGCTGAGAGCACATGGTGGTTGCGGATTTCGCGAGTTGGGACATCGAGTGTCCGCGTTTGTTTACTGTAGCCAAACATGACCATCGTCGGGATACTTAGACTGTTGCTTTGTGTCGGTTCTAAATATCTACGATACCTTGAAAGTGCGAATCTTCTCCTTCATTTTCTGTCCCTCATAATAGGTACGGCTCCAGCACGGCCGAGAGCACCTCCGCGTGCTCCGCGGTGTCGTTCAGCGCCGGGATGTACTGTATATCCCGCCATCCGAGCTTCTTCACCTCGGGGAAGAGCACCTTCTGCAGCCTCCACAGCGTCGTGGTGCTGTCCAACGCCTCGCCAGGACACACCACAAAGGCCGTCGGCGCCATATCCAGCGGAAGTGGGGTACGGGACTGAAGGAAGGCCGACAGTCCGCCGGCATCGGAAGCGGCTCCGTCGCTGCTGCCACGGCGATTCACCGCGCTGCTCGACAGAGACGACGCCAACGAATTCATCGCGGAGATGCTCTTCAGCTGGCGAATAATGCTGAGGAACACCCTCTCCAGCCGCGGCTCCCTCAGCGCCTCACTGCCGTGCCCCAAAAAGGCCGATTTGATGCGACTGGGGTTGAGGGAGCCTCGGAAAAACTGTCCGTCCGCCGGCGTCGGCATCGACGAAGAGGTGGACCACGACGTGCTGAGGCGCTCGCGCAGCTGCTCCGCGGTGCTCGTGTACTCGTCGCGGTAGGTGTCCCCGCTCGCCGCCACGTACTTCCGCGTCCCTTGAAAGACAATGAAGAGCCAGTCGGGTGTGCCGTGCTGCCCCACGTACCGACGAATGTGCCGGTTCCACGTGTCAAGATACACCTCATGATCCGCGTAATTTCGAATGAAGTGCACATTGGGGATGTTCTCGTGCCGTTGGAAGTACGAGCTGCGCATCACCGCGTCCCACACCGTCCCGGTGAACTCCGCCTTGTGATGGGGATAGAGAGGCAGCACCATCAGCTCCTCCACCTCCACCGCAACGGGCATCCCGGCGGAGTCGCGGGCGTCTCGGCCATAGCCGCCGCGAAGCTGGAGCCGCTCCAACGCCGCCTCCACGCTGCCGCGGCGGTGATAAAAGCCCACCTCCACCTGCACCGAGGCGTCGCGCCTGCCCATCAGCTTCTGCCGCAGCCACTGCTCCACCAGCCGGCCAAGCTGTTCTGCCAGCGCGACGACGGTGGCGGTGCCGACCACCTCCGACCCAGCGGATGCTGCTACTGCTGCCGCTGTTTCTGTCGTTGTCACGGCGTCCTCGTTCTCCGCAGGGGCGTTGCTCCGTGAACGCGACAAGATCCACGTGCCGCGGTGCATTCTTTGGTGTTGGCGCACAATGCAGGGCAGTACCACGGTGTAGACGAGGGGGCGCCACAGCCACCTGGGAAGGAAGTCGTAAAAGCGGGGGTTCATCAGCTTGCGAGAGAGAAAGCACCACACATTCCACAGACTCGTGCTCTCTGGGGCACCCTCGCACACGAGGAGGACCCCGAAGCGGGTAGGCGTGTTAAAGCGTTCATTCAGTGCGCCGTTCGTGGAGTTCTCATCGCACATGAGAAGTCGAGGCGTCCAACCCTGAAACGGGAGGAAGAAATGAGCAGTAAACTCCCGTCAATACAAAGACGAAGTAAAAAACACGAAAAAAGGAGAATAATAAGAATTCGATAGACTCCAGTTGTTGTTTCTTGCGGAAAAGGAAGATGAATCCAACGGCAAAACCAGAAGTAGAGGTTTCTTTGTCAAGCCAACGCAAGGCTCCTAAATCAGGCTTCCGCTGTGAACAACATGCAGCTCACGCGAACCTGATAATCGTGTGTGTAAGCGCTTAGGTAATAAGTATTGGTGCGGTGAGCTCGTCATTCCACGAGGAGGGAGGTACAGAGAGAGAGGGGGAGAGATATATTAGAAGAGCAAGCACACAAATCAAAAAGTACGAACGGAAAAGAGAAGAACCAGCATGCGGTTGTCTGCTGCGCCGCGTCTTCCCTGCTTTCCGCAGAAACGACCCTCAACACTCATACAGTTTTTGTCGAAAAGAAAAAAGAAAAAAAAGATAGCCATCTCCACCGCATTTCGACATCGAACCTAAATGCACAGTGTCGTCTTTATGATGTGCAGGCGTGTCAGCACCGAGAAGACATTTACCTTTCTTTTCTTTTTTTTTTTGAAACAGCAGCCAGATAGTCGATCGTTGGAGTTTTCATGTGCGAACGCGCACAATTTGATGCATCGCTTCAGTTTTCATGCCCTCCTGTGTTTTTTGGTCTAACGTGGCAACGATCTAACAAGAAACAAGACAGCAACAAAGAAGGCAACACAGGGTTAAATATTTGTAAAGGGGGGAGAGGGGAGAAAGAGCGCGAGAGAGAGCACTCTTCAGCCGTACAACATCATTTCAGCACGAAATACGAAAAAAAAAGAAAATGGAACAAGGAAAATGCTACTGCAGAACGCGCAGTTTTCGTGTACAGCGTCAACACTTCGGCCGAGCTACTTTCGAGCCATGTCGACGGCAGAAAACATAAAATAAACGATGAAAGAGTAGGAATGTGAATAACAAGAGAAAATAGTTCGAACACCGTAACAAGCAACGTTTTCAAAGGATTCCTTGTGTCTTTCAATACCAATGCTGCCAGTGAAACTATTCTTGGCTGCTAAGACCTTTCGAGGGCTCCGAGCGCTTCGTCGATGCGCACCCACGGCTGATCCTTCCCTGTATTGCGCAAAAACAATCGTGTCTGGATAATGCGCAGGTACACGATCCGTTTCTGTGCGTTTTGGCGGTTGTGCAGAACGTACTCGCCGGAGGTTGAGGCGACCATGTGAAAGCGCCACGGCGACTGCGGGTGCGTTGCGTAGTGCTCGTTCAAGTGACGGCCGAGTGCAACATCGATGCCGTCCCAGTGCCGGCTGTGGTAGCGTGGCGGCCGCGATGCGTTCAGCGGCGTACTTGGCGACTTCCATACGACCCGCGGCGCCGCCTTCTTCCGTCGTGCCTGCAGCGCCGCCGCCTCCTCGGGGGTCGGCCGCGTCGGACACAGCATACCGGCGCGCAGGTAAAAAACACGGCCACTACCCCCGACGCCGTCGCCGTCATCCCCTTCATCCGCGTCAGAGTGTTTGACCTCGCTTGTATCCGATTTGGGTGCGGACGACGCGTTCTGCGCCTCTGCCGAGGGGATGCAGCGCTCTTCCGTCGGGTGAGCATCCGCGTTTGGAGGCAATGGGCTGTCCTCTCCCTTCACCGCCGTTGTCTCGGTCGCGTCGGCTGCCACAGCTTCCGGTGGCGGGGTCGTCATGAAAGTGGACTCGGTGGTGTCGCGCGTCGAGCGACGCTCCGGTGTGGCGCTGTGATCCCGCGAGCTCTTCGACTTGGCCGGGCTCATCGTACGGTCCATCGTGGCCGGGTGGGAAATGTCTAGCGCTGAGTCCTGCAGCGGCGCCGTGCCTTGCGACGCTTCGTCCGCCTCCGGGGCCACGTCGCCGTCCTCCCTCGTTTCTTTTTCATATGCGTCCGACAAGGGAGACTTTTCGTCCGCCGCCGTCGAGGGCAAATCGACCTTTCGCGCAGCGTCGCTACGAGGTGCTACTAACGCAGAGGCGTCTTCCAGTGCCTGCTCGTCCGCCGGCTCCTTCGAAGAAATGTCGGCGTTAATGCCGTCGGGTTCGGTGTCCGGCGTCTCCTCTACCCCTTCCTCCGCCGCCGCCTTTTCGTCGGTCTGCAGCGTGGGAATGGATTGTGCTTCGGCCGCCTCCGCCTCGCTCACAATACGATCAAGGTCCGTCTTGGTGAGCTTTGAGCCCTGCTGCTCGATCTCGTGCTCGTACATGATGATGTTCGGCGCGAATGTGATCGAGCCGGCGTTGTAGGCAATACGCGCCATCGCCATGAGACACGTCACGACCTGGCGATCACTCTTGCCGTCCACCAAGTCCGAGTCCGTAAACAGCTGCGCATCAACCAAATTAAAACGCCGCTTCGCCTCCGCCAAGAACGTCGCCACGTTGTCGCGAATAAAAAAGCCCGTAGACCTCTTCGGCAGCTTCAGGTCTGCGTCCGCAACGGGAGGGTCCTGCATTTTCTGTAGCAGTACGTGCAGCAGCACGCCGTTGCGGAGGGCATCGATAAAATTGGGCAAGGCCAGCACATCGCTGTTGTGTGCGTCGCCGAGCATCTTGCCAAGCCACTCGCGTATTTCCTCAGACATAACCTCATCGAGGCTATCGCGTGTTGGAGCGGCGCTGAGGTGGCTGGGCGGTCGGGCAAAAATCACCGATGACTCCTCCTCGCCGTCCTTGTTGTTGCCATTTTCTGCCTTGACAGCGGTGGTGCTGCCACCCAGGAAGGACGCGCTGCTGTCACTAACGGTGACGTGTCGCAGCTGACTGGTCGTCCGCTGCAGTTCCGACTGCTCTTCTTCTACTGCCTTGTCGTCGCGCCGACTATTCAGACTGTTGCGGGCAGCCTGCAGGCTGCGATTCGTGACGTGCTGGACGTTGCACTTGCGTTCAAGCGATCGCGTGGCGTCGCGCTCGCTGAAGCCCTTCATTTCTGTCTGACGTAATACGCTCTCCACATCCGCGTCGCTGGCGGTGGTGACGGCCATGTGCAAGCGCTTCGCCACCGCCTCGCGCTGCGGCAGCTTCGTAATTTTGTACAAGGCGTAGAGACTGTCGAAAAGTTCCGCGGCGGAGGTGCCTTTCCGCTCCGCGTCGGCGACGACGTCGCCTACTTTATCGACCTTAGAGAAGTCATAAATGCGGAAGATCTCCTTCAAATCGTAGCGCTCCTGCTCTGAGAAACTATGCGACATGGATGAGGAGTGGTGACGATGAGAAAAGACAGGTGCTACCAAGATGCAAAAAGAAAACTTTCGTCTCACCTATACGCTCTGCTAAGCACCACAAGAGTGCTTCGTTACTTCCTGTTGAACGGATGGATGAGCAGGTAATGATGACGTCAATGTAATAAACACCGAAGAGGGAAAATGCGTCTACTTTGCAGCCGGTCATGGAATGGCGCCGCCACACACAAACAAGACAAGGACAGAAGGCCAACGTGAGAAGAACAAAAGAAGAAGAAGTGAGAAAATGGGACGCGGTGCCGCAGATAAAGGGTCAGCAAGAAAGTTCAAACACACCGGCAAGCAACAAGACAAACACGAAGGAGTCCTGCTTCATAGACCCAACAGAGGAAAGGCACAAGTACAAAACAGAACGCTATTTTTTTCCCTCGTAGAGAATCGCGCATCGGCAAATCAGCTTCACAGTTTGAGAGCTGGTTCAAAGCGAGGTGTAGCTTATTACTTTTCGTTTTTACGTGCCCGTTTAGTCCTCTTAGGTGGGACACAACATGAGGCTATGGCAGCAGGAGTCATATTCGAACTCCTTTTCATCACATCTCTCTCATCAGTTAAACGAAGAAAAGAACGCCCTCCAAAAACAGCTCGACGCGCACGTGCCCTCCCTCCGAGTGAAACACTGTTTTGACAAGGGAAAAAAACAAACGAAAGAGACTCAAGCAGTATCATGGCGCGTGCCATCAGCCTTACAGACAATGAGCACACCGCACAGAGAACCGTATGCGCCCAACGTTTTCCCACTTCTCCCTCCTGAAACTGCTAAGCGCGTTCTCATTGATTTCACTTGGCGATGATCGCGGCGATGTCGTAGTACGCTCCATTTGCGAGTACAGCCGGCTCCTGCACGCCCTTCTCTGTGATGATGCCGCCCGTGATCAGCGCACCTGGCGTGATATCAAAGACAGGGTTCCAGATGGTCAGGTTTGGCCCATCCGCCACCACGCGCTGCTTCGTCACCATGTTCGTCGTGATCTCCGTCGTCTCGCGCTCTTCGATCTCGACGTGGTCGCCGCTCGGCGTCATCGCGTCGAGCGTCGTCGTGGGGGCCGCGACGTAGAATTTAACCCCGTGAAATTGTGCCGCCACCGCGAGGTTGTAGGTGCCGATTTTGTTGGCGGTGTCTCCGTTCTGGCAGATGCGGTCCGCCCCGACCACTACCGCGTCAATCTTTCGGCTCTTCATCAACGAAGATGCTGCCCCATCGCAGATGAGCGTGCACGGGATGCTCTCCTGCACACACTCGTAGACGGTCAGACGGGCGCCTTGGTTCCACGGCCGCGTCTCGCACGCGTAAACCTGCGCCAGCTTGCCATCGTAGTGCAGCTGACGCACCACGCCGAGGGCCGTGCCGTAGCGCGACGTAGCCAACGCGCCGGTGTTGCAGATCGTCAGCACGTTCACCGTGTCGCGGCCCTCTTTATGCGCCGCCGCGAGAATGTGCGCCGCGCCGTACTTCATGATGCCCTCGTTGAAGGCCACGTCCGCGGCGTACACGGCCTCAGCCAGCTCCGCGAAGTCTGCTGCCACCTCTGCAGGCGAACGAGTGACGTCGAACGTCGCAATACGCGTCTTCAAATCACGCAGGCAGTTAAAAAGGTTCACCGCGGTTGGCCGGCTCGTCATGACGTAGTCGCAGCTCTCTAAGAGAAATGACTGCACCTCCGCCCCGGTCCGCAGCTCGCCATCCTTCACTTTGTTTTGAGTGGCGACGGCAATGCCGAGGGCGGCGCTGACGGCGATGGCTGGAGCGCCGCGTACGCGCATCTCCTTAATGGCGGTCCATATATCCTCCACCGTGAGGACGTCGTCGAAGACAGTCTCCAGCGGCAACTTGCGCTGATCCAGCAAGCGCAAAAAGCCTGGTGTGTACTTAATTGACTCAAGGGTAGCGTGATGCGGCTGCGACATTGTGTGACGAAAGGATGCGTTACTCAATAGGGTTCTGTGTCGAGTTATGGAATGTCATGGGCAAGACACACGTTGTTTCCCACACAGAGAAGAGAACAGTTGTCCATAGCACAAGCAAGGCGCGAAGACATGGGGGAAGCAAAGAGCGAGAACAAGAAAGTAGGAACACGAAAGCCGGCACTTGAACTGCCGAGAACAGTGATATTTAGAAGGAAAAGGAGCACTGAACTACAAAGGCGCGAGGCCCGAGATGAATCGACCAAACAAGTTCCACACATCGAGTCCTTCTTCCTAGTAGTGCGTTTTTCTTCTTTTTAGAGTTCTTCCTGCGAGGCAAAGCAAAAACAAAAACGGTCCCACCACAGGCTAACGTTGTCGGCCGTTACTGTACCGCGTTGAAATGAATCCGAAAAGGTAAAAACCTTCTCCTATACGTCCTAGCATCAGCTTGATTTCTGAGGGAAAAAAAGGGGTATGATGTCTCACCTACCACAGAGCAACGGCTCTCTGTGCTCGAGTCCGTATGTGTACGTGTGCGCATGAAATGAAACTGAAACGTTATGCGCGCTGAGACGCTGTATTGTGAAGCGCTACTTCATCCTCAAGCAGGCGAGAACGGCGTCGCGCGCGAAGGGGATGTAGCTTAGTGTGTACCACGTCATCGCCAGGTACTGCAGCAGCACCGTGAGGATGGTCAACGCCGGCACCTTGACGGCCAGCGCAAAGACGAACGTGAGCACCATACACGCCACAAAAGCCAGCGTCGCCGCCCAGCGATACGACTTGAACATGCTCTTCAACTGGCGCAGCGGGCCACAAAGGAAGAAAGTGCTGCCAACGGAAAAGATGTTCGCCACCGTGTTGATCACAGCAAAGGTGTTGAGGTCTCCCTTAAAGACCATCACCCACGCGATGACGGAGCAGAGCACGCTGGCTGCCATGCACGCCGCGAAGCCAATAAGACGCTCTCGAAAAGAGAAGGAGGGGCAGAGCGACTGATTTTCGCTCTCTTGTTTGTTGCCGTTCAAATCGCGTGGAATGTAGTCGCCAACCGGAGTGTTGTAGATGCCTTCCACACTGTCCAGCTTCAGATAGGAGGACTGCAGACCGCTTGAGGACGCCATGACGGCACCGACAAGTTTAGCAGAAGAAAGGAAACTCGCCCTGTGTCCACACGCAGCGGAGAAGAGAGAAAAAGAAACTCGGCGTGACAACAAGTATCTGAAGAATGTACTTGCGATTGCTTACGTTCTTGCTTCCAAAGAGCAGATGAGAAAAAACGGAGAGAGCAAAAGAAAAAGTTCGAGAAGCCGAATGCGCTCAAATACTTCGAAGTGTCGAGTTCATTTATGCTTCTGGAGTAGCTCATTGTAAATTTGGGCAGTCTTCGATGCGGAGGATTATTCCGCTCGGACGCGTAATGCTGTTGAAAGGATGATGAGGTAATATGTAGAGGGTATGTACTGTCACACATGAGACTTCTTTTGTCCTCTGAATGCAGTGTAGCAGGTCACAAAGATGTCTCTTTTATGATGCAGTTAACGAAGAGCAGCGTTAAGTAAAACAATGGCAACAACGGAAACTTCACTCGCACACACAAAAAAAGGACCCCCAGAAAAGAAAACGGCACCGCACTCATGTCTGTGAGCGCTCTCCCCGCAGCCTGCAAGCGGAAACGCCGACGTCAACAAAACAGAAAAGAGACACGAGCGGGCTGCGCGATTTCACCGTAACCCCCTGCTCCTGGTCTTGGACAGGGGACTCATTCACACCATCCCATCGATCAGCGAGCAGATTTTCGCTTTGCTGGTGTTGCTGCTGCAACGTGCTGCTTCTCCCGCTCTGGAATTGTCAGGAGGATGTTCTTCGTCACTTCCATGATGTGCTTAAAGCGGTCGGGGCCCAGCAAAATGCCACCCCACCACCGCGTCACGACCACCACGTACCCGTCCACGCTCAGCTGATCCATCAGAAACGCCATCCTTATCGAAGCACCGGATTCGCCGTCATCGTCGGTGTCTTGTTGCAGTACACCGTTTGCATCCGTGAATCGGTAGGCGTAAATGGCGGGGTGAGCGGCGCAGGAAATGTGCTTAATGGAACGCAGATACATTACGACGCGCCGCACGTCGGCAAGACTGTGCACACGCGCCATGTGTGCCACAAAGCGCGATCGACGATCCACGATGACGTCGCCGGACCACACATCGATGCCCATCTCCTGGCGGTACTCCTCCTCGAGTTGCAAGCTGAGTGACTCTTCGTCTTCCTCAGCCTGCTTCGCTTGGTCCGCCTTCTCCTTCGCTTCCCTCAGCTCCTCCGCCACGGTCTGGGCCAGCGGCAGCAGCAGCGCCAGCATAGGAACACCAAAAGGGATCTCGTCGCGCATACGTTTGTTGAGCTCTTGCGAAAAAATGGTGCGGAGTTGCGCGTTCGGGCATGAGAGAAGGTACAGCTGCGGGTAGCTCTCATCGGGGTAGCCATTTGGGGGAAGAGTGACCTGGAGTTCAAAGCGAAAGGGCAAGTGAATGAGGAGGGAGTCTGGCGTGCCTTCGTACCGCTCACACTCGTCGCTGAACATGCTCAGAATCATGTCAATCTCCTCTTCATGGTCGGACATGGCGGGGAAAATAATAATAACAATAATAATAATAAGTGCTTTTCTTCTTCCGGTGCTCTTTCAGGTGAAGAAATTAACCCACAAACTTCGCCCAGGGCGACTGCGCTTCACGAACGCTCTGCCGCACACCGCCTTGTCACGCAATCAAACAGAGCTGTCGAAAGAAAGAACGAGACATCAAGGACATCAAAGAAGAAGAGTGCGAAGAGCAAGAAGAGCGCTTGTTCTTTCGTTTCAAGGAGCAGAAAAAAAGAAGGCCGCTTAGTACAACCATAGGCAAAATCAAAACAGCCGCGATTCAAAGCGTCTTGTCAGTTGATGCTCGCGTGGACTGCGTCGGCTGCGAAGCGATGAACAGCTAAAATCTGTGGCGTTTCTCCTCCCCGCACTGGTCTCGCGTAGATAATATAGTTAAATTCCGATCGGTAGAGTCATCTTCACCTTCCGTTTTTCTTTGCCCGTTGAAAAGGAAGCGTAATAACTTGTGATGTGTGTGTAACAAAGAAGAAAAAATGTTTCGTCTGCTCGCGGAGGCACACAAAAGAGTACAAGCATTCTTTTTCTTCTCCCTCTCGCTCTTCACTCCTTGGCTTGCCCGTTGCGATCGGCAAGCGCGTCCAGCACATCGTCCATCTTTCCATCCAGCTCAAGAATGGTGGAGGAAAGGTGATTTAAGATGGTTGCCGTCTCACCTTGAAACGTCTGCTGCGCGGGAGCGAGCGCGAGCAGGAGCTGCTTCAACTCCTCCACACCCGCACGCAGCTTCTCCTGGTCCGCACGGAGATCCTCAATAGCCGCAACGATCTCAGCGCTGTCGACTGCCGTCTCCGTCTCCGGCCGACCTAGGCCATTGCGCGAATGAAGCTGAGCTGGTGACTTTGAAGAGGAGGCGCTTGATTTCGCCGATGATGACGGCGGCAACTGCAGTGGTGACGGGGTGTAGAGGGGCTGTGGCACGGGCAGGTGGTTATAAATATACCACGCCCGCTTCATGGCGTACTCGGCACGCTCCGGTTGGTGGTTGCACCGCGTCATCAAATTGCGCGTCGTGATGCTCGCACGAAACGTCCGCGGAATGCTCTGCACATCCTTGTCGCGCAGAAACGGACGATTCACCACCTCGCCCACGAGATCCGCCGCGAGATCATCCTGCGCCTTGTCCGACACACCGTGCGGGTAGTGGTAGTAGCCCTCACCTGAGAAGATCAGCAGCGACCGAGGCTCCAGCACAACGCTTTGCAGCGGCACGCGCTGCCCGATCTCGCCCTCGGCGAACTTGAAGGTGTCATTGTAGTGGTCCATCGGGTGGTTCTCGTAGAGATCTTGCCTGGGGTAGAAGCTCATTAGGCACGATGACGCAAGCGACAGCACGGTGACCATGGGCACGTAGATCGGCCCATCGCAGTGCGGACCAATGCCCTCGCCCTGCTGATACTCGTGAATCCGAACACTGTTCGGGAACGTGGTGGGGGTGAAAAGGCCGTCGTACACCTGCATGTCCAGTGCCTCTTGCACCCAAGGAGGCATGTTCGCGTTGCTGACGAAGCTCTTCTGACACTCCTCACACATGGTGCAGCCCCACTCCTGCACGGTGCGCTTTGTCAGTTTCGACCGCAGCTCTTGCGGGGTGTCGCGAATAAACTTGAGCATCTGCGCCTCCTCCGCCTCGGAAATGTAGTCTGGGATATAGTACAAGCCGGGAACGCTGCCGACCGCGTACTTGTCGAGGTCAATATGCGCGACATCCCGAGACAGATTCTTCGTCGATGGTGTCTGTACAGAGCCGCCAAGATTGGCGTCAGCGGCAGCCAGGCGGTTTTGCTCCGCGCGTTTCAGGTGCGAGTTGGCCCGCAGGTGCTCCGGGAACACTTGTGAAAAGACATTTTGAAGCTCCGCGTTCGGCACAAAAGGCTTTAAGGCCGCTTCGGCGCCCTTCACAGGCAGTCGTGCCGCGTTGAACTGCCCGGTGGCTGCTGTGTGGTTTTCCTCGTGTAATGTCTCACGAACCGTTCCCGGGTCTCCACCTTTCGGACCGTGCTTGTGCTTCTGCGAGGGCAGCAGCGCCGACTGTGTGTTGTTGCGGTTGACTCTGCGCCACACCCCGATAAGGGAGAAGGTGGTGTAATCCGATGACTTGGTGGTCACCCTGTTCACCATGCCGGTCACGTCGAACTTCAGGCCGTACTGTGGCACGACGGTGTCCGCCTGTTGGTAGGTGTAACTCTCCAGCTGCAACGTGAAGGCCGTGCCGGTGGTGCCGGCGTCGAGAATTTCGAGCGTGCCAATGCCGTAGCCGAGTCCGTTGGAAGGGCGGTAGTAGACGAAGCGGTCGTGGTCCACAAAGAGCTCGCCCTGCAAGTCGTCCGTCATGACCAGCCAGGGGCCGTAGATGTCGCGCACAAAGTCGATGCCGACGGCGCTCTCTGTCACGATGTCCGCCGCAAGCGTCTCCGGGTCCACCGCACTGGACGCCGACAGCTCCGCCGCGTTGAAGTTCGGCGTAGAATGGTGAAAGCCCTTCTCTTTCATTTTCACATTCAAGTTCCCCACCGCGGGAGACGCTTGGGAGGCAATGGCGATGCCGGCTGGGTTGCCGTGTGGAGAGAGGGTCGAAGGCGGCGTGGTTTGCCACCTGCGCGCTATCGTGCATACGGCAGGGCAGCTGCTGAATGTCGGCCACGTATGGGGCCGCATGACCTGCCGACTCATGCGCTGTAGCCGCCTCATGGATATGACGTGTGTGTATAAAGTAATAAGATGGTGTAACGGTGCGGTATGTATCTGTCATGGTTTTTTTTTTGGTCCCCGCATGCGGAATGCGTGAAGTGAAGACCAGCGGTGACGTTGGAAGGGATGCGGATCACGTGTAGAAACGTTGAGTGTAAGGGGGTGGGGAGGATGAGAAGATAAGTGCCACCTACTATATTTGTAATACCTACGTAGAAGAGTTCCCTTCAACTCGGATGAGGTACCGCCCGCTCCATTCAGCAGCGCGAGGATCGAAAAGGGGCATCGAGACTTCTCCTTTTGCTGGCATTTGGTGCGTGGAAAGAAGGACGCTTCGCAATGGCGTCTTCTGTGTCGTGTAGAAATATCAAAGCGACAAAGCAGAGGAAAGGAAAGAAAGCGTGTATAAAACAAAGAGGAGTTGTACAGCGTGCACTGCTGCATGAAATAAAGAGAAACGCGGAAACCATTCCCTCATACGTTGTTGTTGTTGTTGCCGTGGTTGTCGTTGGAGACGACTAGTCTGCCTTCCACGCGCAGACGGCATCGCGAAAACGCTGTAACACCGTCGCCTCCCTCTCCATCATGAGCGGGTTCCGTTCCGCACGTGCTGCCGCTTCTGGACCGCAAGAAGAACTTGTGCACAAGGATACGTACCGCGTCACGACGGTGCCGCGTGTGACGGTGGAAGGGACGACTTGCGGGACGTGGTCGTCGTCCTTTACGTTCGGGGGGTCACCGAAGCGCTTTCGCGCACTCGCGACGAGCCGTCGCATCACACCTTCCCTCTGCACAACGCTGGCGGAAAACGGAACGTAGGGCGGCGAAGAAGAAGAAGGCGTGTCATCGATCCCTTCTGCACCATCTTCGGTAGGGTCGATCGGCGTGGCCACCCAGCCGGAGCAGTAAATGCGTCCCGTGTGCACGGCGTCCTCCTTACTGTCAGTGTCGGCCACGCACTGCAGTTGATCGCAGTTGAGGCGACTGAGCACCAGTGCGTTTTGTGGCGCGTCCTGATCGCGCAAGAGACCGAAGGTTTCCAGAAAAGAAAAAGAGAGCGGCGTCAAGTGGCTGTCATCGCCGCTGGTAACCTCAACGTGGATGGCCTGGAAGCCTGGTGGACTTGGCCCCTCCTCATACAACACGATCCGTTCGTCCATGGCGTAACGAGCGTGGGATGACGTTGAGTTCATGTACACCTGCAAGTGACGCAGCGAGCAAGGAAACACCAAGGAGAACACGTAGAGGGGCGGCACAGCTGCTCCACGAGCAGGAGGGCTACTGTCTTCGGTGTTACTTCCTGGAAACTCCGTACACCTGACCTGAACATCACCCACGCGACGCGGTGTGTCGTGCCGAGCCGCCACCGCCTGCTGCGTGCAGTGTATGTGGTAGAGATACCGCAGCAGTGGCTCCTTGTCCAGCGGCGCCATGGCGTCCCGCGCACATTTCAGCTGCTGCGCTTCACACTGGCTGCGCAGGCGGCACAGGCGCTGTCCCATCCACACGCTGACGGCGTTCAGAAAGCTCGCCGTCACTTTCTTCGCTCCCTTCGCCGCAAACTGGGAATCGTTCCTGGGCAACGAGTTTTGCGACGACGACGACGACGACAGTGACGGGGTATCTACGAGAAGGTAGTGCGTCACGCGCACGGCGTCCGCTGAGCGTGGGACCGCGACCACCACCACACCGAACACACGCAGGTGCATGCGCACGAATCCTTGCGCGTGAACGGTGCGTCCCTCACTACCATCGCTGCTCTTGGCCATCCAGACGTAGGTAGAAGCAGGAACACCACTCGTGTGAAAGCCAAGCTGTCCGCCTTCGTGCGGACTGAATTCACCTTCCGTGCAGCGCAGCAGCACGTCCCAGGCGTGCCGAAACGGAGGTTCCGCGCGGAACTGCAGGTGGCGCAACTGGGACGAAGTCATGAGACAGCGGCCGCGAGTAGACGCCCCTGTCGATGATTTGAAGCCCTGGGCTCGTGATGTGCCGCTGGCGCCTTCCCCGCCGTCTTCTCTCTCGATGGAAGGCTGGTGGTTGTTGTGTTCCAGTTGCGGGGGAGTCGGCGGCGCAACGACGAGGCGCACCAGTTCAGGATCGATTTCAGGGGCACGTGCGGGATTTCGTAGAAGTTCTTTGATTGTGTCCAGTGAACACGTCACTGTCGTGCTTACGCGGAGGGCCACACACACGCCATCCCTCGACGTTAACGACGGAGGAAGAGCGCGAAGCTCTGCGTAGTCGATGCTGTCGACCTCACGCACCGCATGCCAGCCGTGGGCACGTGCCAATAGCGCAAGTGGTTGCACCATCGTGTCGAACAGCATCGGCTGATCCCCAGAGAACTGCTGTTGCTGCTGCTGCTCTATTTCCTGTGCAGGTGGGCTGCTCGACGCGGTGCGGGGAGGAACTGGAAAAAGAATTGGATCGGTAGGCGGCGCATTTGGCAGGGCAGAAGGTGGACGGCTGAGCGTCGGCGTAGCTGCGCTGAGCGTCTCCGTGAACGCCGATACCATCGTACCCGGTGTCTGTACCCTGAGGAGCTCAGCATCGTAGGGAGATTCGTTTGGCGTCGTTGGTGGTGGCGGGGTGGGAAGTGTACGAGACACACTTTCTCGTGACCCGTCCGCGTCGGGTGCGTCGTTGAAAGGCTCTTCGAAGGCCGTTGGTAAGGGCGGTGGCAGTGGCGGCGACGCCTGCTCCCGCGCTGTTTCCTCGACGTGATGCGCAATGCGCTTCAGCTTTTCGGTGTTTTGATCTATCGCAGCAGCAACCAGCCACTTTGGCACTCGCCCACACGCGTCCACGCAGCAGAAATTCGTAACCTGCAGCGTTCCGTGCTCCCCGGCACACGGCCAAGCGATGTACCCATAACAGTGCACAAATCCCCGAATGTACGTGACTGTGCCCTCGCTTGTCGGTGGCGGACACAATGGGCTTGGGGTGCTCCTGCTGCTTTGAAGAAACACCATGCTGCTTGGCGAGGTGGCGTCTTCTCTCGAGCGACCGTACACGCCTCTGCGGTACTCGGGAAATAGCGTTTCCAGCGTCTGAGGGCATACACGACGGAGCTGATCGGGGGAAGTCAACACATTGGCGGCAGTTACGCAAAAGTCACGCGGTGAAACCAGCCACGGTGCGGGTGAGACGTAGGAAGTGTAAAGAAGCGAGTTGCAGTGGTCGGTGCTCAAGATGCGGATTTCCTTGAGGGTCGGATCGCACTTTCGCGCGGCATCTTCGCTTGCAATCGCATGCGCGAACGTCTCAACGTCTGCGTGGACGGCGAATTGCGTTCGAAAGCACTTCAGCGGAATATCAAGCGCAGGGGCAGCGGGGATCTCGGAGACGGTGTAGCCGTCCCGGCTGGATGTGGTGGTCCACGTAAGGGAAGGCGAGCCTGCCAGCTGCAAGAGTGGCTCCAGCACCGCAGCCGCAGCGCGGATATCTGCATCTGACGCCACCGGCATATTTTTTGTTTCTCTGTCAAGCAGCACAAACGGCCTCGCGGTAGCGTAATACAGGTGGAAAAAACAAAGAGAGGTTGAAAAGATGGGAAGAAGGAAAATGAAAAGAGACACAGAGACGCACTCTCGCACCGGGGAGGGGGGGGGGGGAGGCTGTTCAGTCAAGCATGAAACGCTTCTCACCTACACATTTAAAAATAAAAGAGGATTTACGAAGCACCAAGTATTTCATTACGCAATAAGCTTATTCGAATTGCAGGAAAACTAGAAGGCAAAAACGAATAAGAAGAATAGAGACCGCGAAATGTCGGGTGTGCGAGGCAAAAGGAGCAAAAAAAAAAGAAGAAGGTTCATGCTGTTCTTCACGACGTAAGCAGCGGTCGGCCTCAACCACAACGAAAAAGGGTCGCATCGCACCTGCCTCTTCGGATTAGAAGATGAGCGCGCGCTTCGTGCTCGGGTGGATCTCGTGCGCCGACACCATCCTCAGTGAGGGTGTTGGGCGGCTGCTTCCGCTGCTTTGCTCGACGGTGATGCCGCCATTCTCCAATGTCCACGCATGCAGAGAGCTGTCCGACTTGTGGCGCTGCGGTGTTGTGAGGTCGTCCAGCTCGGAAGTCTGCTCGCTGACGCGAGGGAAAACCTCATGTATCGTGAACAACTCGTTGCACTTTCTCGCGGAAGTTGTAGCGGGTGGACACGTCAGGGCTTGATGAGGTACAAACGGCGGACGCGCCAACTTTGGCGTCGCCACCGATGTCGGTGGCAATGGCGCAGGCACTTCGTGCGATAGACTTGAGCAATTTTTGGTCATCAATTCGGCTGGTGGAGCTGCCCTCTTGCGAAAAAAAGCAGCATGCACTTCCGCCACATCTTCCGCTCGCGCATCCGCGGCAAACTCCACGTGCAACTGTTGCTGATGCAGCATCGAACGCAACTCTTTTCGTGACCGACCGCCATTCTGGCAAATGCATCGAACTTCATCTTCGGTGTACCTCAGCCAGTCCGGCGTCGATTCGTGGGTCGGCGTACGCACACGCACGTACACGTCACCCAGCACTGCTGTGGATGTGCTGCGTTTGCGCGCAGCTGTTCCGCCACCGCCGTGCAGCGCCACCACTGGGATCGTCACCACCTCTCCTTCACGGTACAACTCGGGGGTCGTCAGCAGCGCGCGAAGAGAGAGGTACGCGCGTCCAGCCTCCTTCCTTTCGACCGGTGACGGTGCTTGGCGAAACGGGACGACTGAAGTGCCACGCTGCTGACGGACAGTGCCTCCACCGTAGGCGGTGTGCACCGACGCGACAGCACTGCGTGCGCGGGGCGGACGAAAATGTGGCGCGGAGTTCCCGCGACGGCCCCACTTTGGCGCAGAGAAAGCCCGCGTCCGCTCTGCTGACAGGATAGGGTTGCGAAGGGCAGTAGAAAAGACAAGGCAGAAATCCTCACCGTCGCTGTGGGAAGTCGGAAGTCGCACGTCCAGGCGTAGCGTCGGTAAAGCAGCCAAGACGGAATCAGCTCCGCGGTCGATGGCGTGTAGCACGGCAGCGGCCTGCACGGTGGCGCGGGCGGCGTCGCTGTGCAGAACGCGACAGTGCGCTGGACAGGGGGAGGCACAGCCAAGACAGAACGCCGACACCGCCAGCTCGCCCCGCGTTAATGTCCCCAGGCGTAACCGACTTGCCGCGGAGGTGCGCAGTGAAATGCCGGCGAGATCGACGTAAACCGTCGAGACCGCCCGCGGCGAGAGGAGCTCACGCCGCAGTTTTCGATGCGCTGTCGTCGCGTCCGCCCACCGCGACAGGTGCCACGACCACCGACACAGTTCCTCTGGGAGGTAGGAACGCAGCAGTGACCACAAATCTCGAGAGGTGGGGGCGTCAACGAGGGGGACGACCTCGTTGCCCGCACCACCACCCCCGCTGCTGGTGCGCAGGACGGCCGTCACGGCGCTCTTCTTTTGTGTCGTGACACGGCGAACAGGAGTCAGCGGTGCCGTATGCACCCACTCCACCCGCAGCGCCACCTCTGCAACGGCTTCGTTTTCCTCACTGCATAGCGGCACCCACAAAGGAGCGCGCAAAGCCGCCGTTGCACCGGGAAGCTTCTGCATGGACTCCTCCAATCGACTCTCCAGGCTGACAAAAGCGCCAACGGCCACCTCGGCGTACGCAACGACATCGCTCTTCCGCAGCAGGTGCTCCACACTCATGTGGAGAAGGAGGGTGTCTTGGTGAGGCGTCGTGGTGGAGAAGTGCACGAGGTACTTATCCTCGTCTAGCAGCGGCACCACGTCATTCCTGTTCCCATCTCTGCAAGCATGCCATATTGGATTGTGGCCACTCGCCGCCGTGGCCCCGCACACGATGGTCGGCGTGCGCAGCAGACAGTCTTTACCGCGATACAGCTTCAGGTGGCACGTTCGGTATTTTGTGTGAAGACAGCGGAAGCCGCAGAGGCACACTCGGAGCTGCACCGGCGCACGTGCGGGACCGTAAGTTGATTGGAGACGTGTCAATAGCACCTCCTCCCTTCCTTCCGCGTCGGCGAGAAGGGGAAGGAGGCGGTGGAGTTGGTCGGTGGCGTAGCAGCGCAACAGCAGCCTCACAGCTTCCCGCGGTGGCCAGTCTGCGCGAAAGCCAGCCCACTGGCTTCGGCGAAACACACACGACGAAGAGGAGGCGTCCGCAATTGAATGGGTGCACGGTGAAGACTCCGTTACTACGACATCGACCCTCAAATGGCCGCGCTCGAAGGCGCCGCGCTCACGAGCGTGCCAGACAAGCGGCAGCTGCACCTTCTCCCCACCACTGCCACGTTGACAAACGCAGAAGCTGCGTAGTGACACGTGCACGCGACACAACTCGCACACGTCATCCTCCCCGTTGCACCGGGTGCCGTATAACACAAAGCACAGCTCGTCACGCCACGGATCCACGTCGTCCATGACAGGAAGCGATTCACTGAAACGCAGGGTGCCGGCGGAGGCATCGAGAGGCCGCGTCCTCGACCGCCCTCCGTAGCAGCCACAACTCCACCCGAAAAACACACGAGTGACGTTCGGCGTTGCTAGCGCCGAGTTGAACGATGCGAAACCGTCGTTGCTGGCGACAGAGCGGTCCATCAGCGTGACAGCGCGAAGCACAACACGGACAGAGTTGCGTGGCGTAAAATCCACCGATGGGCCTTTACGTTCGGTGAGTGGGAGTGGTACATACTTGGCGACGGCGGCGTCAAACCCGACTGCTGATGCGTCTGCGAGTACGCTGTCGAGGCGGTGGAGCTCGGCACGGCAGTGGTGCCACAAATACGACAGCGTTCGCTTCTGCAGTGTATCAGCGCGCATAATCTTGTCATCGATATGGTTGTTCCGCAGTGATAGGTCGGCTTCCCAATGTGCCGCTGTCACAGAAAGGCGAAGGTGTCCGCACATGTGCGCTTGTGGGCTGCCGGCATGTCGGACCAGCACACAGTCCTTCTCCTCCACAGATGAGAAACTAGACGGATGCTTCAAGGAGACCTCACAGGACCCAATCTTTTGGTGGACTTCTGTGGTGCCGTGGTAGACGGAGCAGCACAGCACGGAGCACGGCAATGCTGACGATACCCGGAGCAACGCATGATTTGCAGGGAACAACGCTTCGTCACCTTCATATACGGCACTGTCCGTCGTCCATTCCGTCGTTGGTTGCTGCCCTGTAACGCAGACGTTTGAGGGACCAGACGTGGTGCTTCCTAGCACAGAAACGTGAACGAAGCAACTGCCGCATTCGAAAAGCGGTAGGCCATCCTCATCGCGCAAGCCGTACACGCGCTGCACCAGGACACGCACGTGTTTCCTCATTGCTGGATGCGCAGGTGACGCTCGTGTTACTATCGAAGAGAACGGCGCGGAACGCGACCGCTGATAAATAGCGTCCACCATATGCACCTCTGAGCCCGTGGAAGGAGGCAAGACAGGACATGGGCGTTTCATCATAGCTGCCTCTTGTTTTGCTGGATAGTGCGGTTCCACAGGACTCCCTGCAACCCGCAACAGTGCAGCCGCTGTCGTTCTTCGCTTTTCGTTTGGTGCGCTTGTAGTGGCTGTGTACGAGAAACTTCGCTGCGGCGCACGCCGCTCCGCTCGCTCGCGGGGTTTGGCAGGCAACGAGCTGCTACCATCGTCGCCGATGTGTGATGAAGACGACGACGACCGCGTCGTTGATAGGCGCGTCTTCCGTTTCCCTGATTGCACTTTCTCCTCATTCTCAGACTTCTCTTTTACATTATTGGGCGGTTGCACGCGTGTGTTTGCGTGCACGGGGTCCGCCGCCAGACTACGCAACAAGCGCTGCAGCTCCGCCGCGGAGTCAGTGCAGTGGCAGCGCACGTACACCTCCACCTGATGCAGCTTTTCCCTGCATTCCCGCCGCATCACAGTCAAGATGCGATCCCGCACCACCGCCTCATCCGACAGGAAGCGTGCGTTGGGTGACACCCCACGACTCGGCGCTGCTGCCTCGACCACAAGCTGCAGTACTCCCCGCTCCCGTGCACGTGCGGTGCCTGCCTTGGCCACAATCAGCATCGGCACGCTGGTTGGCGCGCCGTAGAGCAAATTGCAGAGAGCTAGCTGCCCAACGCCCAGTTTCACCTGCCTTCCCGTGGAAAGCTTGACTGCAACAGTGAACGTCAGGGTGTCCTCTTCCGTGTGACCCGTGCCGCTTGGATGCACCACCCGTAGAGGTAGAACAAAACTGTTTGAGCTCTGCGGGAACAGGGCCGTCGTCGCGTACGAGACGGAGGCGGACTTGTAGCGCTTTGGACTGTGGTTGGAGCGCATGTACACGTACACCTCGTTTCCACTCGCTTTGCTTGGCTCGCTCAGTTTCTCCCCATCTTTCCATTCGACACCAAACGGTGCCCTTGGAAGCCCTGAGCAGCCCTCAACTCGAATATACACCCATGAAGAAGAACACTTCTTATCCGCCACGTCGCCCGCCGTGCTCGGCAGCGCTTTCCTTTCAGCGGGCGGCATCGTCCGCGCAAGCGTGTCAGGGCCGTTTGAAGATGTGTTGTCTGCCGCCCCGCGACGAGTTGCAGGGGTTTGGCACGGCGTCGAGGTCGAAGCTACAGTACCCCGCCTCTCGCTCGTGGCGCGACGACGCCTCTTCTCTTCTGGCGACGGTAAAGAGGATGGCACGGAGTGCGGAGAGCTGCCCGATGGCTCCGACGGTGGGAGAACAGGAGGAGCGACGGAAGCCGCCACGGCCGTTTCCTGGTGGCAGTGATGCCACGGCGACGCCCAGGCGGGGTACCAGCGCGGACTGATGGAGGCGTCATTCCACGCACCGAGACCGCCACTGTGAATAGAGGACGCGATAGACGGCACCACCGGCACAGCGGCTTGCGGGCGAAGTGACAAGTCCTTTGCAGCTGCGGCGCTGCCGCTCCAAGAAAGTGAAGGAATAGGACTGACATTTGGGAAGCTCATCAACGACGGGGCATCGCACGGTTCGCGTGGATCAGGAGAAACAGAATGCGTAGCACCTGCGGGGGGAGGGAGGCGTCCACCCCGCATGGTCACAGCGGACGAGACGGGGCGACGCACAAGAGGTCTCTCGGGAGACGTGCGCGACGTGCGATTGGGACGTAGAGGTGAGAGAGGAAGGTGAACTTCCAAGGCAGTATTTCTGACTTGTGAAGAAAAACTATTCTGACGCGCAGACGGTGCACAAGGCTCCACTGCACGTCGCGTGAAGGCTGGTGCGCTGACCGTACGTGCAAAGCCCTTGTGCAAAGGTAGGGCACCATGACCTTCTGAGGGATACTCACGTGCCGCGGAGCACGTTGTTGTGCGCTGAGGAGCAGGTCCAATCGTAAACGTTCGCCGACGCGTGAATGGGCCATCATCCTCACGGCGATCCATCGTCGTTCGTTTCTTCCCGCACAGCTGCAGTGGGCAACAAAGGATGGGACCAGTGAAAACGAAGGATGAGAGAAATCAAATAGAAAAGGCTTCAAAGGATTTACCTCAAACAGAAAACAAAAGAAGGAAGGGAGGAAGAGGTGTAAACGAGGAAAGCCAAGACTAAACCGTTAGCAAATAAAATACGTGAGCAACGACCAACATGCTCGGCGTCAAAACAACGGAAGCAGCCGCGTGAAAAAAAAAAAAACTCGAAACGAAAGATGAAACCGTGAAGGGATAAGTAAATGAGAGACGATGAAAGCAGTCTTTGCGCAGTTGACTACGTTTGGACAAGAGAGGCGTAACCGTCGTTTGAGAATTTAAGGATGCTGTTCTGTTAAGTATGTCCAGAAAAACAGAAAAGCGAGTGCGGAAAGGAGAACAAATAGTTTGTGCGAATTTGAGTTCTATGCGACTATACAATGAGAATCTATGTGCAATCGATGGCAAGGATTGGTGAATATCTATGATACCTGCGGCAGTGAACGTCAAGGTGGTGTGAAGAAAGAAACTAGACGAAGCAACAGATTTCTTGGCGGCTGGCGTTTTGCGACACTTGTGGTGGCCCAGCACAGCAATGAGAGCTTAACAGAGTTGAATCAACAGTGTGACTTCCGCAACCTGAAAGACACAGAAACGAGCAATGAGTATCCAGAAGAATTCAAAAGGACCATGATGATGGGTAAGAATACGAAGAGTGTTGCCTGAGGGAAATAAAGGAGATGGCACAGAAAATAATACGCGCAGTTTGCGTCAACTCGTATTTGTTGTTGCGCAGACTCGCATAGCTAGATGTCCTTCGGGTGATGGAATCGACTTCACGTGTGATTGAATCACTTTCCTTTTTAAGTGTCCTCGTCTGAGGGTGCCTTTCAGCCGTACAGCATCACGGCAGCGCGACCGACAGCAACGCAAAAAAAAAGTCCACGCCGATGAACGGTTTACTTTTCATTTAACTTTTCTCCTTCTTATTAAGACTCGTTGTGAAAAATAGAAGAGATCGAACGCATACGGCTTGGCTCCTGATGCTGAGATCGCGAAATATGGTGGACAGGGCTCAACGAGCATCCTTGATGAACCATGCCGACACAAGCAATAACAGCGTTCAGCTTGCTTATTGGGGTCGCATACGTTGATAGTTCTCGTAGGAGCGTCCCACTTTGGACGCGGAGCCGTGTCGCAGCTTCTCCGCCGCACCAACGCGTTTGTGCCCGTTTCCCGGACTGTCGCGCAGTAGGCCGTCCAGTCTTCCCTGCTCCTCCAGCGTCATCTGATCCCGATACCGCGGTGCACGCCACTCCGGGTACGACGCCTCCCATTCCTTCTTCCGCTGCGACCCCGCCGTAAACGAATACGTGGTGAGAGCAGGAGTGGAGAATGCACCCGCGGAGTCCTCGTAGGGAGAACGGCGCAGGACTCGACGTGTGGTTGGCTCCGTGATGGGCGTGGAGGTGGTGTGTCCTGACGGGCTGGACGAGCTCGATGCCATAGCGCCGGTTACATTGTGGCTGGCAGAGTTTGGTGCTGCGCTTTTCCGTTTCTCCTGCCGCAGGACGTATTGCACGCGGAGCTTAAATTGGGCGTTCTGTAGGCGTCGTTCGACAAACGTCGCCGGCTTGCCGAGGGTGCGGGCGACCTGGCGGACCGTGGCCCCACCGCGTATCATGCGGTAAATGCCCAAATCATCCTCGAAGCTGAAGAAACGGCTGTGGCTAAACGGGTGGTTCGCCGGGTTCTTCATCTCCGGCTCCGTCACGGAGTCGGTGCTGTTCATCATGGACTGCCAGTCCAGCTGCGTTTTCATCGACCACGACGAGTCGTCGCCGCTGGCGAAGTCTTCCGGCACGCGTCGCCGCCGTGTGCCGGCCTTCCGCGCAAACCGACTCGACGCGGACGCACCCGCCCCATTTGCGTTCTCTGACGGCCCAGCTGTGCGCGCTGCATTTTGCCGTGCCGGGTCGTACGCACCCTGCAGCACTCCACTTGACTGGATGAGTTCGTAGGCCGTGTTGATCACCTTCATGCGATTGTCGTCACCGCTGCTTAGGTCGGGGTGGTGCAGTCGTGCCATTTCGCGGTATTGCCGCCGCACGTCGTCCACGCCGGGCCGGCTGGAAGCGGCGGTGCGGGGGTTGTAGGTGAGGCCCAGAACTTTGAAGGCCGCGACGACGTCGTCAAGCGCAGGCGCCAGTCGACAGCGCGAGTGCGAGAACATTTTGAATACGAGACCGCGACTTCAAGGAAGAGGGAGAAGTAAATAAAAAAAGACAATCAACAGGAACACATTTGAGAGCATGGAAAAAAGTGGATTATGAAACGTTTTCAGGAAGAGTGGAGAGAGACGACGCAGCGAGCTTGCAACGACGCGCACATACGCTGAGAGAGAGATATTCCCACCGCTAGTGTTGATCTCTTTACATCCGCGAAGCTATTTTTCCGCCCCAATGAAGCGCAGTAGCTTTCCGCGACAGAATACGGTAGAGACGGATGATCAGCTTCATTTGCCAGCAGCTACGCACCACTCCTCTTTGCTGCCTTTTTTTTTTTTAAACACCGCCGTGGCATTGCAAAAACGATCCTGGCGGTAGACCAGTACATCGCCGTCAGTTTGAGAACTACCTAGCTGCGGCGAGTACACAAAAGAAGCCTATTTCCTACCACGGCTGACGCGCATCCTTCGGCTATTTCCCATTTGAGTTGTTGCATTTCGTGTTTTTTGTTTGTTGTTTTCAATGAATAAATCAGCACTAAGCTTAGCCAAATAAAGGGCAGTTGCGTAAAATAGGTTACAGACAAAACAAGGAGGAAAAACAGAGGGGCCAATAGGAGGATACCGTTGACAGCAAAGTGCTATAGAATGAGGAGGGGGGGATGTCAGGTTTGTCGCACACGCTTCCGCTGAATGAAAAGGGAGGCAATAAAAAGAAAAACCAGCGTGCACAACGAAGCAAGGAGGCGGCTGATACACAACACCCACGTTTAGCGCAAAATTCGCTCGGCCGTAGCTTACGGCACTAGAGTCATCTGACCTTCTTTGAACACGCAAACGTGGACATGCGAAGCAGCCCCCTTTCATGTCTTTTAGAAAAGAAATAATAACCTCCCTAACATTTTCCCCGGCAGCTTATACGGCGTCTTTGGTACCTCTTGCGCTTAAGAAAACACAGGTTCTCAACGCTGAAATGAACAAATCAAATGCATATATATTTTGGGAGAAAAAAAACACTTCTTTTTGTTGTTCGTGGTTCGATTACGTGGGTAGGCTGAGAAGCAAAAAGAGAACGAAAGAAAAAGACACACGAAGAACGAATGCTTCTGTGTTTATTTGGATTCGACTGTGTGGAGAACTCGGCAGAACATTCAGCAACACTCTCTCGAAGAAGCAAGAAGGGAAAGACATATCAGTCCTTCAGACAGCAATAATATATATGTTTTTAAAGGTCTTAGCAACTCATCTCTTTGCTCTTACGACTGCTGCGTGTTGTGTCTGGCACGTGACGTGGAGGTAGAAGTTAGGAAAAGTGAGCAGAAAAGGCAGGGATTGCGTCCAGTTCTCTGATCTCTTCTCTTCCCCCCTCCTTCCCCTCCTCCCTCTCGCCTACCGGTGTCACACCACACAACGAATGTATAGCCAAAAAAAAAAAGGAAAGAGAGCGCAGGAAACAAAAATACATATATGACTGGTGATTGCTTCGAAAAATATCTAGGTGTGAAAAAAAAAACAAGGAAGGAAAAAAGAAAACAAAAGAGTTGTGACAGTCAAAGCATCAATCCTACCGCCGTGTACAGGAGAAGAAAACACGCACACACACACACACAAAATAAACGGAGATGAAAACGACGAAGTAATCCACTGGAGTGATCCGTTTAGAGAATGAAACCGAGAAATGAGAGTTGTCTAGATGAATCCAGCCCTGAAAGGTGTCCATGGAGGTCACGATTCTTCGGCCTGCTTGCTTGACGAAACCGATCTCTCGAGAAGCTTCTTTTTGTTTGAGAAAAGAAGAGGCAGACAGCGATGCAAACGTTCACTCTTCTGCACATCAAAAGGAGAAAGAGGGAGGGGGGGGGCGCGTGTACTTGTGTCATTCCTGTGTGTTCAAGTGGCGTACGGAACGTAGCGTCTGTGCGGCTGTCAATAAGCTTTCCGAAAAAAGCGTAAAAACCCCACTTCACCTCATCAACACAGCAAGAAAAGAAAACAACAAAAACCACATCAAGTGCACGAGCCTTTGGGTGACACCCCTCAAGAAAAAAAGAGACAACGGAAGCAGCAACTTGCGCTCTCTTCACTTTCTCGCCCTTCACCTCAAACTATATACATCGGCGAACCCTCGCAGTTTATTTAGGATTACCTTTATTTCTCGTGTTGTGTATTGTACATGTAGGAGGTTTAAATCTTTTGCGGAGACAGAATAAAAACAAAAACAAAAAGAACCGAAGAGGGCAGGGGAATTAACATGGAAAGCAAAAGAGAAACCAAGAAAAAAAAAATGCGTTGCTGCTTGCAATACCACACGCACACACACACACGTATTTATATACGGTTGGTGACACAAAACACACGCAAAGACGGAAACAAGAAGAGAAGCGGACGAGACATCACAACAAAGAATCAAAAGCACAAGTTGTGGCGGCTCTGATAAAACAAGCAGTTAAACTCAATGAGGTCAAGAAAGAAAGAAAAAAAAAGAAGATAGAGAAAAGTGTATGGATAAGTGTGGCATCCTAAGAAGGAGACAAAAAGACAGTGCTGTGCCCGCACTCGTTCTTATTTTTAAACGGTCATTTTGATGGAATTTTTTTTTTGTCTTGAGGTTCGGGTGAAAATGAAAAAAAGAAGAAGACACACAACCGTTTCTAAAAGAAGTAGCTGCATTTGGAGAACAGAAACAAACATATAAATCTCTAAGAGAATAAAGAAGAAGGTACGTTACTGACTTCAAGTGGAATTACGTGAACCACAGAAGTTCCCAGAAGAGAAAAAAGAAAAGAAACGAAACCACAGATGGATCATTTGGCCAGGTAGATCTCCGAAACGAACCTTTCACAGTCTCTTTCAGAAGAGCGTTTAAGTTATCTTGGCTCATCTACTTTCACCTTTTGAACGATTGCATACTGAGGAAGAGCGAGAGTACATAAACATATATGTATTCAAGAACAAAACTACGAAACTACGAAAAGAGGAGAGAAACAAAACACCTTTCTGGGGGCTTGTAACGAGTAGGAATACACTACTGGTGTTTTAAACATTTTAGAAAGGCAAGAGGGTTGTGGGCCACTCTACATGGATTCTAACGTTCTATACATAGCAAGAGGGACTACAGCTGCAAGTACGCAGTGCAGGAAAACCGATTAAATACTAAAAGAAGACAGAAACGTGGCACATGAACGGAAAGAAACAGAAAAAGAGGCGGATCACTTCCTTCTGAGTTGGAGTGCGATTCGCTCTCGTCTTCTCTTCCTGCTCTAATCGTCCTATTGGCTCAGATTACCGTTTTTTTATATTTATTTTTACTTTGTCTCCGTGTAACTGACCATTGTGAACGTGGAATTTCTATATGATACATCTATTCGGTTTGTTCTCAATACATCGAAGCGGAGACGGGGTACGTAAACACGACCTCGGCGCCTTCCTGAAAGGCAAGCTCGTCAACCAGCTGATCAGCCAGCTCGTCTTTGGCGAATACGTTCACGAGGAAGGTCACGGCACTCAGGTCGAGCAGCCACTCCGCGTCCAGGAACTGGATGGGCGCACCCATCTCCTCGGCCAGCCGGCGGGCGTTCACGAGGGAGCGTAGGTCGTGGTTACGCAAGTCTAGCTTCGCCTCCTTGTCGAAGTCGCGTGCGTGGCGCAGCAGCCGCGGCGCCGTCTGCAGCTCCTCGGGGGACAGGTAGTTCGAGTCCATGTTGTCCTCCGTGTAGAAGGTGATCGGCTTGGCGGTGGTGATGCCGCTCACGAGACCCATGTGCACGCTGTTGTTATTGCCGGGGTACTGCACGACCACCATGTCACCCGCAAAGGTGCGGAAGGGGGCGACAAACCACGCAGAGCCAAAGCGGAAGTTCACGGAGGCGTAGCGGATCACCGTCGGCGCCACCACCGAGGCGGCTGAGCCGGGCAAAGCGTCGAAGGGCAGAAGGTGCGAGCCTGTCACGGCGAAGTCGACCAAGCCTTCCTTTGCCGCCGCGGCAGCAGTGGCGACGGCGACACCGTTGCTGTGATCGCCGCTGCCGTAGTCGCTACTCGTCTCACTCACGCCGTCGTCGTTGCCGCTGTCTGCCGCGGCACTCTTGGCGCCGGCCTCCACGTCCTCTGCGTCCAGCAGTTGCGGTGCCGGGGACGGGCAGGCGGAGCTATAAGTGCTGCAGTTGCTGCTGCGAGGCTCCATCGTGTCCTGCACCTTCTTCAGCATCTGCAGCTGCCCATCAGTGTTGAGGTTGTTGTAGAGCGCGAGGAAGGACATCACCGCGGAATTGCGGTCTTTTTCGTTCAACAGCTTGAAGGCATAAGGATTGTGGCGGTACGCCTTGCCGTGAATTACCTGGCTCTCCTGCGGAAGGCTCGCCGGCACGGGAGAAAGAGTGGACATCATGGTTGAAAGGGTGTGACTAGGGCTTCACAGGGCAAACACAGAGACACGCACGTACGCAGACACCAAAAAAAAACTCACTAGTACAGATACGTGTAGAAAACTACGAACGGAAAAAAAGAACCACGAGGCAATATGTGTTTTTTTTTTCTTTTTGCTATGTTACCCTTCGGTGAGTGAAGTCGCAAAGCTTCGTTGTTTCAAAACAGTGTGTACGGACGAGGAAGGCGGGCAGCAGACAAACCTAGAAAGGGTACCGTGATGTGTGCGATAACGTCAAATAAGGTCTACCGCGTTGGTGAGCCGAGAGCGCAATAACTGTAACGCACACGCTATAGTATCTGGATCAACAACGAAGGAGAAAAAAGAGGCGAAACAAATTGTGGGGAGGATAGACAACACCAACAAAAAACAATCACAAAGAAAGTCACTTTCTTCTGAGTCGTGAATCTCTCGACAGACAGGGGAAAAAGAACAGATCGTGCGGTATACGGCGGCGACTTGCGAGGATTCTCACGTTAATAAAAAAAAATTAAAAGGAACTCTGTCACTTTTACGTTAGACGTGTCGTATAAGCAGAGAGCGTGTGTCGAAGTCTACTCAACAGAGGCAAGAGAAAAAGATGTGTTTTTGGATAAACCCCTACAACGCTCTGGAATTCAAATGAAGAACGAAAATACAGTCAGTTGCAGGAAGAGGAAAACAAACACAAAGAATTCTTCTTACTTTTATAACACAGTTCCTTCCGCTTCTTTTCGATTCTTATACATATGGTTTTTTTTTCCGGTTGTCTTCAATTTAATGAAGTAATGAAAGAATGTTATAGACGATCAATCGACGAACGCATCAACGGCCGAGGTAGGTTCAACGAAAAGAGCGCCGCGGGCACCGTCGAGTCAGCAGCAACGTCTCTTTCCCCCTTTTTCACGTTTGCAGTTGAAAAAGAAACGAGAGGAGAAGTGTGCGCTGTACAGTTTGTGTGTTTCGCCTTTACGACTGATACACGGGATCGTATTGATATAAAACCGGAACAAACCAGAAAGCAAAACACGAGATGTGAATAAATTTCTTTCTTCTCTCTTTCGCCGATTGGCGGTTGCCGACGGTTATTTTTTGAAATGGAAGCAACGTTCGTCAATCATGAACGGAGAAAAAGAGATCAGAAAACGAACAAGAAATGAAGCAGATTTATAGGGACGTGTTATGTTGAAGAGGAAACGACGAGGGAGCTCAAAAACGTTTAACGAACAAAGATCCTGCGTTCAAGACCCAGAAAGAATTTGCCGAATATTCAACGCGAAAGCGGAGATGCGGCGAGACAAAGCAAGAAAGGGGAGAGAGAGAGTGTGTGTGTGTGTGACAGAGAGAAGATATAGCGCTAGAGAGTGTATGGGCAACGGCTACAACTGGCATTGCAGAAGCATTCGTTCGCAATGGAAAGCTGTAAAACCTAGTGCAGTTAGTTAAGACAACAGAGATGCCCTTTATCTAAAACGTAGGGTGTGGTTTTTGTTTGTTTGTTTGCTTGCTGAGTTTGCCGAATGCACTAGAGATCCAAATCAACGAGAGTCAAACAGAAAGACAAAAGCAGAGCATACAGGAGGCCAAAACTTTACAGGACGTTTCTCAGCTGCCAACGGATCCACGCGCCACTTCAGTCCCCGCAAAGAGTGCAGGCGCTTCGAAACACCAACAAGAAGGCAACTTATTGGCCCCCGTACGCAGCGGCGGTATCCCACAAAACAGCAGCAGCATCGCGCAACTCGTCCTTCGAAACACCGTACCGCTCGAAATGATGGACAAAGGCACCGACATTTAGCAGCTCCTCTGCCTTGCGCGCCGCCTCTGCGAACGTCTCACCAATCATCGGTGTGGGTCCGTACAGTGTGACGGAGTGATCGGGTAGGGTGGGACCAGACGGCGTCGCACGCCACTCCTCGCACAGACTGACGAAAAGAGAGGTCAACGGGAAGGGCGTCGCGCCACCGCTGACGTGGGTGGCCATTAGGTGGCGCAGCTCACGAATGCCGTCGGTACTCGCGCAGCGTCCGCGCAGACTCCACAGACAACTCCGAGACTGCAAGTAGAAAGCCGCGGCATCCAGTGAGGGGGTCAGGGCTCCTGTTACGGCGGTTGCTGCGCCTTGAAATGTATGGAAAGCGTTGGTGCTGGTGAAGGTGTGCTCTGTCGTGCGCACCGCCTCACCGAGCACGGACGTCCACGTCGACGATCCAGTGACTAATCGAGGGGCGGTGACACCGGTGAAGAACCGCATGGCCGGGTCCACCGTCAGCGCCTCCACGATGTCATTGGACGTCGCGTATCGGCACGGCGCCGTGCCATCCACAACGGAGCCGGTGACGCGTGTTATCCATCGATCGCTCGTGGGGCCGCCACTGCGAGCAATTCGGTGTTTCGACGCGTCCTTCAGCGGAGACGGCGTCGCGTACAGCAACTGAGGCAAATGCAACGGGGCAAGCATCTCACTCATCCGCCTGTTGATGAGGGGGAAGGACACTTCTCCTGCGTCAGTGAGACCGCGGTTCGCAAGGGAGCTCTTGAGCTCTTCTGCGACGACGTCGTTATAGGCGATGCACACCCCATCCGCCAAATCACCCAAGGTGCTAACGGCCATTAGCACGTTGTACCACTGCGTCACCACCTCGCCAGACTGAAACGGCCACACCACGGAGTGCAGCAGCGTCGCCGTGGGAAACATCGTCTTGATTTCTTCCGCGACCAGACAACTCACACCAGAGCCGGTGCCACCGGCGATGCTGTGCAGCACGTGAAAGGTGGACACCGTCGTGTCCTGCTGCTCACTCTCACGTCGCAGACACTCCGCAATGGCCTCGCGCCGACTCTGACCCTGTTGATAGTAGCCGAAAGCCCAGTTGTTGCCACTTCCCTCACCACGCGTGACGCACTGCTGTGGGGCGAGGGTGTAGAAGCGACGGGAAGGCGCGGCTACTGCGCTGTCGTGCGTCTCGTGGGTGTTGGCCCGTTGCAGCGTGCTGTGAATCACCTTCGGTTCCATGTCTACGAGAACGCACCGCGGCTGCGGCAGCGACGCGTCCATCGCCTCGACATCGACATCGACTGCAGCAGCATCAGCATCCGCTGTCTGCGCGTAGCGGGAAAAGGAGTAGTACTGCTGCGGGCCGGTACGCCTCGCGTGTTCAAAAGAAGAAGTTTGCGCGCACGCAGTCACGGAATCGTTGCCTCGCGCAAAACTTGTATTGGTGTGACGTGGCTGTTGCTGTTTACGTCGACGAGGCACCCGCAATGCTGGGCGGAAGTGGGTGGCTGACACGCGCATCTGGAAGGCCTCATCGGTGCTGGCCTGCGCCTCGGAGGCGATGGTGTCGAGAAACTCGGTGCCGACCTGGTTGCCGCACTGGCCCACAAATACGTGAACCGTAGACATCGGAAAAGAAAAAAACAATAAATGAAGTAGAAAATGTATTCTGATATATCCTGATCTATGAAAGTGCTGAAGACACACACACGAAAGAAAATGGTTACATGCACCCCCTCCTCTCTATCGGTTATTTTTGTTGATTGGGTTGCATCAACAATACGACAGATGTGATTTTTTTGTCTCGTTAAGTCTTTTACGTCTACGATGAGTGATATTTAGAATGCGGAGCTCAATTGCCAAAGATCACCGTCTTTCAATTGCCTCTCAAGCCCGCAAGAAGAAGAGTGGTGTTTCTAATCATATACTATCATGTCCGAAAACAGAAAGAAAAAAAAAGAAGAGAGCAAGAGGAGCAGAGAAGCAAAAAAAAAAAGGGAATTGATATAGAAAGGATCGAGTGCTCCTCTCTCATACGCACAACATGCAGGCGATTATTCGCCTACATCAATCGTCGAAGACGAGGAAGAAAGAAAAGGGATAAGAAAATGGGAAGAGCAGCAGTTTGTACGGACAAGACAGTTGCTCCTCAGGCCTCATCTTTGCCCCTCTGCTTTCATCTCGCAAGAGTTGCTGCCCTGCCAAAGAAGAACGGGTAACGGCCGTTGTCACCCTTGCCTGTGCCGAGAGGAGCACATCGCGGCAGCTACTAGTCAATAACAACAAAGAAAAGCGCCATCATCGCAGGCTCATCTACAAGTTCCAGTGTTTCTCACGTTTGCAATTACTTAAGGACTTGTAAACTAAATTGTTGCTGTCAGGCACCTACCAATACCTTTCGAAGGTATAGAAGGAGAAAGGGTGCACTCACGCGGACTCTCACACCGGGAAAAGGTAGAGTACAGAAAAAGAGCTGGATAACGTAAGATCTCGCATGGACAGCAACCATTTTCAAGAAGAAAGAAATAAAACAGAAGGCGCTGACATTGCGTGGAAAAAAGCGTTGCCTCTTTACATCTCGAGGACGCGGCACAGGATTCAATTATTTCATTCTTTGACCTCTCCAGAGCGCGATACTCCCGAGACAACGGAGGATGGCCTTGCGTACATTCTCCAAATTGTACCATCAACCAGGAAAAAGGGAATGAGAGCAAAAGTCAAAGGCAACTTCCATGCACATCCCCGTTTTTGAGGGAAAAGCACAAACAAAACGCATAGAAAAAAGCGCACCTCAAAGCGAATCACCACCACCACACACACACACGCACAGACACAAAAGAAAGGACTTCACAGGAGAGAACCGAAAGACATTCGCGCCAAATGCACCGTCACAACGACCGACGTTCATTGAGCAAGGCCAGAACTCACACATCACCGGAAAGCCTGTATCTTGACAATGGCGCGTTTGCTGTCGCCTGCGGGCGGTGGGACAAGCGCACTTTCCACAATTCACGCCAAAGAAAGCGAAACACACTTTGCAAAGAGATCAATGCGACAAAAAAAAAAGAGGAGGAAAACGTGTCACACGACAGAGTCCATTAGAACTATCGTGCTCATCTTCCACAGCACTGTTTTTCTTTCGCCGAATTGCTGTCATGCGCACCTCCTCCACTTCTCTCTTTGCGTGTTCTCATATAAACTGTTTCTCTCCCCGTCCTCTCCTATGCGCAGCATTAAATCCTTTTTATAATTTACCTGCGACGCCCTTGTCGGTAGTGACCTTTTCCACCTCCCGTCACCACTGCTCCGCCTCCTCCGGCGGAAGAGGAAGAGGCATGGGTCACGCCGCCACCGTCACCGCCGCGCCCACTGGCAGATGCTGCCATGCCTACCACGCCGCCGCCGGTGTCGGCCGCTGCCGGTCGCATCATCCGCTCCACGCAAATCGCCGTACCAATCATGAGCAATTCCACCACCATCAACGTCCCGCGGTGTTCCTGTCGAAGCAGCAGCAGGCGTGGTTTGATAGAGTGGTGGAAGTAGCAGCGCGCCAGAGCCAGCCGTAGCCGCTTAAAGAAACTCAACTTGCCCTCGCAGACGGGGTAGCAGAAGTCCATGTGAAGCCGTTGCACCTCCCTCCGCAGAAACCACACCCGCGTCACTAGACTCTCCGCAGCCGGGTCGCCGCTAAGACTGAGCGTGGACGGCTGGTAGACAACACTACGAGCGGTGCTGTCCTCCTTGAACGTGTCACGTCGCCCGTTAAGCAAGCGTTCCTGCGCTTCAAAGATGTAATTCGTCAGCCGCAGTGCGCTGCCGACGACGTAGTGCTCACCCAGCAGCCCCCACCTGTTATGAAAAGTGTGATCTTCAATGATTTGCCGTAGAATCACCTTTGCATACTCCACTCGCCGCGTCTTGACCTTGTTGACGAGGGTGTCGCAGCCGCGCTGAACCGGGTCCCGCACGCAGCGTTGGTACAACTGCTGGTTGTGCAAGTCCCAATCCGCGGCGGACAAGGTGAGCTCATCGGTGAACGGGTCGACAAGAGAGCGCTGAACCAAGTCGACCATCTCCAACACCTCGCCGCACAGGGAGCACATGCGGAGTCCATCGCACGCAGTCAGCGATGCGAAGACGTACTCCTGCGCATCGGCGCTGCTCGGTAGTCTCGACAGGTCCAGGTACAAGGGAAGGGAAAGGACGAGGACGACAATCACCAACACCCGATTGAGAGAAAGAGTCACCTTCATGAATCGGGTCGTGGAGATGTGCGCGGGTGTATCTCCACTACAGAGCAGCACAAGGCGAACACCAACAAATCCGAAGAGAAACTTAAACAGGAGATTAAAAAGACACCCAAAAAACAAATGTGCGAAAACGTAGCTGGTTTAGAAAACAAGCATTATACATAAGACGGCCACAGCGACGTTGAAAGAATCAGCGCTAAGGTTTAAGGAAAAAAAAAAACCCAATCTTGTGAAATGCATAACTCCTCGCCGAGACCAAATAAACGACCTGAAGGACACACAAAAACGAGAGGGCACAAGAACGGTTCGTGGCTGTTTGGGTGCCAGGTATTCTCAACGCACAGGCGGGTGAGCCGCAAAACGTACGAAAAGCCGACAACGACAAAAAGAAAAGAGAGCGAAAGTCGCTACGGAGACACCGCAACAAACACACACACACGCACACACACAGACAGCGCTCACTTCTTCCTCCTCTTGCTGCGCGTGCGGGTCGCGCCTCGTCTTCACACTCCGATTGCGGGCGAGACGGAAAACAAAGCTGAAGGCGCTATTCAAACCTGCGGTGTGCAAGCCGGGCGGCAGAATACAAGGAAGGACAACGAAGAAGGCAGGAGGAGGACGAGAAGAGACACTATGAATTTCGGACCTGAAGAGACAGTGGAAGTGCGGCAACAAATCCGAGCAGCCACTCTCAACGAAAACTGTAGAGCAAACGGCAGGCTGGCAGAGCTTACACCTCGCCACGCAGGGATCGATTGTCGTTTATATGTATACAGAGGCGATGCCTCAATGTGGAAACACAGTTATGCAGACCACGTGCGCACGAAGACACGAACCAGGGGACGCACACGTGCGCCCTATTACCCCTCCCCCAAGTGTATACAGTCACCTAACTCTTCAGGTGGTTTGTGCCTATGTCTCGGCGTGCACGCGTGCGTGCCTCTTGCACGATCCACGCATCGAATCTTTGCATGAACATTTCTTTCTTTTGTCTGGTAACAGAAAATGAATTAAAAGTAGGAAGAACAGAACTGGTGTTTCACTCAACACAATTGCGCAACGCATTTTACCGCTCCACTGCATAAGCCCCACACAGATCCGTGCTCGCAACTACCACATCAGAGCGCGAAGGCGTTGCTACTTCCCTCCATTTGATCAAAGGGGAAAAAAAGAAGCAATCACGAATCGTGTGCAAAGACTGTCACAGTCAACCTGTGCTAGCGTTGTTAGAGAGTCGATTCCCTCATCGAACACGTTTGGAAGAGCTGTGTTAGGGACGTGACATTGTTTGTCTGAGTGTGGTACAAGGAGAAGAGAGAGAGGAGAGCAGTGTCGTAGCGTGGGAAGAAACAGCTGACGGAACGCTTAACGTGTGCACTCGCTGCAACGGAGAAGCGGCAGCAGCCGTGCGGGGTGGGCCTTACGCCTCCCACGCGTTGTCGTCGGCGCGCTCCACCCAGCCGAAGCCCTCATCCGCCTCCGCAGCGGGCGCCGCAGCAGCAGCCTTCTCCTCCGCCGCCTCGTTGGGGTCGCGGTAGAAGAACAGGTCCACCTTCTCCTCCCACGGCACGGACCGCACGATCGTGCCGCGCAGGCGCAGCACCTCGCGCGCAAGCAGCCAGTACATCATGCCGATCGACTTGATGCCGCGGTTGTTGCACGGGATCGCAATGTCCACGAACTCCAGCGGCGCGTCCGTGTCGCACAGCGCAATCACCGGCATGTTCACAAGCGCAGCCTCGCGGATGGCCTGGTGGTCCGTGCGCGGGTCCGTCACGATCAGCACGCGCGGCTGCATGAACTTCTTCTGGATCTGGTTCGTGAACGTACCGGGGATGAAGCGGCCGCCGTGGAAGCTCGTGCCCACGTGCTGCGAGAACTTGTAGATGGCGCGCGTGCCGTACAGCCGCGACGAGCACACGCACACGTCCTTCGGGTTCTCCACCGCCGCGATCACGCGCGCAGCCAGCACAAGCTTCTCCCACGTCATGTGCATGTCGATGATGTTGCTGCCCTCCGGCGTGCGGCCGAAGATGTACTTCTTCATCGCGCTGCTCTGGTTGCGAGTGCCGATGTGGCAGCGCATCGCGAGCAGCTTCTGCGCGTCGCTCTCCTTCATCCGGAGAACCTTCGAGCCAGACTCCACAGCGGTCATGGTGACGAGTTGAGAGAAAGTGAAAAGGGAGAGGGGTTGCGTAAGGCGTGAAAACCTGCCGAGAGCATGAATTAGTGAGCGTGGGTTTTTTGTTTGAATGGGAAAACGGTGGTAGAAGGAGCAGGCGCGGAGACCGAGCAATGAAAATGGAGATCGAGAGGCAAGAGAAGCATGAAAACGACGTCCACACAACAAAGGAGACAACGGCCGGGCAACGCTTTTTTAAAATTATCTTTCAAGCTCTCAAGACTCTAGTGGAGAGAGTGCGCGGTCTCTGCGAAGAAACGAAGTGAACGACGTCAGTACCGCGCATCCACTGTTTAGCCACAGGGGCTGAAGACCTCTTTTTTTTACAAAACAAAGAGATGTGAACGCGTTTCTCTGCGTTTGTAAAATAAACGGCCCCATAACAGACAGATAGAGAGAGAGAGAGAGCGCAGCTCCTGATCCAGTACGCAACGGCGTTGAAGTCGTAGGTTGACTCTGTTGGGGTTTTTCTTCTTGCTTTTGCTTTCGAGCGCGTGTTCGCACCGCCACAATACTGAACGGCCGTTTGAGAAGTGAAGTCGGCGTGCGAAACAAAGGTGACAAATGATGTAGGAGGTATATTGAGTAAAAAACAAAAAGCAAAGAACCACTCAAGATGAGCGATCACTATACATTGTACATTTACATGAAGAAAACAACAACAGCAACAACCAAAAAAGCAGAAGCGCACAGCGAGAGAAATGTGAAAACCGTAAGGAAAGGAAAAGCAGCGGAAGAATCAAACACTTTGAAGACGAAGGCAGAACCAAGCACCGGGTACGTCTTCGGATTTCTGTTTTCAGAGTATGGGGATTCACACCGTGTTCTCCGTGGCGGAAGCGAGGAGTGCATCATTTTTCACCTTCATGTCGTAGTACTTCTGCCGCATCTCCTCCAGCTCACGCCGCAGCCGCGCGACCTCGTACCGCAACTCCGCCGTCTGCGTCGCCGTCATGTTGATTTCCGACGCCTTTTGCTTCATCTGCGCGTGCTTCTTCTGCAGGTCTTTCTGGTACACGTTCAACTGCTGTGCAACCTCCGGACCGTGCTGGCGAGACGACATCGCCTGCAACTCCAACACGAGACGCTGCTTCTCCTCTAGCGCCATTTCCTGCTTCATGCACTCCTCGGACTTCGTCAAGAGGTGCCGTTGCAGCACCTTCATCTTCGACTCTAGCTCGGCCATCGTCGGCTCTGTTCCACCGACACGACGCCAGCGCGAGCCGTTCTGCGAGTTCTCCAGCTCCTCTGCCAACGCGGCTACTCTGGCCTGTTCTAGCAGCACGTCCCTTTGTTTCTCTTTCAGTCGGTCTTTTGTAGCCGCCACAACGCGGCCGCGGACCTGCGCCAGCACCGATTGATGCTGAATCTCGTTGGACTTGAGGTTCAAGAGCCGCAGATCATCGAGGCGGTCGCGGTAAGCCGCCTCGCCGTCGTTCACCGTTGCTTGTAGGAGGCGCAGCTGCTCGTACAGCAGGCCGAGCTCGTCGTTGCGGCGGATCAGCTGGGCTGCGAGGGTATCGCGCTCGTTGCTCATCTTCAAAAATTCGTGCTGCTGCGTGGACAAGTTTGTGTCGCACTCCTGCACCACCTTCACGAGCTGCTTAATGTCCTGTCCAATGCGTTCGCCCTCCCTTTTCGTCGCGTCGAAGCCGGCGGTGCTGTCGTTGACGAGCTGGCGCGCCTTGGTCAGTCGCTCCTTCAACACCTTGTATTGCGAGGTGTCCGTTTGGCACTTGCGTGTCTTCAGTGCCAGCTCCTCCTTAAACTGCTGCACTTGATGATCCGCCACCTTCACTCGCTGCCGGCACTCCACAATCTCGTCTTGCGCATCGACAAGCCGCTTCGACAGCTGATTGCGCTCCGCCCGTACCTGTTCGTACTTCGCCTGCTGCTGTGTCAGACGCCGCTCACTCTCCTCGAGCTTGCGCTGCGCCTCATCCACCTGCACGGCGGCGATCTTCAGCTCCTCGGCAGCGCCGTTGAACTGCCCGCTCACCTGCGACACTTCCGCGACACAGTTCTCCCGTTCCTTCTCCAGGCGCTGCAGGGTCTCCTTCAGTCGACGGCCGACCTCGGTCTCCTGTGCAATGGACTCCTCCAGTTCCGCTTGATGGTCCGTCTCGTTCTTCACCAGCTTTAGCGTGTCGGCCTGCAACGATACCTCCTTAGCGCCTTTCTTCTCCAGCAGCACACATTCCCGGTTGAGTAGCTCCATCGCTTCCTTGAGGTTCGTCTTCTCCCGCTGCACCGCGGCGATGCGCTTGCGCACCGTTTCTTCTTGGTATGATAAATTTTCCTCGTCTCTGCGAATGCTGTCGATCTGCTGCTTCAGGCGGTCGAACTCGCGGAAGTCGCGCTCCTCAATCCGCGACACCCGCACGCACTCCTCGCGCGCCTCAACGACCTTCTTCTCGGTAGCGGTGTTCTGCTTCTCCAGCTGCTGCAGTCGCGCGTTCAGGGCCGTCGTGGTGTCGACGCTATCGTTGTACGACTGCCGAGTGTGGTACAGCTGATTGTCCGCCGTGTCGAGCTGCTGCTGCAGTGTCGTCTTCCTGCGCTGCAAGTCCTCTAGCTCCGTCTGCTGGCTCGTCACGGCGGCCTCGACGGCGTTGAGGCGCTCTTTGCGATCCTGCAGCGCCTTCTGGCGTGCTTTGAGGGTGAGAAGCAACTCCCTGCATTGGTACTCCGCACGCTCGCGGGCGTTGCGCTCGCGGTTGTACTCCTGTCGCACCAACTCTAGCCGCTGGGCCAGCTGCTTCTTCTCCAGCTCATCGGCCTCCGTCGCCGCTTTCCGCGCCGTGAGAGACGTCGTCAGCTCCGCGATTTCCTTCGAGTAGGTGTCCACCTGCTTCGACATCTCTTCTCCCTCCACAAGGAGGCGTTTGTTGTCCAGTTTGAGCTGCTCGAGGGTGGAGGTGGTGTCGGTGGAGACATTCGTGCCGTCGTGAATCATGCTCTGCAAAGACTGGATCTCCTGCTTCAGCGTCTGCACCATCTCGCGCGCGCGGTGGTCCTTTTCGTTCGCCACGTCGACGGTCCGCCACGCCTTCTCGATTTCCTTCTTGAGGGCCTCAATGGTGCTGTGGTCGCCCTGCGACAGCTTCACCGCCGCTTGCATCTTTGCCGCATTGGAGAGCAGTTCCTGGGTGAGCTGTTGACACTGCGCGACAATTTGCTTCTCCGAGGTGTGGCTCTTCTTGAGTGCGCGGTAGAGCTTTTCGTACTCGAGACGGAAGTGACCGAGTGACTCTTCACCCTCCAAGGCCGACATGGCCTCGTTGAAATCCCTCTCCAGGGTGGTGAAGAGAGTGTCCGAGACGGACGCCGTCTGCTTCACTGGCTCAGACATTTTTTTTTCTGCGGGCGTACAGCTAAAAGTAAAAGAGCTACTAGTTTGTGAGGGGATTATTTCCTGCGGGGGTGAAATACACACCAACGACAGCACAAGTCTGTCCAACGTTGGAACTGGACAAGGCACAAGAAAAAAGCGGATTCAATGTAGAGAAAGAAGAGGAGAAGAAAGCTACGGTGAAAGGACGGGAATGCGGTGGGTGTTTCAACGAAACGCACGTCTCGCTCCTCTGTCTGTTGCGGAGGCACGAGGAGCCAAGAACGTTTATTCCACGTTGCTGTTGAAAGGCTGCACTTCCCTCCAGCAGAAACGACTTCGTCAACGCTTCTACGATCATATTTGAAAGAGTAACTCGAATGTGCCCTTATTCATTGAAAGCATTCGATATACCGTCGAAAGTAGAAACCAGCAAAGACATCAAGATACCTTCCTTCTACACAAAAAAAAAAGAAAAGAAACACCTCTACATGTTAGAGAATGATACAAAGACCGAGTGCATGGAAGTGAAGAAACACACGAGGGAGGGGAAGAACGCAGCGAAACAACGCACAACAGCATTATTGGTCTTGTGGACGCGAAGGAGTCGAAGTCTCACTCGTACCCCTCAACGGACCACCGAGACGCCGCAGTGTATTCATTTCCTGCTGCAACGATTCCGTCCACTTCAGCAGTTCACCACGGCTCACCATACGTTTCTCTAAGTCACCGAGCCAGTCCTTCACTTCGTGAAAGGCCCCCTCAAGAGAGTCTTGTGTTTCGAGTCGCGTTATACTGTGACTCTGCCGCTCCAGCACCTCCGCTACTTGCTGTTCGGTGACAACAATCGAACGGATCTGCCGGTCCAACTCCTTCTCGCTGCGCTGTTGCTGCGCCTTGATCGATTTCGTTTCTTCGCTGAGTTGCGCGAGACAGGCGCTTAGCGCGTCACAGCAGTGCTGCACCTTCTCCGTGTGATCGTTTGTTTTCCGGTCGAGCGCCGTCTTCTGCGCGTCGAGCTGCTTTGTTAACTCGCGCACGTCATCGCGATGACGACTCTCTGCGCTCCGCTGGTTCTCTTCAGCGCTGCGCAGGAGCTGAAGGAGTTCCTTCACGTCACTCTGCAGGTGTGCGGTCGACTGTTCCACGGCGTCCAATCGCCGTTTTGTCTCGCGCTCGCTCTTCTCTATTTGCTTCCGGTAATCGGCCAGTACATCGAAGACCTGATCGCGGTGGTGGCACAGGAGCTCATCAAGCTTCCCTTCGGCGCTTCTCTTTTGCGAAAACGATGCAGGTTTGTTGGCGTAGCTGTCAGCGGCGTGACCGGTGATGTCGTCCCCCGCTGGAAACGGACTCCCTGATGATAACGACGCCGGCAGGTTTGCTGAGAAGGCGTGCTGTCCATCACGGGAAGTGAGAGAAGGGAGCTTGAACTTCTCCAAGACCTTTTCCAGCTGCTGGAAGACCGTTGCTAAGTTGTTACAGTGCTCATGCTTGTCAGTTGTCAAGGCAACAATTTGGCGCTCGTGACGCTCTGCTATTTGCCGCAGTGTGCGGATCTGGTGCTCTACGGTGAATCCGTTCGGGTCGTACGCGTCGTTTCGTTGCGAAAGACCCGGCGGGTACGCTGCATCGAAGCCGCTGTCCAAGTCTGCTTGAATCTCCGGAAGCGACGCTCCATTCTGCCAGGTTTTGTAGTCTGCCTGGCCGCTCACGTTACGACTGTCATTCAGCGCGGACATGAAAACGACGAGGAGGGTATTTTCTATGCTGATTAGTATCACGTTTCCCGTGAGTGTATATGTATAGATGTATATGTGCTGTGGTGCACTGGTGCGCTTTATGTGAAACCCTCAATCCGGTTGTTGTCCGCTGCCCCGCCGCACACGTGCATGTGCTTCACGTCTACCCCGTCAGTGAGTGATTCGAGTTGCCACCGCAAGCAGCGTTTGTGCCGTGAAGTGCAAAAAAAAAAGAAATTACACGGTGCACGTAAAGCCTTGAGAAGAAGGGCAAGCAACAGAAGGAGCTGCAGTCGCGTGGGAAAGCACAACGGACACATAATCTGTAGGCCATACGAAAAGGTCTATTTCACCTTGCTACGGGAACGTTTCGCATTACACCGCCTGCTTACCTAACCATTTAAAACAAAGGGGGAGGCGGAGCAAAGACACTCTGCCGCTTCTTCCGTGTGAGCCAGCCCAACACAGTAGAAATCAGCAGAAGCTACTAACCTCAACGCAACACATGCAAAGCGTGGAGCGCGTCTTTTCAACATTCACCTAATGCGGGGAGATGTGTTGTAGCCTCGTCACCCCAAAATGAAGAAAAAATGAACCTTCCAAACCGACGCATCTTGTAGAGCTGTTTCGAGTACTGGCATGTTTCCTTCTTTATTTTTGGATGCTGTGCAGCCGCGGAAGCGACAAACCACGGAAGGTAAAGATGCTAACAACAGTCGATATATATAGAATTGAAGCAAGACAAGAATGCAGATGTGTGGAATGAAGGACTCCCAACAAGTAGAGTTTCGGCTTTGTAGTACTAGCAAAGAACACATAACCACCCAAAAACACAAGCGGCATGTGTCGAAGAACACCAAAATACAAAAACAAGAGAGGGTTGCTCAGCGCCAACCCTGTAAGCTACACTTTGTGGAGTGATGGCAAGCATCAAGCGTAACGAGAGGAGAACAAAGACAAATCTAACGACTGACGAGTCAGCGGTAACGCGACGAGAAGGAAAGTCTCGCACACACACACACACACACACGTGTGCCGGTAGCGCTGGAGATCGAGAAGTGCTCCGTAGTGACACCTGCTCTCTCTCTCTCTGTGAATCCGCTGTCAGATCCCACTTCTACACCTTGGGGATTAGTCATGCGGCGCCCCCTCCCCTAACCCGCTCCACTGGTTTGGTCTGTCTGACGAAGAAAAATTGTAAACGGAGGTTTCCAAACTCATCAAAAAAGAGAGAACGTTTCCGAGAGAGGTCAACGGAAGGGCGAAAAAAGGCGTCTGGAAATGGCTACGCAACGCCTCGTATCTCTACGGAGAGGAGGAGGGGGGGGAGAAGAGAGAAACCACCGAGGTTACCTACCTTTTACCAGCGGAAGTCGTTGAAGAAGTTCGTGACGTTCATGTAAGTGCCATGCCACTCGCTATCGAAAGAGTCGGTGTTGTGCTCCGCAAAGATCTTCACACCCGGCGCGGGCGGCGCCAAGGCGAAGTTTTTGTCATCCGGCCGGTTCGCCGGCGACCAACCTTGTGTGATGCGATTCAGCATGTGGTGGAACGGCTCACGGCCCTCCGCAAAGTCGCGCACCTGCGCCTTCACGCCGGGTGTCACGTGGTCCTCGTACTGGATCATCAAGCTTTCCAGCTCACCGACCGCGTTGGCGCGGTGTACCACCTGATCGCCGTAGCGGGACATGTTGCGGTACGACTCCGCCACGCTCTCCTTGTGCAACAGAGACGGGTAATAGGGGCGCTTGTACTCGAACTTGCTAACATCGCCCAGCTTGCGGGCCGGAGCGCCGCCCCAGATCTCGCCGTCGCCGATCTTGGTGTCCGCCGTCACGACGCTGCCGGGCAGGATGTGCACCATAATACCCGTCGTTACGCCCTTCATGATCTTCGTGTTGTGGCCGATGCGGTTGAAGGAGCCGATGGAGCAGCTGTCAAGGTAACAGTTCCACTCCACAATCGTGTTAGGCATGATGCGGGTCACGCCGTCCATGCCGTCCCACTGCTGGTAGGGGTTCAACAGCTCGTGACGCTGGTAAGCCAGCAGATCCGTCGGGGCATCGCTCATGATGCACGTGTTTTCTAAAATCTGCACTCCCTCGGCGAGGTAGACGCAGTTCGTGTCGGCACGGATCGTCACCCCCTCCATAATGCAGGCGCCCACACCGACAATCACCTGACCGACCAGGGACGCCGTCTGACCCACGTACTCGGCCGAGGCATTGACGGCTTCGTGGTAGTTGTTGGGCACCTTCTGGTAAAAGTACAGCTGCGCACAAACCCGGTTCATGGAGAAGGGCTCGAGATAGTTCTCGTAGAGCACTTGCATGAGCCGCGAGCCCTTCGGGATTTGCCCAAAGTCGCCGTAAGACAGCTGATGGAAGGCGCCATCCATGTGGTTCATGATACCGACCTGCATCAACGCGATGGGGTGCCGCGGGTCCTCGGGGTCGAGAAACGTCCCCACGCGGTCGTTCAGGTTCGTCATGGTGCTGCCACCCTGCAGCGTGAGCGTCTCTATCGGCAGGGCCTTCAGGAAGTGCGCCCAGCCGGGACCGGCGTACTGGCCTTGCTGGTAGCCCCACAGCACATCTGGGTGAACGGGACCGATCGCCTCGGCCATAATCCGACGGGGCACAGTGCGGCGCAACATGGCTGCAATTCAGGTGTGGGGGAGAGTAGGAGGGGGGCGAGGGGAAAGAGGCCAAATAATAATAAAAAAGAGTGCACTACGGAGAAAAGAACTAGAGAAGCAACCGTGAAAAGGGAAAGGAAAACAGCGAGAAATAACCTACAAGCAAGGAAATAAAAAAAAAAATAAAAAAGCAGAGTCTAACTTGTCTCTCCCGCACCGGAGGACGCTACACCGAAACAAGCGCGAAAAGAAATCTGAGCAGGACAGTTCTCGGGCGGCCTGCGAGTTGTACGTCGTGACGCACGCGATACGAATGCCTAGTAAAACAAATACTAAGAAACTCCTCCCGTCCACTATTGCGTTCGTGTAAAGCGAGAACCTTCCGTTGTGTTTCGTTTAAGGCCAACGGAGAACGAAGAAAAAATATATATGTGCAGCGAGCTACTCGAAATGTGCCACCGACAATGCTATTGTGTGAGCCTTTTCTTCGCTAAACCACGACCATACAAGAGCCGCGATATGGGGGAAAAAAGTTGTTGCTGCGTAGAAGAGAGGTTTAATTGGCTATTGAATACTCACCGCCTACATGCACGCGCACAGGTGAAGGAGACCCACTTGCACAGCGTGCGCTGCTACCGAGTTCGGAACGAGACCTCCGTCACAGAGCAGGAGGAGAAAGCATCCATCACCACATCAAGGAAGAGAAAAACGTGAAGGGTTTTCACCACAATGGACAATAGGGAAAACAACAGAGAGATAAAGAGAGAAGGGGACGCGAAGACAACGAGTGGGCAAAGCGGTGGGCAATACGACGAACGCATGCGGGAAGAGAACAGAGACACGTCCTCTTCATGTGCAAGATAACGAAGAGATGCTTCGCAGACAGTTAATACACATGCTTCTTCTTTTGATGTCTGCACACACACACGCCGATTTGACAGCGAAATCGAGACCTTGGTGGGGAGGAAGAAAAAAGAGGGGTTTTTCCTTTCCCAAACCTCACTTGTGTCGTCTTCGATATGTTTTCTTCTTGGCGACGGCACCGTACGCGGATGTGTCAAAAGAAAAAAAACATGTGACGCAGCCAAAAAAAAAACTCACACGAGCGCTCGTACGTGAAGGAGACGAGGGAAAAACAGCCATGTTACGCGAAACGACCGAAACGGGCCGGGGGGGGGGGGGGAAGGGATAAAAGAAGCTGCGGCGCACTTGGAGAACGTGAAGGGCGGCATTTGGGGTGAATCAGCGTCGAACACACGATAGGCACAACCCAACACCATCCATTGGAATGCGGTTGAAGGAGAACGACGTCGCCGTCCGCCGCCTGCGACTCTATATCTTAATCTGCTCTTCTTGCTGCCGTTTCAATTCCTCCTCCATACGCGTTGTCTTTTCTATAAAGGCGCGTCGACGCTCGCCCAGCGATATCTTCTTTGTCGCCATGCCCGACCACAAAAACCCGTTGTAGCGTCGGCACAGGTCGCCGACGTCGCCCCACGGCGAGGAGACGGAGTTCGTCGAGTGCGACAGTAATAGCCCATTAAACCAGCGATGTTCCACCACCGTAATGTTCAGATGAGGCCCACGGGAGTGCGTGCGCTCCAGCTGCAGGGTGAACGAGGCGGGAAAGACAAAGAGGGGAACTTTGTAGTGCGTAAAAGGCACCTTAAATGCGATGTCCGTCCGCGTTTTACCGTGCAAGAAAACGACGTCATCTTGGTACTCTCGTCGCACCTCCTGCAGATACGGCTCTACCGCAATGGGTAGTTTTTCTAACAGGTACACGCCGTCGCGAAGTTCGCTGATGCCCTGAAGAACCGCCATGGAGTCTTGTACGGTGATCTTTGGAGAGATCTGAATGGTGGCGAAGAGCGGGGTGTGCAGGGCGAGGGTGTGCATCCACACATCTAAACACTCTCGCTCCTCACCCGATAACACCGGTGAAAAGAATCCAGGGGTCCAGAAGGCGACGTAGCTGACACGTTTGCGCAGCGTGGGTCTGCTGTAGTTCCAGTGTTGCTCAAAAACGTCGTCGTGGCCCAATGACGAACAGAGGAAGACGGAGGAGGTCATGGCCAAGTGGGCGCCGAGGGCAGCGCCGCAAAGGCGCGTGATGGATTTGGGAATTTGGACCATCTTTGGGGTGGTGGTGTCTGCGTTACTATTGGTGACCGCGTCCGCGGAGGGAAAGAGACAGAAAGACAGAGACGAAGGAAGAAAAAACTTCGCACAGTTCTGCTGGCTGCTTCAAAAAGGTCTTCTTCCTTTCTTTTTTTCTCTTACTTTGTCACGGCATACTCTTACCGAGAGTATAGAGGTGGTTGAAGAAAACCAACCGGTCTGCTGCACTGCGAGAGGGCGTAATGTGCAATAATGTTATTTGAGGGTTTGTCCGTCGCATGTGAAGAGAAAGGAGAGGCGAAGCAAGAGAAAAAAAGAATTGGGATGTCCGATTAAAAAAATCAAACGCAATGGAGAGCTTTCCGTCACCTTACTTGCTGCGTGTGGAGACGAGTCAAACTTCATTTGGCACTAGAAGACGCAGCAGAAGCATACGGATAAAGTCCGCCTTGCTGCTCTAGCCAAAGAAACAGCAGGACGAAGAGCGCATAAACGCTCTCTTTCTTGATCGTGGACTCAAAGCCCACCTGGAGGACGTCAGCGGGGGAGTGCAAGCCCCGCTTTCAATCGTCGCCTTTTCTCTCTTTAAACCAGTTGAGTCAGCTCCGGCACTCCACCCAGCTCTTATGATGGATGGAAGAAATTCCCTTGCTCGTTGTTTCATTTTTTGCGCATTTACGTATTAAATCTGTTATGGTCGTGGTTATTGGTGAGTTACACGCATTCTGCGTAGAGGGAGAGAACGAAAGAGATGAGACTGTTATGTTCACCTAAAATGAAAACGTGTGTGTCGACAACACTTCTCTCTCTCTCAATCTCTATCTCCATGTGCAGTCAAGAAATTACGAAAAGAAGAATCATAATAGAAGTAGGAAAGCCTCGGGGAAACGATGGGTACAACGCCAAAACCATCACTGGTGTGCAGGCCTCTTCCCTCGTTTAAAATGTGGAAGAGAACGGCAGCGCACCGCACCTTCAGTGATGGCCCGAGGAAAGACAGCCCATTATTCGCAAGGTAGAAAAATACGGCAAGCAGCGACAGAACACACACCAGACGAGCTATTAAATAGCAACAATAATAATAAAACAAGTGGCAGTACAACAAAACATTGGACGGCTCCATATATGTAGCAGTTACCACTTCCCTCTCGCACCACTGAAGTGAGACGAGCATTGATAACAAGGTAGCGCTTTACACGGTTCCTACGCCTTCTTCAAACCACAAAATACTAAAACAGGGGGGCAAAGAAGAGAAGAACAGTCAAAGGAGGTGCCCGGCGCCTTCGCACTCCTCACTTGCGATGGGCCGCCCGCACCTTCTTCTTCTCGTTCACGTTGTACTTGTGGTAGGACGAGTAGGCGCGTGGGTCGGCGAGGTTCTTCTTCTTGTGCTTCGGCATCTCGCCAAAAGCAGCGAGCGCGTCGTCGTCGTGCTGCATCACCTGGTGCTCCTTCACTTTGCTGCTCGTGGTGCCGCGGACTACGTGCGCCAGCTGATCCTCGCGGAGAACAAGGTTGCGGTTCGTGCCCTTCTTGCCGCCACGCGGCTTTGGCAAGTTGTAGATGGTACCGCGCGTGCTTATTTTTCGCTTGAAGTTGATGTACAGCTTCTTCTCACCCTTGTCGTTCACGACGTAGTTGACGCGGCGGAGTGTGTCGCCGGAGCCGCACTCGGGGCAGAACTGGCGGGTCGTGTCCACCACCAACGCAAAACACGCCGTGCATCGCATGAGCCACAGACGCAGCTCGTGAATGTGCATGCCGTTCGTCCCCACGATGGGCACACCAAGGTGCATTAACGTGTTCTGCATGGCGTAGTCGGACGTCACGCAGGCCATTCCCGCCTCGAAGGCACGACCCGTTCCACGCGATCCATTCTGCATTTCGTGGATGTTTTCAGGGGTAATCCAGTCGCCCTCGCCGTCGTCGTCTGCGTGCACGCCCGCACCTTCCTTCTGTTCATCTTCCCAGTTTCCCCAACCTGGGAGCCGACTCTCGCGGGGAGCGGCAGGAGCGTTGCCCTCCGTAGTACCCGCCGGCTCGTCTCCTTCTTCGTTTTCCTCCTCTTCCTGCTCGGTGTTCTCGTCGTACTCGCCCTCACTCATCTCCTCCGTCACTACTTCAATTTTATCGTCGTTCTTCGGGTTGACCTGCGGCGGGCGCGGCGCGATCGGCTCGCCTAAGAAGCCCCCGGCCTTGCAGCAGTCCAGTGCCAAGGCGCAGAGCCGAATATCGGTGCGCGACATGGCGCCGAAGTCGCCGGTGCGCTCCGCACAGGCCACAACGGCCGCCACCGCCTCCCGCGTAGGGTCCAACACGGTGATGGTGTGCGGGAGACGCTCCAGCAAGTCACGCGACGCGCGATCCTTGATTTCGCTGACCACCTGTGGAATGGTGACGAGGGCGTCCGCGGTGGAGACGAAGTTGTCCATGCCCTTGATGATCGCGTTGGCATCTAAAATGAGAAGACCTTTGGAGAAGGACGGCAACTTCACCTCCGCAGTGTCGTGTGTCGGGTTCTGCAGCGCACGCTCGGCACTGTCCTGTGAAGCGTCGACGGCGTACACCACCGCCTGCGGCTTCTCCAGAAACTTTGCCGCCTCCTCCGGCTTAATCGACTTCACCAACGACGCCCAGGACATCTTTTGCTGTTGTCTCTATGGGGGCCGGTGGAAACACTTAATGCTGAAAAGAACCCCCAAGCAGCAGTCTTTCTTACTCCGTCAGTTGCCAGAACAAAGGCAGAGCTTTTGACTCAAAAGTATTTCTAGAGGAGCGAACGGTAAAATTAGTGTGCGGTGAGGAAGGTAGGAGAAGTAGAGGGGAACTACAAGTTGACTGTGGAAGAAGCACGAAAAAGGGAGGAGAGAGAGAGATCGTGCGACGCTCGCTGAACGTCAAAAACAAACAAAACAGAAAAAAAAACAGAAGCCGTGGCCGGCCTTGAGCTGACTAATCTGAATAGTACGGCGAAACGAGTGGAAGCAAGAAGGTGTAAAATGCATATTTATTTCTTTTCCCTCCCCCCCCCCATCTCCCCAATCTCGTCTAGCACTGCTAGCGGCCGCTGATGTACGCCTAAAAACATGCATTGCTCTTCTTCTCTTTCGAGTAGATCCGTTGTCGTGTAGTATGTGAGTAGAACTGTGATCGTACATAATAGTTCGCCGGGGAAGGCCCTCAATGCATTTTACGGGCTCTGCTGGAAGGCGCGAAACGCTGACGTGCCTTTGTGGCGCAAAACGGCGATCTCCTCATTGGCCTCATCCACTCTCCATCTTCACCGCTTTTTAAGGAAAAAAAGGGGGCCGACGAAGTCTACGCGTCAAATTCACGCAGACTCAACACCATGCGGTTCGTCTTCAAGCGCCGCTCAAAGGTAAAGAGAAGCGCCAGCTCTGCAGCGTTGAACGGTCGAATTTGCTGACTGACAAGCGATGCATGCAGCACAAAGGGTCCACTGCGCACAAGGGAGATGAAAGCGCCGTTCTTGCGCAGTTTACGCACCATGCGATACGGAAAGAGCGGCGTTGTGACCAGCAGGCGCTCCTCTACAAGCAACGGAACGGAGGGAAAAAGATGCGAGGCGACCACATCCCGTGATGGCGGCGGAGGAGGACAGCGCAAACACGAGCACGTCACCCCCACATCCATCGGCATCTGCGTCTGCACAGTTTCCTGCAACACCGACTCCAGCTCCCGTGCGGCGCGCTGCAGCACCTCCGGCGGCGTCCCACGCGGGAAACGCACATCGTACACACCAAAGTTGCCGAGCGACTCGTTGTTCCAGTAGCGCACCATCGACACGTCGTTCGTGGTGATGCCGATGCCCTTCATGCCGTTCAAGTACCCGATGGGGCGCAGAATGTTCAGCCCGAGCAGAGCGGCGGGGTCGGCTCCCATGGACGGCGCCAGGCGGTGCACGAAGCTGCGCGGGTCCGATTCTTCGGAGGAGATGGAGATGCCTGGGCGGAGATACATGAAGTGGTAGCTGCGGTGCAGGGCCCGCTTCAGCGCTGGCACCCATGGACCCTCATTTGGCGTCGGCGCCACCGTGTCCAAACCGCTCGTCCCCCCCTTGCTGTTCGATTCCGTTGTCGCCCTTTGCAACGCCGGCAAGGAAGAGCGGACTTGGATGTCCAGCTGTTGGAAAGTCTCCCAGCTCAGCTGGCTCTCCAGGTCGTTCGTGCTGGAAACCACCACATCATCCACCTTCAGCCCGCCACTCTTGGTGAGCACCTGCGTCTCCGCAAACGGGATACCACAGCGGTGAAACAGCCAGTGATACAGCGAGGGAGCGTGGGCGACGGTGTTGAGCTGTGCGTTGATGAAGCCACGCCGATTGCGTTGCAGTATGCCTTCTGTGATCTCCGTCCTGTGCAGCACGCCGATGCGAAAGACGCGGCCCTTTGTGTTCTTGGCGACGTACTGCTTCTTCGCTGCGGGATAGGAACGCACACTGGCAAGTCGGGTGAGCCCCTTGTTGAGCTTCTCCAAGCTAAAGCTCATTCCTTCGCTGTTTAGGGTCTGTTGGGGTGGTTGATTGTTGTCAGCTGCAAAAGAGCTGCTTCTCCGGCTGTGGACACAAAAGGCCGTAGCACACTCCCAGAAAAAAGAGAGGTATGTACTTCAGAAAAGGTGTCACGTTGATGAGACCTTTTGGGTATTCCATCTCATGGAGTGAAGAGGGGAGAGAAGGACGTTGAGAGCAGAAAAAAAGGAGCAAAATTCGAGAAGTAATCGTGCCAGCAGCATCAAATGCCCTTTTCATCGTTTTCCTAACGGGCATCCTTCACAGCAGCGACGCGTCGGGGACATCGGCTTCCCTGTCGAAGCTCTTCCCTCCTCTGGACAGCATGATGCAGAAAAGTTGCGGTCGTTCAGCTTGCCCCACAACAGGCAGTTCGTCGTCTTCTCCTCTTCCTTGTATGTGTGCTGAGTGCATCACTTGTTTTTATTATTTTCGATCCGGTTTTATCCAAATTATCACGTCAGGTTTTTTACGCTTCTTCAACGTTTAATGAGGTTACACGATTTGAAAAAACAAAACAAGAGGAAACACATCAATAACACAGCAGGAGCACTCCGTTGCACGATGCGCGTTTTCTTTCTTACGCCTCCTCCAACTCCATGTCCTCCTCCTCCCCCTCCTCTTCCACGCGCTCCGCCGCTCCTTCCGTCTTGTAATTTGCGGCCGTCTCCTCCAGCTGCTTCGCGATGGTGGCCTGCTTCACCTTGTTCCGCTCCTCATTCACGAAGCGCAACGCACGGCGAGGCAGGACGACCGTCCCCGCCAGGTGACACTGCGTCTGGGCAAGGCGATCGGCAACGAGACGCTTCACATCCGCCGCGACGCCGTCGGCCGACGCCGCCACCGCCATAGCAGAGAGGACATCCACGCTCGAGGGGACGAAGCACTTCTCCCCTCCAGCGGCCCACAGTCGATCCACCACCTGCGCGAGGGCAGCGGTGTCGCCCGCCACGAGAGACTTGAGATTGATCACGGTCTCCAGCTGCGTTGCCTGCGCTGCAATGTCGCTCTCCACCTCCTGCTCCAGCAACGCGATGAAGCGCTCATCCTCGCTCGCCAGCAGGCCGTGTGCCTTGCACCACTCCAGCAGCTTGCAGAACTTGGACAGCGGCTGCGGTGTGTCGTTAGGCGGACGACTCTTTAAGACGCCTTCGAGGGTGTGCAGCGCGGCGGAGATGGTGGACTGGAAGGTGTGCACCTCATCGTCAGTAAGAGAATCGCGACGGCGGCGCACCGGAGGAGGAGCTGCAGTGGAGGTGTCGGCGTCGGATGCAGCGAGAGGATCAACGATCGACAGCGACACATTCTTCTCACCTTGAAGTTCACTTTCTTCGTTTTCGTGTACTTCGGCCTCCTCATTGGCGGACTCTGCCTTGGCATTCCCCTCTCCCTCTTTCGCCTCCGCAGCTGCCTTTGGCGGTGATGCAAAAGTCGGCTCCACTACCCGACGCGCCTTCGAAAGCAATTTGCTGATGAGTTGGCACTTGGCGGCGAAGTCAAACTTCCCCTCCATGTGAGGATTAACGCTGTTGCCGCTGGACGTGCCCTCGCTTTCGCTCATGAGCGCAGTCAGCTTCTTCGCGCACACCTGCATCTCCCCCACTGTGCGGGAGAGCTCAATAAGGCGCTGCAGGCGGCCGACGGGATCGAGGGCAGCCAACTTCTTAAGTAACTCACGCGGCGACAAGAGCGAGGCTTCTCCCGTGGGCAACGTCGGCGCCATCATCCTCGGTGCAGGAGGAGCAACGGAAGAAGCTGCCTCCTTGTTGCCTGCGTTGCCCTCCGCATTTTGGTCCTCGTCCGTCTCTGGTGCCTTCTCCGGCAGCGTCTTGACCCCCTCGCCCCACACCGCGTTCCGCACCCCCGCCTGCTCGCAGCGGATGAGAAACTCGTGCGCAGGAGGGTTCATCGTCTGCTTCCCCAGCGCATACACCGCAAAGAGACGCTCGAGCGTCGTGAAGACTTCATCCTTGTGGCGCGCCATCAGCTCCTCGTACACCGGCTCAGGCCGCTGACTGATCGCCTGCAGAAAGGCGTTGATGGACTTCGCATCTCTGAACTTTTCGCTGGCGTGGTACTTGCGGACGTACTCGGCGATCAACGCCGCGTCGCCCAGCAGAGAGTGCAGAAGCGCAAAATTGGAATTCGGCTTTTGGTCCTTGCGTTCACGCTTGGCGGCAGGCTCGCCGTCGCGGCTGTCGTGTGTGCCGTGTTTACCTGAGAGGGAACGGTGGCGCATAGTCGCCTTTGGCACGTAACCCCGACCAGCACCACGGCCTCCACCGCGGTGATCACCTCGTCCACGTCCGCGTCCGCGTCCGTCACCTCGACCTCCACCACGACCTCTGTCGCCGCCGCCACCGCGTCCACGGCCCTCCCCGCGACCACCGCGACGGCCGCCACGATGTGCGCCGCGGGACGGAGCTGCACTCGTCGACGCCCCTGCTGCTACGGGCGGCGAAGTCGAAGATGGGACCGCGTCCATTGCGCTAAAATAGACTCCGCACAGAAATGAAAGTGCTGCACAATGCCACTTGAGCGGTGATCTTGGTGAAGACGAAGAAGAAAAGGGAGCAAACGACACAACGAGAAAACAGAATGTAAGGAACAAAGAGAAGTCGGAAGAGAGGAACAGCATCTGACAAAGAAGGAGAAAAACATGTAAACGACCGGTGAGTTTTTTTTTTTTTTGAGACAGAGAGAGAGAGAGGCTGATCTTCCAGCTCACATCACGCGAATTTCGCTGCTTCGGGGAACGCTTAACGCGGAGGAGAGGAGAGGAGCACTGCAACGCGCACTCGAGCAGGTGTCGTAAGGAAACAGTGGAAAGCGAGTCGATAAAAACGCGGCGGCGCTGTGTAGGTATTCATTTCCTTGGGTGTGTAATATTTTTTTTCTCCAACAGAAACGGAAACAAAGGCGGGGGTCCTCGATTTTAAACGGTGTATACTTACCTTCTCTTAATGAATGGTTTCGAGCCAACTCACAGCTTACGCGCGAGCTGTTTACGTTCACACGCAAACACTAGAACGCACAACGAAGAACACGGAAAAGCAAAGGCAAACCCTCCACAAAAAGAAAAGAAAACGAGGGAATCGTAGCCACCGTTTGCATCAACAACGAGGAATCTCACGTCTCAGGGATTGAGAAGCAGAGGTACGCCACGCACACGCAGACACAGGGGGAAAACAAGGTGTCAGATTCGCCACAACAACAGCGACAACAGCGAAAGGAGTTGTAAACAGTAATTCAGTAGGGCACGACACCTCTGCTAAAAACACACAGCAGCATATTTCTCATTTTTGCTTTGACGTCATAGCAAGGGGCTGAGTGCGTCACTCGCGATGCTGCTTGCGAATGGCGAATGATGATGTTCTTCCTTTTCTATTCGTAGTCGCCCGTTTCTTCTCTTTCCTTCCTTTATGTCGACGAGGCTGGGTTACGCTGGCAGCGCGGCGGAAACACTCATTCGAGTCTATAGTTTTGTTTTTCTGTGGGAAGGGGAAGCCATCTACGCCTGCTTGGGTGCGTTAGACGAGGAGGTCCACTACACACCTCCGCCCTCCGGCGAGTTTTGCGGATCCTCGTTCTTAGGAGTTGCCGAGGTCGGAGCGACAGATACCGCGGCTGGCTCGCCGTTTGCCACTACCCTGGCGATGGGCAGCGTGCCGGGTTTGCGGATGCGGAAGCCGAAGATCTTCGGCACGTACTGCTGGCTCGGTGGCGGGATCGTCACACCCCGCTCGCGCAGCTGCATGAGAAGAAGGTGCGGAAACGTCGTGCCCCAGAAGGCGCCGTCGAGGCTGCGGTGGCGCACGGAGCGGGGGTGGTAGATGTCCTCGCAGCGCGGGCAGAAGAGCTTGACGGAGCTCTCCCGCACGACGTCGCTCTGCCCCACCGGCAGCAGCGCATGCCCCTCGCAGAAAACACGCGGGCAGCTACCAAACTCACTCTGCAGATACTTGTCCTCCATCAGTTTGAGGCCCCGCCCCGTCGTGATGAAGCGAGCGTGAATGAGCCCATAGAGGATCTCCGCCGAGCTCTCTACCAGACGCTTTTGCTGCTCGGTTAGCCCGTCGCTCTCCATCGATTCCACATCGAGGATGAGCTCTAAGGCGTAGTTGTAGAAGGGAACCATCGGCGCCAATCCGGTGAGGTTGAACTCATCCGTGATGAACTCGCGGTCCACCATGCAGAAAAACTCGTTACCTTTCAAGTCGCAGAACCATGTGATCCAACTCACGAGCTCCTCGTCTTCGTATTCGTACTCCATGTTGTCTGGAGAATACCCTTCCTTCATGGACTACTAAGTTTAGATGAGAACGGCGAGAGAAACACACACACACACAGACACAGACACACAGAAATGGATAGCAGAGGTTCGGTTGTCTAAGCCACGGAGAGGTTTCAGGACTTATGATCTTGCTCGACAAGCAGCGACGAACGGGGTCGTGTACTGCTGCTCGAAACACGTTCGTTGGCACGTCCTTCTAATAGACGCAAACACGAGACCAAACAGCAAGAAAAAGAAATGAAAAGGCTACTGTGAAGGTCCTTAAATTGGTAACGATGCAACAGAGCAATAGCAATAATAATAATAATATACATGACACAAATAGGGTGAGAAGGAGGAGGCCAGGTAGATGGAGATTAGAAAAACTGGAAACGTTGTTTTCGCTGAGTTAGCATGTCAAAATGAAAACGGCAAAACGAATGCGCGGCGCAGCGGTTGCTTTGAACAATAAACGTCCGTTCTGCCGATATCACGAGCGAGAATTAAAAAGCACTTCTTCACGAAGATGTGTGTGTGTTTAACATTTCTGCTTTCTTTATGTTTGCGTCCTTTTTCCGGTGCCTCGTGAGAGAGAGAACGGGCACATACAGACGAGCAGCTTCGCCTGTACCATTCGCCCCGCGGGGATGGCGCTCCAAACGTCAATGTACGTTCACGGACAATAACCTCCACACCAACTCTGAAGATGCGCGTAGGGGGGCCCAATATCTTCGGAAAGGGTGTTGTCATGCGGCACTCGTACGTGAGAGTGATCGACAGTGTCATCAAGGAGCAAGAGCAGCTCACTTGCGCGCCGAGAGCTGCAAAAGCAACTGAAAGCACGTGCTTCCATTTTCGATTGTTTTGTAGGAATTATGCCTTTTTCTTTAAAGGGTACTGCTTTACTGCTCACAACTCTCATGAAGTATATCGACGGAAGACACAGAAGCTCAAAGAAGGCTCCCGGACAAAATACTAAACACACCATTTTTTACCTCTCCTCGTTTCCTCACCTTTTTTTCTCTTTAGAGTCGTTCATATAACGCACAAACACGAAGAGACCAGTAAAACAGAAAACTCATTCGTTACCACACCCGCACCGGGAACGCAGCACAGCTGTTAACAGCAAAATGAAAGATGTTGCCACTCTATCGCTAACTCCCACGATGACAATGATGGAATTGACCAGAATATGAATCAAAGAAACAACAGGAATACTTGACCACGCACCCGTATCTGCCTCGGCAACAGATCTTCAAGAACAAAAGTGCCGAAGACGCCGGTAGCAAAAAGGGGAAACTACAAAGTCACCGACAAACAAACAAAAGTACAAAGGACTAGATTTTTAATGAATTTGAAATCGAGTATTCATACCCTTTTTTTTTTTAAACGCAGGCGCTTCGCCGTTTTGCTGTTACTTTGGTGGGTTCGCGGCTTTGCCGTCTCATGGTTTGTTAAGGCGTCCAAGCGACAGAGGGCCAAACCACAACCCGCGTGCTCCTCTGCGGGCGAAAGGACTACTTTCTTTTATTCCTCCCTCTCTCCCTCTCTCTCTCTCTATATATAATCCCAATAGGATACATCGAATCAAACGTTTCTTGAGTTCACGAAAAGACGAACAGCAAAACATGAAGTCAATAGAACACCACCGCGGTATGCGGGAAAAAAAAAGGGAAACAAACTAGTACAGAAGTTTTTTAAAAAACCTAGAAGGGGGTAGAAGGCACGGAATCGCTGTGCCCGCCCCCTCCATCTTTCTCCACTATCTCACGCAACGCGATCTGCAAAAAAGAGCCGTAAAAAGAGCCACCTGGAAAACAAGAAAGATTCTCTTCTTTTTTTTCTTCACCTCAGCGCTTTCTCTTCATTCCACCGGTTGAAGAAACCATCATCCCTTACGTTGAAACGCACTACAAACAATTATTTCTTTTGTAGACGAAGACCAAACAAGAAGCCAGGGAGAGATTCCTTCAGATGATCTCCGCGTGCCTCCCTCGCACTCTCCCTCTCTATACCCCGCCCAACGCCGTCACCGCATTTTCTTTCTTCCTTTTTTCTTAACTCTATGCCGCGGGCGCGGCTGGCGTCGCGGGCGCGGGCGACTGAGAGAAGCGCGCCGCCTGCTCGCCGCGCCACCCCACCAGGCCACGGCCGTACTGAACGCCGCTAAGCTTCGCCATGTTGGTGCTCATAAATTGAAAGTACTTGGCCTCCAACTCCTTCGCCTCCTCGACCACCTCCGGCTCCGCCGCGCTTACCTTGCCGGTCGCGTAGTCCGTCAGCTGTCCGCACAGGTGGCGCACCACGTAGTTGCCGGAGGGGCTGATAGCGAGACTCAGCAGCGCCTCATCGCCCTTCTCCATCAGTGCGCGCGCCACCTGCAGCACAAACTGGCCGCCGTCCTTCGTCTGCCGCGCCACCGTCAACGCCTCCTGCACGCAGTGCGAGCGGTACTTCTCGCGCGACGACTCAAAGATGGTGTTCACGATACCCTCGTTGAGGGTCCGCAGAGCGGCCTCGATGGGTGTGCCCGGAATAGCACGAGCCCCGAGGCTTGTTAAGAAGGAGCGGAAGATGTAGCCATCCGTGTAGCTGGGCTCCGTCGACGTCCAGCTCGACACCATGGCTGTCAGCAGCGTCTCGCAGTTGCGCACAAACGCGTCGTGCTCCTTCTTCTTACGGCTTGCGGGGTTCTTCAACGAGGCCAGCACGGCGTCCGCGAAGACCGGCATCATGTAGCGTATCAAAAAGGAGCCAGCCGCGTGGTGGCTGACGTGTTGAAGGCGACCCTCTACCGTCGCCGGCTTCTGCGCCTCGGCGGCGTCAGCCTCCTGCTGGGCGGGCGTCGTGAAGCGTGTCTTTCGGCGCCGCGACAGGGGCTGTTCGCCCGTGCACCACGACTCCGCGATGGCATAGTACAAATGCCAGTCCTGCGGCCCGGTAGGAGCGTTGAACTCGGCCAGGCTGGCGGGGGCGTGCACTTGCTCCACCGCGGCGGGCTTCGCCTCCTCCTCCGTCTTCTCCCCCTCCATCTTGGCCTTCTGCGCGGCGGCGTCGTCGGGGCTCGTCTCGGCGTTCTCCTCCCCGTCGCGGCCGCGCTTCGTGCCGGGCCTCCGCGTCCCTGCCTCCTCCGCCGCCCGCTCCGCGGCGATCGTCTTCGCCTGCTTCGGGTCGAGCGCGTCCAGCAGCGACAGAATCATGTTGCCGGAGGCGGCGGAGCTGCACAGAAAGACGCCGTAGCGGGCGAAGGCGTCACAAAGTGCCTTCAACTCGGCCGCCTTCGGCTTCGTCGCCTTCATGTCCGACGCACCCACGGGCACGACGCCGAAGAACTGAAACGTGAGGTCGGAGAGCAGCGGGTACTGGAAAAGCGGGTTGAGCAGGCGAAGGGAGGTCGTCCACTCCAGGCGAGCCAGCGGGTCGACCTCGGCCTTCGCAGGCGGCGGCGTCAACTTCTCAAAAAAGACGCTGCGTTTGCTACCCACGGCGAGGGCGGCATGCAAAATGCGAATGCCTTGCGGCGACGACATCAGCGTGTGGCGCGGCTTCTTGGGAGCGGCTGCCGCCCCGCCAGCACCCGCGGCCGTCGCAGACTTCTCCCCCTCCTTTGCCTCCCCGCCGTCCTCCTCACCCGCCTCCTCTGCCTCATCTGCCTCGTCGTGCTCCTTCTCCGGCTCACCCTCCTCCGCGGCAGCGTCCATGCGCATCAGACGAGCAAACAGCTGCGTGGACTCGTCGGAGTCGGCCGACATGGCAGTCAGTACCGCCTCGTAGGTGGCCACGTCCTTCGTCAGCGCCTCCAGCAGGTCATCGGTCGTCTTCGCCTGCACGTCCACCGGCTGTTGGTCCTCGGCCGGTGCCGCCTGGGGCTTGTCAAAAGGAGTCAGCATCACCATCAGAGAGCGCAGGATGCCGTACACGGCGCCCTGGATGCTGCTGCCGTTGGACAGGTCCACCAGACGGTTCGCGTGGTTTGCCGTGACGCACGGCACCTGCATAAAGGTCTCCGCCGTCTTCTCAGAGAGCAGCGCATCGTCGGAGTGACGTGGCAGCGAGAGACAGGCCGCGACGTACTTCTTTTGAATTACCACGAGCAGGCGGATAGGGCCACCGCGGGAACGGCCGCGGATGCCGGCCAGCACGTCCGCCGGTACCATCTCCTCTGTGGACCCTTTGCGGCCCGCCTCCTCCAGCTGGGCGTAGCTGTCGAGGTGGACGACGGCGAAGGACTCGTTGAAGCGAGCGCCGCCTTGGCCGCCACGTCCGCCGCGGCCGCCACGACCGCCACGACCGCCGCGCTGGAAGCCGCCACGGCCCTGCTGCTGCTGACCGTAAGGCTGCTGGCTGCGGTAGGCACCACCCTGGAAGCCGCCGCGGGACATGTTGCCGTACTGGTTGTTCGCATTATAGCCCTGGTTTTGGTAGGACTGCTGCTGTTGCTGGGGGTAGTAGCCCTGACCGTAACCGCCACGGTTCGTTTGTGCGGGGCCGCCGTAGCCCTGCTGAGCGCCGCTGCCGCCGTAGCCGCCGCCCTGGTAGTAGCCTCCACGCGGTGCGTAGCCTCCTTGCTGGGGCGGCATCTGCTGTTGCTGCTGGTAACCGCCACGCGGGGCGTAACCCTGGCCGTACGCTTGTCCCCCGTAGCCGCCGCCGTACTGCTGCTGCTGCTGCTGTTGAGGATAGTAACCTCCGCGGCCGGCCGCTGGGGGGTAGCCCTGCATGCCACCCGCTTGTGGCTGCTGCGGGGAGGAGTAACCACCGGCACCAGCACCTGCGCCGGCCTGGTAGCTGCCGTACGGGTTGGTGTTGTTAGGAGCTCCACCTTGCATTTTGGCGATACAATATCCCAAGAAACTGCTTTCAGCGAAAATACGTATGTAGGCGTGTGCTTCACGAATAGACTACCTCGAGAATATACGATTTGGTTGCGTGTTTCCAAAACGGGGAAGAACAAAAAATAATAATTGAACGACAGATGACCGAAATTTAAAGAAAGAAAAATGAGTAGATTCAAACTCTCACAATAATAATAAGGGAGTATTTATTTGTTTGGTTGATTTATTTCTTCTACAATTAACCAGTAACACACACGCACACGAAGAAAAAAAAACCAGAAGTCACAGGCGACGCGATGGGAGACGCTACGCGAAAGAACAGTCTACTCGAAGCAAACACAGAAACAACTGTGGAGGGAGAGAGAAGTTTAGAAAAGCAGAGGCGGCGTAAATGAGACAGGAGAAAGGCGAAGATGGCTGGACCACGTTTGGGTGCCTCGCTGAAGCGGCGGGAACTGACGAGGAGGAGTGCGTCCGTCATTTATGCAAACACAGACTAGCTTTAGGCACGTGTGTTCCTCCTCAGAAAAGAAGGGTTTCGTAAAACGAGAGGTGTTAAACAGAAGCACTTCGAATAATGAAAACAAAACATTTTTTCATACCTTTTCATAAACGTTCTTTCACAGACGAATCAGCGAAAACAAAAGGTAGTCATGAGGCGTCACTTAACAGCAACGTAGAGTTACCCTCCACACACCAGATACTGTACATTCGCAGAACAACGACGATTGAACACGTGCCTTCTCGTTTCGACGCGCGCTCCATGGAATAGCCTCGTAACTGAAAGCTGCACACGAGAAGAGATGAGTCGTCACGAAAAAAAGAAAAGAAAAAAAGGCACAAGAAGCCCGCGTCAGCCACAGTCAATAGATTCGACTATCTACATTTTTATTTCTTTCAAAGAGACATTCCTGAGGTGAGGCATTCACACCCAACACATGAACAAAAACTACCGACATTTTCTGTGGAAGGCAGCTTCAATTCTCTTTGACTACCACTTCGTCCTGTGGTAGGAGGATCCGCCCATGCCGTCATTCAGCTCCGCCACGGTGTAACGTGACTCCGCCAACAAGGTGTCGCGCACCTGCGTCTGCAGCAGGCCCTCCGACGTGCACCCTTTGTCGAAGCGGCACGATGCTTGGGGGCCGCCTTGCGTCATGGACGGCGGGTCGTAGGGTGTGACCACGACGCCGGTGCCCACCGCCTCCGTCAACTGCGCCAGAAACTCAGGACTCCACTTCATGCGGTACTGCCGGTCCTGGAACTCGAGGAAGCCGACGCCGATGTCAATCGTCAAAGTCGCCGCGGCATTGCGCTGCAGATACTTGCCGATTTCCCGGATCGAGTCCTTAACGGCCGCCTCCACGACGAAGCGGTCGGTGCCGACGATTTCAGCAATGGTGGTGTAACCCACCGTGTTCGGCACCGTGGCGTGATAGTGGGCGTCGCACATCTCCAGCACGTTCTTGATGTGAAATTTAGAGGTGAAGTCGGGCAGAAGGACGAGCTGCGGTTTGTTGTCTACGCGCACCGTGTTGTCGAAACGCTCGATCTTCTGAACCTTAATACTGGCGTGGAGGAAATCAAGCACCACGGCGGACTTTCTCCTGAGAAGAATCTCCTCCAGCTGCTCGCCGAGGACGCGCCAGATGACGTTCAGCTGATGCGCCGTGCCGCGACGCTTCGTCTGCAGCATGTAGAGCCCGTCCACACCGGTGATGATCTCCGCAATTTCGCCATAGCACCCCCGGCAGGTACGACCGGAGCAAGTGGAAGACTGCGCCATATCTTTCTGCCAAGTGCCGTGGAAACTATAGGATAGGCCCAGAGAAAAAAAAAAGAACAAAGAAGGGAAAAGGATACGATGAGACCACCTGTCCACAAACACAACTGCAAAAAGACCGTTGACTCTTTCGCATGAAGAGAGGAAAGGGGTGAGGGAGAAAGCAGAGAGCAGGAAAGGGAATAATAGGAGTGCGTATTACCCCTGATCCAACGCCCGCCTGCGTGTTGCAGCAGCGCACGAAAACGTCACAAGAAACAGAGTTTGCGACAAAGGTCAGAAAACACAACGGTCGCAGACACCCCTTAACAAAGAAGAGGGGAGGTCCACTTGTCGCACACGTTTTGATGGCAGTAAGCAGAGCATTTCATGGCGGGCGAGGGACTCTGCTTTCTCGTTTTTACCGTATTCACGGAACTCCCATCGCCCAGGGATGCAAAACGGCTTTCGACAACAGTTCGAAGGACAGGACTCGTAAAGAGCCCTTCTGCCGTGCGCACGAGCGTCGCAGGTGTGCGATGAGGCCTTGCTCTCTCTTTAACACTTCGTTTTTCCTTCTTGTTGGGGCGGTTGAAATGAATGGATGGCATTTCCGGCCGGAAAGGACGCGAAGGTGAACGGCCAGGACGTTGTTAGAGAGTCGATTCCCTCATCGAACGCCTGACATCCGTCGCACTACCGCAATCCTCGCTGCCCGCCAGAAAACGAAAAATGCAGGACATCCAAGAAAATGAACAGAAAAAACACTCTTAGAGGAATTGTCTTGACATGCTACCTTAGCGCCTTTTCTCCTCGCAACACGATCCAATGACACGAGCATGCAAGCGCAAGCAGCGACGAGAACTCGACGCAAAGGATCGGCGTGTGCACTCGCTGCAACGGAGAAGCGGCAGCAGCCGTGCGGGGTGGGCCTTACGCCTCCCACGCGTTGTCGTCGGCGCGCTCCACCCAGCCGAAGCCCTCATCCGCCTCCGCAGCGGGCGCCGCAGCAGCAGCCTTCTCCTCCGCCGCCTCGTTGGGGTCGCGGTAGAAGAACAGGTCCACCTTCTCCTCCCACGGCACGGACCGCACGATCGTGCCGCGCAGGCGCAGCACCTCGCGCGCAAGCAGCCAGTACATCATGCCGATCGACTTGATGCCGCGGTTGTTGCACGGGATCGCAATGTCCACGAACTCCAGCGGCGCGTCCGTGTCGCACAGCGCAATCACCGGCATGTTCACAAGCGCAGCCTCGCGGATGGCCTGGTGGTCCGTGCGCGGGTCCGTCACGATCAGCACGCGCGGCTGCATGAACTTCTTCTGGATCTGGTTCGTGAACGTACCGGGGATGAAGCGGCCGCCGTGGAAGCTCGTGCCCACGTGCTGCGAGAACTTGTAGATGGCGCGCGTGCCGTACAGCCGCGACGAGCACACGCACACGTCCTTCGGGTTCTCCACCGCCGCGATCACGCGCGCAGCCAGCACAAGCTTCTCCCACGTCATGTGCATGTCGATGATGTTGCTGCCCTCCGGCGTGCGGCCGAAGATGTACTTCTTCATCGCGCTGCTCTGGTTGCGAGTGCCGATGTGGCAGCGCATCGCGAGCAGCTTCTGCGCGTCGCTCTCCTTCATCCGGAGAACCTTCGAGCCAGACTCCACAGCGGTCATGGTGACGAGTTGAGAGAAAGTGAAAAGGGTATAAGAGCGAAGACTGCAAAAGGTGTTGTTGTTGTTTTTAAGCGCCAGGTACAAACATGGTGATCAGAGTGGTTAAGCGCGATAAAACAGAAGGGGAGGTTGTGAAAGGAAAATGAAGAAGGAGAAGAAAAGAGTCAGAAAAGACAAGCGTGCGGTTGAGGCGGAGATCATCATTTTTGAGCGCCGTAATGCAATTCAAAAAAAAAGGGCGTTCGATGAAAGCGCAGTTGCATTGCCTTCAAAGCTGGCCTTTCAGTTTGCCTTCGAATTGCAAGAGGCGGGGGAAGGGGTGAAATCTTATGCCGAAGCTGCCTATAAAGGCACAGTGTGTGATGTGAACGAGAGCATATACGCCACAATTCCCTTTTGCATACTTCGTCAGTGTCGACGGGTGGCACGCGAGTTCGACAATTAAAGACTGACTGACACAAGTCGGCCGCGTTTATAGCGGCATTCATGAGTATAGCAGGAAATCAGAAAAATAAGAATCAAGAAAGCTCCAGCAACATTGATTTGAAGCAACTGGATTCAGTTGCGGCCTGCGAAACGAACCACGGCTAATACAACACCGCAAGCCCGTAACAGCCTCCGTTTTCCTTGTTCCTTTTCACCACTCGTTTTGTCAATTTGTCAAACGCTTCGCAAGATCGAGCTCCACGGCAAGACGCTCAATCGTTGCATCCTTTTCTCTGACCAAGTCGTCGATCAGCGTGCAAAATCGTGTTTCCTGCGTCGCGAGTCGCTGCTGCAACGCGTTTATTATCCGATCCTTGTGGGCAACGACATCGAAGAGCTCCTGCTTCGCTGTCTCCGCCTCTACCACCGCTTTCTTTTCCTTCGCGTTGCGCGTCATCGCGTCACCCGCCGTTGTCTCAGGATCGGCAGCGGAGTCTTGCACTGCCTTTCGGGGCAACTGCAAGGTGGAGGAGCTCCTGGTGAGCAGCTGTACCTCCTCTTGTGACCGGTTTAGCTGGACCGCAAGCTGCAGGGCTAGCGCCTTCAGTGTCTCCACATTTTCCCTCAGCGTCGCCTCATTGGCACACACACGCTGGTACTCTTGCCAGCTGACGTCTCGAGCAGGCGTGCTGACACCGTCTTCCACGAGTGGTGCTCCGTCACCGAGCGCGTCTCTTGACAGCTGATCCGAGGCGTGGGTGGCTATCGGTGTGCTGAATACAGCAGGAAGGCTGACCTGGGCGCGCCCGATGGCGGGAGCGGAGGAGAGAAACGTGCTGGTGAGGGGCACATTGGTGACGCCCTGCGCAGCCGCGACAGCGATGTGTGTGTACATGACGGAGTTGATGTGTCAAAAAGGTGACAAGAAAGAGCGCACCGAAATCACATGGTGAGAGGTTCTAGCCCCCACGCCTGCAAAGCCCAGGCTACGGTGTGCGACAACATATAGAAAGGTGTCGCTCTCCTGTACAATTCAATCCACACATCAAAGCAAAACAGAATCATGCGGAGGGAGTGAACGAAGAGGGAGGAGAAGATGTAAGTCGTGCCACAGTCATTCAAGATTAACAAGCCCCAAATCACACAAACAAGCAATGATGAGCAGAGGACTATTTTAATGTGTGAACGAGTGTGTGATACCGACGGGCGGGAGCGCCGTGGTTCAACAGGTGGCGCCGCCATGCTTTGTGTTCAATATTTTCTTTTTAGCGCCATCACCATAGTGGTACCATGATGTCCAGAAAATGCAGCAAATACTAAGAGAAGTTATTTTTTTCTTCTTTTAGACGAAAAACGTCAGAGAAAAAAAAAAGCACTTGACAAAATTCTTCCAGTGGGCGCTAGACTCAAAGAGCCTCTTTTCTGATGTTTGCTGGTCCATGTCTTCTTTTTTTCCTCTTGTCTCCACGCCATCCGTGCATGGATGCCTCTCTAGCACATAAATCTGCCCAATCCGTGTAGCGTCTGAAGGAGAAGAAAACAAAACGGAAAAATGGGTTTTTTTTTGTCAGCACCGAGCGCTCGGTTTTGATTTCTACGTCGAGCCGACCTTCGGCGCCTGCGTGTCCGGTTCGCACCGAGAACCACACACGCACATCAATATATATACATATATATATATATAAAGAAAACAAGAAAATCGTTAGCTAACATTAAGTTTGTTTGTTTTTGTTGTTGATGTTTTTCATCATCAAGCGTTAATAACTGCTCTTCGCAATTTCTTTTGTACCCGACGAAAACAAGAAGGAGAAGTAGCAGCGATTTTAGTTCAGTTAGTCCACCGCATCCATGTGCGTGAACTTGAGGCCGTAGCGTGGCGCCGCGGCGTTGCCAGAGCCGGAAAAGGGAGCCGTCATCGTCAGTGTAAACTTCCAAATATCACCAAAGTTGCGAATCGTCGTGATGGTGTAGGTGCCGTCGGTCACGTTCGTGTTCAGCATCAGCCGCGCCCCGCAAGGTGAGCGGCCTTGGATACCCGCAATAAAGCGCTGGCGCTCGGCCGCGACGGCGACGTCCATGTACGGGTGCACGGGGACGCGCATGTGAACCGAGAAGCCGTTGCGGAGGTTGTATTTGCCCATCAAGTCCCCTTTGTAGATGTTGGGGCAGCTGTAGCGCACCACTGCAGCCGTGAAGTCGCGCAGGCCGCTGCGCTTCGGGTCGTAGGAAAGCGACGCACCACCGTAGAGCTGCGGCTGGATGCAGGTCGCTGCGGTCACATTAGTCGCGCCGCCGTCCAGCAGCGACGTCCTGCAGCTCGCGGTCACCACCGGGTGCATCGCGGTGACATTGACGACGCCGGTGGCGGCGTCGACCATGAACACGTCCGACGTGCCGTTGATCTTTGCGGTGTAGGTGATGGATGGGAGGTACTCCTTCCACGACTTGAAGTTGGGCGACACCTTCGACTTCACTGTGGTGTTGAGTGGCGCGCAGTTGTACGTGAGATGGGCGCCGACACAGCCTTTCTGGGCAAAAGGGAAGACATTCAGGCAGTTCGGGTCACCTTCCTCCGCAGCATCCAACTGTGCACCTTGTACCTGACTGCCCTTCGTCAAGTACTCGTCCACGGCGTTGACAATTGCATGGTAACACGGTGGGAAGGCCATCCTCGTCCAGCTGTGTGAATCTGGGTGTGAGTGTGGGTGGGCGGGTGAGAGGGTAGAGGTGTCCGTGAGATAGCTTTCCGATGCAACGAGAACGAAAAAAAAACTCTCGCTGCGAATGCGAGAGAGCTGACGCTTCAAAAGGTAAATCCGTGTCCGTAAGAGCACACACGCACACACACGCACACACACACACAGAAGAGAGAGATGTGTTGACAGCAGCTATGTGTTTTCCTTCGCTGTAAAGGCGAAAAACAATAGCGGCACTGGAAAAGTTGGTTGTGCAGATGCACGATAAAGAAACGAAAAAAAAAAGAAATGAGGATTATTGGGAGGTCAAAGCCCTAAACAAAAAAAACCCCGTGTGCTGACTCGGTAAATACAAATTGCCGCGTTTTATGAGTACCCGGAATTTAAAAGCTAAGATAGTCGGAGATTTGGAAAGAAACAAGTTGAGATCGAAAGTAGCAAAAAAAAAAGGGACGCAAACGTGTTGTGACTCGACGAAGACCGAAAGTGAAGAAGACGACAGATAATCCTGGGGAAGAAAAAAAACGGTGTTTGAGATCAGCCCATTTAAAGGGTTTTGAGCAAAAAGAAAAGAAATTGAGAAAGGAGAGAGAGTCGTTGTAAGTGACGAAGACGCTTCGGTTAGGCCGGAAAGAAAAATGTGTGAGGTCCGACACAACATCGTTGAGATGGTTGCTTTTAGCACTCGCGGCCGTGCAATTCACAACGGCCGCTTAAGGGTAGAAAATACCGCTGCAAGGAAACCGGCCTTCTTCTTTTCCCGTACGGACGATCGTGTTCATCGACAGCGGCTGATAATGTGAAACGGCAGCATGGAAAGGAGAAAACACTCGCTACGGATGAAGGAGGCAACACGTTGTGCAAGCATTTTAGCCGCCACCGCGACCTTGCGTCACGAGGCAACAACAAAAGTGAGTAGCTCTGTAGACTTTGGAACAGTAAAGGCATTCTCACGCAGCCTTCTAATTTCTTTCAATGCATTTCTTTTGTTGTTGTTTTTGACAACACAACGTCCCATTTCTCACTTCCGATGAGAGTGGGGGGAACCAGATGATGAAAGGAAGAAAATAGTCAAAAGGAGTGACAGCTCAAGACAAAAGGCAGCAAAACGGAGAGCAACGAATTGAGTAGGGGGGCAACGAAGAGAGAACACGAACGCAGCGACAAATTGATGGCGGCGAGCCCGAAAAGGAGGAGAAATTTCAGGGGGAAAAACGTACATGTATAATCACAAGCAATCCCAACGAAGATTACACGAGAAGAAGTCGCACACACTCACAACAGAAGAGAAGAGAAGAAAAACAGACTTTTTACTACGCCAGCAATTTTACGTCAACGCCTTTTGCGACATCGTTCGTCCGGCCTCTCTCGCTCTCCCTCTCGTTGCGCGCACCCGCACCTTACAGGTATAAAACACCGGCATGAACAGGTGTGATCAGGGTAGAAGTCGCAGGTGCTGTAAAGGGAAAAGGGGGAAAAGCAGATATGGATCTTCCGCGGTAGGCAACAAGGCAGCATTCGCATTGATCACAGAGAAAGGGAAAAAAAAAGCATCTGTGAAACCCCGACGCGTTCACCACTCTCCTCGTCCCCTTCACCGGCTACTTTCTGTTGTCCTATAGACACCACAGACGCGCGCGACGACCGCGCGGAGACACGCGACTTCGTTTAATGTCCAGTTCTTTAAAGGCAACTGTTTTTTTCTCCTCCTTAGCTGCTCATCCGGCCCTCAAGGAAGGCGTCGAAGTCGTCGTCATCCTTCGGGGGTTCGGCAGCGGGCGGTGCCACCGCTGCGAGGTCTGCCTTCGCCTCTTTTGGGGCCTCCCTCTCCGCGGCAGCCGTCTCCCCTGCTGCGTGCTCTCGCTGCTCCGCCGGCTCTGACTGCGCATCCTCCGCAACGGCTGGGTCGACGTGAGCGGTCGATGCGGCCTCCGTCGGTGCGACAGCGTTCGTCGACTGCAACGGCGCCGGCACCGACTGGTTCAGCGATGGCGGCGAGGCGGGCTCGGAGCTGCCCCCGCTCGGCTCCGCTGCTGCGGTGGACGCCTGCGCGCCTCGGGCACCTTCCAACGCGTTGGAGGAGGAAACGGAAGGGCCCACGACGGCATCGCCGAAGAGGTCGTCCACGGACGGGGCGGGGACCTGCGGCGGTGGGACCGGGGCCCGCACACCGCTGTTGCCATCGGCTGCCACCTCCGCGCGCGGGGGTGTCGCGTGAGCCGGCGTAGCACCGGAAGAAAACGGCGTGCGTTGCGGCTGACCGTCCACGTCCCCTGCGGAGCGCAGCGGCGTGCTGTGCACCGTTGTTACGGGGACAGCGGTCGCCAGCGTCTGCGGCGGGGCGGCGGGGCGACCAGCCAGCTTCTCAGACAGCTCCTCCACCTTCTTGAGAACCGCTGACTGGCTGTCGCCAACGGTGCGCAAGACGTCGCGGTCCAGCTGCAGGTTCGACGACAGCAGCACCGTCACGTAATTGTGGTCTTCCTTCACCTGCGACAGGTAGCTCTTCACCACCTCGTCCTGCGTCAGCGACTTATCAGTGTTCATCTCGGTGTTGTTGAGGTACTCGGAGAAGGTCATGCAGACATCCAGCATGGTGGAGACGCGCTCTGGCGTAGGGAGGTCGATGGGGATTGCGTCGACGACGTTGCGCTTCTCCTGCCGGTGCGGCGCGGCACGACCGCCGGCGCCACTGCCCGACTTGGTGCCGCGTGCGCTGGCGCGAGAGGCGGCGGGCGGCGGCACGCTCACCGGCACCCGCACCCGCGTGTTGCGCTCTGGCTCGATACCCTCGAAGCAGTTGGGGCCCAGCTGGTTGCGCACATCGTCGGCGAGGGTGGTCAAGATGTAGCACTCCTCCGCGGGGTGTCCACGGAACCAGATGGACAGGTTCAGCGTGAGCAGTAGCGCCGCCTCCTTCGCCTGCATCGCCCTCCCTGTCGTAGGCTGAATGCACGCGACGTTCACCAAATCGCGCAGAAGGCCCTTCTGTGACGCCACTTCGACGTGGAACGCCGTGGCGCTGTTTTTGACCAACGACTCCAGCAGCTGCACGGTCAAGTGCTTCACCGCGACATCGTTGTCGGCGATGCGGCGTCGCAGGGCGCGCACGACGTCGACGATCACGTCCGGCTTCTTGTTCACCGTCTCGCACAGAAACTTCACGTGCTCGTAGGTTGGAATGAGAAGATGCGGTGCCGTGCACTCCTCGACGATCTCCATGTACGCGGTCGGAATCAGGCGCGACGCCTTGTCCTTCACCTCCTCCAACAACGATAACTGGACCATCTTACTCAACGAAAGAAAAAAAGGGCTGTAAAGCAAAAGGGGTAGAGGGTGACACGCTGAGCACGGGTGGGCTTTACTGAGAAGAGAGAAGAAAAAAAGGAAGGCACAAAAAGAGGGTGAAATGCAGCGATACGTTAAGCTTCGTTTCTCCTCGGGATTTTCTTCTGGCAAAACGGCGTGAAAGGAAAAGTTGATGAATAGAGTGACGTTGAGGTGGGAAAACGCATACAAAGAGAGAAACCAATAAAGGCAGACTTAGCGATCGGGAGGTCAAGACGAATGTAGAGGGAAGAAAAGAGAAGAGGGTAACCCACGGCGAAGAAGCCATAAAACAACAAGAGCACATATGTATTCCGTGGGGACGCGCCACAAGCCACACAACGCGGTAAGGACTCAAAACATAAGAAAGCAGTGAAGTAGAGTGCCACCCTTTGAAGAGAACAGAGAGGACGAACCTCCATGTCATTTTTCCCCTTTGTTGCCATCTTTGTAGGAGAGAAAAACATCGCAGATGAAAAGGAATGGTTCGCTATTCATGACCACCTTTTTTCCTGCGGGTTTCGTGTCTTTTAGTCGGCAAATGCACCACGACAAACAGCTACAGCTGCGCTAAGATCTTGTGCCGTTGTTCCTCTACTGTTCGTTAGGAAAAGATACACCAAACTGCGTTCGTGTCGGCGGAGGCAGAGTAGGAAGGAGATCGATATATACATTCTAAACAAAAACACACAGCAATGAGATCGGAAGAGAGGAAAACAAAGCCGCTACATTTTTGTTTTTTAGGGGTGGCAAATTCGTACCTCGCATCAGTTGTGGGACACGCGACAAAACGAGGAAGGGCGGAGAGAGGCTCTGCCCTCAAAGACAAGGATAGCAAAAGCGGACCAAAGACACAAAGCAATGATATATATATAGAGAGAGAAGAAGAAGGCAAAGCGGACACCAACTCCGTCAAATAATTTGAAATGTCCAGCCCCCGGAACAGCAAACAGAGAAGAGAGAAGAGAAGAGAAGAAGAAAAAAAAAACACGATACATCGACAAGAGAGTCAGACAGCTCTCCAAAGCAAGATAACGGGTACAGACGGCAAAAATACAGAAAGAAAAATACAAGAAGAGCGCTTTTGGAAAGAAATGACAAAAACGAAGATGTACAGACGAATCCTCAACAAAGAGAAGAGAAGGAAGAAATGACGGCAGCATAATACAGTAAGGAAACCAAGAAAAAATGCGAGCAAGTTTCGAAATAAGCAACAGAGGAAACCCCTCCCCCCAAAAAAAAACCAGAAGAGGAATGTACGCCGATTATGACGCGCTCTAACAGAAGCCGCCGATGCGCACGAGGAACAGAGAATGCTGTTTTCCAGCCTACATGAGGCTGCACTGGCACTGCGATTTCTTCTCGTCGATGTCCGCCTGCAGTTGGCGCATCTCCTTCTCTGCGTCGTCGATCTCCTTCTGATTCTTTTCAATCTCGTCTTCCAGCTGCTTCTTCTCGCGACTTGGCCCGGTTTTCTCATACGCGACGTCGTACTCCTTCTGCAACTCACGCACACGATCGTCAGTGTCATCGAATGCCTTCGCAGAGGCGCGCTCGTGCTCAATTCGCTGCACCGCCGCATCCGCCCGCTTCTTCTCTTCCGAGTCGGCGATCAGCATGGCCTTTTGCTCATCTGGTGCGGCGAGATTGAACGCTTCGATCTTTTCCACAGCCCTGTCATCCGCTTCGTACTCCTTCAGACGCTGCTCGTAGATGGCCATGTTCTCCTTCTGCTTCTCCACCTTCTTTTCGGCTGCGTCGGCGCGCACCTTGGCGTCGTCTGCGTCGCGCATGAGCTTGTTCGTGGTGGTCTGATTTGACGTCTGCGCAGCCTGAAATTTTTTAATTTCCGCCCGCTTTGCGTTGAGTTCCTTGTCGATCTCCCGCCGCACCCGGTTGGACCTGTCCGCCTCCAAGTTGCGACCCACCGTCGCCAGCTTTACGCTGCGCTGCGACTCGATAATGTCATTCGCCACCTTGTTGTATTTTGCCTCCTGCTTCATCAGCTCCACCTCCCGCGCGTTCAGTTCGTTCTGTACCACGACCATCGCCGCGTTCTGCTTCTTTTCCTCGACCTTCAGGTCCTTCAACTCGTCGGCGAGGCGGCGCATCTCGACGAGACTCTCGTCCTGGCTCTGCTTCGGCCGGCCCTTCAGTTGCTTCACCTTCATACTAAACTGCAGCGTGTTGATGTCCTCGCGGCCGTACTCGTAGTAGGGGCTGACGCAGGAGATGAAGTTCAGGTGAAATCCCTGCTGTAGTAGACTGGGGTAGAGACGCGTAAAGGCCGACTCGCGCACCGGCACCTTGGCGAGCGGGTTCTCGCCGCTGTCGTGCTCGACGGCGACGTCGATGCAGCGTTGAAACGCAGACGGCATGTTACGCAGCAGCACAAAGAGCACCTGCACCCGACGCGACTTGCTCACCGACTGATTGAAGTTCTCCGGGTCTTCGAACTCGAAGGTTTCAGTGAAGCGAAGCGACACCGTGTGGGTGCAGTTGCGCTTCTCCACGATGTGGAAGAGCTGCCTGATCGTCTTCTGCAGCTGCGTCGCGTCCTCGATGTCGACGCTGTTCGCCCCGATAAGGCGGGGCCCGGCAGGCGTCATCTGCAGCTTCAGCGTGTCTTGTGAGTCCGCATTTGCGCGACGCGTCACCGCGAGCAGATCGACGTAGGCCTCGCCCATAATATCGATCGCCTCCAGCTCCACACTCAGTGTGCTGTTCGCCTGCGCGTTGCGCTTCAAGGCGGCAAAGATGTCGTCGGCGAACCGCGGAAGAATGCCGCACTCCGCACCCTCCGGCTCCTTGCCGTAAAGGGTGTAGAAGCGCCCGCTGCTGCTGGCACCGGCCACGCAAAACGCGGTGTTGTAGCCCTCCACGATCGCCGGAATCATCGGGGCCACCACCTTGTTGTACACGTCCTGCTGCGTGGCGACCTGCTTGTGCGCGGCGGTCGGGAAGGTACCATCGGGCTCCCGGAAGGACCACAGCACGTTGCCAACCGGGAAGATGCCGTTGCGGCGCAGTTCGAAGTTGTTCTGCGCATCCAGTACATTGATCGTTTCGTCGCCGTCCCATTCAAGGATGGTGCGCGGGACGGCGCTGCCTTCCGGGCACACCTTCGCCTCCGACGGCGTGTAGGGACGAACCCGCACAAAGCTTCGGCATGTGCCAGAGCTCAAATCGATCGCCATTTGAAGAAGAAAAAAGGCTGAGGGTGTATTTTTTGGAGGGGGTGTTTCGGATCTGAAGAACGGTCAGGCCGAAAGACACGTAGAACAGGTTGGGGAGTTGGCTTGTGTGTTCACTTCAATTGTGCAGCAGAAAGAAAGGTGCGGTGAAAAGATTCGGAAACGCTGACTGGAAAAAAGAGAAGGCCGAAGTAAAAAAGAAAAAGTTGAGGAGTTCTAGAGTTAAAAATTCTAAATGCCAAGACTGAATGAAGTAAAAAAACAAAACAATAATGTGATACAGAACGTCTCTTTTTACGATTGAATCTAAAGAACACAAACAGGAGGGGCGGGAAAGTTTGTAGGTGCAGTGTATGTACGGTGTAAAGCAATGACCGGAGAAAAAGAATTAAAGCAAAGGTAGCTGGGACAGCTGACAGCGGAGCAGTTGAAAAGTCACCCCAAGACAAATATGGGAAGTAATAAAGTAGAGAAGCGAATGGTGAAGCGTCTTTCGTGTTTTTAGTCCTCTTGCCACAACAGCGTAAAGGTGAAGCGGGCATGTAGATATTCTTTTTTATTGAGGGGCGGAGAGGGCAGGAGAACAGAAGGCACTTGCCAGATATTCCAGGATACATTAATTTTTTCTTTTCTTTTCTTTGTTTTCGCTTACGAGTGAGAACACACCGCTGTAACGCTGGCAAACGTTTCGCACGTTATTCAGCATGGAAGCGGCAAGGCACACGCATGCATGTTTGACTCAAAAGCGGAGAAGTTCCCCTGACGCTCGATCACCAACGAACGACAACAACAAAAAGCTTCTAACTCGCTTTCTTCTGCTTGTGCTTCCATGCAACTGTCTCCTCTTAACCGTGCTCGACACGGCTTCGCTTGTGCGCCGCCCGCTCCTCTTCCAGGGCAGCTCGCAGTGGCGTCGCCATCTCCGACAGCCCCATCGCCACGTACAGGTTCACCGCAGCCTCCAACACCTCTGCGCCTTGGTTCAGCGGGAAGAGCTTCTGTGTGTGCCAGCGCAGCTCTTCGTCCTTCTGAAAGCGCTCCAGCACCGCAGGCATACCCATCTCCTCTGCCACACCTTTAAAGAGGTACTGGATCATGAGACGCTGCGACTCATTGTTCGCGACGATGTCTAAGCAGCTCAAGCATCGACTCCAGTAGATCGAGTTGGTGCGGAGGAGGTGGCTGAAGACTTTGCAAGAGTAGTCGATCTGCTTCAGCGTCAGGTCCTCCGCGCTTTCGTAGCGGGCGTGGAAGGCCTCCACGAAGAAGGCTTGAAAGCGCGCGTTGCTCTTACACAAACGCTCCGCGGCCATGCTGTACATCTTGCGGTAGGCGCGCTCCTCGCAGCAGCCCTCGATCACCATAAAGCAAATTGTACGCTCTGTTTGTGGCTTCATGCACTTGAGGATCTTGTGCACCGCCTCATCTGCGCGGATGCTGCTACGCATCGCCAGGTAAACTTCACGGCGGAGTTGGCGCTCCTCGGCGTCGATGAGCGTCTTGGATGCGTCGAGCGCGGCACCGCTGCGATCACCATTGTTATCATTTCCTTTTCTACCGTGGCCCCCTCCAACGCCTCGGGCCTCCGCGTCTCCTTCGGCCTGTTCCTCCTCCTCCTCCCCTTCCTCTTCTTCCTCGTCGGCGTCGGCGACCTGTTGCAGCAGTTCCAGCTCCCAATCCTCCCCCAAAATTGTCTTGCGTACCACCTCGTACTGCTCTTCATGCGCGTCGTAATCCGGATCAAATGCGTAGCGATCCAGCGCGTCCTCTGTAGGGTACTTCTCCTCCAAGTCCAGGGCATGCGTCTCCTGGCTGTCAAGGTCAAAGAGCACCAAGTATTCGGGGATGACCTCCTCCGTCTCCTTCCGCCGCTCCCACTCCTGCACCTCCTTCAGGCAAGATTCAAGCACCGCCTGGGAGCGCGTCGACAGCCGAAAAGCCTCATCGTCCATCGCAAGCAGATCTCGAAACGGGGAGAGAATTTGTTCGTGGAAAGAACGGCGCTCCCGCGAGGACATCATCTTGAACGTTTCGCGGAACAGCTTCGCGGCTTGATCGATGTCCTCGTCGCTGCGCTTCTCCGCCGTGAGGTGCTTCAACAGCAGTTCGTAGATGAGATCGACTTCGATTACCTGCAGGAGGAAGAGCCACCCCAAGAAGCGGCTGGCATTCTCCACATAGCGCCAATCCTTGCGCAGGTAGGCGCGGCTCCACTGCACGACGAGACGTCGGCACAGCAGTTCGACCACGGTGGGCAGATCTTTGTTGACGCGACTGACCAGTGCCGCCAGCACAGGTGTCAAGTCGGGATCTACCTGCTGCGTCCGCATGAGGCTGCGCGCCAATAGGCCACGTCCGCGTACTAAGTTCTCGCGAAAGAGCTCGATGGCGGCCTGCACAAGGTTGTCCTTGCTCACCTTGTTTACCACACCGGTGATGCTGCGGCTCAGCGCCCGCCACGCCTCCTGCTGAAATGCAGGGGAGTTGGTAGAGCCGACGTCGGTCGACGAGGATGCCGCGGCCTCCTGACGGCGATGAGGAGGGACGTACAGGGACATTTTTGGTGGTGATCGGCCCTGGGCTTGAGCTGTCTCTTTATCGGTCTAGGTTGTGTTTAAGCGTACTTTACTTAGTATCGGTCCCTTCCTTCGAGAAAGGCATGCACGAGCTATCGCTACGAGAGTTCAGATCACAACTCTAAAAAAAGGTGGAAAAGAGAAATAGTTAGGCGAAGAGGTTTCACAAGGTGAAAACAGCAGCCATTCTCTTGTCTTTTTCATGGCATTTGTTGCCATCCAAAGTAGATACTACGAGTTAAATACAGCAAACAACCGAGAAATGCATCTTCGTACGTCGACGCCCGTACCTTTGATATCAGTCTCAGTTTACGAAATAAACGAAGCGATGATTTAGCTGCTTTCATGACATGTGTTCTTTTCATTATTCTCTGAGTTATGTAGTTTTTGTTTGGCTGTTTGTTTGGTCGGTTGCTGACAAGACGCAGTCACGGAAACTTTACAGGCAAAAGGGGGGAAAAGGCACACCCACCCAGCACTCAGAGGCGAAGCGAGAGTTGTCTCGTCTCCTCGACGTCATCGGTTCTGCTATCTTCCACCGGAACAAAGAGAAAAGGCAAAGAAAACAGGATGCAATTGTGAAGCGATGAAAGGGCAAACTAATATATAAGCACGAGAAAGAAAAGAGAAGGAAAAACGCCATCGCCACAACACCCATCAACATCAACAACCAAAAAAAAGATGCTCACCGAGTAAAAGAGCAGCAACGAAATAACAGTGAATGAAGATACGTGACAACACATCAGCACGAAGAAAACAGATGACTATTTCACGTATCTGTAAAGCAAGTTCACAGCGTGAACCGTGGCAAAAACAAAAAGCGGTTTCTGCAGGACACTTTTTCGGCGTGGCCTCCTCACTTCCGCTTCGACAGCGTAGGGTCGCTCTCCAGATACGTCTTCAAGCACGCGTAGCCGCGCTCCAGGTCGTAGGCGAAGTCACGCGAGGCAGCCTCGTCCAACATGTCGGCCGCATTCATGCCGTCCAAACGTCGCTGCCAGGCCTGTAGACGCACACAAAAGTCTTGGTTGCTAAGGCCCAGCTTCCCCAGCACCTGCAGCAGATCCCCCAGAGGCGGGTTTAACACGTCGACAGAGGTCTGCTGCAGCCGCAACGAATCCAGCAGCGTGATGAAGTGGTCGCTGCACTCCACAGCCTGACGCGCGAGAAATCGAGCGTTGTTCTCACCAGGGCTGCTCACCGGGCCGTCGCGGATCGTCGCGCGCGCGGCGAGGCAGCGGGTGCAGTACTTCTCAAAGAAGTCCTCCACAGAGGTGAAGTACGGGTTGTGTGCGCTCTGCAGCTGCGCCACGGTGCTCTTGTACTTCTCCAAGAGACGACGCACTGTCGCGGCGTACTGATCCTGCGTGATTAAATCACGTCGATTCGCCTTCTCAATCTGCTCAATGGCGATGATCACTGCAAAGAGGTCGGCGAGGTAGTCGATGTGCTGGCGGTCGCCGGGTGAGATCTCAATGGACGCCATCGCGTATCAGCAGTTCTCTTTTGTTTGCGTGTGCGTGTGTTGTCGGTGCTGGCGCAACCTGAAAACTGGAAAGAAAAAAACCACAGCAAATAGCGCTGCCCCGGCGATACCTCGGTGTTGTCAATATACAACAGAAGCTAAAAGCACTTCAAGAAGAAAGAAAGAAAAAAGCGTTGCTGGGAAATATGCGGTGCCAAAACAAACGTGGAGAAGCAAAAGATTTTGGTTGAATGAGACTCTCTCACACACACAAGAATAACTAACAACAAAAGACTGCAGGAAGGGCGATTCAGTGATCCGTGAGCGCAGTCCACGATATATATATAGATAAAGAGGCGTCATGCAGAAGAGAAATAGAACACATAAAAAAAAGGAGAAAATGCCGACCATTCTTGAGAACTTATTGCATGCTTTTGACGAAGCTTTCCTTTTGCATTGTACGTGAGAGGTGGGTCTCTTCGCTTGTAAAATCCGTTCTTATTACTAATATTGCCCGTAGCACATCTAGCGATTGAGTGCAATCCGGCAATAGTGGTTTCCCGCTGACAACAGAAGTGCTGCATGAAAACCTCCAACGTCACTTTCTGGTTCGCAGAACCCTATTGTTTCTTTCCTCGATAGCACACCGTAGTACGTGTTAGAATAGAGCAACCAGTCAAGAAGTGTCGAGAATACGTTTTTGTATGTAGACAAACGCACCAGCAGCAACAGGTCCACGCACAGCGCACTTCACGCACATGTAAAATGTGAGAAAGAGCGTGAAAGCTGTTGGCATGACGGAGAAACTTATCGCGCACAATCTCAAATGAGAAGTCAATAAAAGACGCACAAATTGGTACGGTGTCGACGGACATCCTGAAAGTCCAATTACTTCAGTGAAATAGATCACGCAGACAACAGCACTCTCCGTGTACGGAGAGACGAGGATACCATATTCCCTCTTCTCTTCTTCGAAACCGATAGAGTGAAAGAGATCTTCAACGTTAAAAATAGAAAAAGCAGCTGAGTACGATCCACCTCAAGCGTGCAGCTCCAGCATTCAAGAATTGTCAGAAGAAAAAAGGGATTGGCCGAAAAAGACGCTCGCTGCGTGCGAAACACGAAAAGAGAAGAAAACGAAAACTGTGGTGGTGGTGGAAAACCTGATAATAATAATAATATGAAACCATGTGTTTGTGTGTGACTTTTGTTCTAAGCTCGAGGGTGGAAACTATTCTCCTACCCCTTATTTCTTTCAAGGCGTTGTGTGCGTAGAACAAGCTAAGCGTTCTTATCCTTCACCTTCCACGCACGGAACATGCTGCCGCTGTGCGTCACAACATACCACACGCTGGACAGCCAGCTGCCACAGCTGTTCGGGGCAGCAAAGACGAGCGCGCGGCGCAGTAGCTTATACGTGTCCGCGCTGAACGGGTACCACCACAGGTTGCGCGGCATCCAGGCCGACGGCACTGCGTCGGTGTTGATGCACTTCACGTTGCACATCTCCTTGAGGCCGAGATAGCCGTGGGTGCGGCCGAGGCCACTCTCCTTCCACCCACCCCATGGTGCCTCGGCCATGCCGTGGGAATAGAGGTGGTCGTTGATGCTCACCACGCCGCTCTGTAGTTGCATCGCTACCGCCTTAGCGTGCTTCGCATCGCGGGAGAAGACGCTGCTCGTGAGGGCGAGGTTGCAGTCGTTCGCAAGTTGGATGGCCTCGGCCTCCGTCTTGAAGGGCACCACCGGTAGAATCGGTCCGAAGGTTTCCTCGCGCATCACACGCATCGACGGCGTGCAGCCGGAAAGGACTGTGGCCGGGTAGAAGAGACCGTCCGTCGGGCAGCCGGGGACGGGGCGGCTCTGCGCCTCAATCTTTGCTCCCTGCGCCACCGCCTCCTTCACCTGTGCGTCGATCGTGTCGTACTGCCCTTTCGTTGTCACACAGCCCATGTCCACGTCGAAGTTCGGACTGTCCGGGCCGTGACGCAGCGCCGCCGTCTTCGCCTTCAGCTGCTCGAGAAACTCAGGGTAGATGGACTCGTCGACGTAGATGCGCTCGACACCGCCGCAGCTCTGCCCCGCGTTTTGGTAGCCGGCCCAGCAGGCGCAGTTCACCGCCCGCTCAATCGCGGCGTCCTTCAGCACCACCATCGGGTCGTTGCCGCCAAGCTCCAGCGACAGCGGCGTCAACGTCTTTGCAGCCTCAGCCATTAACTTCTTGCCCACGCCGACGCTGCCGGTGAAGAAAAGCTTGTTGATGCCAGCCGCCAGGAAGGCCGGACCCGCCTCTGCACCGCCGACAATAAGGTGCTGAAAAAGCCCCGGCGGGAGTTCGCCCGCTTTCACGACGTCGTCGATGAAGCAGCCAACGGGGGTGGAGTTCGTCGCCACCTTCAGCAACACCGCGTTGCCCGCCATCAGCCCCATAAGCACCTCGCCGAAGGGGATGGAAAAGGGGTAATTCCACGGCGAGATGATACCCACGACACCGACCGGTTCGTAGATCAGTTCGTTGCTCTTGTTGGCGAAAAATGTGGAGCCGGTGGGCAGCTTTTGCGAGGCGAGGACCTTCTTCGTATTCTTCGCATACCAGTCGCAGGCCAGCACACCGGATATCACCTCCGTCACAAGGGAGTCCTGGCGCACCTTGCCGCTGCACGCCGTGATTACCTCACACGCGCGGTCCGCGTTGGCGGCGAGAAAGGCCTTCATTTTCAGCACGTGCTTCGCGCGTTCGTTGTAGCTCAGCGTCGCCCACGCCGTCTGCGCGTGTCGTGCTCCAGCCACGGCCTTCGCGACCTCCTCCGCGTGCTGCTGGACGTACTCGCCCACGACGGCACCGGTGGCCGGGTTCTTCACGGTGAACTTGGCAGCCATTGATATACCTTGGGCTTTGTTTTGTCGTTGTCGTTCGTACCCTCGTCGATACACTCTGCGTGGTTTTTTAATGACCAGTGGCGTGTCGAAAAGTGTGAGCTCGTAGCAGCGCTCACACGGGAGAGAAGTATTTTTTAAAAAAGAAGAAGAGGCAACACGTCTGTGCGAGTGTAACGTCGAGTACAGTGTGTGTATTGTGTTTGTATAATCAAAAACAATAATGAATAACACGTAGTGGCACTTCACCAGCGGCTGGTTGAATGAAAAATGAGAAAGCATGAAAAGCGAGAGCAGCGTTGAAACGTGAGCAGGAGAGCGAGAAATTGAATTCGCCTTCTTCCGTTTCAAATAACACAAATCCAGAAAAGTTATCATAAAGCAACGAAGGCAGAGGCGTGAAATCACCGGCATAGAAAAGCGCCATTTCATGCGGAGCGCCACCAAATCAAGGCTACATTATTGCAAATTTTTCGTTCCAGCAGTATTCTTTGAGTGTGTGTATGTGTGTGTAGGGAAAACAGTTGTGAGCAACGGGCGTCGGTCTGTCACCGGAAGCGGTGGACTGTCGGATAGGGCTGGCATCAAACGTCCAAGGAGAGCAACATCAAAACAAACAATTCATTTCGTCGGCGGACACATTGTGGCACGCGTTATCTGAAAGAACTATGGAACTCATGTGGAGCCCAGCCTGTACACGGCGCGGAAACGAGGAAGTCGCGCACTTGATGCCCCCTCTTCATCCCCGTCCTCGTCGTCGGCGTGCGAGTCCATTTCGTCCATTTGGGCGGTGTACGCCTCCACCAGGGCGTCGTACCGATCCTCCGCGTCCTCGCGTTGACACCGGCCGTACTGCAGCGTGACAAACTGGTCCACAGGCAGCGCCGCCTTGCGCACCATCTCACGCTGGCGCTTGCGCACGGCGAGACGAACCACCTTGTCCGTCTCCGCGCCTTGGGCCGGTGTGTGGGTATTTCCCGTGGCTGCTACGATATCCGTACGTGAAGCTTCCGTGCGACTCCAGAGGTAAAGATCACGCAACGTGTTCGGTCCTTTTCGTCGCCAAGCCGCAGCGGCAGCCGCGCTGTCCACCACGGCGACAGACGCTTGCTGGCTCTCAGCTGTTCGTGGCGTGTGCACACCATCGCCCTCATGGTCAAACCATACGCGTTTCCCCTGCAGCGGGTCACCGCCACGGCCCTCGTCGTCGTCGTCGCTCTCCCCCGCCGCAGCTTCCTGTGCCTCACGTTCGGCAATTTCGCGCTGAAACTCCTGGCCGGCCATCCGGTCCTCTTCGTCCTCGACGTTTGCCATCTCTTCCAGCATGCTAAAGCCAGTCGTCGGCGTGGCCCCCGCCGTGGAAGTAGCGTCGGCGTCCGCGACAGTCGCGTCCTCGTCCAAATCGTGAAAGAAACTCCGCAGGTTCACCGGGTCAGAGAGCGCGGCAAACGCAGCGGCGCTGTCGTCGAACTGTTCATTGACGCCCGCAATCGTGTGGAACTGCCCACCTCGTATGACGACGTTGTTCAGCTTCTTCCGCTCACGCGCCTTCCGCAGGATGCTCTCCTCCACCGTGTGCTCGCTGATAAGGCGGTAAATGGTGACCGGCCGCGTCTGCCCAATGCGGTGGCACCGATCCTGCGCCTGCAGGTCCATCGTCGGGTTCCAGTCGCTGTCGTAGAAGATGACGGTATCAGCCCCGGTCAGGTTGAGTCCGACGCCGCCGGAGCGGGTGGAAAGGATCATGCACGTGACGCGGGCGTCCGCGTTAAAGCGGTCCACCAGCTGCTGCCGCACCTCTGCCTTGGTGGAGCCGTCCAACCGCAGATAGGCCACGCCGATCAGCGCCAAGAAGCGCTCGAGGATGTTCAGCATGTGCACAAACTGCGTGAAAATCAACGCACGATGCGCTTCCTGCCGCATCTCCTTCAACGCGGCCTCGAGAAACTGCAACTTGCCACAGTCGTGAATCAGCAGACGCTTGTCGGGAAAGCTGAAGCTGCGTCGCACTTGGATCGCCCACAGCTCACGTAAGAAGAAGGCGGCGTCGTACGTCTGGCGCGGCGGGCGGCGGCCACTGAGGTGGGCATCTTGGCGCTTCGCGACAGCACCAATGAGCGTCGCACACGCCGTCCGGTCCAGCGATTCGTAGGGCGCTGTGTTGGTCACTGGCAGCAGCCACCGCAGCCGCGGCGCGTGTGGGGCCAGCACAGCGGGCACGTACACGCACATCTTCTCCACCACGGGGAAAAGAGCCGCCGCCCTGTCAGCGATGTTGGGGCAGAGCGCTGGGAAGTTACGCGCGAGGCGTGTCTGACACAGATCGAGCTCACAGGGCTGCGGTGTGTGTATGTTCCGCGCGCACTGCATGGCGTGGTAGCGCAGCCTCTGCGCTGCAGCGGTGCGGTGTGCCCGCGAGGCGGATGCCCCTGCTGACGCTTGCAAGGCAGCAAGATAAGCTGCGTGTAGCGTGGACCCATCACATTGCCGCGGGCCGGGCTGCCCGCTGCCTGCGACCTTCCCTCTATTCGCCTTCAGAGGACTCAAGAAGCGGGTATTCCCCTTCCACGACACCGGTGGACGAAAGCGCTCAGCAAAGTTCGTCAGCCCCTGTGCGTTCGTCACAGCTGGAAGGTCGACTAGTGGCTGTGCCGCCCACCACGGCATCGATGAAGACCCTGCGAGAGACGCGAAGAAGAGGCAGGACGATGCGTTGCGATGAGCACGCGCAACGCCACACGCGTTACTCCTCCTCCTCGCACCGCACCTTGCATTTTCCTCCTCCTGCGCCGTCTCGTACTGGCATGCACAATCGTCCTCGTTGACGTCGTCCACATAGAAGCACGGAAAACGCGATTCGCCGGTCGTCATCGTTGCGTTGCCGTGCAGAAGGACGGCGCGCGGCACCACCTGCTCCACCCGCGCCTCATAGCCCAACACGAAAGGTGACACGGTCGGTCGCTCCTCAAAGAGGTCGGGGTGATCGCACACTTTACGAAGCGCCAGCAGCACGCTGAGTACTCCACCAGCACCGCCGCCGCGCAGCTTCTGGCGCGTGTCGGCAAGCTGCATGTAATCGTCGTACAAAGACCGCTGGCGTCGTGAGAGCTGGCACAGCACCACCTTCTCCGTCTTTGTCGGCAGCTGCGACTCTACGTCCTTCTTTAACCGGCGCAGCATGAAGGGTCGGATGAGGGCCTGAAGACGGCGCACGATGTCTTCGTTCAGGGAGGAGCGTCCGGTAATCATGGCGTCCATTGGGTTGCTGAACCACTCCTTGAACTCCGCGTTGGAGCGGAAGGCAGAGGCAAAGGGCAGCAAGAAGTGAAAGAGAGACCACAACTCCATGATTGAGTTCTGCAGCGGTGTGCCGGTCAGCAGCAGACGGTACTCGGCCTGCAAGTCAAAGAGCGACTGCCATTTAATGCTCATGAAATTTTTAACTTGGTGTGCCTCGTCCAGCACCAAGAAGCCCCATGGACGACGGCGAAACACCTTGCGGTCTTGCACAACCAAATTGTAAGACGTGACACAAACGTGAAAGGCATCCTCGCTGGTCCAGCCTTTGCGCAGCTGATGGCGCTCCTTCGCGCCGCCGATGTACGTCAGTACCTTTAGTCCCGGCGCCCAGCGGTCCAGTTCCGCCTTCCAGTTCAGCACCACAGTGGTTGGCACCACGATGAGGTGCGGTCCCCAGTCGTTTCGATATTCGGCAAAGTAACAAAGCAGCGCGATGGTCTGCACCGTCTTGCCCAGCCCCATCTCATCGGCGAGGATGCCATTGAGGTTGTTCTCGTACAGGTGCACCATCCAGCGAAGCGAGGAGCGCTGGTAGTGCCGCAGCGGCCGCCTCCCCTGATCGGTGTCGAGGAGAGAGAGAGCGTGTTCAATAGGAACGTCGTCGTCATCGCCCACTTGGGCCCAAAAAGAGCTTCCGTTGTGGTACGCGCTGTCAGGGCTCTCAAGCGGGTCCAACGCATCTGCACTACCTCGCACCTTTTTCGCCGTGGTGTTCACGGGAGAAGTCATCGCAGCAGGAGACGCATCCGTCAACGGCGAGGCGGACGCGGCCGTTTTGTTGGACGCGTTGAAGAAGCTTTCCAGCAGCTTACGAGTCAACGCCTCCGTCTCACGAAGCAGGTCCTCCTGCTTACGACGATCATGCTGATGCTTCACCACATCAAACTCCACCCTCATCAACTGCTGATAGCCGTCGCCGCGGCGTGACCAGAACCTCCGCACCCCCGCCGCCACCCGCTCACCTGCCTGCGCGCGTGCCTCGCGCTGCTGCTGCCGCTGCCGCTCTGCCCGCTCCTGCAACTCCAGGTGGTACCGTGTGAGTTCCTTACTCACCTTTTGGCGGATGTTTTTGAACTTCTGCTGCTCTTGCATCGTTGTCTTCCGCGCGTTGAGCGAGGAGAGGACCACCTGTTGCCACAGTGGGAGAGGGACGGCCGGCGCAGAGGTGAAGGACGGCGGAGGCAGGCGCTGCGTCCGCGCGCGTTGAAGAAGCGGGACGAGCACCGCGAAGTCATCCGCCGCCTGCGCGGGGGTATTTGCCACAGTCGCCGCAGTGCATGCCTCGTAAACGGAGGTAGGGTGGAGTGAAGGAAGGGCAGCAGCGGCGGGGTGCGCAGCGACGGACACAATGGTGCTCTTCTCTTCCAGCTGCTCCATGGTCGCGTGCAAAAACGTGGTTATCGTAGCAGTGCAATTCCCTGCGCTCTTTACGTGCGCCTTCCTGCGACACCACGGACTCTTACTAGCCTCTATGCGAATTAGGAGCAACCCTATACGCTTGTTGCGATGTTTGCTGTCTTGCGCACCGTTGCGCGCACAGTCGGACAAGCGAGACCGAAATGTGTGACCTGGACGCGAATTCACACACATGCAGATGACGATGCAAAAGTAGAAAAAGAAGTGTGGCGTACGTACGAGAGATGAGAGTTAGTAGTGCATTTCCTTCTTGGTGCCATGTGCGTAACACATTTTTTTTTTTCAAAGAGGCCTTAGCGTGCTTCTCTACACACAGCCCGCAGGCGAAGCTGTTGGGGTGGCGTCGCTTTACACACAACAGTTTTCCATTCCTGTTTTTCTCCTCTTTACAGCAGAACGTAGCGCAGCACCGCGCACCCCGTCGCTGAGGGCACGAAGAACGGCAATTGTCTCTCTCTCTCTCTCACTCCCTAACGTGCCTCTTTGAATAATAAAGCACTGCGCTATTTTTCTTCTGCAATTCATGTAGTCCATTCAAACAAACAGATCTTTTTAAGTGTGTGAACAAGGGCACAGCTCGGATGTGCTACCGGGGACAGGTTGGCTAGAAAAGGCCGTCGGAGAGGGAGTTGGCGAGGCCCCTCATCTTCGGGTGTATGTGAGTTTGGTTTCTGGTGTGCTTTTGGATTTCTTTTGCTATTGTTGACCGCCACATCAAAGCCGTGTGTCCACACAACAAGAACGGCGCTTTGACAAGTCAGACAACACCCCCGCAAAGTAACTTGATCTTCAACACGGCCGCCTTATCGGCCTTCCGCTCGTTGCGTTCCACGTACTGCGCAAGCTTCAACAGATTAGTACGCAGGGTATGGCTTTCGTTTAACGCAGCGGCGGGCAGTCTGAAGAAGAGTTGCGAGTCTGAAACAGCAGCGAGAAAACGACTGGCCTGCTGCGCACGCCTGGTTTGACCGGCGTTGACTTGCGTGTCGCTATCCAAACCTCGCAGCAGACAAGACGTGTGAGCCTCTGTGCAGTGCAGCAGCTCCACAAGGTCTCCCTTGCTCGGGAAGAGGCACTGCGACGCAGTCGCTACTTTGCTGACCTGAAGTACGCGTATCATACTGTTCGTGTCCGCCGTTCGCCGAAGCTGCGTCAAGAGAGATGACGCGATCTGGTGAAGCACACGCGCTCGCGAATCCGTGAGTGCCGCGTCAGGTAATGGCGCACCGCAAAGGAGCTGCAACAGGTCGCTCGCTGCGTGCGTTGTCAGGACTTCTGAACGGCACAATGCGAAGGGAAAACTCAACGCAGGCTCATCGGCTTTACCGAACAGACGCTTCGCTCCGACGCTGGGAGCAGCAGATTTCTTAGCACTTACCTCGTAAACGACCTTCACGCCTGCCTCACGCGCTCGCCGAAACACACGAACGATGCCCTCTACGGTTTTCAGCTGAGGAGCTGACTCCGCACACTGGTTGACATACGCTTGATACTTTCCGCACAGGACACCGAGAAGGACGTGTGACGCGGGACTTATAGGCCGCCCACGCTGCAGTAGAGCGAGACATTGCAACATCATTGCAGAGTCCATGTTCGCCGTTGTTGGTGCATGCTGAAGGTGCTGAGTGTAGGATAGCTGTATCATCTGCAAGCGCTCGGCAAAGTCACCCCTTTTCGTTGCTGCGTTGGCCACCAAACTGGATAGGAGGCCGAGTCGCACCGTACGGAGGCTAAAGCTGTGCGCATTATCTTTTATCTTTTCATCGAGGGTGCTCTCCAGGAAGTCGAGCACCGCGTTCTGCAGGGCACCCAGGGCTTCTTGAAAAGAGCGCGCCTCTGTTGCTCCATCGTTACCACGCGTTGAAGCGCTCGCTCGCGGAGAGGAATACACGTCGATGAGGACCGCCAAAAGCATATCCACATCCTCCCAATGTACGGTGGGTGCCTTTGTCGCGTTAGCGTCGATGAGCCGCAAAGCTGTCTCCCGCATGAGAGGCGCCAAATCGGAAACAGAAACCAAAAGTGCGTTCGTCGTCTCGTGTGATTCATCCGCATCTTCCGGTTGCCAGTCGCGATAAGAAACGAAGCCGCTGGCCGCAACTGTGTCACTTCCGCCACCGCCGCTCTCTGTCAACACCTCCTGCGGCCTTTCCTGTTTACTGGGATCATTGCCGACATTTGAAGAAAGCGCTTCCATTAAACGCAGGCAGCTGTAGAGCGTCTCTACTTCGCAGCGCAGCCGCCGTTTGGTGCTTGGGAAGTGCACGTATTGGCGGAACAGAAACGTGCCACTGCTAGAAAGAGAAGAAACGTCATTGACTACCTCATCATTTGCGATGACAGTGAGTGACATCAGCATCCATGACAGCAGCATCGGTGCTGTGTCCGAAAGCTTCGGCACAAGACGAAGCAGAGAAGTCACCGATTCAACTGCGAGAGGAGGCGCGTGTTGGCAACGTGAAGCTTTGGCATACGCGTGAAGCAGTGACGCAACAAGGACGTTATCAGGTGACGTGTGGCCCACGAAAAGTCCCGTGCCCGCAGAAGCTGACGCGGATTCGGGGAGGTGCAACTGCTGCTGCTGCCACAGAACGATGCTGTCAAGTACACGGAGGCACAACCGTGCTGCCTCCACGCGTGCGTCGTCACCTTCAATGAAATGTGCTAAAGACGGTTGCCCACGTTCCATGACGTCCCCATCGTCCTCCGCATCGTCGCGTGCACTCACCGTTTCACCGTGCGCGCCTGCCAACAGAGAGGCGTGGGTTAAGGTGGTCGCCAGTGCGGAGAAGGTCAGCGCCGCCGCATTGGCCAACTTTGCCACGTCATACACATTCATTCGTCGTATGGAGAGCCCGTTTGACGACGAGAGCGCCGTCGCCCCTTCCGTGGTAACAGTCATCACATCGGCCAAGTTGCCCGGTGCAAAGACGCCGCTCCACAAGAGACACGCTCGATCAGGCGACACCTTGCAGACATCTTCCACAACCGCCTGCAGAAACCCCGCGTATACCCCGCCGCTCACGGCACGCGCCATTGCGCCAGTGCTAACATACGCCTCAAAATCCTTGATATGTTGAGGAGCGATTCCACTTGCTGTTATAGGCGGTGCTGATGAGGACAGCGGAAGGACGAGAAGGAGATGCAGCAGCTGCAACGCAACGCTCCCAGAGGCGTGCGTGTACACGTCGACGTGCGCCAGCAAGAAGCGAATAGAGCCAGCAAGCGTGACAACAGAGGGCCTGTGCGGCTGAGGGGCACACCACCACTGAGGCTGCGCCGCGTAACGTACCGAATACGTGTACAAGGCAACGTAGGCCGTGTGCAGCCCGACATCGTGTGCGTGCTGCAACAAAAGTGTGTGCAGGAGGCGCAATACGTGCTCCACTGCAGCCTCCGACGACGGCGAACGGCCAAGCTTGATGAGCGCGAGCGCGGCCTTTTGTGCGGTACGAGGATCAACGGAAGGTGTGGAGGAGCCGCGTGAAGGCCGCAAGGGCAACTCGCAGAAGCGCCTCACCAGCACCTTCTGCACTACCAGCAAGTGAGAAGACTGCATAGAGGAGAGGTGATTTACAACGTCGATGACAATCGGCGCTGACACCTCACCAGGCGACGACGCTAGGGAAAAACACGCCCTCTCACAAATGGTGCGCACCTCCGGACGGTGGAGGCGTAACGCGCTCAGAGCCTTGATGGTAAGAACCGCATCTTGACAGTTGTACGGTTTGGATGTGTTTGCTGCCCGTTGGAGGAGTTGAATTAAGGTCGCTGACATTCAGAGACGCAACCGCGAGGTAGGTGTGCTGCTACGTGAAGCTGGACGATTAGAAAACAGGCAGAGAGAAAAGGAAAAAGAAACCGCAGAAGCGAGGACAGACACTGAGGAGGAAGAACAAAAGAAAACAAGGACGAGAACGAGCAGCATCTATTGAACAACACATTTCCCTCTTCGCGGATGTCCGACTATCAGAAAAAGAGGTTGTCATCAGTGTGAATTCGTGATGGGTGTGGTCACGGTGCCATGCACCGTCTCCTTTTCTGTGATCTCGCTGTGAAGTGATGCGTTACTCGTGAAAGAGATTAATTTGCCGGCAAAAAAAAAAGGGATTATTTAATGTGGCTCTCGCTCTTATCCATCTAGTAGCGCTATTACGTCGCCGTGTCTGCACATGCCGGTGCTTGCGACGTCACCGGCTACCCACAACACGCACAGTGCTAGGTCACATCTCAAACCCCTGACCGGCAACTGCAACGCGAGGTAGCAAACACCCTTTTGCAGAGGAACCACTCTCGCTCTGCAACGTCGCGCCTTCTGTTTCGTCCGTCGATGCGCACAACCCAATTTCCGGCACCACGGCGGCACCGCTGACACAGCGGACGTTCACACGACGCTCACACAGCACAGCGAGCACGCCGCGTTGTAGCTCTCGTGGATCGAACTGCGTAATACGCTCCTCTGTTACCACGACCAGCGGTTGCGACGCTAACGTCCAGCACACGCCGCGGCCGGCGGTGACTCCAGTGGATGCGCTGCTCAGCACCGTCAGCTGTGCGTGCGATATCGTGTTATGGGGAAGCGATGTATCTGGGGAGAAAGTAGCCTCGATTTGTGTTAGATGGACAACGCCAGAATCGTGCACGGCGGCAAACCTCCACGTGCGGTGCGTCTTACCTGCCGCTTCAGCAGCCATCGAGTCGACTGAAACTGCGTGGATTTCACTCAACGCATTCACAGACGACTGCTCCAGTCGCAGCTGCGTAACGACCCGATGCGTCACGGTGCTCACCACATACACGACGCCGTTGGTGTCACCTGCTACAAGCAATCCAGACTTTTCTGCGTGCTCGGAATCCTGCACAACGCCGGTTTCGATGACGGTGCTGGTAACACAAAAGATTGGTTTGGACCTTTCCTCATTGAGAGGACCCTGCCACTCCAACTGCAGGGTTTCATACGAGGTAGACGTGGTGCCGTTCTCCATTGAGTCGGTTTCTGTGGGCTGAACACGGAAGAACAACATCGTCCCGTCGCTGCTGCCTACCGCAAACGTATGCGTGTCCCACGCCGCGGCACACATAAACCGCGAAATTCGCTCCGTCAGCGCCACAGACGCCGAAGGCGCTTGCGCCTGCTTCACACGCGTCTTATGAAAGTTTGCACTGCTGGTGATGCGGCGGACGCTGGTGCTGCTGCCGTTGCTCGTCCCTCTAACGCCTCTCTCCAATTCCTTCAAAGAACGCCTCTCCTTCGTTTCTAAAGGAGGTGAGGCCGTTTTCGGCGTGCTTCCGCACCACCAGTCAACCAACCGCAGCGGATTCGATGTGTTGTCGGAGGACCACAAGTTCACCATCGCGCCACCACCCACGGAAGCAAAGCGAAGACGGCCGTTTGTGCTGTCGGTCGAAGTGCGTGGCAAGACTGCAATTGCAAGTATATTCGAATGGTGCGCGCCACCAATGTTCATTGGCGCAGTAAAGCGACGCAACAACCAAGGCGTTAGCGAAGGAACTCCCTTGTGTGTAGGAGGCGCGTGTAGCGGAACAACGACGAGGCTGCTGTCCTCGTTGCCCATGAGCAGACAATGGAGAGGAGCTGGGGCGTAGGTGATGCAGTTGTAGTCCTTGCCCGGTAGACCGCCACCGTGCAACACGGACGTCCGCACACATCGCTCTGAGGTGGACTGCAGTTGCAGTTGATCTGGACAGCACACAAACTGCTCCACCGTGTGGCCATCAGAGCAGTGCGCAAGAAAGACCATGGGGGTGCCCGCTGACTGGTCCTTGATCGATTGGCCTCCTTCGCATATCCGCGCCGTCAGCAGGCGAGGAGCTCGGATGTCCGCGTATGCGTCCACCAAAACCCACGCAGTACGCCCTGGGATGCGGTACAAAACTGACACGGTGGTGCCCGACTGCACGACACAAACGCGACGCGACACAGCGAGGAAGGAGGAGATTTCAAAGGGGAGACGAAGCGGCTCTCGTGAGCGTGCTGCACGCAGAGTCGGCGTGGTGCCTTCGTCCCCACAGTGAAGTGCTTTGATCTCTGCTGTAGTGGCCGGCAAGCGAAGGAACTCCACGACGCCGCCTGTTCCAGCAATCCGCAGGACAACAGGCTCGCAGCTCAATTCCTTGTCGGCATTCGAGGTTTTGTCCGCAACAGCAGAAACAGCTCCCTCCACGCAGAAGGCAGAGATGGCGATGTGCAGGTGTGCGGGGAATACGTAGGCGTACACGGCGGCTGACTTCGTGATCGGCACACTTACAGGCAACGCTACTTTCGACGAGGTGCTGCACAGCTCTGCCGCTGAGATCAACTCTTCCACACCGACAAGGCATCCGTTTTTGTCGCCCACGAGAAGCCAAAATGAGTGTGTTGCGGTCCCCGCCACGGAAGCTGTGGAGATAAGGGAGAGGGCAGTGGTGAGGGGCCCGGGGCAGTTCTCAAAGAGAGACTGAAACCGCCACTCACCCTCCAGCTGCAACGAGTTACCATCCGGCGTTTCTTCCACACCGGCAGTGTTGCTAAAACGAACGTGCACGGCAGAAAGCGCAACGGTATGGCGAACGTGATTTGTTGCCACCAGTACGACTCGCTGCCGCGCATCTGCAGTGGAGGCCGTATTATCGTCCAACCCAACGACCTCCATGTGGGTGATCTTGCCGTGAATCTGCAACGCTGTGGTGGAAGGAGACGTGCTCGTTTTCAATTCCATTTGCGATGCGTCTGCCATCGGCCGGCGCATCCAGCGGACGGTACGGCCGGCACCTCGCGAATAAACGTACGGGATTACGTATAGCGTCCCTGTCGTGGTGCCCACCATCACGCAGGAAGCGTCCGCAACACCCTCACCATCCGATGCCATTTTGTGCTCCCGCGATGCAAGCGGCAACGGGAAGCTCTCTGCACAGGTTGGCAATCCCCACGATGCGTCAGGGTTGACAGAGGTGGGAAGAGGGATAGACCAATCCTGCTCAAGAGCGCCGTCGTGGCACTGAACGCACAGCAGGTGATTTGTGAAGGCAAGCAAACAACCAGCAGCGTCGACGTGCACGACACGCACCTGCGCAGCCTTGGAAGGTGCTGGACGATGATGGAAGGGAGAAACACGGTGCGTGATTGACGGTGGCAGCGGCATTGCAACCGTGGAAGTATCGAAAACGCGTGCGCCACACGGAGCACGAGCTTCGACTGCTGCCTCTGCAAGGTAAGAATGGGCGAACACCGTGCCATCAAAGCCACCCGAGAGCAACGTCATTTGTGCAACGGTTGGTGTGCAGAAGGCAACGCGGTACGCCCCGTGTCCGCGGTGCTGACGCGGTCGCACAAAGCAACAAGACACCTTTACGGAATTTGACTGACGAATTGCGTCTCCTTCGCCCCTTTGTTTTTCAATGCGCAGTGCCTGTACACAACCGTCTTCTCCTGCAGCGGCGACGTGTACGCCGCAGCTCCAGCGTGCAGTGGAGGAATCAAAGGATGAACTTAGTTCGCTTGCTGGCACTCGCGCTGACGACCACACGGCACAGACCGCCACATCAAAGACACGAGTCTTTGAAAAGGAAGTGCCGCTTCCTCGCCACAGGAGCACCCACCCCTCCTCCTTTTCCGGATGCGGTTGCTCATGCGGCCATGATGGCGATGAAGTACCTCTCTCTCCGGCTGCGTCATTGGCTACCGGACGTCGACATTCGTATAGCGCCACCGTGCGGTCGTCGCTGCACGTCGCAAGGTGTGTGAGCCGCGGTTCCCTGCGCTGGCGACCGGCTCCCTCCGCCATGGATGGAAAGCTCTGCGCCACGCGCACGGAAAAGATGGCGCACCCACTCGGGTGGGCCTGCACGCGCGCAGCAATGCAGAACTCATCGGCCTGTCCAGAGCGTTGGCCCTCCGGAGAGCCTTCCATCGCGTCGATCATCTCCGCTGTGTTCTGCGTCGGGTACCACTCCACCACCTCCCCGGCGTATGTGGCGGCAAACAGACGATACGATGGCAGCGACGCGTCGTCGCTTGTCTCATTTTCAATCAAAATGTCCGCTGCCAGCACCACACCAAGCGGTGGTCCCCGTACTCGACCGTGCCGAAGACGCTGCGAGACGTCTCGGTACTGTGACGGAATGCCCGTTTGCAGAGCCCTTTCCACATCGCTGAGCCGGACGTAAAAGACGTCATTCGACGCTGTCAAAGCCAATACGAGCCCTCGTGCTGCATCCACGGCGATGCACAAGATACGGCTCTCTGCCGTCTGCAGCACACAAGCACAACTTGTTGGTTGGGCCACCGAGCAATTTGACGATGCTGCCGCCGTCGTGGACGAAGAGAAAATGCCTGTTCCTGACTGATCCAGCGCAACTGAATCGATCTGCGCTAACAGGCGGTCCGCAGCGCCAATGAGTACAAGCGTCAAATGCTGGTGTAGTGCTGTGGTGATTAATTCGTGTGGGGGATGGAGTGAACAGGCAGCTAACGCCAAGGTGGTAATGACCGTGCTTGGTGGTGCGCAAATACACCTCTCTGTGGCATCAGTAGGCAAACCTGCGAAAGAAGAGGCAAGCGAAGCGGCTGCTGTTGTACGATGCCTCGGACTGCTTCTGTACACCACGTTTCCCGCAGCGAAATAGACGGCCCCGTCAGGAGCGCATCGAACTGCGGTTATGGGCACGTCAAGGAAAGGTCGTGTGCTGTCCATGGTTTCATTCAAAAAAGTTTTGACGTTGGCCGGTATCGTCAATCCTCTTTCCCTTTTCCTTTGTATGTATGTGTGGGTGTGTGAGTGCAGAGAGACACCGTACCGTCTTCGCCATCTACCAGAAACCGACGGCTCTTACCCATCGTCGCACAATGCCAAAACAAGAAGGTGTAGCGCGATCAAACGCGAGAGACGAAGAAGTACGCTTGAGGAAGTGGAAGGAGGAAAACTCCGGCGAGAAAGCACTCCACTGACTTTTGTAACGCATTTTTCACGCTCCCTGCTTTTCTTTCTTCAGCAGTTTTCCAGCTGGCCCACAGCGTCGGTGGAGAGACGCAAGGCGCCAGGAGCGGGGGGGGGGGGGGTTAAGGGTGCGAATTCGACTCAACGCTAGCGAAAGCCGACAACAAATATTGCACATGTATTAAAGCAAACACTGCACTAGCACGTGTGAGTTCTTCTTAGTCACCTCGGTGAGCACACGAGAAAAGTGATTAAAAAGATATATATATTCAGCCAAGCAGATAAAGGGAGAAGAGGCCCGTCAGTCCAGCATGCGGCAGTGCACTGTTTCCGTTTCAATGGCATGGTCTAATCGCGGGATGGAGCAAAACTTGCTGGACATGGCGCGCAACACAAAATGACACTGGGCCGCCTCGTATATGGTCAAAAACGGGATTGGGTTCTCGAACTCCGTGTAGCGACAGTAGAACCGGACCTCCGTCACCGTGGGCTGTTTGTTATACACGCACTCCTCTCCATTGCCGTAGACGGTGGCGGCGTAAGGGCCGAAGGAGTCGTGGCCGACCCAGTACTCCTGCGGCTCATCTAAGCTGTGTCGACCCACCACGCGCGTCGTCTGCGCAGCTATGATGTCGAGTCGCACCTCGCGGTCCCAGCACAGCACGATGGAGTACTGCTCCTGCACGACGTGTGTGCAAGGCAAATTCCCGTCCGTGATGGAGTGAATCGCGGACTGCACTGCCATGTTCAAAGGAACAAGTCCTGGTGCCGCGGGGTCGTGGTGCTCAAGCTCGGTTGTCTCACACGCAAAGCGGGAGCCGTTGCTGAGCTGAATGTACCGCGCCGTCATCGATGCAGCAGCCCCGTCGTCAGCGTTGCCTCTGTCTCCCTTTGGGCTTCCGTATTCACCAAAATAGATGTTGTGGTTGCGCTGCACAGTGTCGGACAAGTCCACCGACACGGCGGCGGCGTAATGCAGTTGCACAAGTATCGCCACGCCGGCGAGGGTTACAGTCCAAAACGACCAGTGCAGCCATCCTCGTTGCGTTTCCGTCATTGTAGTAAATAGCAAGATTTGAAAAAACAATAAGAGCGTCCTTGTAGATTTTCTGCCCTTTCCTAAAAGCGAGATGTATCAACAGTGGAGGGGGGAGAAGAGAAAGAAGAGAAGAGAGTTAGAAGCATCATCCTCTTCCTGAAATTCCGAAAGAACGAACTTCACAACACTTGTTCTCCTCAACAGCGTTCTCTCTATCTGTGGAGAGACAACAATGAATACAAAGAAAGCTGTGGCGGACGCACCGTGAGAGATGGCAACCGTCGAAGCGGTCGCATTTAGATCACCACGTGAGTGCGTCCTGGACCTGTCTCTTCGCTTTGTCCTCTGTGTGTGGGTGTGTGATGAGACGAAGACGCGCAAAACAAATCACGAAGACGGAGGGGTGACAATGGTACCGAACAGAAAGAGGCGTATTTCCTGCATGCTCGACGTTACAGACACGCATGGAACGGGGTAAGTGCGGAGTGTCCGGCGCCAAGGTGCACCTGGGCCTTTGCCAGCAGCGCGCTCACCTGCTCCGGGGTGAGAATAGGCACACGATACTCCTGCTGAAAAGCACTTCCACTCCATCCAGTGGGAGCCAACAGCGACATCCGCACCCTCTCGCAGCTCTTGAGTTCACCAAGCGCGTGTACCAGCTGCGCATTTTGCTCCGAGGTCCACTCGTCCGCCGGGGTAAGATACGCTTCCAGCAGCGTCAGCACAAGGAGGTGAACGCCGTCCGCTTGCTCGTAACGCACCCCCACCTTCTCACGATCGTTGCGCACGACCCCCAGTGCCTTCCTTGCGTGGTCCGACCACGAAGAGAACGCACCACCCGCAGCAGCGTCGGCGCCATCATCACCACGTGCCCCGGCAGTCTCGCCTGCACCCAAAAAGGAAAATGCAACTGCGTAATGCAGCCGCAGTGGGGCGTAGTCGGGGTGCAGCACAATCAGCTCCTCATAGGTCGCAGCTGTGCGGCGCGCCACTGCGGCGGTCGAGGAAAAGGAGGTCCCGCAGAACTGCATCCACTTCGGCGAGAGCGCGCCGAGAGGGCTTTTCCTACACGCGGCGCCGCTGGACCAGTTGAAGATGTCGTAGCTCGCCAAGGACGCGCCGCTCGCCAGCTGCACATCGACCAGTTCTGGGTTTGTCCCTGTGTGCACCAATGAGCTCCAGGATAGCAGATTCACCGAACGAAGCAGCACCACCGCGTGCGCTGCCGTGTCATCTTTCAAAAGGTAGTACTCCGGTAGCACAGCGCAGTAAAGGAAGAGGTCGCTGAGCATCCAGCCGTACATGGTCCGCACAAGAGACGTAGGTGCCATGGCAAGCTCCGCGTTCAGCTCACGCAGTAGCATGCGCTTCAGCTTTGTGTAGCTGACATCCGCGGCCCGTCGAAGTGCATCCGCCACGCTGGACAGGTAATGTTGGCTAACATCCAACTGGCGAAGTGCGTGGCCACCGTCTTCGAGCTCCTCTGCAGCGGCAACCTGTTCCAGCAGCATCAAATAAACTGCGCCGAGCTGCGCTTCGATCTTGGAGAGTTCGTCAAAGCCCGGCAGCGTTGCCAGGTCCGCGACCTGTTGGGTAGCAAGACCGAGCGCGACAACATCACGCTCCGTCACACGCAGACCGGGCTTTGTCGTCCGCACAGAATTCGCCGGCAGGGCCGAGGTAGCGGAGAATCCTTTCAGGCACACGTAGACGATCAAACAAAATAAAAAGCAACCTGTGGCGATGCAAAACCCGCGCCGCCGCGACTGCCGCGTGGAAGGTTGCTTTGCCGCCGCACGTGCTGCAGCCGAAGCCGCAGCAGCAGCTGTGATCGACGGGTGTGCAGATGTCTTCGGCTCCGAATTTCCACGCCGACGCATTGATCTTCTACCAATTTCGAAGAAGTGTGTACGAAAGAGTCAGTGGAAAAAAATGGCACAGGAAATTCAAGTGAACCGTTGAATAACGCTACGCCATCAAAGGCCTGAAAAGAGAAAGAAAAAAAAAGTGTTCTCGAAGAAGCGAGGATATGGCTTTCGGAAAGCTGGTGCCTGCAATTCCGCTGCGATGCGCTGTCATTGCGGATGCACGTATAAAGTTGATGAGGAAGAATAACAAAAGCGGCACGGTACAGATGATACGATAAAAAGATAAGTTAAAGGAGAGCGTCGGGGACAACAACAGTAGCAAAAGCGTTTTGGTAATTTTTATAGAAATGTGGGAATTGCGTGAATACACCTGCACTGCATTCGTGGTCGCTAAACGTCAGCACAGTGCCGCACCCGAATACACGAGCTTTTCCTGTGAGTCTCTTTTCACTTCACAGAAACGACAGTGACGCGTTCGTTCTGTTGTGCCGTTTTTTTTTGGGGGACATTCAGCGTACACATAGCCAGAGAATCATCTGTCTTTACTCATCGCTGCAGCGAGAAGGAACGAAAGCGCTTTCAGCATGCTGAATGACAGCTTCCTCCTCCTTTTCTTTTTCTTCTCTTGTTTTCTTTTTTTTTTTTGCATGGCAGTTTGGGAGCCGCTTACAATGATCACCAACTTGCCCAACACACCTGTGTGTAGCAACATAGCACGAAGAAAGCCCAAATAAACAAATAAATAAAAAGACGGACGTCCAGCGAGAGAGGGCGAGTACAAAAAGAATACAGTCAATAATCCACATGAACATACGTCCACACGCACACGTCGCCTTTTCTTTCTCCTGTCTTCTCGCCAATGAGGTGAGCATTCCAAATCGCTAGCAGCGGGAAAAAAAAAACAAGAAAAAAAGAAAAGAAAAGAAACGATGAAACACGTAACGAAATAACGGTAGAAATCCTGCAACTCATCCGCCACCCGCTTCCACTTCTCACATCTCCCGCAGGTGATTCACCACGCCACCGCGCACCGTGCACTCGTTCAGCGTCTCAATCGAAATGTCCCGCAGGCTCTTTGCGAGGAGGCGAGGAATCGACAATTTCGCCTCCTCCGGTGCGGGACTCACGTCGATCACCATGCGGAACTTCTCCAGCGCCTTCTTGGAGAAGCCGTCAATGCCGTCCATCACAACCACGGCGCGGTTCGTCGACGCGTCCATGCGCCGCGCGCAGGCCTCGAAGTAGTCCATCTCCGGGCGCCAGCGCAGCCCCAGATCCGCACCCTCCTTGCCCTCCAAGAAGCTGTCAAAGATGGAGCTGCCCTTCGCCGTCTCGTTGACCACCCACCGCGCGTTTTTGCTGCCGCTCACGCAGCCGACGGCGATGCCGTACTGCCGCACGAGCGAGATAAACTGCAGCACACCGTCACGCAGCGGCATGCCGTGCGAGGTGGCGTAGGAGCGGAAGAGCTCCAGCTTGCGATTGCACAAACCGTAAAGAGAGTTTGACTCGACTGTGTCGCCCGCCTCGCCAGCCGGCAGCAGCGACTGGTTGTACTTCTTAAAGATCTCGTTCAGTCCGTAGAAGGGCTTCACGTGGCAGAGATAGGCAAGGTACAGCTCCTTCGTCATCGAAAAGTCGGCAAGGCCGTGCTGGTGGAAGTACTCCTCTAGCGTCTGCGTCCACGCCTGGTAGTGCACGCTTTCGATGTCGTTCACAACACTGTCTAGCTCGAAGATGATGCAGTCAAAGTCGAAGACGCGCACCTCGTGGAAGAGGCGGACTGTCTCGGGGTGGCCCGGGCGCAGCGTGATGCGATTCGCGCTGGCGTGCACCAACATCAAGTCTGTCACCCCTTCCGGCGCTCGGACGAGGGTGTAAGTGACGAGGCGCTGCGTCACGTGCACCCGCACCAAACACCCGCGGTGGCGGGCGTGAAACTCGAGCTCCTCCATCCCCTCGTTCAGCACAGGGTTAAAGTGCAGTACCCCCTGCACCACACGCAGGCCGCAGATGCCGGCCGCCATGGAGAACCACGACCCGGCGGCCGCGGTGGAGTGCAGGCCGCCGCCGGAGTTGCCGATCAAGTTGTCAATGTCCACAAAAAGCGCGTCGTGGAAGTAGCTCATGGCCTTGTTGGACAGCCGCAGCGTGGAGGCGACGACGCTGAAGATGGCAAGCCGCATCGCAGAGTCGGGCGAGGTGACGGCCTCGTAGAAGGTGAAGTCCGCCTTCGCCTCGTCACGGGAGAACTTCTCAGGCGCAAGCATAATCGCCAGCAGTACATCAGGAATGCGGCATACCTGATGGCGGAAGATCACCGTGGGGTGGTAGAGCGTGTTCAGCGCACCCTCCGAATTGTCCTTCAGCGAGGACAGGTTCCAGTGCTTCTTGCGCATGAAGGACTGGTCCATTGGGTGGATGCGGTGGTTGCCGTCGAAGGGCAGCACCATCTTGGCTGCGGCGTGGTCCATCGCAATGATGTCGTTCTCCGTCATCTGCGCCCGCCCCATAATGTCTTTCCACATCTCCGGATTCTCCTGCCGCAGCGTGATCGCCATCTGCACCGCCCACTGCAGGTGCAGCTGTGCCATCAAGTTCGTAAAGTAGTTGTTGTCCGCCACGTCGTTGTAGGTGTCCGGACCCGACACGGAGCGCAGGTGAAACCAGCCCTTCTCCCACGAGCCCCACTGAAGCCACACCAAGGCCGTGGTGAAGATCAGCTCCGCACCACCCTGCACGAGAATGCTCGTGTCGTTCGTCGTCGTCACGTACTCGCGCAGCGCATACACAACCACTGCGTTGACAAACAAAAAAGCACCGCAGTACGGCGTCGGATTCTTCTCTCCGGTGACGGTGCGGAACGGAAAGAGTGCGCCGCGGGGCAACGACAGGTCCGCTGCGATGTCGCGTGCCTCGTTCATGGTGCGAATGCGGAACTCCAACAACGCACGCGCCTTTACTGGGCACGCGTGGGCGAGAAACGGAACGATGAGGGCATCCACGTCCCATTGTTGCACACCGAGCAGCATGTCGCCCGTCAACCCGCGCGTCGGGAAGCAGTAGTACGGTGACCCACTCGCAGACATGTACGTTTGCAGAATATTGAAGCGGAAGGCACCCTGCACCGCCGCATTCGGCTCTACCCGCACGTCGGCAGTCTCCCAGAAGTTGTTCATGACGTAGTGGTGCTCCGCCAGCAAGCCGTCGTAGCCGAGCGCGGCGGCCTCGCGGGTTTGGTGCGTTGCAACGTCCATCAGCTCCTCCGTCGTCGCATCCTCGTCGCCGAAGTGGCCAATCACCTTCACAATCTCGACCGTCACACCGTCGGAGATACAGCTTGTGTACGACGTCTCCGTACCCCACTCCGTTTCTCGGTTGCTCGGGGTCAGCGTGGTGGAAGAGACAACCGAGGCGCTGGAGGGGGAGCCGGCCACCGAATGGCCACCCAAGGCGGGGGACGACGTAAAACTCGGCTCATTCCCCGGCGTGGGCGAGGGGTTGTCGATGGAGGGGAAGGTTTGAACTCTTGGCCGGTACTGGCACGACGAGCACGTCTCCACTGACGCGACCACCAAGTGGCGGCAGCTGTTGCGCGTGCGCACGAAGACGACGCTCAGCGCATCTTGGATGTTGGACTGGGTGAACATCGTCTCCACGTCGTACTCAGCCGCGGAGAGGAAGGTGCGGGAGATGAGCCGCACATCAGTGTTCACGGCGTTCTTCACGCTCATTTTATAGTGCATGACGGAGATGTTCTTCCGCGCGACGGAGACGAAGCGGCGGGTTTCGATGGTGACCTCGCGATGCTGTTGATTCGAGTACCACACAAACTTGCGATGCACCTCGCCGGTCCGCAGGTCAAGACGCCGGGTGTGACTTCGGGTGGGGCCGCGGGCGGCGCTGATGTGCTCGCCGCTGAGGAACGCGTCCACGCAGAACGCATCCGGCGCACGCAGGCGGTAGCCCTCTTTTGTAGAGATGCCCACCGAGAAGGAGCGGGGGTGCATGAGGGGGTGCTGCTCGTAGAAGCCGGAGAAGTACACACCACGTTGTGCGGTGGTGCAGGCGCCGCCGCTGCCGCCGCTTCCCGCAACGCTCACAGCGCGCGAGCCTGAGCGCGTGCCGTTGCCATTAACCGGACCCGACTTCCCTCTGATTTCGCTTGAGCTGCCCTCCCTTCTGTGCGCGTTGGAGGTCCGGTAGCGGCTGCTGTACCGCTCGTTGCGCTCGTGCCGGTTCTGCCCCGCCTCCGTCTCCTCCGCGTAGCCCCGCACGCCAACCAGCCCATTGCCCACCGAGAAGAGCGTCTCGCTCACGAGGGCCTGCCCATCCACCGGGAGCGTCTCCTCCCGCAACTCCCAACGATCTACTTTGACGGGGACATCGGAGCCACGCCCAAACGACCCGCCGCGCGAGGTGTTCTCAGAGGACTTCGTGGCCATTTTTCTCTTGATTATTTTAAACTAATTTGTTTCCCTCCGCAAGGGTAGATGGACGGAAACGATGCTCAGCGGATCACACACCTGTCACTTTCGTTCGTGCGGCTTTAGGTTTCCGCTTTTCTTCGTTTTTACGTGATCTCGATCGCCTGTAAAAACGTTCGGATTATATTCCGCAGCTGCCAACTCTGCTGATTGCGGGTCACGCTCAATGTTCTACAATGCGAGCAGAAACGGAGAGGAGATTTAAAAAAGGATTGAAGGGGTTGTTGTTTCTTTGTTTTTTAAGCGAAGACTTTTGAAGAACCGTAGGAGAACAACCACAAACAATAAAAGTGGGAAAAACGAAGAAGCAAGAAGAAAAGAGAACGCAAAACGCCTCGCTTGATTCACCCAACACCAGCAAAACCTAAAGTTCGGGTGCTTGGGAGTTGGTGTGACACCGAAAAGAAAACCAGCGAATTAAAAGAGGGGGGGGAGTTATTAACGCTAGCATGCAAGATAAAACACAGTCGTACTCGCAGTTTTCTCTCCCTCTCTCTCTCTCTCGCGTGATGTGAGTTGTTCTTGATGTTACAAATTACGAAAAGAAAAAAAAGAAAAGCTGTAATTATTGTCTCAAAGGTGGACCTTCTACGTGCAAGCAACAGGCAATCAGATTATTGAGCACGTCCTTTTATAAGCGAAGAACGTGATCGTGTAAGTGAAAAGCAGTTTTTGTTTCGGCAATAGGAAAATGAATTATTGTTGGCCGCTTAGGGTACTTGAGTATTATTGTTTTTCCTCCTTGAGAGATATAAAGGTGTTGTAGAGGTAGCAGCCCGCCTAATCGTGCTCTTCTTTGAGAATGAATACGGAAAGAGAATCGAAAGTGTAGTAGAGGGAGGGGGAAAAGCAAAGTTAGCAAAGAAGAGCTAGAAAAGAGGGGGTAGGCAAGTAGCACTTTATGCGTGAAAACCGCTCTTACCGAAAAAAAAGGGCTTCGATTAATTCTCAATCGGCAGGAAAACGAGTTTCTTTCGTTTCGCCGATTTTTTCTTCGTGTCCATCTAAACCATGTATATAAACCGCGAAGCCGTGTCGGATATGCGTCGAGTAATTCTGGAGAAAATGATCGGACTAACCAACACAGTGAGGGTATTGCTGGTGATCACTGTCGAAAGAACGAAGTGCCGCTTTATTTGTTTTGGGTTGTCCTTGATGTTTTTTTTTTTTGCTGTTGTTCTAGTTTGAGCAGCAGGATATGCTAAAAGAGTATCGCATCTGTCAACAGTAATTGATGTTTTTTTAACGGAGTAGAAAGAAAAAAGACGCAAATCACTTCCCGTCACATTCGCGCAAAGGCGTTACTTGATGCGAGAGAGTGAACGGCCACGTTCCGAGCTCCGCGGAGACCAGTACGCGGTAGACACATTCGGCGCTGCTGCGGTGGCAGCGTACGAGCCGTTCATGGCAGCGTAAATGGTAGATCGCATGGCAGAGAACCGCTTCACGATAGCATCTTGATCTGCCTGATACTTCAGACCGAGTTCGCGGGCTTGCGCGTCCAAGTGACGGTCAAGCTCCCGCAAACTCGCTTCCAGCTTGTCATCTTCCAACACCTTGTGTTGCACCCGCTGCCGAAGCTCCTCCACAATGTGCTCCGCCGCAGCTTGCTCCTGTGAAAACTGGCGATACTGTGAAGTGACGTCTTGCAAGTCTGCCGTGATTCGCTGCATCTCCTTGTCATGTTTCGTTAGCAGCGCCTGCACTCCGTCCAGCACAGCCTCCTGCTCCAGCTCCTGCCACTCCTCGTGTAGTTCCGCAAAGTCGTCATCCGCGGAAAAGGGACGGCTCGTGAAGGAGGTGTCGTTGACGGAGGCAGCAAGTGCGGTGGGGTGTTCAAAAGCAGGCAAATCCACACGCCCTCCATGGCTGTGTACAATCTCCACCAGAGCGTCCATGAACATGGGCAGACGACGCATCTGTCGGCGATGGCGCTCACTACGCGCATGCATCGTACGAAGGCCCTCAGTGAGCTGCCGCAGCCACTCCACAAAGGGGGCGGGTCGCAGCGTGGTAAAGGAAAGCTTTGCAAAGGCAGAGGGACGGCCTAACAAGTCGGCCTCAACTGCTTGTAGGAAGTTCACCGTGGAGGTGCATTTGGCCTCCACGACGCTGCGCATCAGCTTCGCTGTGGCGTGAACTGTGTCGGTCAGAGAGAGGTGCGCTTCTAGTTCCCGAGTCACCGCCACGCCAGAAATCGTGGCCCTCGTCGTGACAGGGAAACCCATGTGGGTTGGGGGAGGAGGCAATACACCGAAGTGGCTTTCCACAAAGGTGACGACACCCTTCATATCATCCCGGAGGTCTCGCACACACCGCGAAGCTTCGCGGATTGTCTGCACGGCGGTGTCAATGACCGCTGCACTCACCCGACTACCGCCGCTCGCATGGGGCGAAGGAGAGGCGGCGCTCAAAGGAGCAGCGTCGACGTGCTGAAAAGGCGGCAGCTCATTCCCATTCTGTACCATGTCATCCACCAGCTGCGGTAACAGCTCTTCGTAGAGGACCGTCAAGAGCGTCTTCACGCCTGTTTCGGCAGTCTCGCTGCCCCGTTGAATCTCGTCGTTTCTCTTTTTCAGATCCAAGAGCCGGGTATTCATTTGGCTGCTTTCTTGTAGGCGAAGCACCAGCTGCTCAACGAGGTGAATCACACCGTCATAGTGGCGTTCCGCGGTGCCGTCCTGCGCAGCAGGAGGAAGGTTTCCGCCGGCCAGCACAGTCGTCGCTCGTGCACGCGCCGCGGCAAACGCGTTGTACGCTAGCTGCTGCAGCTCTGTAAGGCGCTCCAGCAACTCCTTTTCCTTTTCCTCTGCTGCGGCCGCCTGCGCTTCGTGCAGTGTCTCTTTTGACTGCGATTTGTGTAGTGCGGTACTTAGTTCACGCTGCATCTGCTCCTGTTCTTTCACACGGTCCTCCAGGGCGTGTGTCTGACGAGCGCAGCCCTCCATGTGCCCTTCCACAGCCGCAACGGCGTCTTCGAGAGATGCAGAGGAGGCTCCGTTCGTGGACGTCAGTGTCTCGTTAAGCCGGGCCAGTAGCTGAGCCTCTTGGGTCTTCTTTCTCCGCAATTCTTTGTTCAGTTGTGTGACGTGCGACTGCAGGGTGCTGTGCTCCGCGGCGGCATTCGCTTCCGAGGCAACGCGGCGGTCAACGTCGTGGACAAGCCACTCCACCGCCTCCGCTACTGCTGTCCATGCGGCACGGCTCACAGGTACGGGAGAGGCGGTCGTGCTGTCCCCCATTGCCGGTAGTGACAGCGACACTCCTGCGAGCGGCGGCACCGTTGAGGCAGATAAAGCAGCCATAAGACGTTGATGCGCCTCTGCGGCAGAGCGGAGTTTCTCTAGCGTCGCAACCTTCTCGTCCGCTTCCGCGCGCTCGTGCGTCTCCACACGTCGTTGAAGTTCACTCCATTGTGCCTCGGCAGTGGCGCTGCGCTGCCGCATTTCCTCTGCCGCCTGCGCCGCTGCCGCCTCCTTCCCCTCGAAACGACGAAGTTCATCTTGCTGCGCCGTGGCCTGGCGAGCCAAGTGTGCCACGGCGCTCGTGATCTGCGGCAAAGCAGCACGGACCACGTCCACCGACGCTGCGGGTTCGCCTTCTCCGGTAAGGCTCTGCAACGGTAGTTTCAGAAGGCGGCACATCTCCTTTGCAAAGGAAGCGAAACCCTCAGTGCGCTCTCCCCATTCACCGAGCTGATCTCGTGCGGCGGAGAGCTCGCCTCGCTGCTGCGCGGTGGTTTTATTGTGAACCGCCTTTAGTTGCTCCAGCTCTGCACCTCGCTGCGTTGACTGCGTCGCAAGCGTGTTGTATGCCTCGAGGAGTTGCAGCAGCACATCGGCCTCCTGCTCCACCACTTCTAAAGCGCTTCTTGGCGCAGCGACGGTCAAGCAGTTCGTCCCGCGCGTTCCCATGTCTGCAAGCTGGCGACACTTTTCCTGCCCTGGTGCAAGCCGCAGCGCGGCCCCCTCGAGCGTATCATACGCATTCTGCTGCTGCCTTAACTGCTCGGTTTTCTGTGACAACAGCAATTCCAGGTTGTCCGCACGCGTAGAAGTTTGCTGATGCAGCTCTTTAAGGTCAGCTAATGGAACCGCATAGCAAACCTTGACGCGGCTCGTGAGCTCTACCAGGCACACCTCCATGCGTTCCACAGTTTCCTGCAGAACGAGTGCGTTCGTTGCAGTGCTACGAAGCGTCGAATTCAACTTGGGTACGACGCTGTCGCGCAAACTCGCCAACTCTGTCGTCACCCTCTCCGCCACACCGACTAGCGAAGAGGCAGCGCCAAGATCTGCCCCCTCTTCACTACTGCATCCTCGCTTTAGCACTCGCCACAGTGCACCTTCTAATGCCGACAGCCGAGAGCATTCCTTTGCGTAGGCTTTGCACTTGCGTACTAATCCGGCGCCTGCGGCTGCCTCTACTCCTTCGATGTGTTCCTCCAGCTGCTGCTGCTCTTGCGTGGAATGGACAAGAAGAAATGATGCGGAATCTGGCAGAGCATCTGTGGCGTCGTGCAAGATGGAAGTCAGCACGGCGACAGCGTTGTCGGCGTTCCGTCGGTGCTGGCTGGACGCATGAGACGCACGGCGCAGCGTCTCCATCTCTCGCACCACAGACGCAACCAGGGTTTCCAATGAGGCTTCGGTTGTCGACAGGCACGACTGCAGTAATGCGCGCAACTGCCGGAGAAGGTTTGCGCGCTCCATCATGTGTTCTACCGCGTGCTTTGCCACCAACTCTAGCGCTCGGCGTGCGGCCTGCTGTGTGTCCTGCGGGGTGGTGAGTGAAGGCGATGCGCACTCCTCGCCGTCGCCGTCGTCAGCGCTGCGGTTGTCGTCGTGGTAGGTGACAAAGCTGCCGGCCGCAGAGAGTGCGCTGTGTAAGAAACCACACGTGCGTACGACGGTAGTGCTCCACAGCTGCTCGCTACGCAGCGCTCCCTCTTCCGCCTCCTGCAAGTTCTGTTGATGATCCAGCAGTCGCGCCACAGCATCTACCAGTTTTTCCGGGCAGGCACACCACGAGAGGGATGTAGTTCCCTTCCTTCGCGTCGTTGACAGAGAGCGCGCTGCTTGCAGATCCGCAGAATCCGTCAAGCGAGCTGGCGAGCTGAGGTCGCTAACAGGTGGAAAGAAAAGACCGTGTACCTGACTGACCATTCGCAAGAGAGCTGCTCGAGTGGCGTCGCCGTCCGCCAGAGCATCCGAAAGGGATGCCCCCAACATGCGCTCCGCATCCGCGACGTTCCTCTGCAGCCGCTGTATCTCCCTCGCCACTTCACGCAGCGGCAACCCCGGCAACTGTTGTGCTGCAGCGCCCACCAGAGTCCATAGGGTGCTCATCTCCACAGGAACGAAACCCATCGTGGTCGCCCACTCCTGGACCAGCTCACGACGGTGGCGGGCCTCCTTGGCCTCCAGCGAACGTTTCTTGTACTCGGAACGATAGGTTGACACCATCTCGCCCACTTCAGCAAGAGAGCGAACGTTACCAACAGCTGTCAAGCATGCAAGGATATCATCCTCTTGGTCTTGCCTTGCCCGTTCCAGCTGCGACATACGAGTCTGCTCGTTGCTGCTGCGCTGGTTGTTGAGGCTCAGCTGTGTCGTCAGCCTCGCCACCTCGAGTTCCGCCGCGTTTATCTTTGCCTCCAGCGCTAGACGCTCCACCTCCGCTTCGGCGAGCGTCGCGCGATGCGCCGCTGCGGCAGCATTCTTCTCCTGAGCCGCAGCTTCGACTTGATCGGCGGCGTTCGCTTCCATCTTCGCGGTGAGGGTCTGCAAAGCCTCCAGCTTCAACGTCAGTTTGTGGATGCTCTCGTTTTGCGACGCGATGGTGGCGGACAAGTCGGTGCCCTGCTGTTTCAGCGTTTCATTGGCGGCCGCTGCACGACGCAGGTCACTGCAGCGTCGCTGACACGCATCACGCACTTCTGACAAGCGGGCTCTCAAGATCTCCACTGCGTTTCTGTCGCTGTCCTGCAGAGACAAACATCGCTGCACCAAAGGAACAAGCTCCTCCGTGAGCGTCGACTGCCCCACCGTTCTTTCGGTTGCAGCCTCGTGCACCTGCTGCGTAAACGCGCCAAACACCTGCACCAGAGCGTCCCAGCGGTTCTGTACACGCGTCACATTCTGCTGCAATGTTGCGAGTTCGTCGGCCAGGTTTCTGCCTTGCGTCTCAGTAGCCTCACAACGCTCACGCAACGCCAACAGCGCCTTCTCTGAAGACTCGACGGCCATTTCACGCTCTTGCTGCTCGCGCTCTCGTTGCTCTTCTGTATTGCGCTGTTCCCGCTCCAGCTGCCTCACTCGAAACCGTACGCCATCTGTCACGTCCAGCAGCCGAGTTGGGCGGGAATGCACCGGCATGCCAGTTCGCTCACCACCCGCGAGTTCCTCCAAGACGTTGATCGACTGCGTAGTGCTCTGGATAAAGGCCTGGAGGGTGCTACCAACTGAGCTGGAAATTTCACTTAGCGCTGCAGCTGCCGCCTCGCCCGCTGGCAGCGCTTTCTGGACACGGCCGTCACCTGCTTTTTCATTGGCGCCACTTCCAGCTGCGGCATGGTGAGAGAGCGATGACTCTGTTTCGCTGCAGTCGCTGACGGGTCTGCGGAGTGTTGCACAGCAAGCTTCAATCGTGCGGATTAACGCATCTCGCTGATGCACGGCAACTACCAGTGCTGGCATCGATGCGGCCACGCCTCTCAACTGGGTGACCTCATTCCCCAGCTGCTGCGCCAGCTGTGGAACTTGTGAAAAGGCCGGAATGTTCCCGATGCCAACATCGGTGACTGTTGTGAGTGTCTGGTGCATAGTGCGGTCGCCGCCGCCGTCACCGGGAATCGTCGGCGCTGCCTTTGTGGAAACAGCATGGAGAGTTGAGAGCGTACTTTGAAGCAACTCCGTCAGTTCTTTTTGTTGGCCGACGCAAGTCGCTGCCGAAGCGTCGAGCCCACGACACACGGTCAGCAGATTTTCTCGTCGCTGCGTTTCCGATAACAGCGGCTCTTCGACTGACGGTGGCGTAGCGCGAGGGGTGACACTACGGAGCCGCTGCCACGTCCCACGCAATGAATTTCCACACTGGTGAACGAGCGTCGTCAAGGCCTCTACCAGCCCGTCTTTTTGCAAGCACGTGGCTCGGACGCTTTGCAGTTCCTCATACGCCAAATCGAGTGTCCGAATCAAGAAAGCCTGCTGCTCATCGCCGCTGCACCGCCTGGTAAAAGGCGACGATTCCGATACGTTGCTTGTCAAAGCAGCATGAAGCCGTTGTACTGCAATTACAGCGATGGGGTCCCTGTACCAAACCACTTCATTGACCTGACTTGCTGCGTAGGCTTCTAGTCGCGTCAACGACTTCAACCGATCCCCCAGTGCAAAGCGCACCTCTGCCACGGTGCAGTTTAACAGGGAGCACAACTGCAACGTTGCCGGGAGACTTTCGCCAGCAATCAACGAAAAAGGGGCGTTGGAAATTAGCCTCATGATCAGTGACTGGCGCTCTTCTGCCTCCGCCACGTTCATCTGCAGCAAATCGGAGACGTTGCTAGCCACCGTCAGACGAGTCCTCAGCGCCGCCTCCACATGCTGTTGAGCTGAAGCGGCGCCATTCGATTCTCGTAATGCTTCGACGAGCACCTTTTCGCGTTCGAGAGCAATACTGAGTGCGTTCCGAAGCTTCGATTCGCGTCCTACGGCTTCCGTCGTTTGCTGCACGAGGGTGTCTCCAACGCTGTCGCTTACCGATTCTTCACAGCCTAGAATCGTCAAGGCCAGTTTCATGCTCCCCAGCTGGGCGTCTGCAGCGATTGCCTTTGCTTCAAGAGCGGCTGACATAGCTTTCAACTGCTCAGCCTGACTGTCTGTTACTTCCTGCAATTTATCCTCGAACGACTTCGCATCTCGTCTGCGGCGATACAGATCCAGTACGTTGTTAAAAGGGAAATCGTTGATTCGAGCGTCAAGTTCGTCAGCGGTTACTGACGCAGCGTGTATAACAGAAAACGTCACCACCAAACTCCCCTCCACAAAGACGACGTTAGTCACACTGCTCTGCACAACGTGACAAGCGGACGCCGCATCACTCACAAAAACGCTCCGCAGTTCCAATTCTCTGCCTTTTAACAGCAGTTCCCATTCATCGCCAGGAAAAACCTTTCTATGATTCGTACTCACAGAGACATCATCCTTAGGTTTCCAGCGATCGTCGTGTGCATCCAACTCTTGCAACACGGCCCGATATTCACGCCGCATCTCTTTGGCAGCATCCAACTTCCTACGTAACTTCTCTTCTTTCGCCCGAGCAGCATTTTTCGTTGAGGTCAACAAGGCTTCCCAGGCGCGTTCCCGCTCAGCCCCCGCCTCGACAGCAGCATATAGTTCGCGATCCCGTTCTGCAGCGACGGCAGCGGCGCGCGCCACGGCGGCACCGACCGGCTCGTCGGACGCGGCCTCCACGCCGAGAGCAGCGAGCGCATCGGCAACGCCGTCGGACAGCTCGCGGCGTGCCGCGTCCGTCTCGGCAAGCCGCTCGCCCGCGGCGCGCAGTGATGCGTCGCGCTCCGCCACAAGCTTCTCCTGCGCCTCCGACGCGGCGGCGCGGGTCGCAGCGAGCTCCGCCTCCAGGGCACGCTCGCGCTCAGCAGCGGCGGCAGCGGCGCGCGCCACGGCGGCACCGACCGGCTCGTCGGACGCGGCCTCCACGCCGAGAGCAGCGAGCGCCGGCAGCGGCGCGCGCCACGGCGGCACCGACCGGCTCGTCGGACGCGGCCTCCACGCCGAGAGCAGCGAGCGCATCGGCAACGCCGTCGGACAGCTCGCGGCGTGCCGCGTCCGTCTCGGCAAGCCGCTCGCCCGCGGCGCGCAGTGATGCGTCGCGCTCCGCCACAAGCTTCTCCTGCGCCTCCGACGCGGCGGCGCGGGTCGCAGCGAGCTCCGCCTCCAGGGCACGCTCGCGCTCAGCAGCGGCGGCAGCGGCGCGCGCCACGGCGGCACCGACCGGCTCGTCGGACGCGGCCTCCACGCCGAGAGCAGCGAGCGCATCGGCAACGCCGTCGGACAGCTCGCGGCGTGCCGCGTCCGTCTCGGCAAGCCGCTCGCCCGCGGCGCGCAGTGATGCGTCGCGCTCCGCCACAAGCTTCTCCTGCGCCTCCGACGCGGCGGCGCGGGTCGCAGCGAGCTCCGCCTCCAGGGCACGCTCGCGCTCAGCAGCGGCGGCAGCGGCGCGCGCCACGGCGGCACCGACCGGCTCGTCGGACGCGGCCTCCACGCCGAGAGCAGCGAGCGCGTTGGCTATGTGTTCACTTTGCCTGTTCTCGTGGGCTTTGTTCTCTGAAAGTTGTTGCTGGCAGTCTTTCAACTGGAGCTCGTGGGCTGCACCTTTTGCGGGTTCGTTGTCTAGTTGGGTAGATCTGTCCGTTAGTTGCTGAAGGAGAGAAAAGATGTCGGTTGTGTTGTACACGGCGATTACGCGGCGGTAGGATTGAACGTCGCTGTTGATGTTGGATAAGTAGGGTTCGAGCTCATCGAGCTGTCGGTTGGTTACGGGAAGGTGCAGTTGTGGTATGGGGTTTTTAACCGTACTGTGCGCTGCGCCAAATCCGTGCTGATATTGTTTCTGAAGTTCCGCCGCGGGAGAGAGGAGCTCCACCTGAATTGCGTTGCAGAGGCGTGTAAACAGCATGTGCTCCTCTTTCATTCTCGAGAAAACATCCATCGTCGCCTCGTCGCTTGCAGGTGAGGGATGACCGAAGATGCTCGATGTTCGCTGTAAAATTTCATGATAGGCCTGTACGACCTTGGTGATCATCTCGAGAAGCGAGTCCTGGGACGCATCCGTCGCCGTGAGGGGGACGACAGTGCTGAGTGCCCACTCGTAGAACGCCTGGAAGCGCTGCGACAGGGCACCGGCATCCACGTTGGATTCGTTGGGCGCGACGGCCAACTTTGCCGCAGCTTTTTCTAAAGCATCCTGCGGTGCAGCGAGCGTCGCTGGATGAGAAGAATCCTTCAGCGTTGCTTGCGCTTCTGCGTTTTGGGTACTGCCATCACCCTGTGCTGCGAGTGCTGTTGATGCAGCATTCGCCTTTAGCCGTTCAGTTAGGGCGGCCACCGCGGTCGCATCGGGAGCGGTGGCAGGAAGTACCACGGTCCCGCGTGGGATGGAGGATTGCAGGGCGGCCAGCTTTGCCTGCAGCACCGCTAAATCCCTCGCCCACGCCTCTTTGGCTGCGAGAAAATTTGCCCTCATGTTTAATATTTCCGCGTCACTTTCTCGGCGAAGGGCGTTTAATTCGGTAATCACATCCTCGAGGCGCTGCTGCTTCACCTTTGCGGCTTGTCGCTCCTTTTCGAGTGCCATTACGGCTTCCAAATGGGCAGCTGACACCACCAGCTTGCTCGACCCTCTCGATGTCATGGCGAGTTCGCTACGTCGACCTTCTCCACTGCGTGCGGAGGACGGACTGGCCACGTGAGAGGCGGTGTCGACGACGGCCGTGCTATCTGGCAGTCCATGGCCACGCAGGGCGCTAAGAAACAAGTGGTGCAGCGACAGGTACTCACGGTATTGTGAACGAAGCATGTCGTGCGCTGCCTCACCGTAGAGCTGTGCCGCTGCCTCGAAACAGCGTGAAAGTTGCCTCGCGCGGCGGTTTTCGTCAAATAGCTGCCGCTGCGCTGTCTCAAGTTCTAGTTCCTTTCTATTAAGTGTTTTACGCAGTTCATTCATTTCTAATGAAAGGGCGGTGGGAAGCACTGATGAGGAGGCAGATCTGTCGTCTAGGCTCGCCTTCAGTTTCGCGGTGGTGTCGCGGGCACAAGACAGCTCATCTAAGATGACCGCGAACACTACATCGATGCGTTGCGGGAGTGAGGCTCGCTCTTGCTGAATCGCCTGTTCACGACTTGACTCCTTCTCCAGTGCCAACGATCCGCTGTTGACGCAGTCGGTAAACACTTGTACTGCTTTTTGACACGCGTGCTCAAGCTCGCCATTCAGCGACGGCGACGGCACTGCATTAATAGTTGGCAGCGGAGTTGACTGTCCTTTGCCGACTTGTTGGGTCACGGTTCGTGCGTTAGTTGACGATGAGGAGTGCTGAAGCCGTGCCAAATAACCACGTAGCGTGTCGGGTGACGTGGTTTGGGCAGGCACCTCCCTGCCTTCTACGTAGGCTCCAAGTTCCGCAGCAGCAGCTTGAAACTGCTCCATTTCCACTTTGATGTGACTCATCTGCGACCGCAAATCGTCGACGTTTGTGCCTCTAACGGCCGAGGCGTCGGGTGAGGCGGCGGCGGACGTGACAGTCGAGAGGGACTGCAAAGCAGGCGCGTCGAGCGCGGAAGTGGGCAAGACTTTCAGCGCCGGTCGCATGTCTCGCTCCACGGCACGCACGACAGCCTCAGCGCGGGCGTCCCAGTCCAAGCGTGTTTGCCCGTTGGAGTCCTCAAACTCCTCACCGCTCTTCACCTGCAGCGACGGATCGGACAGGTGTGCGAAGTCGTTCAGCAGCGCGACACAGCGGTTGCGCCACAGCTCCAGCGCGCGTCTGCCGTAGTGATCGCCGTCGTCGCCATCGCTGGAGAACGCCTCTTTCTTGTCTGCATCGGCAGCTGCGGGGTGCGTTCTGACCGCCGTCGCGGGAGCAGGGGTGCTCTCGTACAGGTCGGTGAACTTCTTCCAAATGTCAAAGTCTTGCTTGTCCTCGGTACACAAAACAATGTGGTCGCGTTTGTTGAGATTTGTGTTGACGCGAATGGCGGAGTCACGCACAAACTCTAGGACTAGGTAGTAGTAACAGAGGGGTTTTGGAGAATCTTTCGCTGCGCCCCAACGCGTTGTCGTTCCCCCAGCTGCGCTTTTTGACCCGAACGGTGATGGCTTCGGGTGGTGGGCAAACCACGTGGCTCGCTTCATGCTGCGAAAATGAATTTCCTTCATCGGCTTTGATTTCTCGTTGCGGGACGTGTACACAACACAGCAGTCGTCCTCAATACTAATGAAGTGCTTCGCCCCTCGGCCAGCTCCTGTTTTGGTGGGCTGTTCGCTATCCGCGCAAAACCACATCTCCCCAGTGATGCTCATGGGGGCATCGACAATGTCATCTAACACAGACATCGTTAAAGCCGTGCGAACGCTTCAGGTTTTTGGTTACGAACAACAAAAAAAGGATTTCGGCTTGTTGAGGTCACGAAGCCGCAGCGACGCAATTGGCGAGAAGTAATAATCACTTACCGAATATACAATATGTTAGGCTATGTGCAACGGGTGTGGGTGGGTCAATATGTAAGACCCAGTAACGTAAAAGAGGAAATCGAGTGAGCTTCGCGTGCTAAACGTACAGTATAAGACAGCAAGAAAGAGAGATTTAAAGAAGGTTCAAAAGCAGTTAACTTTTATCAACGGCGCAAGGAGTCCACGGAGACACACGAAGAACAACAGAGGGAAGAGAGAAAACAAAATCGTAGCACGGTAGACTTCAGCTGCGTGTTGACAGGGTGTTTGCAGTGGGGTAAGTGGTGTTTGGCCCGCAGAAGGGTATTGAGATAACTGTTTGGTACCAAACAGATGCAAAAAAAGAAAAGATGTAACGGAGAAAAAAAAGAAAAGCAAGGTCTTTATGTGTCTTTAACAAAAGGGGGACTCTGAGGAGAATATTATCTAAAATGTTTATAGGCAAAAATGATACAGGTAGTCGCGTCTCCTCTTCGGAGCGAGGTGGATCGGTGGTATTCCACGTTGAGTGCGTTGATGGAATAAAAAAGCAAGAGAGAGAGAGAGAGGGATACTCATATACAAAGGAAACCGTTTGAACAGGTTCGAAACCGTAAATGACGGTATGTCTTACGCCTTTCGCTGTAGTTTCTGTCGTCCTTAACCACTAGCGGCAAGTATCTTCTGTGTGTGTGTGTGTGTGTTGTTGGCCTCGCACAAGGATAGATTGTGCTGTATCACTGTGTTCGTGTAGAGACAAAGTGGGGCAGACCTTCTAGCCTTTTGAACGTTGCTGAGATTGAAAGGAGCAGCAATGAGCCGGTACACGAGAAAAAAGGTAAAGCCCGATACAGCATTTCCATCGCGTGTGGGAAGAAAGAGTAAGAGGAAATAGATCCAAAACAGCAATGTTAGATGACAGTCAAGAGTGCGCAACAGCAAATACTTAACAGGTGTGCAAAACAAGCCCTAACCGACCCGTGTACAATATCTTCGCATGTGGCACGTGCAGCACGTTCGCGACTTCTCAAGAAACAAAAATTCATGAAGGAAGAGCACTGTCAAGAAATCAGAAGAAGACCATTGTAGCCCGATCATTGATTATTCTTTTCTTAAAGGCGGTGACATGAAAATATTGATGGCCTCGAAACATGCTCGGTTATTCATTTCAATTTTTCTTTCTTTTCGGACTTTACCTCACTTGTCGTTCTTTGGCTAACAAAGAAATCCTTCGCGTTCGCTCGCTGACATCGAGCGCTTTAGAAAAATGGGAATGGAGGCTAGCTTTAACAAAGGTACGAAAAAGAGGCCGTAACTCTCCACCGTTACTCTGTTGCAGGCGTGGCCTCGTTCTTTACAGCTTTGGCACCACCGTTAGATACGGTTCCCTCGGCGTCGTTTTGCGCATCATCCGCCACCACGTTTGCTTCCACCGTCTCTGGCGCACCGGCCTTCACCGTTTCCTCCTCCACCGTCACCGAAGCCGGTGCGGCCGCAGCTGGTGTGGGAGAAGATCGCATCGTCACCCGTACCGTTGCCTTCGGTGGCGACGCTGCGGCTGCAACGGAAACGGCGGCACCACCAGCCGTCCCTTTCTTGCCACCTGTGCGATGTTTCCTGTGCTGTTTTGCCGGAGCGGCGGCCTCACTCGCCGAGCCGGAGTGCGAAGATTTTTTGTTGTCGCCGTCCTTCTCGCTGGCGTCCCTCGAGTCGGTGTCGCTCGACTCGTACGACCCCGAGGAGGAAGCCGTCGAGGAGGCGCTGCGGCTCGCGGCGGAGTCGTCATCGGCGCTGCTGGTGCTGCTGGCGGTGTCGCTTTCATCGCTTCCGCTTTCTTCGTCCTCCTCGGACGTTGACTCAAAGATGGCGACGGCGGCTGCCGCGGCGTCGGTGTCCTCCACGGAGCGCCGCAGCGTCGGGCTGGACGGCTCCGTGGACCACGCCGGCAGTGGTTGACAGCCCCTCACAGAGGGCCCAAGCAGCTGCGAGTACGTTCCCAACTCCGCGTGCGTCCGCTCCGCGTACGGGTCAACGGCGTCAGGGAGCGGTTTGTCGCGCAACAAAGCCGTCCGCACCGCCGTGAAGGTGTCGCTCTGCCGATCAAAGGTCGCCTCGACCAGGCGCTCATCATCGCGGATGCTGTAGTCGTCGTCGTACTTGGCCAACTCCGCCACGTAAAAGTACACCTGCTTGAAGCGCTCCGCCAGCTCGCTGTTGCCTTGGAGGTACACCCAGACCTTGCAACCCAGTGCGAGCACCTGCCGCTTCACCTCCGGCGCAAGCGAGCCGAAGCGCTTTGCGAACACGCGGAAGCAGTCCGGCGCGGCCGCGGCCATCGAGGCGTGCTTGGAGATGTTCTCGCCTGCCAACCACAGGATCGTCGCGACGGCCGACGGCTCGGTGATGCGGTTCTCCATGATATCCAGCGTCAGGCGGCAGACAAGGCGGGAGATGCGCACCGGATCGGTGCCTTGCAGGACGAGCACGCGCAGCACCGTCACGGCCTCTGCCACGACGGCGGGCGAGCTAGTGGTGCTGGAAAGCAGCGGCGTAATGAGGCGAATGGTGTGCGTCGCAAACGGCGGGTATTGCTGCACCACTAGCCCCAACCCCTGTATCGCCTCCACCACCGCGGCGTCATTCCACTGGTGGACGTAGGAGCGGAACTCGCGGAAAACGTCCTCTGCGGTCATCGGCGTGACAAGACGGGCGAGAATGCGCAGTTTCAGCCGGCGCACATCGGCCGAATCGAGCGGGAGGAGAAAGAAACTTTTATAATAGGGCCTGAAAGCGTCGTCATGAAGGAGCAGAAGCGCGTAGATAACGTTCAAAATGGCGATGTGGCCCTCGGCACAGGTATTCAGCAGCCGCATCGCCGGCTTCGCACACGCAGCGTGGAACCGCCGTGTCCCGCAGTGAGTGTACAAGGCGATGGTCGCCACCACCACCGCGCTGTTCATGCTGCGCAGAAGCGGCCGGGCGGAATTTAGAAGAAGCAGCAAATCCACATCGATGCCCCGGTCTGCGTCAGAAACACCCGTGTTAGCTCCGTTCTGCAAGCGCAGCTTCTCATCAAATGATGAAGCAGAAGACGAAGTGGCGTCTTCGTCGTCATCGTCACTGCCGCTGCTGCTGCTGCTGACCTCGTCGCCGGAACCTCGCTCTGCCTCTCCCTTCCCCGCGTACGGCCCGCTGGGATCCACGAAGTGCAGACGTGCGTAGCGCAGAAGAAGGCGCAGCAGCACCACCTGTCCCCACTCCTCACACGCCACAAGAATTCGACACAGGCGTCGGTAGACGGGGTGCAGGAGCTCCCACTTCGTCGGACACACCACCGTGAAGGCCATCGATGCTGCGCCCACCACGTCCGGGTTGCGATCGGACAAGAGAGTGCGCAGCAGATTCTGCACGCCGTCGTTGTCGAGATCATTGCGGGCGACGCTGTGCATCTGTACGAGGGCCAGCGCCGCCGTCTTGCGCACCACCGGCGCGAAGTCGTCCGCACACTTCCGCACGGCCACCATCACGACTGGTTGGATCGCCGGGATGCGAAGAGCGGCGAGCATGCGCAGGGCCAAGGCGCGCACGTGCATGCTGGGATCTACGAGGTCCTTCTGAAACGCAGAAATGGACAAGAGCGTCTCATCCGGGCAGTCCTCGGCGTAATAGACAATGAAGAGGTAAATGAGTTTGCGCAGCTCAATCGACGGCACGTGAATGTTCTTCACCACGTCGGTGAAAAAGTGCCGCATGTCGCTGCCCTTGCACATTTGGGCCACAATGCGCTTCATGGCGTCCCGCTTGTCGTGCAGCGCCTCGGAGTTCAAGCTACGCCGCAGGTCATCGACTTTTGGGGCTACCGAAAAGAACTGTGCATCACCGGCGACAAGGGAGCGGGCACGGTTGAAGATGGAAGTGGTGCTGCTCGCGTACTCCCACGCCCGCTCCGTCACGAAGGTGGCCTGCTCATACAGCGCTGCGCCGTTCATTCTAAGATGAATTCCAACAAATGAAAAAAGACAAAAAAAAAGTAACAAAACAAATGGGCCACAATGCACCCACGGAATGTATCGGGAAAAAAGGGATGGCAGACGAGCTCACAGGATGAACATAGAAAGTACTGCCCAACACTGCAACAAAGTTCGAGCTGGTGGTTTTCCTTTTCCCCTTAGCGTTTGTTCTCTTATCCGTTTTATGTTTCTATTTCATTCATGCAACCTCACAGGCACCAACCTTATTTAACACAGCGCACACAGCAACTAACGCGTCAGCGGCGACACAACTAATTTAACAGCGGAGCTAATGGTGTTGCGCAACAACTAGACAGAATGCGGAGGGAAGGAACGGCAAAGAGAACGAGGAGAGATCTAATCGTCTGAAGCAGTGAGAAAGCAAGCATGTGCAGCAACGCAAATGCCCGAAGAAGAGCATCCACATGTTACTGTAGCACTTGCACATAAAGCCCGGCAAAGAACAGTCTAGAAAAGGTATTCTTCAAGATAACATTAGATGGAACGTTGATGATGATGTTTTTGTTTCTTTTGAACGCCAAGGTTTCCAATGTACCTCTTTTTTTTGACGGCGAATGTGACTCGGATGTCGACAACACCTTTGTATTTATTTATTTTTTGAGGTCATAATTGAGTCTTTTGGTGGGAGGTAGGACCTTCTCGCAGCACGCCTTGCAACTTCGTTGACCGCTTTGTTGAGTCCCAGCTTTACAGTTCGTCCACGTCCACAACTTCAGCTTCATTCGCGGCGGTGGTCCGCTGGAGTGCCGCCGCCACTTCTGCACGCGCCGCCTTCAGTGGCCGCGCAGACTTCTGAGGAGCGTCCGTCGTATCTTGCCCGGACAGCGCGTTTTTGATTTCGTCTGCCCCGCGCTTCTGTCCAGCCGTCGATGCAGAAGGAACTGCCGGTGCATCAGCCGCCGGCACCTTCTTGGACGCTGCCGCGGCAAAAAACGTGTGCAGCCCGACAGGAGGGCGGTACATGCACTTGTGAACCTCGATTAGCTTTCCGGGTCGCTGCACAAGCTCACTGCGGCCCCCGAGGCGGCTCAGATTCAGCACCAGTCCGACGCCGATATGATCACTGAACTGCGGTGGCGTCACAAAGAGGCCCGTCGACGGCAGACCCGCGCAGCACAGCTCCCGCGCACTCTCCGCCAGCGCTGGCATACCCGACCCGTCGAAAGGGGCAGGTGGGTAGGCACCGCCTGCCATGGCACGCTGCACCCCGTCGCGGAATTGGGAGCCCTGCACCTCGCTGAAAAACTCACTTCGACTGGCGTGCGTGGACTCTGTAGAAGGAAGGACGTTGTTGGCAGTTTCTCGGCGACACTCGACGGCGGACAGCAGCGCGGCATCAATGAGGATGTAGTCCAGCCGAGTGCCAACGTTTTCCAGGCGGCGGTTGCGCGACTGATCCCAGACGGTGTACGGACATGGGCAGTAGGGCCGCAGCTGTGGCCGCTCCAGCTCCTCCATGATTGTCGTGTCCAGCGCGGTGCCGCTGCTGCTATCGTTGCTTTGATTGCTGTTATGAAGGCGAATAACATCATCGGTGAGGAGAAACGAGTCAAACATGCGTGTGTGTGAGTAGTCCGCGATGCCTGATCCATCTCCAGGTAAATGCGACGACGCGGGTGTTTCCCATGGTAGCCGATTTGCTAGGACAGACACGGACGATGTCGGCAAGGAAAGGTGCAGCAGTCTGCCCATAAAGCCGGCGGACGCGTCGGAATGCGGGGAAAGGCCGCAGTAGCGCACCACCGTGTACAGCTCGTTGTTGTGCGCGCAGGAGAAGCTCTTGGCGAACTCCGAAGCGTACGCGGTGCGAAAGCCCGCTCTGTACAAGGCGCGCAGCGACAGTGGAGGGGCCTCGTACATTTGCGTCATTCGCCCACTGCTGCCACTGAAGCCCTCCGTCTGCAACACTTCACAGAGGCGCTGGAGGGCAGCCCGGTCGATGGTGTCGTCGTCCACGATGAGCTCCGCATCGACCGCGACAACACTCGTGGTGCCTGGTGCTGATGCCGACGACGGTGGAGACAGCGGCGAGTACGGCGGCGTGGGGACGCTGGAAGTCTCCTTCGGTCCGCCGCCCACCTCGCTGTTTGCCCCTGCCACCTCCATCACCCGAGCGCACAGATAGTTAGTGATCATGTTGACCACGCGCTGCAGGGCGGCCTTTGGCAGGTGGGGCAGTGCCGCCGCCCACTCCGCCTCTGTCTTTTCCGCTGCAAAAACCTCCAGCTGCAGCAGGGTGCCGAGGTGAAGGCGCCGTAGCGTCCACGCCCCGTCAAACGCCCTGTACGTCATGTTCAAATCACCTACCAGCATGACGGGTTTCTTCGTTTCGCGACGCAGCTTCTCCATCACACTTTCCAGTGCGCGTAAAAAGCCGAACTTGTAGTCGTGCCGCGCCCCGCCGCGTGCGTTGGGCACGTACACGTTCACCAGCACAAACGCGCTGTGGTGTGTCACCACCACGCGACCCTCATCGTTGAACTCCTCCTCCTCGAAGGGCTGGTTGTCGCAGCACCACGTCAGGCCTTTGCGCGCAAACGTGACGACGCCGTTGAAGCCGCGGTGCTGCTTGCCGCTGAAAGACCAGAAAGACTCCCAGCCCTCAATGCCGTTGTTCACGCCTCCGCCGCCAAGAGTCGTCTTCAACGACGCAGGTGGTGCTGTGCGGTCGTCATCGGAACGCGCAGCGAGACGCGCGAGGGGGCGAACAGCGGGACGTCGATTCATTGGGGGATCGCTGGCACCCATGTCCACCGGCGAGGCGCTCAGCTTCGCCGACGATCCTTTGCACTCCTGCAGGCAGATGATGTCTGCTCCTGTGCAGGCGAAGAAGTCATGCAGGCTGCCGTAGCTTTCGCGGATGGCCTGCGAGGTCGACGCCCACCCCGCCACATTCCAGCTGATAAGAAACATCGGTTCTTCTTCTGTAGAGTGTAAAGACAAGATGCAAAAAGCTGGTTTGCTCAGTAGGAAGGAATCGAAAAAGAAGAGGCACGTGAAGAGAGCTTTTGTTTCAAAGAACTCTCTGCCGTGTCAAGAGGAGTGAGAACCAAACAAAAACCGTCGATAAGTGAAATCAGCCGAACAACAAGCAGACAGTACAGAAAGGTTCTTGGGTTTGTTCCTCCTCTGCTCTCTTTCAGTCCGCGGTAGAGACGAATGCTATTACCGAGCGTTGCTACTTAGATGCGCACATAAGAAGAGGGGAGACTGATTTGTGTGTGTGTGTGTGTGTGAAGTAAACGCGAAGACGTGTGCGAGGATTACATGACTTTCTGGTTGTTTGCGAGTGCGCGCGAGCAGCAGTCGTGGTGCAGCAGACGTGCGCAAGTATCGCGCTTATGATTAACTAATACGCGTATCTGCGTACGATCTTTCTATACTTGTCGTTCTATCGGACCCAGAGTGGAATGCTGAGGTGTGCCGTTTGTGCTGGGGGTGTGTGAGTTTGCGTGCCGCTGTACTCCGCAGCATGCGTTCTCCGGCTGAAAAGTTCGGGATGTTACGTTAAAAGAGAACGAAAAGAAGAGAGGAGAGAGAGAAATCAGACAGACTGAGTAATGCGACGAAACAACCGCTACGGCACGGGCGGAAACTTCAGCATTCAACGGACGATGCTAATTTGATTGAGTAACGCGAGAAGGGACCACATTTTTTCCCTGTTTTATTACGCACGGCACCACAACTTCTGCGGCGATGTCACTCGTTTGACACATGGAAAACGGAGTGCAGCTCTGAAGTTTTACTTCCCTTCGATGTGTTCAATACGAATGAGATGCGACAAGAGGAGAACGGAACAAAAATACCCATCTCTACTTTCGCCGCGGTTGCTGTAATGAGAAGCTGTTTTCTGAAGAGGAACACAACGGGGAATGATGGGTCCAACAGGCAAAAGAAAGGAAGAAGACATAAGGCAGACAAAAACAAACTCTCGCATTTTTCCAGTATTGTCACAATCGTCGCTTCAGTTCATCCTTGACGCGGTCGAGCAGGTTTCCCGCGCTTGGGTTACTGACAAACGACGAGAACCGGCTAGAGTTGTTTTCGGTAAATACCAAATAGCTCTTCCGCAGTCGATACCACCGCGTGCGCACATTAGAGCTGCACGCGGAGAGAACCCCCTCGCTTGCGAGCTGCTGAATTCCGGGTAAGAGATACCGCGACACCAGCGTCGGCGTGACCACCGCGCAGCGCAAGATACTGTGCAAGAGGGCCTGCAGAATCAGCATCGTGCTCTCCCACTGCTCTACCGAGCCGTCCTGCGACTCGCGTTGCTGCACCACACGTGCGTCGTAGGTGCTGGTGAAACTTAATTGAGGCGCAGCACTCACAGCTGTCGCAGGCGGTGGTGGCGCCATCCCCTCTCGAGACACACGCTCCACGTACTGTTCCGCCAGTCGATCCATCAGCGCCGCCAGCTGCGGGTACAGCAGTGCCTCGCGCGGCTCGGCGGGCATGCGCTGCATGAGCTGATCCCACTGCATCAAGACGCACCGAGTAAAACGCGAGGTGCACCCTGCCATGTCCATCACGCGCAGGACGGGCCGAATGGTCTTCTCCTGTGCCCGCGGCTCCGTCAGGGCAATCGCGACGGTCAGGATGCCCGTCAACGCGGCCTCCTGCACGAAGGGCTGCGGGTCCTCCAGCAAAGGCAGGAGCGGCTCAATGAGAAGCGTCACTTTCAAGCGTTCGTTGGCGACGGCGGCGCACGCGTCATTCACGACCACCACCGCCGTCAGACGCAGTCGAGGATCGGTCGAAGCCACCAGGAAACAAATTAACGCTGTCAGTCCGGAAGACACCTCGCGGCTCTCCTGCGCGAAGGGGGCAAGCGAGGCGATGCAGTGCACACACGTCGTCAGAGCAGCGGAGCGCGGACTCGTTAAATTGTCCGAGTCGAGCAGAATTTGATGGGCCAGAAAAGTGAGGCTCTCGCGCTGGATGCGCTTGGTAGTAAGCAAAGGCTGCGAAGACACGTCAACAGCGCCGCTCTCTCCCTGACGAGTCTCCGAAGTGCAAGTGGATGCGTTCTCCGCGGTTTCTTGCGTTGGCACCTGCTCTGCGTGGCCTGGGCGCACCACCGCGTCTCCAGAAAGGAGGAGAAAGTACGAGTAAGCAAACAGAAGACGACCACGAAGAAGCTCCTGCGAGCTTTGCGAGGTTGGGAGGGCAAAAGAGGTCGGCGCATCTCGCTCTGCAGCGGCGTCCGCGCGCAAGGCTGGAGTGGCCAGCACTGATGTCTTCAAGAAACGCGTCACGGCATCCCACGCCGGTGCGCCAAGCAGCGGCACAAGCGAGGCCAGTGCAGCGCACAGCGCACAGAGCGGGCCGCACAGCAGCGTGCACGGGTCGTACATGCCACCGCCGCTGCCACCACCACCACCATCCTCCCTGCCAAGAGATACATAGTGCATTTTGGATAGTAGCGGGGTGAGAAGGCTGTGTGCGGTGGGCAGTACTACTTGCACGTACGTGTTCGCCAGCGACGTTGCGGTGCTGTTGTTCGTCGCAGCAGCAGCAGCAGCAGCGGTAGGCGCGACGCGCTCGCCACGGCGGTCGTCCTCCTCGCGCGAGTGCACCACCTCCACCGCCACACAGCGCAGGGCGGCGTGCAGCAGCTGCACTAGCGTCATGACGTTGTTGAGCGACAGCGCAGACGCAACGGCGGCCGTTGTTGCGTCGGCTGTGGTCTTGCGCGTGTCCCCTGCCGCTGCGGTGGGGGTGGCCGCTTCCCCGCCGCCGCCGCCGCCACGGGCGTTCGGCTTCCGCAGCAGCAACATCTGTGACGCCTCCATGCTGATGACGGTGAGAAGCAGTGGCACAAACTGGGTGAGCAGCACGCCATCACGCAGGAACACCGGGTAGAGGACCTCGCACAGCTGCGTCTGCGCCGCCTGCCGCACGGACCGGCTGTTTGAGTCGGTGGCCAGGTGCACCAGCAGTTCCATCACAAAGGCCTGCTGCGATGGAGCAAGAGAAACCGTAGCTGTTGCTTTGGTCGTTGCCTGAGTGCTGCCAGCTGCAGCAGCCGTTGAGGGGAAAGCTCTCACCTCTCCGCTAACTGGCGGGGAAACACCCCCACCGCCTCCAACTGGACTGCGCACATTCTCACCGCTATTCAGCCCTGCGTCACCCCACATCAACGACAAGCACCGCGGCAGCTCACGTCGTACCGCGGACGCGTCATCCTCGCACAGCGGCCGAAGCAAGCCTTGACACAAGGAGTAGCGCACCTGCGGCGATTGGCGCAGCAGCGGGGCCACAGCAGCGGCGCAGTCCAGAGCAAGCAGGCGTCGCTCAAAGACCTGTGCATTGACGAGGGAGTACAGTTCCGGAATCAGCTCTTGCTCGAGTGAGCGCAACGGGGCGTCACGGGCGATGCGCAGCCACTCTTGCAGAATCGCTAGCCGGTGCTCCACGCTGGGACGCTTGTACAGCGTCAGCATCATGTGGCGTGCGGCGGCACGTACGCTGCTGGAGGAGCCGAAGATGGCGACTGTGCGCAGCAGCGGCAAAAGGATGTCTTTGCGCATCGGATCCACCGACGTCACAAGGGCCTGGAGGCGCTCAGCGATGATGGTGACGGTCTGTTTCATCTGCGTGTCCAACTCCCGCTCGCGCGCACGAAGGCGGTTGTTGCTGCTCTGCAGGTCGGCAATTTGGTTTTCAACCTCCATGCGTTCGAGACCGGTTCCACCCACTGTGCGACGAAGGTGGTAGGCTGAGAGAAAGTGTGGATCCCACTGCTCCAGCAGAGCGTAGACGCTGCCCTCACCCGCCAGTTGTTGGTAAGCGGACAGCGCCTCCTTTACAGTGCTGCCCAGCTCATCCTCGAGAGGGGTATTGAGAACGGTGCTGTTATCGTCAGGCAGATGCTCAGCTGCGTGGAAGCTGCTGCCCGGAGAAGTGTCCGCTTCCAACGTAAGAGCCTCGAAAGTTTGGGTGAAGTTGTGATCTTTCAGCCACGCTAACACTTCACCTTTCGATAACTCCTTTGCACCGTCAGACATGGCGAAGCTACGACACACAACGTAAGTTCCTGCCGCTCCAAAGCATAACAACGTCACAAAATGAGATAAGAACAGATTTCTTTTTGTTTTTACTTCCCTTTCCTTGGTACAGGGAAATAGGAAATAGGTCAGCAACGATACAGCAGACGTGGAACGTCGAGGACGAAAACGTGAAACGAACGCAGAGGGTGTGTTGTGAAGCACACGGGGAAACGCGGGTGGACGTCTACACTACTATCAAATCGACGCAAAAAGGCCCGGGGAGACACCCGCTGCTCTTCTGTTGTTGTTGGTGCTGTTGTTTTTGTGTTGTTTGACTCGCTTCGGTGCCGTTTCGTACTACAGCGCGGCGATGAGTGGACATTTCAAGACGAAAAGAGCGAAACAAATAAAACACGTGTATGGAGGATATTGGGGAGGAGACGGGAAATGGCCAGGTCGGCAACGCTGCGGATCGCGCAGAAGGTCTGGGGCAAAGTGCTACGGTGGGCTTTCGTTCGATCGTCATGGTGCATCCACCGACGACACAGTTTTCCCACCGCAGCGCACCTGACATACCAGTTTAATATGGGATACCAACGCTTACCATTAAACAACGCCCCGTTGCCTTTATCCGTTGCTTACGACCAAAAAAAAAAAAGAACGTACTTTTTCTTCTCTTCTGAGGGAAATCCACAACACTAAAGTGAATAGATAACAGAAAAAAACAGCAATTTCGAAACGAAGTCGTTCACTGTACATCGGCAAAGGAGGCGAAAGACCTCCCTCACAAAGTTACGCGCGGTGAACCGTAATATACATGTAATTCACCGACGCGTGAATGAGCAGCAGTGGACAGAAACAGCACCTTCAGAAGCGTACAGATGACAGCGGTACCAGGCGGAGGCAGTATGGATATGAATCAAGTACAAAACACAAAAACACCTACGAGGTTACTCCTTCACCTCGTGTCATCTTGTCGGCAGACGCCGCCATCTCGGCTGTGGTGCGTTGCGCTGCCGGCTGCCTCCGTGAGATGACGTACTTCTCGTAGAGGTCGATGTGCTTCCTGCGCTCCCGCTCCATGCCCTCGCGGTAAAGCCGGTCCGCCGTCGTTTCCTGCTCCTTCTTCGTCATTTTTCGCGTGTTGCGCACGTTGTGGCTTGTTTCCTGCTTCATCAGCTCGTCAAAGTTCTTCTTCTTTAAGGCCAGTGTGTCGTCGTACAAGTGACGCACCAGCGCCTCCTCTTCGGCCTGGGAGATGGTGGTGACGGTCATAGTGCTGTCCTTCTTCACTGCCGCCTCCATCTGCCGCGCGATCTCCTCGCGTTCCAGCTGACGGCGGGCCAACGACTCGTCGTAGAGGTGGTGCACGCGCTTGCCCAATGCCTCCTGAGAAATGGTCTGGCGCGGCGCGAGCGGCTTCAACTCCGCCGCGGTACGGGTGTTGCGCGTGAGACGGTCCACGCTCTTCTGCAGCTCCGCCTCCGTCAGCCGCTTCGGCGTGGGACAGCGCTCCTCATCAGAGTACATCTGCACGTTGCTGGATTATCAATGGACGACACCGCTATGGGAAAGTAGTACAAAACAAAAACAAATAATGCTTATGTCAGCTGAGGCCGATGCTACAGAAGAAAAAAACGGGACTTCTTTTGATTGTTGTTATTTTCAAAATAGTTCGATATACTCCAACGAGAAGAATATTCAATGGGAAGAAACATCTCGGTGGGCACAGGCGAAAGTGTATTCAACCGAGTTGGGTTGGCTCCGGAATGCGCAGCATCCGTTGACGCTCGCCTCAACAGATGACACCACGATGCCAGAGAAGACTGAAAAGCGCATACACTAAACAAGTCGGTGCAAAAATAGAAGCACACTTTTTTTCTCTGCGAAATGCGAGCATTGGAGTGGCATACGCACTCAGCCAATTTCAAGAAACTACATTGAATGTCGTTGTTGATGATTTCCTTTTTCATCTGCTCGATGTCATCGTTCCGAGAAAAGTCTGGTAATGATCCGCTGAGGAAGAAATGCGAGAGGGCACGCTCTGTTAACCAAGTGAAACAAAATTTTCTGCGTGAAAAATGAGACATTGCATCTTCGCAATAAGAATCAAAACAAGAAGAAAAATCGTAAAATGCCCATACAAAGTCAAAACGAGCAATAAAAGAAACGAGAAAGACGTGAAATAATCATCCGAGTGCACCGAGAGGATACCAACACCCGGCGTTCGTGGTCCGCCTGCGTGCGCTCCCACGAAGCTTAACCTTTACGAGCTGCTTCTGTTGCTGAGCACCGTAGTACACGGTCTAGAAAAGTAGAAAGAAATGCGACAGTAGCAGCAAGAAAAAAAAGGAATATAATTTCAATGAGCAGCAAAAAGAGGAGACAAGGAAAAGAGAAAAAAAGGGTGATCAACAAGACGTGTGCACGTCGAACGCCACGGAACGCAGTTGAGATGTTAACGAGGGAAAAAAAGAGCATGTTAATGAGACCGGGTTTTTTAATTTGCTTTGCTTTGCGTGTTCGAAGAGACAACAGCAAATAAGACAAGAACAGAACAGAAAAGATAGAAGGAGGAAACAAGCAAACAAGCAAACAACAGAAAGACGCGCTCCACATCTCCTTCACGAGGGGAATGTGGGTATTTGCGTGTATGTGTGTGTGTGTGAACGCTTAACGCGACAAGCACACCAAACACGTCACGCATATGCAGGTGAACAGAAAAATAGCCGCAGATTTACTTGTCTGCGAAGCAAATACGCATTCTACGCGGACAAGAGAGAAAGATGAAAAACTGATTTAAAAACGTCAACGAATACTCTACGGTGGAACTGAGACACTAATAGTACAAAAAAAAAAGACTGATGGTAGATCAGAAAAAGAACAGCTACTACAAGCAAAAGAAATAGAAAGCGCAGTTGTTCGCACACACAAACAAGGAAGAGAAACCAAAACTCGATCTTTGGTTTGAGAAGGGAGCCTATCGGCCTCGCGCAGACCAAGCAGCAATCCAGAGGTGGGGCTCTACTGCACTCCTACGGTGTATGAAAACCAACTTGTTTTTCCCGCGACGCTCGTTTTACTCTTCTCGATAGACGTACTCTGTCTTGAGATCCGTCACGTTACTCGGGGTCCACGAAAGACACAAGTAAGTGCGCAGCTCCTCCTCGGTGGGGGCCACGACACCGTAGGTCGGGTAGTACTGCAGAAAAAGGTCTTGTAATACGCGAAAAGCATCCTCCTGCGAGTTGATGCGTACCTTGCTGCCCCACGCTACTATCTTGCTGCTAAGCTCCCCTTTTACCTCAACGCAGCGGCAATACAGCTCGTCTAACGGCCAGAAACGGCCAAAGCCGTCGTCCTGCATGCATGACTCAACCACGGTCTCGCCAATGTACTTGCGGCGAACTAACTCCGTAGTATTTGGTTGCACTCCTTGACCGAGGTCAATCATGCAGATGAAGCGCAGCGGGGTCGCGTCTCCTTTGGGGGCCTCGTCGGATATGGCTGGGAAGCGCAAATACTTCACCCTCTCCTCCGGCGAGAACTGGAAGGCGTAGAGGAGACCGGCGTAGTACTGTCGTGCGAGGGTGAGCGCTGCGGCCTCTTCTGGGTGCTCGCGGAGGTACACCGCACGCTCAGGCGGCAGGCCGACGTAGCGATACCCAATGTTGTCCCCGCGAAGCTGGTTGTTCAGCATCAGGTCCAACACGCGCCAATCAAACAGCGTCCGGAAGGTGAGTTGGTGGAACAAAAATTGAAAGAGTTCGCCCTCCAGCAGCGCGCTGTTCGCCAGTTGGTCGTACATCGGATCAAAATCGGCGTCGTTGGAGTCGAGAAAGCGGCCAATCGTGCCGTCCATCAAGTCCGTCACAAAGTAGCACAGCTTCGTGGTGGCTGGGTCACCGCCACGTCGCGCCTCCGCCGCGTCGGCCGCCGGCAGGCCCGCCGGGGCGGCACTGCTGACGATGAAATCGTGCGCGCGGCCGTTGTAGGAGATGCCATAGTCGTTCAGCTGATTCGCCAGCACGTAGAAGGCGACGTCGGTCAACGACTCCCGCACGTAGTGTTCGTGCGACATGCCGTCTGGGATGATGAGTACCTTCACCGCGACAGGGAGGTGGCGGCTGCCGTAGGTGCCGCGGTAGACCACGCCGCTGCCGCCGCGACCGAGAAACTCGAAGAGTTGAATGCCCGCCGTCGTGCCGTCAAAAATGGAGCAATTGCCCGATTGCGTGTAGTAGCGCCAGCGGGTGACGAGGCTTTCTTGCCCGGTAAATGGGCTGGATGATCCGACGAATGACAGTGTCCGAACCGGCACAAACGCGCTCGCCGTGTCTTCCTCCGCTCGCTCTGCTTGCTTGTTGACGGCTGACGCGCCACTCTCCCCCGCTTCCAGCGCCTCCTCCGACGAACTGAGCAGCGTGTTTGGCGCGAGTTTCACTGGCTTCTGGTTGCTCTCCTCCTCGGCGTACGAAGGCACGGCTACAGGGTGGATGGAAGAGCCCAGTGTGCCACCCGGCGCGACGTCTCCTGTTGCGGTGGACGAGGTGCACGGCGGCTTTGACGTGTCCGTCGCAGCTTCCGCAGTCGGCGTCGGCAACGTACTCTGGTGAACCACATCGTAGGTGCTGCTGAAGGCGTTCGTGCGGCTCTGGTTCACCACGGAGCTCGCCCCTGTGGTGCTGGAAAACAGGTCAGTCACTCCGATACTCCTCTGTCCAGCACTCAACGCGTTCAAGTCGAGCACCACGTCGTTGAGAGTGGGCAGCATCGTGCTCGTCGTGCTGTCCTCACGCCGCATGTAGAGGGGGTGCGTCTGCCGCGACGTGGTCGACAGCGTCGTCGACAGCTCCGCCACGGTGTGTGCGTCGCCCTGGAGCACGTTGGTGGTGTCGGTGGGCACGCCCGTGAAAGGCACCGATAGCCCTCGTTTCTCTGGCGGGACGAAGAAGCGGGCGAGAGTGCCGCCGTGACGGTCCAAAACGGACCCGACAGAGGCGACGCCACAGCGGAAGAGTAGCGGTGCTTTAGACAACTTCGAACCGGTACTGCTGAGACGGTCAACACAGGAGTTCCATAGTTCCACGCGGGTGCAACCGTAGCGCGTGCCCATCTTATCAAAGAGTATCGCGAGGGCCGCCATGGCGGACGCGGGGCTTGTCACTACGACTGTTGCCGCCCACTGCGCCACGGCGTGTCCGAGCGCACCGAGGCAGGGCAGCGCGTCGCCTGCGCCAAACAGCGGCAGCGCTGCGGACTCCTGCAACTCTGCGGGCGTGGCGTAAAGCGGCACAATGGCCTCCTTCAGGCACAGCAGAGTGAGAAGCCGGGTGTGCGTGGGGAAGCGAATCCACTCGTTGGGCTGAAGCGGGTGCTCAAAGGCGACGCCGCGATTTCCGCTGGACCGCACCGCGATGAAGTGGGACCGCAGCTGCCATCCGGCCCGCCCTGGCAAACGAAAGCCCAAGGCGGGAAAGCGGATGTCAAAGTAGGCGCGGAAGATAAGTTGAAGGTAAAAGAGCTGAAACACCTCCGCGTCGTTAAAAGGCTGCGTGGTGAGGGAAAAAGGATGCCGCACGACGCCCTTGCGTGTGGTGGGGAACATCACAGCTACCGGGACGGTCTCCGTCGCTTTCGTACTCCGGGCCGCCTGCAGTGTGTGCATCGCCGTGGCGGAGTGGCACGCCATCATCTCAATGCGCGTGTGCGGCTGCGCCACGAGGTCGCCCCAGGTGCACAGCTGCACCGCAGAAAAGGGGAAGTAGGCGGTGTCGAAGCAGCCGGCGTCACCGAGGGTGAGGTACAGCGCCGCAGTGGTGCTGAAGCGCTTCCAGCACGGCACCACCGACCTCGTCGCTCCCGCGTCCCCTGCAAGCCCTTCACCCGTGCGGCCACAGGCGGGAGCGTCATTGATGACATTCGCCCTCGCAACCGTCGGAGCAGCAGAGCTCAAGAGAGGCAGTTGCCCGCTGACCTCCCCACCAGCGCCGGGAATCGGAAAAGAGTCGTTGGCGGAGCGCAGAAAGCTGACGGGCATGCCAGGCACACCCAGACCGATCTGCGACTCTACATTAAAGCTGAGGGACGCGGCCTGACCGCCACCAAGCACCACGCCCTCCTTGTCGTGTGCAGACTGCTGCGCGAGGTCTTTTGCGAAGTGAGACGGCCCTGCCGCGTTGCGCGATACGTCCGGCTCGTCCGTCAGCGGCAAGAGAAGGAACTCCATGCCGTCCCAGGCGCACTCGTGATAGGCATCGACCACAGCCTGCACCGGGCTTGCTTCGCCAGGGGCGACTTCGACGCGGAAGGTGCAGGCTTCGACGTCGCCGAGGTGGACCGCGACGGCATTGGTGCGCTGCTGATAGCTGCGTCGACGGCGGCGCTCGCTGTCACGGGTGGCGTGCCAGTACGACTGCTCCGCCGAGGCTGCCTCCGCCTCCGCCTCCCTCGAGTACGTCTCGGTATTTGCATTGTGCGCCCCGGTCGAAGAGCGCGAGGAGGGCAGTCGCAGGTCGAGGATGGGAAGAAAGCTGCACAACGGGGCGTCGTTCACGGTGGCGGCGCCGAGTTGGCGCAGCACGTCGAGGGGATTCCTACTCCGATCTAAAAGGCCGGAGATGGGCGAGGCGTCAGTGGCGGCGCCCGGTGCGCCGGTGACCACCACGCCGCAACGGCGCAGGCGCCACGCTGACTTCGTCGCGCCCTTCGTGCCGCCATCTTTCGCGCTCGGCCGCGACTCGGCCGCTAACGGGGTGGAGGCAACGGGGTGTGGAGAGGTCACCTTCGTCGTTTTGCGTGGGATGGACGCGTCGGCCGAGACGCTGGAGTCCACGCAGAGGTACAGTGGTTGCCATGCCTCTAAAGAGAATTCGGAGCCCGGATGGCGGCGGGAGGAGGTGGTGGGCTGTTGCTGTGGCTGCTGTTGGCGCCGAAGTGTCCGCGAGGCTGCCGCGGTCGCCGAAGCCTGCACGGCAGTCCGATGCGGGCGACGTCGATGACGCTGTGCGGTACACGGCAAAAGGCTTCTGGGCGGCGGGGTCGGGAGAACGATGCGCCGCAATCCCGGACCGGCGTCCTCCACCGGCCGATCAAAGCCGATCGCCAGACTGGAGAGAAGGGACCGGGGCAGCGACAGTTCAGTGTTCGTGCGGTTTGAGGGTGGGTGTGCCAGATCCATCACATTGCTTGTCGGATCTCCCAACGTCGGGGCAAATGGGGCGACGAAATACGTTTCTAAGGAGTTCAGCAACGGTGCGCTTCGAACCGGCGGTGCATCGTGTACAGCGGCGTGCATTTTTTTTAAACGGAAACAAAGGGTGAAGTGAAAAACAAGTAGATGTAGTCGCAATAAAACTGTAATAGCAGAGTCAAATCGAATGTGTGTCTAGGGCACGCTGTGTGTGTGTGTCGATCCAGTACACTTGCAAACAGGACAGGAAAGAGGAAAATTCGTAGAGAACGATACGCACACACACACACACACCAAACAAAGAAAGAGGCACTCTAAAATTCAATGCATATAACAAATATAAAAGAGCTACCGATAGGTACGCGCTACATCGGCCGACGTAGCCGTAAGAGAGAAGAGAACCACTAACGGGGTAGGAACGTGAATGAAGAACAAATCTAAGCAAGACGAGGAGTGACAATAGTTCTGGTGAAGAGAGAGAAAAAAAAAACGGAATTCTAAGGTGAGGGAAGCTGAGCGTATTGTGTGCGGTGACAGGGAGAAAGAAAGAAAAAGGGGCAGAAAAGGCAGAGAAGGAAAACAACAACAACATCCCCTTCATAACAGAAAAACAAAGAAGGTTCAACCTTTGCGCACCCAAGCGAACGGTAATAACAATAAAAGAAGAGCAATGATAAATGAGACAATCTCTGCAATCAACAAAGAGCCCCCTCCTTCCAGAAAAAAAAAAGGCACGCGGCAGATTCTAAATTACAAAAGACAAAAAAGCACAAAAAAGCGTCAGCTGCGCACGGTCGAGCTGATTAATAAAGACTCAGCGCAGAGGAGGATAAAGATTGAAGGGGAATGAGAGAAGTGAATCGTACTTGATCTACGCGCATGATGATGCCGGTAAACAATTCCAGAAAGAAGAACGAGCAGCTACACTGGTATCAACATCTCGAAGGCTCTCTGTTTTTCGTCTTGACTGTAATTTGCAGCAGTTTCAAAAGCGATGAGCTGCTCATAGCCAGAATGCTCTTTGCTGAAAAGATCACGGTGGACTGCTACAAGAAAGCGTTCGAGTAAGTTACTGTACGAAAGTCTAAGGTGCGTTGTTGTCGTTGTTCTTTTTTTTGTTCCCCAGATGCGTTGAAGCCCAGTGTGTAATGTGAGCGTATTCCTCAAGCGGCAGCGAGTGGTAATGTGGTGAAACAAACCCAAACATTGTTTTTATTTTTTCATTTTCAAGTGACTTCATCGAGCAGGCTTCTACTGTGAAAAGCAGGAAATGTGCCGTTAGTAGAAAAAAAAAGAAGAAATCTTATCGCACGTAAGATGGGGGCGGACTGATCTGCGGGGCAACACTACGCCCGCTCTTGTCGCGATTCCTCTCACGCTGCTCGTTCTTAGCGGCCACGCGGCGCTGCTCAAACTCCTCCAAATCGCTGCGCATCCGCTGCGTCTTGGCCGCCTTATCTTCCTTGTTCCAGAGATACGGCATAAACCACGGGATGTCACGCATGCGCTGATTCACCGTGTCCATCTCCTTCAAGTACTTCACACGACTCTCGAGCGTGGAGGAGTTGTCGCTGGCGTACGCGTGCATTTCTTGCTTCAAGCCCCGCGGAAGTTCGCGCTCCAGCCGCCCGCCGTCGTAAATCCACGAGATATGCGGTATGCTCGGTCGTGTGCGGATCCGCTCCATGATGAGCCGCTGCACCCAGTGGTTGAGGCGGTGCAACTGCGGCTCCAAGGCAAAGCGCGCGGCGGGGTCGACCGTGGCCCAGACAATGTACACCTCCTTCGATCGGCGGGAGGCCAGCACCTCTTGAATCATCAACTGTGTAAAGTCCATCTGCTCTGCAATGTGCGCCGGGCAGGCCTTGAGAGAGCGGCGAAGGTGGTAAACAATCTTTTCCGAAAAGGCTTGCGCCGACGGGGACATGTTCGTGCGGTGGCGCAGGCGGTGCACCTCTTTGCTGAGCATCCCACTCGGCTCAGGGGCGGCCGGCCAGAGTTTGCCTTCGGAGAGCTTGCGCGCCGCCAACGGCGTGAAGGGCACCGGCGGCGCCTCGTACTTGGCCGCCTGTTGCGGGGAGTCGTACTTGAGGGCCTCTTTTTCAGAAAAGCCGAAGTTTTTGCTGTTGCGCAGCGGCTCCAAGTCGCCCAGCCCCTGGAGGGCGTAGGTGGTGTTCAGCTTAACGCCCTCGCGGTCAAGACGGGAGCCGGTTGAGTACAGCCGTTGCTCCACGTAGCGATAGGCGGACTGGTTGCCAGGGTTGATACGACGTTCGTTCAAAACAGCGCGAATCGTCTCGTCGCGCTGCGCCTTGGTTTGTTTCAGCTGCATTACAGACGGGTTGCGGAAACGATGGCGCAGTTTGGTGCTGTACTTGGACGAGCGTTTACTCACAAAGAGCAGTGGGGTGGACCACATTTGTGCCTACACGAGTGCCAGTCCCTGATGTGGCCACAGAAATCAAAAACAGCACCTTGTGAAGGTGGGTCTCCGTTGTTCAACCTTGCGCAGTGACGAGACGGAGTGGATGGAGAGAACACAAGGGAGAGAACGGCGAAGAAGGTCTTGATGTGCAATGTGTGTTTGCATGATACTACTCGAAGTGTGTGTCCCTTTTTCCCTTTTTACGCATCCGAATCGGATACTCAAAAGAGAAGGGGAGAAAAAACTGGTTGTTTTTTCCTCTCGCATTCCAAAGTGTTGTAAATGCATTAATAGAACAGGATGTCCATGCGAGTGCGTCCACTCTAGTCCGCACAAATATGACGTGGGGGTTTGACGTCAACGCAGCAGATAGCATTACCTTCATTTTCCTCCTCAGCTCCGTTCCATTCTTTCTTTACTTTGTGATTTTCGTGATTGTGAAGATCGGCGAGAGACAAGACAAATCGATGAAACAGAGAAAACCAACGTGGGGAACTTGATCATGGGGCACTTCAGCTCCTACGCGCGCACGGGTTCGCAACGGATAGCGGCGTTTCATTCTTTGCGACATGGAGTCAGTTGAATTTCATTTTATCGCGTTATGTTGCTGCCTTCGCCGTTGCTGCCTTCGCCGCCGCCGCCTCTTGACGGGTCTTGCGCACCTTCGCCACCTCGTACTCCGGAATGACCGCCACGTACAGGCGGCGCCCGTGGAAAACGGTGGTGAGCGTGTATTGCGGACAGCTCATCTTGGCCAGCATCGTGCGCAGCGTCTCCAGGCTCTCCATCACGGAGCTGCGGCTCACAACGGCGCTGCTCGCGGCCGTCGTCGCGTGGCGGGCGGTGGGTATCACACCCACGAGGGACATGGCTTCACCGCCGAGTCGGCGACGACCAGCTGTGGAGTAGGCGCGGTAAAAGTCGCTGTCGTCGGGGTCTAGCGTACGCATGTTCATCGGCTGCTCAAATTTTGAGGCAGGGGATGGCGGGATGACGTTTTTTTCGTCCGTTTTGCCCGCCGCTGCGGCGGCTGCCTCATTAGGAGAGGCGGGGAACTCCGCCGTGGTCATGGTGTCCCAGCTCTCGACCGCAGCAGCAGCGGCACCTGGGCGATTTCGCGCTGTTTCCGCCGGTGGTGAATGGTGCTGCACCGTCCTACTCGGAGCGGACGCAGGCGGCTTGACAGGGGTCTCTGCGTTGTCGTCGTGGCGGCCAAAGTTGCGCAGCGCATCATCGTTCACTTCACGTGAGGCGAGAAAAGCTACCTCCAAGTCCTGTGAGCGGGCCTGCACGGAGCTGACGTCGTCATCCACGATCATGAGCGACTTGATGTTGGTGAGCTGGGGCAGCAGATAACCCTCGCAGCCCTTCCACTCCCCCTCCAGCGGCTCCTTTTTTAGGGTGCGCACGCCGTCGCCGGCCATGAAGGCGGTAAAAGACGCACACTGCGACATGAGGAAAGGGAACACCTCCGCCATCAGCTCAAAGCACGGTGCGAGCGACTCCGGCACGACATCGGGGTAATTCTCAGACGACGCCTTTTGCGTTGACGTAGAAGGTGTGTCCTTCTTCTTCGCCTCCGCCTCATTGCAAACCGCGGAAGACCTCACTGCGGTGTCTGGTTGCCCCGCCGTGTCGTCCGCCTTCGCGGAGTCTATATCGTCCGTCGACCCAACAAACGTGGACCCCCTCCAGCCGGTGACCCGCTCCGCGTACTCTGTGACACACGGAAACTTCTCCGCCAGCGTCGATGACGGCGGGTCATCCATGAGAAAAAAGCCTGAAAAGGCAGCCCCGAGCGTCACGTCGGCCAACGTGGGGTGCGGTGTGCCGAGCAAAAAGCACTCCCTTGGGTTGCCGCGCAGGTGTGCCTCCAGCGCGGTGCAAAACCGCATAAAGTGCTCGTCCATGTACGGCGCCGTCAGCTCCGATGCCCCGGTAGCGCGGACAATGTGCTTCATAAGTCGCCGAAACTGCGGTGCTGCTGACCGGGCAAAGCCAACGCCACCGATGAAGAAAAACCGCAAGTAGCCCTCCAGAACGTCCAGCGAATCTCCACGAATGTAACGATACATGGCGCCTGTTTTGTTCAGCCACCAGCACGCGTACACGACCACGCACCAGCTGGCAAGATGCAAATTGGGGTGCGTCTCCTTCGAAATGAGCATCTTCTGGGTGCGCGTGGTGGACACCCCTGAAGCAGCAGCGCCTCCATCGTTCGTGGCTTCCTTATCGGATGCTGTTTTGTACTTCACCTCCCCCTTTGTGGACCTGGCGATGGCCTCCACATCCTCGTCTAGCTCCGCCGTTTCGGCTAATTGCCACACCTGAACACGGGTTGTTCCATTCGGTGTGAGCGTGCAAAAGCAGCTACGTGTGCGGTAATATATGGAGTAGAGAAGAGTGGTGCTGAAGTTGGAGCAGTACACCTTAAAGGGAACCTGCTTCAATCGAAGGTAAGTGACGTGTTGGTGCAATAGGAGCGTATAGGGGGAGCCGAACGTGCGGAAAGGCGAAAAGGGCACTTTTCCCTTCATGGTGAAGGGGAAAAAAAACAAAAAGCCAGAGTTGCTCCTTGTTTGGTACGGTGTGTGTGTTTTACTGAAGAGCGGCAGGAAATACAGTGCGGTGGAGCGCAAGAAATAACAGTGCTAACGATAGACAAAGGTAGTCGTGAATGAGGGTGTAGAACAACGATGAAAGCGGCTTCATTGACTTTTTGATACCAACACTGTTGGGGCGGCAACCGCTGCCGCGAGACACTACGGTTTCGGCGAGAGCACATCCTTCCACCTCGTTAATTTGCCATCACTCAGTATCAGTGAGAAAAAAAAAATGATTTGTCTTTTCAAAATGCAGTCGACGCGGCAAAGACACCTAAGTGTGCTTCGTTACGTATCCCCTCTCTCCGTCTCTCTGCTGTCCCTCTCTCATTGTAAATAATTGTCCTGAGCATTGGCATTGAGTTCCGCTGAAACCCACGAAAGTACGCCCCCTCTCATTTACCTCTTTTACCTCTTTTTACCCTCACCTGTGTTTGAAGGAAGAACTTACGACATTCGGACGCGCTACTCGAGAAGGCCGCCACACACGCGGCACAGCGGCCCGTCGGCATAGTCGCTCAGTCCGCACGAAAAGCACCGCGTCAGCACGTAATCTGGCGAGAAGAACGAGAGCGGGCTAAACGTTGTGCCGGAGAAGAGGGTGGTGTGGGCGACAACAGACGAAGAGAGCGACGCCGCCGCCTCAACGGAAAGAGGAACGTGATGTGAGGTGCTCGAGAGAGACATGCGAAACATCACGGCACTGTCACGGTCGCACAGCGAACACGGAAAGCGGATTTGCTCGCGCGCACCGACAGCCGGCGAAGACGACGCCTTGGAGGAAGAAGGTGGCGAGGCTAAGAGTGCATCGGTTTTCTTCCCACCTGCAACACAAGCGAGGAAGTCCTTCAGTGTTGACACCCAGGCCTGAGAAATGCACCAGTGCACTTGCTTCCAGTGGTCTTCACCGTTCTTCTTACCAGTCGATTTTTCTCTTGAACTGCGGAGAGCAGGCGGTTCGCAATCGGCGGCGGTGAGCACGACAATGGAGCTGCCCGGCGGTAGCGTATTGGCCCCACCATCCTTCGCCGCAGAATTGAGCATCTCTTCCTGTCGTCGCACATAAGCCTCAACGTAGCACCGCGCACCGTCAACATCAACCGTGTCGGGGTCTGTGGAGCACTTGCTCGCGTCCACCGTAACGCCCTGTCCTCTCATCCCCGCTTTCGCATTCGTGTCGGACGGTGCGCGCTCGCGGAAGCGCTCCGATGCGTCAACGGCCATGTTGGCGTACCCGTGACGCTTCGCAAGGATCCGAATCGCGTTGGACAAGATCAGCTCATGCAGCACCGGCTTATCCCAAGGGCAGCTGGCCCAGATGTGCCGCAGCAGCCGCCACCACGGCCAGGACATCGCTTTCGATTCCATTTCAGAAAGAGAAGCGAACAGTGAGACAACGCAACCTTCTTGCTCGTCACTCTCTGACGCTGACAGGGGGAGCGGCCACCGCAAGAACAGCTCCAAACCGTACTGAGCGCGCAACTGCAAATAGGCTCGACGCAGGTGAAGGTCCGCGATGAGCGGGGAGGCCAACCGGGCAGCCGCCTCCCTCGCCAACCCAAATGCCCGAATCTGTTTCAGCGTTTCATGGGAAGGCATCTGGAATGTCTCTTGTAGCATGTGCGCGTAGCGGTGCAGCGCACCCGACTGCGCCGTCGACCCACCCAGCAGGCGCTCCCGCAGGAAAAACGCGTCGCTGACCTGGCTGCGAAGAAGACTTCTGGTGTCGCAGTAAGAACGGCCCGCGTCGTTGTTCGCAGCAGCAGCTCCGGCCGCTGGAGGACTCCCAGTTGAAGGTGCGTCTCTCTTCCTATTGTTGTTGGCCTCCCCTTCCTGCTCACGCAGCACCCCCGCAAGCTCCACAAACCGGCGCAACCAGCTCCCGGGATCGTCGATCGTCACCGGCCACAAATGCACCGGCTCCTGGTTTGTGTGCCCGCTTTGCACGGCCACCACAGCCACGCTGCCCGCCGGGTGCAGCGCCACACCTGTGACCCCCGCACACCTCCGTGCCGGCATCTCGCTGTGTCCGGCCAGCAGCGGACACTGAAAGAGTGTCACGCAGGACGGACCGGAGAGCAGGTACTGAAAGAGAGCCCGCTCGCCAACGCCTACGACGGCGGTGCATAGACTGCCGCTGGGGGCCATAGAAGAGGTAGCAGTGGTGGAAGCAGTCACAGCAGGTACTGCCGAGCTGCTGCGTGCCACGTCGGTGAGCGCGGTGGGCACCTCAGCAGCAAACGGAGCTACTAATAAAGCCCGCAAACTAATCTCGCCCACGAGCTGGTCGGGTCCAAACTGCGCGTCCGTCGTCCATGTGCTGGTGCGCAGCGACGCAGACGGCGCCGAAGGTGTGCTGGGTGGAATCACTAAGGTAAAGCGACCGCGCAGGACGAGGCTCGGTGCAGCAAGAAAGACGATGATGTCCGCCGCATCGACGTCAGACAACGCACCCGTGGAACGCCCCAGCGCCACCGCAACAGCGCAGACAGCCGTTGGAACTGACAGCAACGCAGGCACCTCCACGTAGTGAAGGAGTCGAGCCGCGGCAGGCGAGCATGGTTTGGGTGCGTCAGCTGGGATGTGCACCACACGCAACAGGTACGGACTGGCAACGACCAGCGTGCGCTTCAGAAAAGAAAGCGTAGAAGCAGTGGCCTGGGAGGCAAGCCCGCTAGCAGCGGTAGGCGCGAAGCACGTCGGTGTCGACCCTGCAAAACCAAGCGCGGCAACATCCTCACGCCCATTCCACGTGTAAACAGGCGGGGGAAGATTCCGTACTTGCGGGCTCTCGTCATCGGACAACTCACCGTAGAACGGCACAACGTGTAGGCCGCGGGACGAGAGCACGACTAACTCGTCGTTGCTGAGCCACGTGTAGTCCAACAGGGTCGTGTCGGAGTCTTTCAAGGGATCTGCAGTTTCGTGCTCCATCGCGGCAGCTGAAGATCGCTGAGGCACGCTACTACCGGTGCGGTTGTGCAAGGATCCACGTGTGGCACCGAAAACAGCGGTCTCACCCCCTCTGTCGTTACCATTGTCTGCTGGGGCAGAGCTGGTGGCCACCGCGGCAGCTCGCCGGTCACCGCGCTTCGGAGCTGCAGCACGGGAACGTGACGTCTTGACTTCTGAATCCGAGCCTGAATCACTGTCGCTGCCGCTGCTGCTTGTATGTGAAGAGGAGGAAGAAGAAGTAGAGGTGCTCTCAACTTCACTTTCGCTTTCATCACTGCTCTCCTTTCCACGGCGTCGTTGACGCTTTTGAGCTGCGGTGGTTGCCGTTCTTTTCACTCTCGGGGCAGTTACCGTTTTTGCCGCTGGCTTACGTTTACGCGACGCAGCAGACTTTGACCTCGCAGAGTCGCCATCGTTGCCTCCAGCGTCCGCCGTTGAGCTGGGTTTCACCCTTTCAGAAGGTGCACCGCTTGCGCTTTCCCCATGCGTGTCCACGCTCAGCGAACTTCTTGAGCCACCGCGGCAGCACGCAATTCCAATGCCGTAGCTCACCTTCACCCGCGCCGTGCCATTCCGACTGACACGGTACACCACCAAGTTGCTTGTGGTCTGAGCACACAGGCGCGCACTGGCCGGGTAGAAGACCTCCGGCATGAGCGAGGTGCTCCACTTGGCACCCACCACCACCTCCATCGACTCCACGTCGGTGCGGTGACAAAGTGGATGATGCCGAATCTGAAGCTGGCGGGCAGGGGTCAGCAGACTCGTCAGGTGGAAGGAGATGGACCAGCGCGTGCACACCTGCAAGATGTTGTGCGGACCCCAGCTAATGCAGTGTGGCGACCGCGCGGGCACGTCGTCGATCGGAAAGCACTCGTCAAGGGGCACGTCAGTGCCCGCGGGTAGCGAAGGCATAAAGGTAGCCGCATTCGAGTACATTTCTATTATAAAGAACGGAATCTATTGACCCCTTTAAAGCGCGGCGTATTCTCAGATGACTCCTTTCCTCCGACGTATGTGCGCCTCTGTAAAAAATCTATAAACTGTTACAGCTCTATTGTGATGGGGTATTGCTTTGCTTTCCTATGAGTGACGATGCTTCTATCGTGCGCTTTTGTGCAACTGTACAGCGCTAAATACCTCCAGCGCGAATCTATCGCAGAAACGCAATTATGATGTTATGTAATCACAAAACTGTTTTTGTTTTTCTAACATGGGGGAAGGTGCTCCAATTTAATGATTGCTACGGCCACCCGTCGGTTCGCGCCTGGATGAAGAACGCTGGTACGCGACTGTGAAAGTGAAGAAACGATTGCAGTTCAAGGTGGCCCTAATCACCACTGTCGTCAGAACACGTCTCGTTTCGTCAAGGAAGCGAAAAACAGTAAAGATGAAAACAAAACAGTGGAAGAGTTGAGTTTGCACAGCGCAGGGAGAGAAGAAAGAGACAAAAACCTCTTTTTCAGTGAACTCACAGCCGCACTTGCCATGAAAGACGAGGGAAAGAGGGGGTAAGTACCACGCACTTCGTTTGTAGACTTCACGATAATACACTGTGTTGTTGTCATGCTGAAGCAGTTGCGCCGAAGCAGATACGAAAAAAGACAACTCCTTCACTACCTCAGTGTTTTCTTCCTATTTGCTTCTGTCACATGGTTGCTGGCGTACTATTTTTGTTGTTGCTGTATAATTCTTTTCATAAAAAAAGGGTACAGATATACGCATATATATATAAACAAATATATGTACAAAAGTAGCCTTGAGCGAAGGCGACAGATACACGTGAAAAAAATAAACAACGAAGAAATGGACCAAACCGTCCTTCTCGAACGTCGAAACAGTCATTTGTAAAAGAGAAAGAATCACAAATATACATTCGCATCTTTGTTTTTGTTTCTGTGTTTGTGTTTGTGTGTGAGTTCCAGCGTAACGTGGCCGCCATTTTCCAAGAAAAAAAAAATAATGCGTCACCCACGTTAACACGTCGTTCCAGATACATCAGGAAAAAAAAGAAGGTGAAGAAGAAAGCAAAACTCAGTCCTACATATTTGTAATTCGCGTGTCCGACACGCACAGGGAAAATGAAAATAAGAAGAAAAAAGCTGAAGAAAGTGAGCGGGCCAACAAAGGAAAGTCTTCACTCCCAATAACCAACACACACACACACACACACACAACAAAAGTGCTGAACTCTACACACTTTGGATTACATCTCAAGCAATAGCTGGGAGCCGATCCCGCGACTCTGCAGCTGCATTTGTCCTCGCCGCAATGATTCCACTCCGAATCGACTGAGGCTTGCGTAATGTGTAGCGCGCCTTTTCGTCTGTCTGTGGTGCGGACGGAAGACGAGGCTTCGCCACTGATGGGATCGTTGAAACAAAGTCAGTTGTTTCCGCCGCCGCTGATTCAGCAGCCGCCTTGTTCTCGGAAGGCTTCACCTCGTTTGTCACCGTACCGTCAGTGACACCGTACTTTGAGATGAAAGCTGACTCTTGATCGAATGCCTCCAGCGCAGCGATGAGCTCCGTATGCAAAGCTGGGGACAGCCGCGACTCCGCAAACGAGCGCAGTTGGTTAAAAGGAGGTGCCATGAGCTTGTAGCGGCGCTCCACCTGTCGAAGACGCCGAGTGAGCTGCTCTTTTTCTTCCTGAGCTTTGCGCACCGTGTAGCCGCCCATCGTATCAGCCTCATTCTGCAGCAGCACAACCTTGCCGTTTAACGCTGTGATGGTCTGCTGTGCCTTCTCATAGTCTTTTGTCAGCCTGTCATTCAGCTCCGTGAGTTGGCGGTAACTGGCCAAATCGCCCAGCGCGTTCTCCAGCCGCACGATTGTGCGCTTGGCAATGCTCAGCTCGCTGCGCAGATCGCGGCTCTCCGCTTGCAGGGTCTTCACCGCCTCGTCGTGCGATTCGTTGCCGAGACGCACGTTGTATTCGAGGTCACGTACGTGGTCCTGCAGTCGGTGGGTGTTGCGCTCCGCCACGTCCGCCCTCGCACTCTCCTTCGCACACGCAGACTTGTGCGCCTCCGCTTCCGCAGTCAGGCGACTCTTCAACTCCTCCATTTGCATGCGCATCTGCTCAACCGTTTCGCTGTGCATGCGCGTGTATTCGGCGGAAGCCTCCGTCATCTCGTTCAGCTTTGTTCTCAGGTTTTCGCGCTCGGCGTTCATGCAGACGAAGTTGTGCGTGTACTCTGCCTCCTTTTGCGTGGCGGAGGTGCGGAGCCGCTCTAGCTCTTCGCTTGAAGTCGTGTGGTGGGCGGTGATGCTTGTCAGTTGCTCATACAAGTCGTGCTCTCGCTGCGTTGAGGTTTTCTGGAGCGTATCCAGCGCGTTGAGCAGCGCTTCGTTCTGTTTCAGAGTCAACAACAGTTTTTCGTGCAAGTCGGTCACCTCCGCCAGGTGCTCTTTGGTCTCCTGCTCACTCATCGACTCTTGCTTCGCCGCATCAGCCCGCAGCACGGTGATCGTCTCGAAGGACTCACGATCGTTGCGCTCCATCGTCTCCTGCAGCCGCTGCAGGCGCGCCTTGAGGCTCTCGATCTCAGCGCGGGTGAGGAGTTTGTGGTTGAACTTTTCATCCTCCGCGGCCGCCTTCGCCTTCAACGCGAGCTCGAGGTCTTTCTTCTGGTTTGCCAGCTCGGCCTGCATGGCGACATTCGTGGCGAGATCCGACTGCGCCTGCTGAGCTGCCTTTTGAGTCAACTGCGCCAGCTCCTCGGTGAGAGCCGCGTGCTCCTCGCGGAGGGCAGAAAGCTCCTTGGCAAGCTTCTCCGCCTCCTTGCGATGGACATCCAGCTCGAGTTGTAGCTGGCGCTGCTGCACGGCCGCCGTGGAAAGAGCCTGGTCCATCTCCGCCAAAGCGGTCCGCCGGGCCTCCTGAGCCTCACGGCGCACCTGCCCTGCCGCCTCGACCTCCGACGCACGTTTCAGCGAGAGTTCGTGCAAGCGCCTGTTGTCCTCGCGGACAGACTCCAGCTGCGTGTTCAGGACGCCTACAAGAAGGTTCGACTTCTCCTCCTCGCGGCGCGCGTGCGTGAGATCCTCCTGCAGCTGCGTCGCGGTAGCCTTGTAGCGCTCCACTTCCGTCTGCATGACACGCAGCAGCGCGGCCTTCTCGGCCTCGCCAGGCGGCATCTCTGGTGTCTGTCCTTCCTCGGCTGCAGCCTTTTCTTCATTCGCCGCCGCCTCCGACGCTTTCGCGACCATTTGTGACTCCAGAGCAGCGTACTGTGCCTCCAGCTCGTGGTACTTCTGTTGCAACGCGTCGAACTCGCCTTCCAGCTTTTTCAGCGCATCTCGATGCCCTTGATCAGCAGAGGTGGCGCGCCGCTCCAGCTCGACCACGTTGACCTGAGCCAGCTCCAGCTCATTGGAAAGGAGGGCGATGCGGCGCAGCGCAGAGGCCTTTTCGCTCTGCAGCAATTCGCTCGCTTGCTGCAGTCTGCTCAGAGCCTCCTGCGTCTCTTGCAACTGCTCCGCCTTCTGCTTCACCTCTTCCACGAGTTCGTTTTCTCTGGCTTCGAACTGAGCTTTGCGCACCGCCTCTTCAACACGGTGGCGTGTCACCGCTTCTTGACGTCGGTACGCTTCGAAAGTAGAACGTTCCTCTTCGTCGATCTGTCGGCGCAGCGACGTTTCGTTTCCGCGCACGAACTCCCTATCTTCGGCCTGGCGCTGAAGCAGAGCATCATGAGCAGCATCGCCTTTGGCCGCCGCACCGCCCGCGGACTTGGAGCGAGCACCTTTCTTCTTCGCTGGCATTTCGGGTGCTGAGGTGGCAACAAAAGAAGGAGAAAGGAAAGTCGAGCCAAGAGACGCGGCGTAGTGACCCAGACAAATCGCACTGTCAGGCGTGGAGAAGGGAAACGAAGGAGTGTTGAGAGGATGAAGAAAAAAACACAGTCTCCCTTTTCCTTTTGCTGACGTTACTTTCTGTCGTGTGTTCCAGTTGAGCGTGAAACCGAAAAAAGGAAGGAAAGACAAAGGTTGAAATACATATATTGTGGTCGAAGTGAAAAGAAGATGCAGCAGAGCAAGAAAAGGGCGAGTAGGGCGGAAGTTACGTTAGGTTTCAGCAGCTTGCAACATATTTTCTTGAAAGGCAGGACGCCCTGCAGCCTTTTTCTGATTTCCCGAACGACCAAATGTGTTGAAGCACAAGCTCTGAGAAGTCGAGAGCAGCTGCTCGTTTACAGGTCGCGCTGCGTTGATAAGCAGGTTGAAACTGCTCGTTAGAGCCGCAAGCAACGGAGAACAAGCATTAAGTAAAAGATAAAGAATGAGAGGAGAGGGGAATTTGCTCACATGCATAAGTGACGCACTCGCATTCCACGCTTTCAATACCCTTTTAGCTAATGAGGCTATCGTGTTTTTTTTTTGATTTCTATCCTTCAACACAACAACAAAAAGGGACCAGCTGCACAGTGCGAGAACAACAGCAAGAAAGGAAAAAAAAAAAGAGGAACAGGTCTATGAATGGTGCAGTTGTATAAATGTAGAAGAGAAAAGTGCGAAACGCGCAACTACCTGTATGGAAAACTCTCTATAGCGCTCCATACACCAAAACAAAGTAAAGAGGTGAAGCTACGGAGCACCACAACACAGCAGCGTATCTGACGCAAACCAGAAAAAAAAGCACTTCGCCTACGAAAACAAAAAAGCAGTGGAGAAACGCGATAGTAAGTGAGGCGGGGACATCGACCAAAAAAGCAAACGGTGGAAAGAGAACGAGACACCAAGCACAGCGCAGTACCACACAGCAAAAGAAGAGAACCAAATCTTTCATTTCGGGCGTAATATGCCGTTTGCGCTTTGTGCCAGATGGCCTCCTTTTTTCTTTTCTTACCTGCTTTGTGACGCTAAAAGTCCAATTTTCCTCTCTTGCACAGATAAGAAAAGGTGAGCATCAAGCGTTGCGCACACCTAAAAGACTCTAAACTGTTCTTAGGATTTAAAGCAAATCTCCTAACGTCTAAAATTGTTGTTCAGTACCGTTTCCACCTGCGAAAGAATGCCCGTCTGATCCACCACAAAAGGCTCGGCGGAACCGTCTGAGTTGATGTAGTACTTTTGACCGACGTTGTGACGCCTGTCGCTCTGCCAGCGAATGTCCACCAAGGCGTTGCACACGACTTGCGACCGCAAGTTGGAGAGCCGGAAAAGAGTGAACGCGCCTGCAGGGTCCGGGAAGACTTTGCGGATGTACACAAATTTGGTGTCGCGCGGTACGTGTGCCATGTTGCGGTGATGCACGTAGGCTGCGTGAACGGCAGCAGGTGTCAGGCCCTCCGCCCTCAGCCGGGTGAACTCATCAACGAAACCAGTGATGCAGCGCAGCACGCCGCCTAAGTATCGCTGAGCCTCAGAAAGACTGAGGATGCGCGCCTCCTCGTCGTAGAAGGTCTGCACGTGCGGGTGCGGCTGATTGCGATTGGTGCTCTCGTTGTTCATGCAGGGCACGTACAACACCAGTTTGGAGTACATGTCCAGCACCGCCGTGCCAACGCCGGCCTCGGTGGGGAACATAGCCCCGTAGCGGCCGGGCTGCAGGGAGTAGTACATCACTACGGTGTCCTCGTTGGTGAAGGAGTAGAAACGAACCCAACCACCGCTAAGGAAGTCATCGAGGAATTGTTGGCGGTTGTGCTCCTCGCGAGGCAACGCCAAGAAGCCGCCACTCGACCGACTCAGGGCGTGGCTGCGAGACGCGGTAGGAGCTGGTGCTGCGCGGCCAAGGGTGGAAGCAAGACTGGGTATCGCTATGCCGGGATCTGCATCGATGTTGGCGCTCGGCATCGCGTTTGTCATGGAGTACCGTGACTGCCGGATCGTGCCAAAGTTCTTTGGCGGGATGGCGGCGGGCGTTTGGAACGCGTTAATGTGCGCCGCCAGCGTCGCCGCCGGGGACGGCGCAGCGGGGCCGCGTCGGGGCAGCGGTGGACCGCCTTGGGCGGTGTGCCCGCTGACTGATGGCGCGCGGGTCTGCTGCCGCCCGGGACCGCGGAGCGCCTGCGGTGGCAGCCCGGCAGGTTTCTCGCCAAGGTTCCCTTCCGCCGCAGCACGCTTCGGTGGCGCTGGTGGAGGCGTGGGCGTCGATGCCCCCGCCTCACGTCCGCGCTTGTAGGAGCTTGGCGCACTACTCTGGCCACGCAATGCTGAGGTGCTGCGTGGTACCCGTGGCTGGCGCTGCATGTCGCGGGGCCGGTCCGCCGCCTCTGCGCGAATCGTGATCACCTCCAACCGGGCCATCTCCACGCTTTCCGCTCGACGTCTGGCAGCGATGCCTATGATCTCTCCTTTATCGTTGTACCGTGGCGGTGTCGCCGGAGCAGACAGCAACGGGTCGTTCTGCAACGCCTGCTTCTGTTGCTCCACCTCCTGGATGATGTCCTGCAGTTCGGCGGAGCTGCGCGGCTGCAGTTTTTGGCGCGATTCCTTGCTCGGCACCTGCACCTGCGGCGGCAAATCAAACGAAATGCTGTCGTTGGGGGAGCCGCGGCCACGCCGGCTGCTGCTGCCTCGACTATGTCGGCGCTGCTGGGTCGACTCGCGAGCCAAGGCGGAAAGGCGGGTGCTAATTTGTGGAAAGTTCGCCTCCTCGTGTTTCGCCACGGCGGCGTCGAAGTCCTCCGGACTGCGCACGTTTTGCTCGCCAACGGTGATGCGCCCACCGTCGGAAGTGCGGCCGTACGTGGGTCGCCCCGAGCGTCGGCCGGTGGTACGCGGACTGGGCTCGTTGTCTGACGATTCGGGCAGCTGCACGTCCAGCAAGCTCGGCCGCTGGGCCTCATCCCACAACATCGTGTTCATGCGCGAGGAGCGGCGCGGTGACGGGCTTTCGCTGGGCCCACGGCACCGCAGCGAATGCGCCTGCAGCTTCGCGGACGAGGTGAATTTCTTGGCGCACGTCACACAAACGAAGTTGACGTCTTTGAACCTACCAGAGTAGGCGCACTTCATGCAAACATCGTAGTCGCACTTGTAGCAGCGGAAGGCGGGCGTGTCGCCGGTGATCTTCAGAATTCCGCGGTCGCACACGTTGCAGTCAAACCCCTCGTAACCGTGGGGCATTGAGGTCAACTTGGTCATAACGTGCCCGTTCATGCATCGGAATTCACGCTCGATTTCGTCGGTCATGTCGCGAGGAAGCGACACAACGGGGCGCAGATTCCACCGTGTGGCTGTGTCACGGCCGGGGTACACAACAGCGTACTGATCTGGACTGGAGGGCACGATGTTGCCCCCGGCAATCTCATCTGCCAAGCTCACGCTGCGCCGAGCAGATCGCGAAACGCGCGGGGCGGCAGAAGTCCGCTCGGGAGCCTCGGACACCAGTGACACACTCCCACCACGCGTGCGGGTGTAGCGACGGGTAAGCATCTGATTGCGCAGCTTACCTCGCTGCACGCTTTCCGCCTGTACGATGTCCACCCTGGCGTCGCTTTCCGCGCGCGAGAGAGTGAGCAGGTCCCACAAGATATTGTACGTTTCGTTATATTCCAGCTCAATCTGCGACCGACCGCGCTGCTCCGTCGCCTCAATGCGCCCGATCCCATCCCGTACAACCGCCTCCGCCGTGCGTTTCGCGCCCAGTTGCATGTTCTCACCCAAATTGGTGAGAGCCTGGCCGTTTGAGAGAGACGGCTCGAGTAGGTTCAGCTTCTGCAGAAGCGAAAGCGGGCACGACAACGGACGGCGATTCCATACAGAGTCCTCCAACACCTCCATCAGAGTTGCGCGCTTGCAAGATTCGCGGTGCAGAATCCGCTCGACAAGGCGGCACAGCGGCGCGTCACCTTTCCAGTCTGGCGGCCAGCTCCACGCAGCACCGGCGACCGCGTTGAACAGCGCCAGTGTCTTCTGTTCCTTGTCCAGTTGACGCATACCTTTCCGTTCCATCGCATCGAGGTACGGATTCATGCGAGTCATTAAGACGTACAGCACCACGCCAATGCTCCATGTATCGACCTCTTTGCCGTAACTAAGCGACGGCGCCTCAGAGTTCTTCGTCATGCGCTTGTACACCTCGTTCGCCATTTCAGGGGCCATGTACATCGCAGTGCCTGCGACAGTCTTACGTGGGTGCGCTTCCGAGATGCGACTAGAGAGACCAAAATCTGTGATTTTCAGGTTGCCTTCGTTGTCGAAGAGAAGGTTCTGCGGCTTCAAGTCCCTATGAATGCAACCTTTTGAGTGGATGTACGAGATGGTGCTCACCAGCGACCACCCTATCCACAAAATCTCCGGAATATCCAGGTTCCTATAGGCGATCACGTCGTGGAGCGACTTTCCCGCGCAGCGCTCCATTACGACGTAGGCACGATCCTCGTCCCTGGCAGCCGCGTAAAACTTAACGATGTTTGGGTGCCTTGAGAAATGGCTCATCAGCGTTACCTCCTCCTTCAGCCGCTTCCAGTCGTTCTCGCTCATTTGCTTCGACGAGACCTTTAGCGCAAACGTCTCCCCGCTGTTTGATACAGCATCAAAAACCTTTCCAAATCCACCCTTTCCAAGCAAGCCTGTCGTGACCAGCCTCAAGTCTTCTTCCTCAAAGTACACAGTCATGTGCTCTAACGGGTGCTCGTCGTCCTCGGCGTGGTCGACTTGACATTTTTGAATGCGTGGCGTTTTCACCGTGCTTCCTAAACGAGCGATCGCCGGCGTCTGCGACATGTCCCGCGGCATCGAAATTGCGCCACTTCGCGGCGGCGTCCGTGAGGAAGAATGGTACATCTTGACACTCTACAAATCTGCAAAGCGTTAACGAAGTTTAATGTTGTAAAAAGCAGCGGTTGCGTGCTTCTAAAAGTAAATATGCGTACTACTCTACCTCCAAAAGTGTATTTAAAAAAAAATGAAGAGATCTGTCTTCCGATTCTAGATGATGAGAACAACTTCTTCACATCGAAGCAAAAGGAAGAAACTGAATTTCGTTGTTAACGGTGCTGCTCGCGCACCGTAGTTCTCTAAAAGGTTGAGCTAATTGATGGGGAAAGAAGAAGAAAACAAATGACTCGCAATGAATAGGTAAAAGAAGAATGAGAAGGGAAAACGAGTGAGATTACAGTGTGCACATTTTCCAAAAGAGGAGAAAAATAAAAACTGTTGATTTACAACAGCAGTTTTGTTGTTTCTGGTTGCATACACCGGTTATATAGCAGCAGCTCAAACAAGGGGCAAAAGTACGTTTTCCCCTTTTCTATCAACGGCAGTTGCGATGGCCACCATCAACTGAAAGGAAAAGATGTAACATTCTTTAACAGGCCTGTTCGTTTATATTGGCGCCTTTATCTCTCGGCTGCATGTATCGTAATTGGCGCTTCAAGATTCACATTTTATTTTCCCACTGCCGCTAGTGTACCACTGGTTTCAACGTCACAATTCTTGATAATTAGTAGTTTCTAAAAAAGGAGTTTTCTTTTTAACAATTACTACCGATGAGCGGGAAAGGGAAAACAACCAGAAGAGACAGCTACTAAACTGTATTTGTGGAGGTGTACGCCTGAACGATGTATACGAAGCCACATCGATTCGATACAGAATTAAACACGAGAAAAACAACTGAGCAATAAGGTCTTTTTGTGGCATGACGCCGCAGCCCTTTTACCTCTCTTTTGTCTTTTTCCAGTCGCTTTTGTTAATGCATGAAGGCATCTCTGTGAAGATACCTTCATCCCAATGAAAAGCCTAAATTCTTCCAGATACTTAAGTTTTTGTTGTACGTAGCTTCTTTCGGAGCTATGCGCTGTTGGGCTCCGGCTTCGTGTCCGCGGTCTCCTCCGCCTTCTTCGGAGTGGGAATGCTGGAGTCGGTCTTGGGAACAATTGGAGTCGGTGAGGTTTTCACCCCGGTATGGATGCACGCAATCCCGCCAGTAAGGTTCTCGTAGCGCACATAACCAAATCCAGCATCACGAATCATCTGCGCGAAACTTTCCTGGTCCGGGAAAGCGCGGATGCTTTCCACCAGATAACGGTAGCTCTCTTCGTCTGCCAGAAAGCGTCCAGCCTGAGGCATGAAGCCGTATGACCATAAGTCGTACGGTATGGTGAGTAGCGGGCAGGAAACCTGGCTAAACTCAAGCACGTTAATGACGCCGCCCACCTTCAAAACACGGAAGGCCTCACGCAGGGCCTTGGGACGATCGCTGAAGTTGCGAATACCAAAGGACACCGTGTAGCTATCAAAAGAAGCGTCTTCAAACGGCAGTTCCTCGCCACTCGCGCAGACCCAGTCGATATCCAGGTATCCCTCACGCTCAGCACGCTTTTGGCCTTCTTTCAACATGCTCTCGTTGATGTCGCATACAACGACCTTCGTGCCGTCGAGGGCCTTCGGGACTAAACCAAAAGATTTCTCGCGCACACGGATGAGATCGGTGATCTTAAACGCAATGTCGCCCGTGCCGCCAGCGACATCTAAGAATTTGCCACCTGGAAGAGGGCAAACGCAGTCCTCGACAAAGTGCTTCTTCCAAATGCGGTGAATGCCTAAGGAAAGCACATCGTTCATCATATCATACTTTGATGAGACGGTATCGAACACCTTCTTCACGTACGCATCCCCCAGTCCCATGTTGCGGCAAACACGACTGTAACGCAGCATTTTACTGTGTGGCTGTGCTTTTTAGAGAACAAAAGAAATGCTTTGAATGAAAAGATAAGTCAATAGAGTACGTGTCCTTCACTTGCTTAAAGCTTCCCAACGCAGTGATTTGTTTATGTGGTTAGCGAAGAGAAGGAGAGCGATATTTGGAAAGAGCAACGCACAGAAATATATGAAGGAAGAATTTTAAGCAAATGAAAGAAGAAAAGAAGAAATATACTCAGGTAGTGTTCTGCACAGCTTTCAGTTCAACAACAGCATGAACGAAGGCACTCACTATTGTAATGATCGAGTAAAACGGTTCTACGGTGGTATAAAATAAGACGGCAAAGTCGTCAATCGCACTTAAAACCTTTTTCTACTGTGTCTATTTGTCCGACAAAGGATAGTTAATAATTTCTTTTTCTATATGAGCCACAACTTGTGAGCCAAACAATTCTCGATCTAACGCTGGACAAAAATACTAGCAATTTTCTATAGTGAAGAGTTAAGAAGAAAATGAATATCTCCATCATCACCACCGACAACAACCGCGTCGTGTCTCTTGGCGGCTGAAACACAGCTGATTTGGTGAGTCCATGAGTGCAATGGGAAAGATTGCACTAGCGTGGGACCACAAGGTTTTTCGTTGCGCTCAATGAAAGAAGAAACGCCACTTTCCCATGACGGCTCTTGCTCCCGCAGCAGTGCTCTGGCACTTCTAAAATCGCCGTTTACCGCGACGGAACTGAGATCCACATAATTTCGTTCATTTTTGGCGAAATTGCAACCTCTAGCCTCGTGTTGTTGCCTGTTGCTATCATGATCGTCGATATCGTAAAATAAAACAACGTTTGAGGCGATGTGCGGGTAAATAAGAAGTCCGTTTTGCGTCATGACAGATATTTTCGGCGCAGCGAGACTAGCAGAACTCTGCGATCGTTCAGAGTCATTTGTTCCCACGATGCAAACTTCTTCGACAGAAGTAGCACCGATACTGAGACACGTAATATCGCCGCAGTCCGTGTTGAGCCAGACGAGCGGCACGCCGCATCTGGTGGGGTTCACGGAATTAGCGGAGGTTATCATCTCCACTGAACCACTAACTGCTGTCGCGGCGATGGGCCGTTCGCATTTGCGTAAATCCCAAATTTCGACTATACCATTTTTTGATCCAATGACCACCTGCGCATTGCAACTAGGATTGATAACCTCTATAGAAGTGTTGCATCGGCGTGTTTTTGGTCTGCTTGCGTTGGAAGTGGAAGCGCTAATGATATCCGATTGCCTCGCAATACGTGTGCAAATTACCGGCTTTGGAATTCGTGTATCAATAAAAGCAGAGCATCCGTTGGAGAGAGCCGCCAACGCCAACGTATCAGACAGTGTTGCAAATGCGGTAGCAGTTGGAGCACTACAATTCGAGATGTGCTCTTCGTGAGTAAACGTAGAATCTAAATTGAAGCTGCGCAACGCTTCGCCAGTTTCCTCATCGAGATCCTCCAGGTCAAAGATATCGACTTTTGCAATACCACTGTACCCACAAATAGTGTTTAGCGTGCTTCCTAAAAATTGTACGGCAGTCAAACCAAAGCTGATCCTGTTCTCAACGCCGAGACGAGCCCGTAGAGTCGTGGTGTTTAAATTCAAAAGAGGGGTCCCTGAATCTTCCGGCAGTTGGTCATTATTGTCCAGCAATACAGCGGCCCCAAACAGTTGAAAGCTTGAGCGTCGCGCCGCGATAAAAAATTCATCTTTTGGATCCCACACCACATCGGTTATGCAGTTCTTGAAAATTTCAACGGAAGAAATAAGTGATTCCCCGTCCTCATTTGTTCGGTTCAGGTGTAAAGATGAGGTTACCTCGCATACGGAAGGAGTGGCACTTCGAGCAAAAGAACTCCGCGTACGTGCGAATGCGGCATAGGAAGAGCGAACGTAATGGCGACTGTAAAAGCGAGAATCCAAAAGTTGCAGATTCACACGCACGCTTCGAGAAATAGTGGAGCGGAGGGGATAGGTTTCGGCATAGTTGGCGTCCCGGCAGCGCTTCTTTGGTGGTGTGCTAGAATCGATCTTGTCCGCGAAGGGAAGTGTTTTAAGGTGCCGGCTGCTGGTTGTGAAATCAGAAAGTCTGGTTTGCATCGCGGACTGCAGAAGAATAGAAATAGGAAAAAAGAAAGGTAAATGGGAAAGGGTTGACAAGTGACGGTCAAGTCAGTTTCGTCCAATTTGGCGCATGAACTGAACAAAGTAAACGATTTTTATAGAAAAGAAAAATGGTCATGAGTCTTCAAAGCTTGCTGAAGTTTTCATCATTATTGCTTTTACTGAAGGACTGTCCAATTAGTTGTACACTTTCGTTGTTGCGACGAAATCTGCATTTGCTTTTGCTGGTTTTGCTTTTTGTGCGCTGCGCTTTGCGTTTCGCGGGCGCCCCTTTTTGCGGCTGGGTT